GATAACTTCCGCAAGTTTAATTTATATTTTATATTCTAGTTAAAAGCTTTGTTAGTTATATAGGACTTTGTTGTGTAATGAACATCAAAGTCTAATTTTAGTTTTAGAATTTATTTCTGATCACGAATTAAGTTATTATAGGTTATCTTGATTGACAACCAAGGTATTTCTGCACTTTATTTATTTAAATTTTATTTTAGATCTTAGTTTTAATTATCTCAAAATATTATCCAGATCAATACAAGTCACTTTATTAACAACCACCCTTCTCATCTTTTCCATCCACAATCTTTAATTTATATTTCTCTATTCATGATTTAATCATTTCATCATAAACCCTCTTTCTAATTATTTAGACTTGATAACAGAATTAAATTTATGAAATTAATTAAACAATGATGATATTAAGTATTTAAAAGAATCTTACATCATTTCTCTCATCTTATTTTACTTTGTACTTTTATTTTTAGTTAGTATGTGTTAAAAAAAAATAAATTCATCAAAACTAGTTCTCACCATTTTTGATGATCGACTTGAAATTAAACAAATGCTAGAATTTATTTAGAGATTTCAGTTATAAATTTTGTTAAATTTGTATGTATTAAAACCAACAACTATTGAGGTCAATTTTGATACAATTTTTGTTAATTATGTTAAGTAGATATCATTTTCTTAGAGCCAATGCCTATTGAGGTTGAATACCTACCTAGACTCTACTCAAACCATGCTGCTATAATGTTGAGAATAATAAAGATCAATAGAAAATGAGTTTGTAACATGTGGACATTGCACGAAAAATTTAAAGAGTTTGTAACGGAGAATTAGAAGGGAGAGATCTCTAACAGCACCTTTGTTAATTTTGGCTACAAAACAAGGAATATGAAAAAACACTTTTGAATGATTGAACAAACATGTTTTTGAGAATATTTATTTAAGAGTAAAAAGATTAGAATGAGTATAGACAACTAGATGATGAAAAGGGAATGAATCAACAAAAAATGGGTGTTTTTTGTGAAGGAGAATTGGAGAATACTTCCTTGCAATATGAGGTCTTAGTGAAAAAAAATAGAAAATCAAGTGGTTGAAGGAGGGGGACAAGATACAAAAGTCCCATGCCACAACAAGAATTAGAAGGAAAATGCATTACTTTCCTAAAGTAATTAAAAATAAAAGAGGAGTAAAAAGTACTTTGTTAATCTATTGATGTGAGAACCAACAAAGGTTAAGGGAGAGTTCTAGAGGTCATTTCAAGGTGTGTCACAATGAAAGAGAATGAGGGCCTCAATAGAACTCTAAGGTATGGCATTTAGTATGAAGGAGGACATTGCACTTGGGCCAAATGAAATAGGATCCAAATTCTACACCTCCTGCTAAGGTATAGTTGAATCAGATATGTGTGAAGTAGTAAAAGAGTTCATGGGGAGAAGCCATCTGCTTAGACAATGGAAAGCATCCTTGATAGCATTAATTCCAAAAAAAAGATAATCATGATAATTTTTCAGACTTTAGACCTATTAACCTTTGTAACACTTATTATAATGTTATTTCAAAATTATTATATAGTATATTGAAGGAGATCTTTGCCCAAATTCATTTCGAGTGAGTAGGGAGTCTTAGGAATTTGAAGTGTGGACTATGGCCTTGAAGCCTCAATATGTTGGATGGGTGCTGAAGAATGACGTCATAGTGTGATCAGCTCCAAGGAACAAGTCAATCATTTCATTCAACCTATTCTTCACCTCTAGCCCAAGCGGTCTTGAGTGATGCATCAGTTGTGGCCACTCAAATAAGTCAATCAAGTTCAAGTCAAAACAAATCAGACATTTTGAGTAGCAAGTCTTTGTGGGACAGACGTCCCCAGTAGGCACTTTGGGCCCCTTCCTAGCTACTAGATTCGTCTAGTGCTTTGGGTACTATAGACACTCTGCTATTCTCAAACCTCTGATAGAAATAATTTCAATGCATGCGTTCTTTCTCTCCTAGTTCCTCCATCATCACCAATTTTGGCCCCTAGGCAGATTCAACTCACCTGATCTATTACTACATGGAAGTCACTAGTGACTTTCCAAGACTATGTCCTTATGAATCTTATGAGATCATGTAGTAATAAGATAGAGCAAGACTATTACTACATGGAAGTCGCTAGTGACTTTTCAACTCACCCAAAGGACTCATCTTTTGTTGCATCTGGTACGAGATGAAGAAGATAGAGCTTTGTCAATTGATGAACAATGGATTGACAGAGCTCTTGGCTAGAAGTTGTCCACAAGATGACTAAAACATCTTTAATCTACATAGGCTAGAAGGTCCAGCCTACTTCAAGAAGGTCTTGGCTAACTTAGGCGGGGCTTGAGGGTTTTGCATAGGTCTTTAGGGTGGCCTGTTATAGATTGAACAAAGAGTGAACCTCTAAAGAGTGTGGCCTACTCCCTAAAGAGTGAACCCCTTCTTGTTCAGATTGAACAAAGATCAAAACATATTATATATGATATAATATAAATTCATGATTTTGCATCTTTAGGGAGTAGGCTAAACAAACGTGTTGAAAGCATTCCATTTCACATTTTCTGTCACAATTTTTGTTTAGTCCGTACATTCTATATTACAAGGATGTTTACCCTCAATTTGACTCTCATCTTGCAAGGTTCGTGTATCGAGCAAGTTTTCAAAGAAATAAGGTTCTTGGTTGTCTATTCATCTCCACTCCATGATGGAGAATGGTTAGGATTCATTAAATGGAAATGTCCTTGGTGACGTAGCTATCTCAAGACTATATTCACGTATCTGTGAGCAATGGTTTTGAATATATACTCCCCCTTCCCAACCCATATCTTGTTCATTCTAGCGACACATCCTCCTATTTCATCTTTTCCCAATCTCCCTTAATTGAAGAAAGAGAAGCTCGAGAAGGACTACAAAAAAAACCTAGTTCACTCGTTGTTGCATCCATGCTGCTACATTCCATCATGGAATTTACACTTTTGAAAAGTTCAATTTTAGAAACTTCCTTTTCCCTTGGTGGCACAACCCAACATGCATTTTTGAGTGCCGTGTTAGGGCAATAGGCATACTACAATCAGACTTGAGTCAAAGGTATGTGGGTAATTTGCATTCTCTTTCTTACACACTTGAATGATGGGAAAGGACTCAAAACCCACTAGAGCCAAATTTTACATTTTTATGTAATTAAATTATGATATTTTTGTAAATCACTAGTCAATGATTAACCTACTAAAATTGTTTGATCATCAATATAAATTTCATCAAACACTGTTTATATATTGTTTGTTAACAACCAATCAAAATATTTCAAATATAAAAATCATAGATTCTTTAAAGAAATCATCTTGATTGATCAATAAATACATTCTAATTGAAAATAGAATGATTTATCAAGAGATGAGATAACATCTCCTTACAATATACCAAATGTGATGAAGAGTCACTTTTTATTATGCAAACTTGAGGATGAAGCTCCTTAAGATGCATTCTAGATCCATTCAATTTATTATTGACAAGTGCCAACCAATTGATATCTGAAAGTCACTAGATTTTCACTCTATCAAGCAAAAATTGTTGAAGACAATTTATCGAGTCATTTTATTACATTTTAGATTTCACAAGAAAATTTAAAGATTTATTACATCATAAATGTTCAAATAGAGTTTTTAAGGTTATAGACATCATCAATAATAATCTTCTCAAACACTCAAAATACCAATGATCATTGCTGCGATACAATTTTTTTTTTGAGATTTTATGTGATCTTAAATTTTGAAACTATTCTTTATTCAACTATGATTCTTTTGACTTTTATAAATCTTAAATTAATTAATTAAATAATTTATAGTCATTTATGTAAGAATTGTTAGATAATACTCTATTTAAAATTCTGCCCAAATTATATGAATTGGGGGTGTTGATCTCATCTTGATATTTGCACCAAAGTTTTCTTTTTTATGAATTTTAAAGTAAATTTTATCTTTATTATTATTATTTAAAATGACAAAATATCATATTTTAAAAGTAAAAATATGAAAATTTACTTAATATGATCTTACATCTCTTTGTTGGACTACAAAAGTTTTCATTATGTTTGGAGATTTTATTAATTTATTATTAATTTTATTATAATAAAATATTTTTAAAATGTGAAAGTTAGTATTTTCTAATTTTATAAATTTAAATTTGTGTGATTTATTATAAAACTATTAAACCACATCACTTATATTTCTCTTTGAAGTTCTCAAAGAGATATCAACTTTAGATAGAGATTTTTCTTTTGAAGCCAAAATTATAATTTCTCATCTATCTCTCATTACTTCAAAAATAATAGGAGCCTATGTTTTTTATTATTTTATGTTTATCCATCACCTTTGTTATTCTCTTTAATTTAATGATTTCAGAACTTGTTCATTGACGCAAGATCTAGGGTTTGAGCTCTCTAGAGTTCTTAGTCATCAATCTATCACTGTGGTTAGTGGGTACTCATATTATTGACTTAAAATATATATTTTTATTTGTTTACATATTAATGTGATTAATGTGTAACGAGGGTAGACAATTGAAATGTGGCCTCTTAAAGTAGTATGGATTACCTGCAGTTATTGGGCTTCGGATGGCTGCTGTCTCCGGCTAAGGCCCAGCCCATTGAGCGCCCCCCGGTCCCTTAAAACGGGCGCGAAAGACCTGTTCGAATGCGCGCGATGGCGGCGCCCGACACTGACATATTTGCAGTTGTACTCTAAACTATATTATGTTTACTAAAATAACCCAAATGATGTAAATGGTCTCCGACGGGACTTCTCGCGTCGTTGCCTCCTCTTGCCGACTTAAAGGGTCATATATTATTTTAAGATATCATCGTTCTAGGAAAGTAACTATGGAATTTGATGAGGGGGTTTGCAAAATAATGCATCCCCACGCAAAAATTCCCCCACCCCCTTGCTCTTCTTCCTCAGTTCCCCTTCCGCTGGTCTCCATCTCTGCCCGCCATCGCCATGGGAGGCTCCTCCGCTGCCGCGGTGGAGGAGTCCTCGGTGATCCTGTCTATGCTGGAAAAGGGGGTGGGCAATGGAGATGGCAGCTTCTGCCGGCGTGTAGCTTCTTTTCTCCACCCGTTTGGAGATCTTATCCCCCTCGATTCCCACTGCCCCGCCGCCACCGGCCCAAACGGGGGAGGTGCCGCGCCTGCGGTGGGTGCCGACGCGAAGAAGAAGAAGAAAAATTCGGCTGCGTCATCCAACCAGAAGGTCAGTGAGAAGGGCGGGGCTGAGGCTGCGGTCCTCCGTCCACTGGCCAAACAGTTCCTTCCATTCCTCTCCCGTGCATTGAAGCTCCTCCCCTCCGTCCTGAGGAAATGCCCCAGGGAGGAGGAGAATTGGGCTGGGGAGCTTTTTGGTGTGTACCGAATCGTGCTTGACTGTCTGTGGTTCGTTTCCCCCTGCCTTGCGGGCAGGCCATTCGCGGTGCACCTCCAGAGATGTAGTTTTCTTTGTTGCTTGGAGATCTGGGGGAAGTATTCGGAAGCGGAGGAGGAGGGCGTTTCCCTTCTAGAGAGCCTCGTGTCAGTTGTATCTTCTGCTGCTCCTGAGAAGTCTCATAAGGGGAGAAAGGCGAAGGGGACTAGTAGTGGCAGCCTTCTGCCGGACTCTACGGCAAAGGGCGCCTGTGATGTGGAGCTTGCTATCTTGGTCACGGAAGTTGTTGTATGTCTCATGAGATGTGCTTACAAGAGCAAAAGGAAGACTGACACTTTGTACCGTCGGGTTCTATTGATGGTGGGCGAGGTCCAGCCTTGGCTCAGGTATATGAATAGGAAGGTGATATCTTTGATAGTCATATATATATATAAATATATTTTCAGTCAATGTTAATACAAACACAATGCGCTGCGCTCTTCCGTAACAATTACAAAAATTTCTTGCTTTCACCCATGTTTCTACAATCTAAAGATTTTGATAATCTACAATTATCTCTGATGCATGCTCTGTGCAAATGATAATTTTTCTTAGCTTCGGATTGCATATCGTTTAATGCTTGTCAATGTTGACATGTACGTAGGTTTCTGGAGTCTAAAGATTTTGAGAAGTACCATTTGTCTCTGGTGAGTGCGTTAGGCAAATGCGCACTGTTCTTGGCTGGTGAATGCATGTCTTTTGATGCTGCTCTTGTTCATAATTTCTGTGTGGAAATGTCGAGAGAGTGGCTGATTTCTTTTTCAAAGGATCAATTCCCTAAGGTATTGTTTTTTATTTTCTCCCACTTATAAACTTATATTCTGTCGAATGGGAACAGTATTTAAAACAGAATGGTTTTCTTTGGCTGTTAGTCAAATACCGAAGTCAATATCGCCTAGTAATGTGAAAATTATACAAATGGCAGATTGCTCGTCAAGTTTGCTCTTCTATTTCTCTTCAGTGGGAAAGCAGATTCGTGCTTATGCTTGACATGATGAAATGCTTACTGGATTCCATATCATGCAAATGCAAGGTACTTCCATGTCCTTTTATCCATTTATTAGTAGCTTAACATTCCGTTACATGTCCTGAACACTGTATTTTGATCATGTGCTTTTTTGTGTGCCATCTCTTGACATGTAGGTCATTTAGTCAGCACTTATTTGTCGGAATATAGTCTAGGTTCCTCCAAAAAGTTGGACCATGGGTTTTCATTTTTGAGCTTTCCATGGATGTCCTTTTGAGAGACTTTTTATCTCTGTCTATGTGTGTGGTGTATAATTAATGTTCTGAGAGAAAATAGTTTAGTTTCACGTTAATGTTTTGGATGCTAATACTGGGGCGAGCAGGTCTCCACTGTACTTGATATTTAAGTAACTATTTCGTCATTGAAGGATTCTAGGGATCAATTCTTATGGAAAACAACACCAATTTCTTTTTTGTGTTAGTCTAAGGGCATCGCCTCAAATAATACATGATAATTGTATGTCATGCTCACTTGATGGAAATTCTGGTGTGCTCATCAGTCCTTCCATCTTTTTGGCATGGTGGACAACTTATGAGTTATTGTGAATTTGTTTTGAATTGATCTGTTAAAGTTGAGACACAAGTCTAAAGAAGGAATGATTGGTCAGACATAGATATAATGATAAGTTATCTTTAATGGAAGCCTTGTTTTTGGTTGTTGTACATGCAGTTCATTCATGATATGAAAATTATTTACAACGTTCTAGTTATGTACTTTTCCTAAAGAGGATGGGCCTTATACTATCATTTAGAAAATGCTATAGACTTATAAAGGCATATAGGATGGAGAGTTTTCATAAGGCGGAAGTAAAGTGGACACCAACATTTTTATTTATTTTTATTTGATGGTAGGACTGGCTTCCAGTGTGAAAAACTCTCAACATTATTGAACTATCTAATTCGAAAATGAGTGGGGTAGGTCTGTCTTTATAATGTCTGGACTCTTGTTAAACATGCCATCTCACTTCCAAGTCAAGTTTTGAGCTTTTTCATGTAGGTTACATGATGGGGGAATGTTAAATATTAATTGTTGACTTTGATGTTGTGTTGAAGTTATTGGGGCTATCCAACACAAACTAGTTGGTAATGGGTTGATGAGGCCTTCTTTGTGACCATGGTTTATTTTATCATAATTCATACAGGGCTATTCTTATCAAGTTCTTTGTGTAATTTCACTTTGTCTTTTTTCACATGAACTAAGTAAATAGGAGGGTATGGGTATGGTAGTAGAAACAATCTCGGAGATTAAGATTTTTTGTGTTAGGGAGCAGTTGTATCATTTAGACATGTAGGATGAAGGGACCCAGAGTTTCAAGAACATAATTTCTTAACTTGGCGTTAGTTTTGCTTGTAAGATGGGATAGATCAAACTCACCAATTAATCTTTGTCTCCATATCATAAGCAGATAATAATCACATATATATGCTGCCGTGCTGATCTAGGGCATCTGCCAGACCAGGAATAATTCATGATCATGAGGGTTATGATTATCTATGGTCCTATGAATTTTCCTACATTTGTTTTTAGATTCAGAGATGTCTTTGATTGGGTGAAACTTTTCAAAAGAGGAATTCTCATGTTCATATATTTGAGTGTGATGCAAAATGCATCGTAAACATTCTTCATGGAATGACCAAGATGCCATGCCTGATATGAGAATGGTGGGAAACATTTCTTGTCCTAATTCTGAACAAAGATACTATCTTTCCTCATACTTTAGTGTTGTTGAGAGAAAACAAATAAACCATATATTTTTCATGTTGGCAGATATGCCCTGAAGTGTTTGCATTGATGTCTAAAACTCTCGAGGGTTTAGGATAAATATTGGACCCCATCCCTCTTGTAAAACGGATTTTTGTATTTCATTCAATAAAATTCTTCTTCCTCTCCAAGGGTGCTTCAGGATCTACCAACATATCGAATAGAGGACTATACCATTCTACATGGTATTAGGGCAAGGTTAGGGTTTCAAATCCCTTTCTCTTGACATTCTTTGTTCATCTGCAAGAGACGTCCCACTTCTGTTGGAGCTATTGGTATCGTGCCCATTTGGCAAGGGATGTGTCATCTCTATAGTGTCTCCATAGAGCAAATCCAAGTGAGATCACTCTAATTTGCTTCTGCACTTATTGATTCTGCTATTACGGTCTTTGTACCGTTCTGTGAATATCTCTGTTCAATATTTGTTTACAAAATCGGTTTCTCATGAAGCTGATTGCTATTTCTTTGAAATGGAAACTATAAGAGATGTTGCTTTATCTTTTGGGGGAGATTCAACCTCCATGAGAGGTCAATCTTGTTCTTGGAGACACAAGATTATTGGTAGAACGTTTTGCAATTTTGTCAGAGTTCAAATTAATTGGATATAATCTGATAAAATGGTCATAATATATTTGTGAAGTATTGACCGGAAGAGGCATGGTACACCGCTTGATAGAAGGGCAGACTCAATGTCAGGAGAATTTCAGAGATGGAGAGAAGAGGATGCCCTGATAAAAACTTGGTTGTGGGGAACAATGATTCCCCAAATTAGTTTTGATTTTTTCTTCTTAGCCACAGTCAAGGACTTATAAGAGATGATTCACATCAAATTGTCACAGAAAAATAATGAGGCTCACATATATGAACTTGAGACAAATCAATGTCCACAGTGCAAGGGAGTAAATCAGTGGAGTATACAGGAGAGTTAAAGAATTTATGACAGGAACTTGACTATTACCTTAGTCTTGATACTAAAAAACTTGTTGAAATTGCTACATTATTTAAAGGGCACACCAGGCAAAGGAGTCATCTTTAAACGTACTGAGGAGGTAAATGTCAAAGTGTTTACAAAAGCTGATTATGCAGGGTCAATATTTGATTCGAAATCAACTTCTGGTCATCTCACATTTATTAGTGGTAATCTTATTACTTGGAGAAGTAAAGAACAAAACGTGGTAGCTTGTTCAAGTGTTGAAGCAGAACTTAGAGCGCCTGTCCAAGGGGTTTGTTAACTTCCCTAGGTGAGAACTTTACTTGATGAACTATGTATTCCTCTATCAGGCCCTTGAAGATTTATTGTGATAATAAGTCAGCAATCAATTTGATACATAATCCAATATAGCATGATTATACCAAACATATGGGGATTGATCAGCATTTTATCAAAGAAAAGCATGAGGCAGATGCGATTTTTATACCATACATTTGAACTAGAAATTAGTTGGCATATATGCTCACCAAAGGCGTCTTAGGCACACTGCTACAAGAGATTCTTCTCAAGCTGGGAGTTATTGATATCAATCCACCAACTTGAGGGGGAGTGTTGTCGAGAGGACTTAACAAATAAACCCTGTATTTTTTATGTTGGCAGATATGCCCTTATGTGTTTGCATCTGTGTAAAATCTCGAGGGTCTGGTATAAATACTGGACCTTGTCCCTCTTGTAAAACGGATTCTTGTTTTTCATTCAATAAAATTCTTCTTTCTCTCCAAGGGTGCTTTGGGATCTACCAGCATACCGAATAGAGGTCTATACCATTCTACATTAATGAAACAAGGTTGCAGATGCTCTGTCAAACTTCACTGTGACTACAGATGGATATGGAGACATCACTGGTACATAGGTTGTTTTACATTTTGCTATTTTAACTCAGTAGAGGGAACCATGATACCTATTTTGTTTATTTATCTCTTATTGATTCTAGAATCATTTACCCATCTATTTGAGAAGTCAGATTTTACCTTTTATTGTGCCGGGCTTAGATGTTGTCTGGTCAGTTTTTCTTTTATCATTGCTTCTCTCAGAAAGGCTTGTTGGCTGGAATTTAATGTATTTTATTTCCTTTTATTTTTATTAGTGTTATTCTCTGTCAGAGTTTAGCCTGTTTGCTGCCTTTTAGAAAACGGGAACTATTCTGGTTTGATGCCGTGAGCAACTGTGATATTGGTGCTCATGCCTATTTACAACTTCATATGCATAGCAGTTTATGCGCACATCAGCATTACTCGATATTATTTTTGCAGGATAATATGGTACACTGTGCAAATCAATTTCTTGAATTTGTCCACTATGTCATTGACACCTGTCAAACAGCAAGTACTTCCATTCAAAGAACTGCTTATGAACTTCTTATTGAATGGAGGATCAATCTTCAGGAGGTATCTTTTATATTATTGGGAAACACTTTGTTGTAACATATAGCCCCTCTGCTAATGTCTGTCTTGTTCAAAGCTAACCTTATTACTTATTTATTAGGTTTCACCTTCTGTTGCCTCTATTTTGGGTTTTTATGCCATTGGATTGGGCTGCAGAGGAAGAACTATTCAAATTCAACATAGAGAGGCCATTTCTCGAACTTCTAATGATGCACCTGTTGAATTGATTTATGATACCGAGTACCTGCAAATATTTGGCGATTCACTGGGTATTTTGGATCATAACTCTCATAGTAGTGTGGAAGAATTCCGAGATACTTTAGTTAGATGCCTGAGAAAAGTTTCATCTTTAGATCTGGGACATAAGATTTCTATTTCGTGCGGCTGTGTTCATGGAGAAGTTTCCTTCTTTTCATACTTGGACGCTTTAGGATTTTTGTGCAAGCAATTGGAGGACTATGTTAACACAACTTGGAAAGATATGATATCTGAGGCAGTGAGTTTGCATTCAGCTGATATATGTTATGTTCTCGAGGCATTTTATCAGTTTTGTGTTTTGTTCCTCAGTGAAGTTAGGTAAGAAATCAATCTTTCATTTAATGCCTAATTTTATTCCTCTACATTAGCAGAGCAGCCTTGACCATTTTCGTATTAGTAATTTGTTTTGACAGTGCAGTAATGATACCCGTGGCTTTTGTAATTTAGTTGGTCTGTTAATGCAGTGACAAATCTGACAAGGAAAAACTGCTTGAGAGTCGTCTGGTACTGTTCCATGTAGTCGTTGCTTCCTTAAAACTCTGCTTTGTAACAAGCAAGGACAGCCAGGTTAATTTTTCTGTAAAATTTGAGTTATTTATCATGATCCACCTGCTAAAGAGTTCCCTTTGATGCAAGTGCAACATCTATTTTGCAGAGGATTGTAACTTTAATCAATCATGTGATTTCATGCGAGTGGATCAAGGCACAAGAACTAAAGTATTTGGTATCTTCATTCTATAACATTGGTGCTTCATTATACAATGCTGGCCAAGTTGAGAAGGTAACTGAATATACTTCTTTTTATTCTGTCTAATCTTAAGTTTTGATATGTTCTAAAATTCTTATTTTCAATTTTCTAGACACAGTTTTCATTACCCATGAATTTTCATTTAGATCGTGTTCCTGGATGTGAATCCAGTTATTGATCTTGGTATGTGCAGCAGTAAATGAGTATCGAGTTGGCTCATATTGTTTTTGTCTTGTCTCAATCGAGGATGATTTGACATTCAGGGTTTCTTTTTTTGCATTAGTCTACTGTAGATTCAATAACTAGTTGAAAAGCATCATAAGTTTATTTTAGCAAGCTGTGCACTCTAATAAAAGGCAGCCGTTTGAAAACATTTTTGGTCTGAATTAAAGTGGTTTGCCTATCGGCCACAGAAGATTTCATTGCGTTGTCATACGTTAAGCAAGGTTGGTAGCCCATGGGTGATCAGCCATAAGCAAGGTTGATAATTGTTTTTTGGGCATGGAGTCCAAGAGTGATAATTAGATCTGTACCTTCTGGTTCATATGGTTCCTTGTCTCTTCTTGTCTTCTCCGTTGACAGGTACTACTCTGTGGGTATAATGATCACAGACACTTGTTAATGCATCTGTATTAGACTGCTACCTGCGGTTAATGGATCTTGGGGTGTACAGGCATTAGGCGTTCACCAGTAAAAGCGGTTCTGGTTGACAACTAAGGGGGTATGGCAACAAAGTTTGGCTACATTGGTCATGGTAGATTGATGCAGAAGCAGGAAGTGATACAGAGATAAAATAATCAGTTGATGTAAAATAATCAGGTTTGCTGACACATTTCCTACCATGCTATGTAGTCATTCACCTGTCAGTCAATAAGTATAATTGGTGGGGTATGGAAGTAAAGAAATCAAAACAACTTAAACTGGAATTCGGACACTTAAACTGCGGTTTTGAAGTCGATTGAATGAACGCGCGGATGACTGGCATTTCCTAGTCGGATAATATGGTCAAAGAGTCTGTGATTCTGTCTAAACTTCCAAAGATTGTAAGTGCTATTGAGATAATTTCGGTAGTACGAATTATTTATGTGAATAGATGCCTGAAATTTAAGACCTAACTATGATAATCTGCTATCTCTATTATAAGTTCCATCATCTTTGTAACGTTATGTGGAATGTGAATCAAATGTAAACTGCACTTCGAACTGTTAGATTAAGCTAAGTTTTTTATCTGGATTTAGACTGTATCATGTTCTGATGTGAATTCATGGTTGTTTTCACCCAGATTGTGCTCACGTTTTCGCCAAAACTTTTGTCGCCATATGAATGATACACATGGCTTTATGTGAAATGTTCTTTTCAATGGGAAATTCTGTTTAGAGTTTACATCATGTCAGTTTAGTTTGCAGGTTTTGTGCAATTATTCAACGTCATTGAATTTGTTGCTCCTAATCAATCATAGATAGGGAGCAAGGGGTAAAATCTTAGCTACGTTACTGTATCTCCTGTTAATTTACTACAACTGAGTGGGTCATAGTGGCTATTTTGATGTTACTATCAGTCAGTACTTAAGGTATTCTGGTAAATAATTTTATCTTGGAATTGCTTTAGAGCATTTAGTCCTGTCTCTGAAGTGTATTTTTCTATTTAGTCCCTTGTCTTGATCTTATCATCTTTTTTTATCTCTGGTGCATTTTGCAAATCTATAATTGTGTATAGTTCTTCATTACTTTATATGCGACTTTCCTTGTTAGGCATCAATTGCTTTGCAGCTGTGCTGTACAGCATCGTGGGCTCATATCAAACTACTTTGCCAATTACTCCAAGAAGATGTAGTGATCATGGAGAGTGATAACTTATCCGAAAGCATGATGAAAGACGCCACTATGGATGCTTGTGCAAAGAGTGCTGTTGCACTTGATGTTATTCATCAATGTGGTGATGTAAATTTACGTAATATTGCAGTCGATTGTATATTGAGTTGGTCCACTGTAGAGGAGTCGTTGGGAACCTCCACTTGTCCTTTTGCCTTGGTGAAGCAATGGATTAAGGTGCGAATATAGAATACTTTCTACTGTTAGTTCATATTTTTGTGTTATTGTATTTGCCTAATACTTCTATGGCTCTAGATAGTCTGTAAAGACTACAAGGATGTTGATGCGGTGGATTCTGTTCCTGTTCTGTGCCTTTTGCTCTCAAGCAAGTGCGCAACATTGCCAAAGAGAATATTTGGCATTATTTTGGAGCAGGTATAGGTCTTACGCTCTATCTGGACGAGAGTACAACCGATTGCCTCCAGGAAACATTCTTGATAATGATGTTGTGGTGTTTATGCAGGAGCTGTTAGCATATGAAGAATTTAATGCCAAGTATCCTAATTTATGCCAGAGTATGCAACTAAGGTTGATGGATATGCTCCTTAAGGAAGTATACGTTGAAGATGAATATGTTTTGCACAGATCAAAAATTCTTGTTAAGAAGGGAAGAGCTCTTAGAACTTGTGGAGTTGATGGCTTAAACAGCTCATTGCAGTGCTTATCTGAAGCGATTTCCTTGCTTGTTAGTTCTATTCTTACATTCTTTTTATAAGCTTTCATTTTCTTTGTGGACCATCTATGCCTGCCTTTTGTTACCAGTGCCACTTTTTTTGATGCTGGACACTTTCTTGAACAGGAGGTAGCCTGCAGTGACGCTTCCAGAGGAAATTCCCTATTGTACTATCAGTTGGCCCTTACATATTTTTTGCTTGCACACTGTGCTCAGGAAGCTAATGAAAAAGTAGAGGTGGTTTTCTACTGCGCCCTATCCCAAGAACATGCATCATTTTGTGGAATGGCTTATTCCCTTCTTTTTCTTGTTTTTGGTGCAGGTTATCTTGAATGACATTAGCAGTGGATTAAGATGGTGGTCAAGCATTTCCAAGGACACTTACCTTGATTTAGAATATGAAAAAACAATTCAACTGTTGTGTAGTGTAGCAGATTTGTCAGCCTTGAAAGTATGCTTCTATTCAAGAGTAAATAGTTTGTATGACTGTATCTACTCGCTAAAAATATTTGAGCTTGCATTCGGCGAGAAGATGACAACCTAATGATCTCCATTTATGTCTTGTATTATTTCAGGGACACTTGCGTTTTCAGTTGGAAATGTGCAGATTGATTGCTCTACTTTGTAAGCGGAATAATGTACCTCTTGAAAGTTGTGTGGATATGCTCTGGAGTAACAGAAGACTAAGCCATGAATGTTGTTCCTCCCCACTTGATGAAATTTTCATTAGGAATATGTCTGAAGAGTTTGGTGTTTGTGCAAATTCAATAAGCTTCTGGATAAGTTGCATGAAAAGTTCACATTCGACATTAGTAGGCTTCCTTCAGGGTTTTTTTCTTTCTAATGCCATTTTAATGTCTGAAAATACCCTTTGTTCTCACATCACAGTTCAAGAAGTAAAAAGAACTGCCTCTTCGTTGATTTCAAGTGTAAGTACTTCGTAGATTTCTCTTGAACTTTATTTGATAATTTATGGGAGTGATCATCTCTTGATTTCAGCAATTTGGTTTGTGTAGGGCTCTGTGACCAGTCGTTCAGCATTTGCTGCTGGGTATCTCTTATTTGATTTGTCTGAAAGATTACTCCAGGAAGGTCACATTTCTGAGGTGATTTTCAATCATATATTAAGTTTCACTGTATCCAGTCAGGAATTATAATTTCTAAATTACGAGGAAGTCAAAATAACAACATACGTACCTAATGAGAGTGATTACCATCTAATCTTGAAGAGACTTTGAAAAAGGGACTATTAGTATCTGCTAATATAGAAAAATGAATTTTTTAACTTTTAATTTTCTTGACCAGGATAGCTGAAGTTCATCCAGCTTTGAAGCAACAGTCTTAACCTCCATAGTTCTATTGTATCTTATTATGGTGTATTCGATTTGATGTGCCTTTGTGATGACTGAAACTTGCTCCGTTTTTTCCCACTATTGTGCACTCAAAGCTGAAAGGATCTGCCACAATTGGTTATTTTCCGCTGGACACATCACAGTTACTTAAAAGTTTCCAACAATATGCTGAATGTTTATGTAAACACTGAAGAACTGAACATTGTCCATAATGTTACCAGTGGTTGGTAGTTTCCACTGAGCTCAAACTCGTATTTCTTATTTAGGAAGGCCGGTCAGTCAGAAATAATCTGTAAATGACTACAGCTAGCTCAAGCAATTGATCTTAGCTTTCAGGATAGTATTCTAGAGAGAATCTTAGTTTCATATTCTCACATTTAGGATAGTATTCTAGAGAGAATCCTGGGAAGAAATTATCTATTTCGATAGGTAGTCCTTACGCCCTATTTTCCATCAAAGCATTGACCTCCTCAATGTGAGTCAGCAAGTCGTAGACGAAAAATGCTATTGGCCTGACTTGGTTTTTAAAGCTCTAATATGTTCTTTCAAGGATCTATTTTAGATAATTCAGTTTACTATCATCTATCTTGAGGATTTTACAGACGAATCATAAGTTTTCGTTCTTTCACCTGGATTTTTTGAATATTTTCCAACTATGGTGCTGCCATTTGACAAGCAATACGCAAAAACGAACATAGGATATATTTCTTTTTCTGAAAGCCTACGAATTTATACTGGGGCTCTGTCAATCATGGATGGCATCACAGAAATACTTGAATCATTTCTTCGCATAAAACGTTTTGATGGAAATTGTTGGTGAAATATAACTGGAAGTGTTCCATCCCTGGATGTATTTGGTTGTACTGATTTTTCTTGATAAATGGAATTTGGTATATCATGCTCATAATGAACTGATAACAGTACAGACAAAATAAGGTATTGCTTTTATTATGTTGGTTTCTGTTATCCAGCAAACTAAGTTTTCGCTGTTAATGAAACTTGATTTCAATCCATTACATGTAAAATTGTTGGTTGATTAGAATTATACTTTTCTGTAGTTTTTCTGGGTGCCTTTCTTTACTACAATATCAAGATTTTTTCTTTTCTTGTCCGTCATATATTTTTGTCGTGAACAGTGGCATAAACCCTAGAAGGATATGTAGAGGAAAAACTCGACTGCTATTCACATCATAGATGATTATCATATCTAAGTACCATGACCACAAAACAAAGAAACTACCTAAGAACTAAGAAAAGATCCGACTGAAACCAAACTCCTAATTATATATTCTTTCCCACAGCTTACTATGGCAATTAGACACGCCTTCCTGGGCTTTTATGCTAACTTTTCTCGTTTTGGGTTTTCTAGGCTCTTTCACATGCACGAGAGGCTCTTAGGTTACGTAAAAGGATATTGCAAAGGAGATTTATTTCAGTAAGGCAGCAGCCAGGGAAAGTGGAGACAATTTGGAATAATGAACTTCTCTTCACTGAGGCAATTGGGTCGATAGTTACTGAAGATTGGCCAAACTTTACCAAACCACTAAGCTCAGAGGACTGTACAATTAGTCCATGGAGTGTATTAAAGTGCTACCTTCAAAGCATTCTGCAGGTTAACCTCTTTATTTTTGTCTGTACGTAGAATATCAAGAGTGGTGAGTCCATCTTTCATGTGGTATTTATTTGATATATCATTTCTGGTCTGCTTTAGGTGGGAATCATTTATGAGTCTATTGGAAATGGGGCTGAGGCTGAAATCCTTTTCCGTTTGGGAAAAACTATCTCTTGCTCGCTTGGTTTCCCAATCTTTGGCATTGCGTTTTCATCACATATAGGTATTCTTTAAATTTTTCATCCTTTTATTTTTTTTTCTTTTGCTGTTTTTTCTGCTTGATTTGAGTAAGAAGAGAAACATGAAAAAGTTTCGAATGTGAAGATAACATAACTGTTTATTTTCTTGGTCTTTAGGGCAAGTTTATCGTAAGAAGCAGCTTTTGGATTTGACAGAGAATGAACTTGGCATAGCAAGAAGGATTTTAGTGGAGAACGCCGCTAATATTTCATGTAAACGTTGTGAAGTTGTTTTGGAAGGTTTAATTGATCTACAACTAGGAGATTTATACAGAAGCAAATTTGAGAGCACTTCCGGAATAAAGTGTATAGAGAGTTTAACGAATGCTCTTAGTCAGTATAAATCAGCTCTTGAAAAGCTAAATCTTGTAGGGCAGAGTTCTTTTGGCAGCTGTGTGGGAACAAACACTACTGGTTCATTATTTGGAAAAGGTTTTATCAGTAAAGTAACTCATGAAGCAGGTCTCACTGATAAAGTTTTATTACCAAAGAGAGAAAAGAGTTCAACTATGCATAATGAGTGTGATCCAGAACCTTGTTATATTGATGACTCTGATAGACAGAATGTGACTGATGACAAGATATTTTCTGTATCCACCGTAAATGCTGATAATTATCTTATGGATGTTGGAGGGAAGAGGGAACCAAAGTTTGTGCCAAGACGTTCATCAAGGAAAAAGGTTTCAGATGGGGACTCAAATTTGAGTACTTGCAATATTCGGACGCATTGCAAGAAACGAAATGTTGGAAGTGGAAAATATCAAAATATTCCTAAACATGCAAGTTGTACTCGTGAGCCTACTTGTCCTGGTAGCTGTCAAAAGGATTTTGGTTGCTTGGAACATAATGAAAAGCTTCAGTCACTGAATGGACGTAGTGAAGCCTCTTTAAACAGTAATAAAAATTGCTGGGGATCCTTTCTTGTGAATGTGATGAAAACTGATTTCATGAACGATATAATGTTCGTTAAATGGGAGTGTCATCGGAGACTGCTTTCATTGAGATTACTCTCCAAAATCGGTACCTTAGGTCCATTCTTTTTAGTTTTACGATTTAAGATGATGCTCGTGTATACTTTTTTCTGAGAATTTTCTTTCGTTTAATTTTTTTTCTTGAACAGGAAAATGTATGAAAGTTCACAGCAGGAGTCATGAAGTGCATGAAATTTTTTGGCAGAGTATGTCCTTGCTCTTTGACAGTGGTCCCCTTAGTCAAAGTGGAGCATGTGATGTTCGCTTTCTTGAGGTTGTTGGAATGGAGAATTTGCATGACATTTTCCCCATTCAGCGTGCTGTACTACTTTATGACATGAGTCTGTTTTGTGTAAAGGATTGTTTCTCTGAAGGATCCAGGTGACGTTTAGTTATATAAAACATTTATCATCAAATGCCCCATAACTTAATTTTTTATCATCTCTTTGGACTGATCTTTTTTAATTTTTTTGCATTTTCCCTGTGTTTCTTTCAGAAGAAAATGTTGCTCTCTGTCTAAGCCTCAAATATCAAGTGTACTATCTTGGCTGTTTACGGCATTTATACTCGCACAAGAACTCCCTTTACTTTTTCAAAAGGTTGCAGGTCCCTCTGATCCCTCTCTGTATGAAATTTGTTCTCTTATTTTCTTCAACGTTATTGTGATTTGAGGCTATTGTCCGCCATCAATGCATATTCATTGAGTCTTAGCATTTCTTTTTTTTCGAATTTACTTTTTGGCCCCAGAACTGAGCCCAGTTCATCTTCTTTTTGTCATGGTGTAGATTTGCAGGTTAATTGCTGCCATAATTTCTCTGTCAATGTCCACAGGACATTTTTCTTTGCCATTTTCCTTTGAGTCGCTTACAGAAAGCCATTTGGCTGCTTTCTTTCACCAAGCCTCCGTCGGTACTAATCTCCAACATATGTGCGTTTCTAATATGAAAGGCGTGGACATCAGGAATCAGGTAAAAGGATCTATCTGTTTTCTCGTCTAACATTGTCAGAAAATTAGTCTGATATTAGCACAATGTTTGCAAAGTCGTGTGAATTTTTTTTGCAGAACACACTTGCAGACGGCATGCATTGATACTTAATTTTTCGTTTTCGTGCTTTATTGACTCGAATGACACTACTCCAAAGACAACTAACTTGGTCTTTATAAGAATTTGTATGCCATGTCACACAATGATATATCTTTGATAGATACTTGCCTGTCCACAAGATGCAATAAGTCAATAGGACAGGTTCTGTGAAGCCAGGAATTCTGTAACGTGTTTTTTTTTTCTTTCCTACCAGAATTTCAAAAATGGTGGACTAACTGATAAGATCGTGTCATCAGCACACGTCAGGTTCAATATTTTTTTTAAAGCATATGAAGGGAAGGCTTTAATAGTAGTAATTATTGATTTTGAGACCCTTCGTGCTTTTTTTGCAGAGTTGCTCTTGAAAGGCTTTCTGATCTGGAGAAATTTGTGAACACTTTCTTCAACAGCCTGCCTAGTTTTACTGTGGTCTGCATCAGTTTGCTTGGAGGAGATTATGTCAACCTTCTTGGTGAAACTTTGTTGCTTCCATCTTTCTTTCCTGCTTGGATGCTACTATCACGGTTAGATCCGAAAGGGCTGCCGATTGTGATGCTGTTGCCTGTCGATTTTGTCCCTGAAGGTATTTTTGGCTGTTCTAGAGACAACACTTAGAGTTGAAATTCTTTCTTTGAAGTAATGTGTGAATGAACCTCGGTGATCTTCTTATCAGAAATTCATGATGATGCAAGTGGTACTCGAATTACATCCACACATAAAGAGCCTACCGCAAAATGGGAATGTCCTTGGGGCCACACGTTAGTGGATCATGTTGTGCCGCAATATAAATTGATATTGGAGGAGAACTACATATCCCTGTCGCAAACGACATGTGATGCTATGGATACACAAAGGAATAGGTTCATGTGGTGGTCAGAGAGATCCAGGCTGAACAGTCATTTAAGCATATTCTTGAGGTAGTTTTATTTCTTGTAGCATTTAAATATTTTCTCAGTCTTGCATGATATAGAACCCATAAAACCGTCATGTATTTTTGGATTCGTGGCTGTTTTGCAATTGAAATGCCTGGTTTGCTAGTTTGGCCATTTCCTTGTGCCCCCCCCCCCCCCCCCCTAGTGATTTTGCCAAGTGCCAATGACCCATAAATGGATGAATTTCTCGAGCACAGTGTTTTATTCCCTTCAAACATAATTACTTGATTAGTATCGGCGTGATAGTGAGAGAAACTAGAGAATTATTTATTGACCAAAGAGATAGAACATAGCTATCTAGTGCCATGTAGACCATATGGATCATTGGCACAAAGAAAAAAAATCAAAGAATTTACGTGAGACGAATTCCTTTTTCTGCAGTTTTCGTACTTAACTAGTGTATGCCGTTTAAAATTTTCTGTTTTTTTGATCCATGTGATAGGAGAATGGAAGACTCGTGGCTGGGTTCTTGGAGATGCCTGCTTTTGGGTGAACGTGCTGATGTCAAAAACCTGGATGCAGTGCTCTCGAAGTTGAGTCGCTGTCTGAAATCTGAATGCAAATTAGATGCAAACATGAGCGTCCTGCAGGCTATTGTTGGGGGATCTCAGTCTGTATGTGATATAGAAACATGCATATCTCAAATGGTCCTATACAAGGGCTACTTAGGCAGGGGAAGATGCTGTGGAGCAGAAAGCTTTAGGGTTTTTTCTTCTGCAGTAGATGGAGGAGCCGAAATTATGTCAGAATCAACTCGTGGATTAATACTCGAAGCTGTTAGTTCTACTGTACAGGAACCTGTTGACAGAGAACCTATTGTTCTAGTCCTAGACTCTGATCTGCAGGTAGATATCCTGGTATTGTTACTTGATGCTATAATATCCTTTTCATTGTAGATTTTTTTTATAATTCGATGCTTATTTTTGACGTCATTATATTGGTTGAATATGAATTCTGAGGTCGTTTTCTTGAGCCAGAAGCTGGAGACTATTTACGCCAAATTATGAATTCTTTCCTGGATCTTTAATGTTCTTTAGAGTGCCAGATTAGACAGCATGAATTCATAACTTGTTAGGAATTATCCTAGGCTTAGACAAGAATGAGAATATTGATGAATTTTCGTTATAATAGTATGTAGGGTTACAAATTGATCCCTTTCCAACATTCTTGTGTCCCTGTGAGGTCACTGTCCGTGATGCGTAATATGGGATTAATGATTATTCGTATATATCTGTTCTCAGAAAGACAACTCTATTTTGTGATTTTTAAAAAATATGAATTGCTTATACTTCTCCCTTGCATTATTTCTCTTTGAATGCAGATGCTGCCTTGGGAGAATTTACCAATATTACGAAAGGAAGAGGTTTATCGCATGCCTTCTATGAGTAGCATTTCTGTAACACTTGCCAGAAATTTCCAAAATGAAGAATCCGAGAGATTAGGTGCTTCCATTCCCTCAGTTGACCCGTTGGATGCATACTACTTATTGAATCCCAGTGGAGATCTCAGTAGTACACAAATGGAGTTCGAGGAGTGGTTTAGAAATCAAAAGTGGCAGGTAAATCTTGGCTTGTCATGGTTATCTATGAATTTCACTCGTTAGGAACGATGTGCAAATCTCGCTCACGCTTGGTGATTTTGTTTGTTTCTTTTTGCGTAGATCTTCGAAGGAACATAAAATGGCAATTTTTATCTAATGACTATAAAATGTATTTTCCTTTTTCTCTATGTTCGTAATCGGTGCAGATCAGAGAATAAGCTAGCAAATGCCTGTGTTTATCAGCTTTTATTAGGTTGGGGCACATTAGATAATTTCAACATGGAAGCCCAGAAAAATGTCAACTGTTTTAACGTATGCAATCTGCCTACCAATTTCCTTCCCCTGCGTAAATCAGCTGATCAGAAGACTGTTTCAGTTGGATAGAGTGGCTAATTCTGAGAATATAACTAGCTCTGAAACCATCTTCAAAAATTGTCAGGCGATAAATGATACAATTTGCTAGTTCATTACGAGTAAAGATACAAGTTCATCAGATGATACAATTTGATGTGTTGCTTTGAAGGGCCACAATGATTTGCAGGGTTATATGCCTGTCTTACTAAGTGTCGTGAAGCTAAACATTTGTTCCATGTGATGAAAATTCAAGCACGTTTTGTTCGAATAAAATTACTGTTCATCAAGGAAAGATCGAAGTTACTATCTTTTTTCGGTTGATATCGCTTATGACTTTATTGCCCTGTGTCAATTGAGTCATGTAATCCTTTAATATATTTCGGAATTTGGACAAAAAATCTCTTCATAAATTATCGAGTTTGGGGGAGCAAACCTTCTGGGTGATCTTGCTTCCCATACTTTGAATTGTGTTCTTTACAAAGTGTTCATAAGATTCAATCCGTCTGCCAGGATTCATTTAAAACAGCTAGAGATGCTTTTACGGCCTGTAGTTCATAGCTCACTTTCCGAGAAAACAAAACCACTTACCCTTATGCATCATCTCATTTTTCATGTATTTTGGAGAATTCAAATGTTAGTTCAAGCTACTCCCACCTCTTTTAATGATTTCAAAAGAAAGGGGAGGATGATGACGCAGATTTATTTGTAACAATCTCGTCATGCATGTATATAGAAAAAAATCTCGTCAATTACTATATCTATGAGTTTCATTGCTGTATATAGAAACAATGAATTCGATCGTCATGCATGTCTACTGATCTTTCTAAAACCATCTCATGTGAATCTGACGAGTAGGGAAAAGCTGGAAAGGTGCCCACATCTGAAGAACTCATTGAGGCCTTGCAGAACCATGATCTTTTTCTTTATTTTGGCCATGGAAGTGGTATGTTCTACGCTTATCTCTTCCCGTAGTTTTCTAGACACATGTTTTCAAATATGTGTAACAAAATTCGCTTCCTTTTTTCTTCTGTGGGCGTGGTTGTGTTGCTTCAGGAACACAATATATACCAGGGAACGCAATCCAGAAGGTTGATCACTGCGCTGCTACACTCCTCATGGGCTGCAGCAGCGGATCTCTCTTTCTCCGGGGGTGTTATGCTCCACATGGCGCCCCTCTTTCCTACCTATTGGCTGGCTCACCTGCTGTCATTGCCAATCTCTGGGAGGTCTCAGACAAGGACATTGATAGATTTGGCAAGGCGATGCTGAATTCATGGCTGCAGGAGTCAACTACTGCTGATCATACTCAGTCTAACAACAGAACTCTGCAAGATAGTGGGCATCTCCACGCAGAGGGTGGAAGCACTAAGCCTCTTAAAACTCGGAGAAAATCTTCCAAAGATCAGAGAGGTCAGACGTCCAAGCAAGATATCTGCGGAGATCTTTCCAAGAATAATAGGATCGCATCGTTTATGAGCCAAGCTCGGGATGCCTGCAAGTTGCCGCAGCTGATTGGGGCATCCCCAGTATGCTACGGCGTTCCCACACTAATAAGGAGGAATCAGAAGCGCTAGGCCTTGAAGCATATCACAACCATGTTCTTCTTGACCAACATGTGCTACAAACTCTTCCATTCTGCCTCAGGAGAGGGAAAGGAAAGGGGGAGGGAGGGCGGAGGAGGAGAGGGGAGAGACATCTAATGGCGATTTCTATGATTCACCAAGCTGTTTTACAGATAGTTTAATTCAGTCTGTGTATAGTTGGTTTTGGTTGTCAGCCGAAGGGCCTGATCGGCAGCCTGAAAGTCCTAACAGTGTTGTACATGGTTTGACGACTTGACAAGATGTAATTGCAGCACTGAACGAATCCTTGTGCGCCGGGGAAATCGATCTTCAGGTGAATTATTACCCTACCTTCAATGATTTACTGCATCAAAGTCCTCTCATCTCAACTTCCCTTACTGAATTTCCTGAAACAACATACTTGCCTTCAATCAGCTTAGAAAAACCATCCTACTCCCTGAATTGTGTTGTGTTCTGAGAGGATATCAGTCAACATGAGGGCTCCATACTTACATTATCTATTGAAAGTTTCTTGAATTTGGGTTTCTACCTCTGGGCAATTTATGTGTTGGATTGTCAATTGGATAGCGTGGATTAATTATAATTATAATGGCGTTGTGAATTAAATATGTAAAAAATTGAAGGATGAACATTAGAGTAATATCCTCAGTAGGGAATGGGGTTTGGATTCAGAACAGGATCACAGTCTGGGTGTAAGTTCAGTTGGGCGTTTCAGATTGGTTTATCTCGGATTCAGTGTGATGACGGATTATAGCTTGATCAGTTAACTAATAATTAACTCGGTTAAAAATAATGACAGAAACAAGAGCGTAATCAAACTGAAAAAGTTACCTATTTCTCATGGCTGAGGTCACCTAGCTGCTCCTAAACTAGTTCTCGAATGCTGATTACTGGTGGTGCCTTTGCTGTTCGGCTCGCTTTGCAGATCATAATCAGGTATGTGACCACAATCAGCTAGGATAGTTTTGTAACGCCAGCCATTACCTTGCAGTTTCCTCAAGGTGCTCGCAGTTGAATACGAAGGCATACTCTCTTGCATTCTCGCGAGGACTCTCACGGCGCCCCATCTCTCTCTCTCTCTCTCTCTCTCTCTCTTGCCTGAATATGCGTCATAAGATTCGAACCCGGAATTATTTTGTTGGGATCTGATCTGGGTTCGGGTTCGATTTTGATTCTGAGACACCCAGGATTTTGGTCGTTCCTGTTCATCCGACTGCCATATATTTATTTGCAACGGGTCGTTCCTGTTCAGCTTCCTTATAGAGATATATATATCTTATATAATGTCGTAGAAGATAAATAAATAAAATGAATCAATGAATCAATAAATAACGCGTAGACCAGGGGAATGCAATTATCCTCACAGAAGAAATTACGATTGTATTTATATATCACTTATAAAACCGTGCTGGGAATTCAATTCTTAGCATCGTTCGGGAAAATATACGCTCCATCCTGCCCAAGAGCGCACCCGGCTGCGGACTCGGATCTGATCACAGGGATATCTTCCTAACGAAGAACATACTCCATCCGACGGGAGACAGAGAGAGAGAGGAGGCTATGGATATCGGTACCTCGCCAGCTCTCCTCGGCCATGGAGGGCGAGCCGGGGGCACACACGCCGAAGAAACAAGAAACAGAGGCGACTCTACAAAGAGGATTTGCAGATGAAAGGAAATACAGGATAGATAGAGATAGATACACAAGCTGTGTGTGTGCTACCTATGAGGTGAAATCAAATCGATAAATGAGAGCTTGCAAGACAGACATCTCGGAATCGGTATTCTGGGTTAGTACGTTGCGGCGATCCATCCATCCATCTCTTCTTCTTCTCCTTCCCCCCTACGCTACCTGTGCCATATGGTTCGGCTCATGCGTCCATGTCGACCGCCAGCCCTGCATGGCTCCGGCTCCGCCGGCGGCGGCGCCTCCTCCTCTCAATCCTTCCCACCGCCCTTCCATGTCTGCCAGACAGGAGCCCTTCTTCTTCTTCTTCTTCTTCTTCTTCTTCTTCTTCTTCTTCTTCTTCTTCATCCTCCTCATCGCCCTCCGACGCTCCACCGCCACCAGCGGAGGCAGCTGCACCATTGGGATCACCGGGGAGGAGAGGGAAGCGATTTCCGATCTCCCTCTCCAGCGCCCGAGAGCCCCTCTCGACCCTCCTCAGCCGCGAGGCGAGGCTCGCGTTGGAGTTCTCAAAGGCCCGGAAGAGGCTCAGCACGTAGAGAATGCTGGGGTCGAAGCCTCTGCCGCCGCCGCCGCCGCCACCACCACCGTCGGCCCTGTCGGCACCGTCCCCTTCGTCGTCACTGGCGGTGCCGCTGCCGTGGCCGCCCTCGATCACGTAGTCGCCCCACACCACCGCCCCGGGGGTGGAGGACCTGATGACGCTGATCACGTCCTCGTGCTCCCTCTCGCGCTCAAGCCGCCTCCACCTCTGCTCAAGCACCGGGTCGACCTCGCGGGGCTTAGCGGAAGGGTGGGCCGCCTTCATGTGCTTCTGGAGCTCCCTGTAATTCCCCAGGAAGGTGCAATTGTCCTGCATGCAGCTCCTCTTCTTCGCGTTGAGGTACGCCCTGGCCGGCTCCACCACGGTCCACCCTTTCACCTGGCCTCGGCACAGCGGGCACGACAGCTCTACTGCCTCGGGCTTCTCCGACAGCGGCGGCCACGAGGCAGCCAGAGTGTGGCCGTGGTTGTGGTGGCTGTGGGCTTCGTGGGGGGGGAACACTTTGGTGTAGGCCTTCTTGTACTGGTCCAGGCAGTTGGAGTAGAGGAAGCTGGTGCCACACATGTAGGGACGGCAGCCCTTGTCGTGGGAGGAGCAGAGGAGGAGCACCGCGTTGTGGGGGAACTCCATGCACACCGAGCAGGTGGCATCCTCCCAGTCCTCCTCTAGAGCCTTGGACGGCTTCTTCGGGTGGCCTTCCTTCTCCAGAAACCCTCGACCATAAGGTGGGAGACGGTAGGGAGCTGGCCGGAACTGGCGAGATGAGAGTCTGCGGGGAGCCCTGGCACTTCTTGCCATTTTCAGCAAAGTCTGTAAGAAATAGCCGTGGCATGAAATGTTAGCAACTCAACAAGAACATGATGTCTACGAGATAAATGGGCAAGAAACCAATGTTAGTGAATTCCCCCCCCCTCCCAAATGTCATCATCATCATCATGCCCTTTTCAGTCGGATTAATGCAAACAACTGCCAGGTGGCCAATGCAACAGGGAGAAATCCAAGTCATATGTTGGACACAAGCTAGAATTAGGATTTTGGCTAATTTAAGTAAGGGAACGAGGTTTCCCTCACAGTTCCTTCGTAACGTTGTGGAGCTCATCCATTTAGTCCATACAAGTGAAATACGAAATTCTCATAAAAGGAGCAGACAGGTAAAATGGAACGATAGTCAGGAAAAGACGTCAATAAAGTTCTTCATGAAAGAGATTGGCTATCAGTAAGGATATCACCACCAAAGACAGCTTGTTAAAGAAGAACAACAACTCAACAATGACATGGTAAACAGATGTGAATGACCTAGCACGAGTGGTAAGATCGTCCATCATCGTACTCATTAGCAGTGGTCATTCCATTCAAGCATCTACTGCGTACAATGGCATTGTGAGGGCGTAACAAGTGAATAGCCCAGTGAAACAATCTCAAGGCTTCAGTTGATCCATGTGAGATTTTGGGGCAGCAACCCATAAATCGTCAGAGTCCTCACGATTTCGTAGCCGTGGACGAAATATCAGGGAGGATGAGGCGTGGGTGACCACTCCAATAGACTCGTTCTTGTGCCAACTCCAAGAAACATAGACCGATCTGAGCACTACGTCCACAGGGTCAAGACCAAACTCTCAAAGACAAGGTCAGATGGGCATGTGAAATACATCCACTTGTGGGGTCTTTCTATTGAGTAATCGAAAATTACAGTGTTTTGAGCAAGATGCCACCATCATAAAATTCTCTTACGCCCACTAATATCTCTCGCTTGAAAACTCAAAGAAACGGCTGTCTTTAGGCGCCTTTTTTGATATATTCATTCCCAATGTTCCAAAGTAAATCTTAGAGACTCATAGAATTCAGGGCAGAAGCCAATGATCTAGAAATATAAGAGCGATATGAACAGGATGTCGAAACACCGTTTAATCTCTACATCATGCAGAAGTCCTCAACTCACTCCACTGCACACCACTGTATTGATGGCCCTGACTACGCTAGTTATACATATCTACTGAAATATATGAAGAGCGCAGTAATAACTTAAAGGTCAGATTGCCTGGGCTAAATACCCAGTGACAAGTAACAGCAACAACTCACATTATCTAAAATATTACAAATTCAAAGTCACTAATCGAAACATGGTGAGGACATATTTTGGCCTTTTGTGCATCCCTTGAAAAAGTATTCAAAAGAAATATGAATTGCACAACCTCATTGCCTATTTAACTAGTTTAACCCCGGGACTCTTCATCAAAACTACTTTGTACACACTAAATGACATCACGAATTGTGCGAACCTAATGCCGGATGACAAATGACTATATATTCAGAGGCGAAGTGTCAGCGCATAGTCCTGCTTCAGGCCAAAATGGAGAGTAACATCGAGTTGAACACGTACCTACATACGATTTATCTACTCGATCTCTCTTTGAAACGAAGATTAGGAGGTATCATCTTCAGGATAACTGTCCTTGATTAAAGAAAAAAATGATACACACGAGCGCACATCAAAATAAAGAATCATGATGTTTAAGCATTCGAAAAACGTGATTAAACTCAAAAGATGTTCAAAGTCGGATTTCAAGAACTCTAATTCACCTTCGAGGAAAACAACCACAGGATCACAAAATGAGAGAAATAGAAAAAGTCAACGGTACCCTATATTTTCATTCCCTTTCTTCAGCTTACCATCCGGAATGACGTGAAAATTTCGAGGTAAAATATACACTCAGATACCACAGCAGGAATGCGCGGTTGCATAAAGCTCCCACTACTTAAAACACCGGCCTATGTGAGGTCTCTCGATAATGTATAGCAAGCACATCACGTTCCAATTATGAGCGAATAAAGCAACACCCATGGATAGAGGAAAAACAAATACAAGGACAGAGCCACGCCGTAACCACGAGGCGTTACCAATGTCTGGAACGAAGCATATCAGGGTAAGATCCCCAACAAAGTCCTCTCTACATTGTACGGAAGAGAGAAAGAACTTCGTCACTTTTATCGGGAGTTCACAATGGATTGGAAGAGAGAAACTCACATGAATCGTAAAATTTGAATTACCCACCATGTTTCACCTTCCACATCAAAATTATCCAGAGAATACAACAACCAGCTAGCTACCACAATAATTTAAAAGAAGCAGTCACATGACCTGACAAACTCCCTCAGTTTCAAGCATTATGGAACGTGTCGGTGTCTTCGAGAGATAAACACAGCAGAAAAACCAAATGCAAAAGAGAATTCGCAATGAGCAAGAGATAGGGCGAGGGTGAAGGCACGGAAATTCACGTTGAAATTCGAATCCAAACCTGCAGAACAGGTTTCCGTTCACCTTCCGCTTTTCCCGCGACAATTTTATCCAGTAACCCTAGAGGCCCTCCCGATCAGGAGAAAAAAAAAATGACGATCAAATGCCACAGAATGGCGAGCGCATCGACGCACCTGCACGATCTGACGTGAGATGAGTACCGACGGCCCTCCGCCTCCCCTACGGTGATCCGTCCTCCTCCGGCAGCGCAGGACGATGAGGGAGAAGCCACGCTAGGAGGCGCCGCCGACGATGATCTCGAACTCTGGCTGTCGAACGGGGGCAGCGACGGCACAGCTCTCCCTCCTCCACTGACCAGCGCTCCTAGGGCCACCGGCGGGGACGATGCCCGCCTGCACGAGAAATGGGGGAAAAAAAGGAAAAAGCGGAGGGAGGAGGGCTAAAGATGAGGGCCCAACTACCAATTTAAGCAGAAATGGAGGGGATCAGGTTCGTCTGTGGGTCGTGGGCACCTCACGTGACGAGAGAGAGAGAGAGAGAGAGAGAGAGTCCTACCATACGCCATGTTCACGAGATCGTGAGAGAGCCGATGTAAGTGTGTTATGGTGGCCCCCACCGCGCAGGGCCATGTGACCCGCACCAAAGGCCATCTGGCAGAAAATATTTTTTTTATTAATACTTTTAACGTCAAATAAATTAAACTACTGTGAGTGAGGCTGTGAGCTCAACCTTTTACAATATTTTTAAGTAAATACAGAATTATTAAAATAAAAGGGTGGAAAATATGTATGCACAAATATTATAGCATTTCATTGACGAATATATATGGACGATTTTTTTTGAAAATTGCATATATGCATAATTAAAATGCTATTTATGAAAAATTAAATGATTTCTGGTTGGATTCTCAGAATTAAATAAGTTTAGAACAAACGTGGCGTTGAATCTGGTTCACCGGAAGGAAGGGTAGCTGACGTCGGCCCTCCCCAGCCATCCGCGCTGTCGCGCACGTGTGGGGTGGATCTGGGTAGTATAGCAAATAATTGAGGGTATTATCGTACATGCGCTTGACTATTGAGTTTTGGTCGCTTCAATAAAGTAATTATAAGAGAAGGGAAGAGTGACGGAAGAAAATTGTTGATAACAGGTGCATATCGTTGGCCACGGATTTCGTGCGTACCGGAAAAATCAAAGACAACTGCGCCAGGTACGTGGCGATGCAGATCTACGGAACGTATCCTTGTGAGAGAGCCATTCATAAGCGTCAGATATGGTCCTTTTTGTGCGGCCCTGACTTAATGTCTTCCTCTCTCTTCCATGTGCTGTGTCAGGTGAAAATTGATACGGACGGATATTTGGGAATATCCGGTCTTAAGATGATGCTTCGTTCCGGTTTGGAGTGTTCTGTCCCCTTAGGGACGGACGCGACGGAAACTTCTACTGCCTCGCCATGATGTTCTAAGCTATCGTGCTCTATTGGTCAACGGACGTTAACGTCCTGGACTTCGTTTATAATTAATTTAATAAAATATCTGCATAACTAAAAAATGATTTTCTGGGTGAACGACCTCCCTCTCTCCGCCTCTGTCTCTGTCTCTGTCTGTCTCTCTTTCTCCCGCTCTCTCTCTAGAACGCTCTGAAGTCGTGTACGGAGTCCGGCTCTCTGCCAGAAAGCCGCCGTTGACTCACCGCCACTTTCTCCTCGGTCTCCGCCAGGCGGTCAGGTGGCGTTTCGAACTTTTTTACGCAGCGCCCCCATCTTCTCCTCACGCTTGGAAATTTGCCTTCTGCAAGGAGTAGTGCGCTTTCCTTCCTTCGAGGTTTCATGTAAAAATACCCTCAATTATTTATTATTCTCTTAAATTTAAATATAAAAATATTATTTATGTTTATACGTTTTTTGGTACGGAGGGGTGCGGCGTAAACGGACGGGCCTGGCCCTATGATTTTTTAAATACTGGGCCAGGCTCGATCATCCCACCCAGCCGGTAGCAACTAACACGGGGGCGCGCTGGGCCGGGCCCAGCCCGTCGAAGACTCGGGCTCACGCGGGCTCATTAGTAGAGAGAGAGCGTCCGTGAGTGTATCTCAACAATAAACATAAATTGAGGTCTCATCTAGAAAGTATATTTCCACGGGCAATTATCGATGGTTGCACGTCGGACTTGGTGTGGGTCCCACGCCTGCGGAGGAAGCCCAGCGGAAACGGGGGTAAGAAAATTGCGAAGCCGAGGTAGGCTTTTTTTTGCTTGCCGGGCGGATTCCGTGTTCTTCAGTGCTGGGGAAGAAGCAAGGTGGAGAAGGGGAACGACGGCGGCGGCGGCGGCGATATCTGCGGCGGAGTCGAAGCTTGGGATCGAAAGCGGCGCCACCGTCTGATGTTGCAGGGCTGCTAGGTACTTGCTAGCTGTGAAACTTTCAGTCGCCGATTTTGAAGAATTCTTATGATCAGGGCTTTAGGGGGTCGCCGTCGGTACGGATTAGCCTTTGGTGGAGCTGATTCTTCCGGTCGTTCGTTGATCTTATGATGCAGGGCCGCTAGGTACTTGCTAGCTGTGAAACTTTCGGTCGCCGATTTCGTAGGATTCTTCGGATCGGGGCTTTAGGGGGTCCCCGTCGGTACGAATTAGCCTTTGGTGGAGCTGATTCTTCCGGTTGTTCGTTCATGTGGAGGCGTCCAAACCTCCACCGATCTTTTTCTTGTTCTTCTCGGCGATGAATCTGTTGGGGGTGTTCCAACAAAGGAGAAAGCAGAAGGGGGAGGGGGATGGGGGCGCCTCCTCAGTGGGACCGCACTATAGGTCGACGGAGTTGTTGGAAAATATGCCACAGGAGCAGCAGAGAAATCTGCGGAGATTGAGGCCGAAGCTAGGTCGAAGCAAAGCTATCAAGCATGCTGATTTCAGCACTGGGGAGGGGTGCTCGGACGAGACTGCTGTTAGAGGAATAGCTGTGGCCGGTTTTGAGGGACGCCGGACCCGCTCCACTGAAGTCCAGCCGACGGCAACGCTGGCGTCGCCAGTGTCTCATCTTTCCTACTCGAGCGAGACTAGTTTTCGCATCAGCGGGGAGGTAGATGGGCAGTTCGCCATGCTCTGCCACAGCCTCGGTGTCAGTAGCGCGGAGGACTTCGCCATCACCCCCGCCGATTGGTTGGCGGCTAGTAAGGCTTGCTCTTCCTCCATCGGAGATGATGACAACAATTGTCGTACCGACAACAGTGGAATCGATGCCAGCACTGCTGCCGTGGACAACAGTTTGAATCCTTCGTCAGCAGAGCATCGGGCTCCACCGGAGCATGGGACACTGGAGGCTGATGGTCGTGATGCAATTCCGGCTGTGTCCCGTTCTCGAAATGCAGTTACCGACATGCAAGAGTTTTGTAGTAAATATGGTCCTGTTGGACGGGGTGGGATTAAAGGCACGCGCCCTTCATCCCTTACACCACCTCCTCCTATGTCACTCCCGACCGTCAACAAGGTGAGCTCGACCTGGGACTTAGTCTGGTCGCTGGCTCCTGATGATGGCCGTGATGTCTGTGCCGTCATTTATCTCGCTGAGGAAAGTTCTTCGGAATCTGTGGAAGAGAAGGAAACAGAGGAAGAGAAGAATGGAGACTCCTTGGAAGTGAATGTACCTCACTTGGAAGATGATAAACAGGAGAGGGAGGGAGTGACATGCATGGACATCACATCCTCATGCTCATTTTGGACGTCCAATGATGAAGATTCATGCAGTACTACTACAGATGGTATCTCACCCAATATTAAATCGAAGCTTCACATTGGTCCTGGTTCCTGGACGAAGGGGAAGTTACTTGGGAATGGGTCATTTGGATCAGTGTATGAGGCCTTCACTGAGTAAGTGATCTTTCTTCTTTTTCTTTTCTCGTAAAATGATTATTTTGTGCACTCTAACTCCTCTGGTTTACCTGTCTGCTTTACATAAACTGCTTTAGCTTTACAATCCGTCAATATATCCGTGGTTTATGCTTGAATAGAAAAACCTTGGCTGATGATGTCGGTCACTTCTCCTCCTTTTCGTAACGTCCCTATTCATTCTCTATAAATTTCTTAGAGTTTAGTTGATGTGCTATTCCTCCCGTTAAAGTTTAATGTGGTTAAAACTGATCATTTTCTATGAAGGTAATCCTGTATTTGTCGACAGAGCGACTTTGAATCGCATCTGGATTATCACCGTGGTTGTTACTGGTTTGTGCGCCTGCATTTCATTCTAGATTGCAACAGAGACATGGGTCCAAGCTTCAATTATAAATTTATCTGTTAAATCATGATTTATGAAACCAATCATAAATTCAATCATGAAACTCGTAAATCTTAAGAATTCAGTTAGGTTCTTCACATACGAATTTGTTTGTATCTAAACTACTAAGTGCAAATTCCTTGGCCCAGACATATATTTTCATTAATGAGAGTGCGTCTCAAAGTGGCAAAATTTGGGTTCAGATCGAGCAACCTACCCTGTATCCTGACCCAGACGTCAATCAAGATCCAGATCATTACTAGTAGGAATTAGCAATAGTTACAACCCTACTCCCAAGAAAGAAAACGCTGGGTGATGGTTGGATAAGTTAGAGAAGCATATCCTATCTAAAATCAAACTCTGGAACTACGTTTCAATCATTTTACTTTTTTTTGGCAATAGTCACCCATCATTAACCTTTTATTTTTAGTGTAGTTTTTTTTCTGGATAGTGGATGAGAATCCCTCTCACGTTTGGTTTGATTGTGATATGATTAGTCTACTTTCTTATCTGGGATACCCACAGAATCATCTTTATTCCGCTTTTCAACCCTTAAACAACAGGGAAAATAAAGAATGTTGGGCTAGTAAGGAACCTGTATCCTGCAAGTTTTGATCTAGATCTGTTTAACTATGGTGACTAACCAACTGTCACATAAATCTGAGTTTAGTTTTGGAAATATACATTTGTATTAAAGATTGTGGAGTTCTATTGAACTGAATATGTGAAGCTATGCTAAACTGAGTAGGACTATGGGGTTTTGGTACTTTGATCTAATGGGGAATGACTTGATTCCAGCAAATCATCATTTGACTAATATATGACTCGGTCAAGATGGCTACCTACTTTTTCTTTCTTGTACATTTCAGATAGCATATTTTTCAATTTATGTATGACCACCATTTGTTGCAGTTTGCTGTACACTCCAGTCGTACGTGATGTCTAACTTGGACCTATGTATTCACTTGCTAACCAAAATGATGTTGCATCCCATACTTTTCCGGAAAAGAAACAGGGAAAGAAAATTGTGACTCTGCAACATAGCAGCATTATTTACTACTGGGAAATTTGCTCAATCACTGTTTTAGAAGGAAGATTTTAGCGAAATCTTGTTTTCAGATTTGTTGGCATCTGATGTCGCTTTCAGTTTTTCTCTTTGATGAAATATCTTGCATTTGTGAACAACTCGTGCCATTTTGTGTTATTCTTGATGTACATGTGAAGTGGACCGCTTCGCTACTTACATATTCTTCTAAGGTGCTCCTCAACTAAAGCGGCACTTTTTTGACTGAAGGGATGGTTTTTTCTTTGCTGTCAAAGAAGTTTCTTTGCTTGACGAAGGGCCCAATGCGCAGCAATGCATTCAGCAACTTGAAAAGGTGAGAGGAGGTTTTGTGTTTTTGATACGGCTTTGACTTTGTATTAGACGTTTTGCACCTAGCTTTAATCTGTTTCCTACTTTTATATCTTCCTGGTCCTCAGGATAGGATCGACTGTAGTAGTTTTTGCCTATGTTTTCCTTGTGACATTGTTAGTTTTCTATCCTTTTTGTCTTGGCAGGAAATTGAACTTCTGAGCCAATTCGAGCATGAGAATATTGTCCAATATCTAGGGACAGCCAAGGTATGTGCTGCAACTTCTGGGTTGTGTGAATCGTTTATTCTTGAATCTCTGCTGCATATGATACATGAGTATGAGAAAAAAAATTCTACGTCATTACTTTTATTAATTGCATCATCACCATTCATGAAATGTTGCTTGGGTATAAAGTTTCATACAGGAGGGAGGATGGGGGGATATTCTAGGAAGGAAAACAGATGGGACAATGAATCCCCTAAGGTTTGAGATGGGGAGCCATCACAGCCAGAGCTGAGAGCATCCATTTGGGAACGTTGATGGGTTGTATGAGCACAAGATGCCAACATCTCCTGATAAAATAAAGCAATGATGTACTAGATTTCTGATAAAAGGATACTTCCAAGGCACCTGTAGAAATATGGTGAGATTTCAGTTTTGCCAAGAGGTAGGTCACTTGAGTTGATCCTGTATCATCACTCAGCATGTGACCATCACACAGGTGTTGTGAAGAATTTTCTTCCTTATTTGAGAGGATAAGTTGACATTAGAAGAAATTTATATTTTCTTCTGGCCACCACTCAGCATGTGCCACTGGCCATTGCACCGTGCAATAACCCGTTTTTAGCTAGTTTCCCTCTGATAAATAGAGGACTGCTGTGTTGTATAGAACGCCGTTGGAGTTTTATTTCGTTTATTATTTGAATATCTACAATCATTCCCCTTTTTCTTTACACTGCAGTGAGGTTTTTCTTGGCTGGTTGATTTGGTTCTGGTCTAGGTTGGATTAATCAGCCGATTCAGCTGTTCATTTTCTCTGAGCAGTTCATGGTTTTGACTAGAAGCCATCCCACAAGCACTTTTGCATACGTAAATGTATGGATGCTCAGAGAACGTAGTACCTAGTCTTTCCAGGTGTGGTTACAATCTTTACCACCTAGTCTTTTCTTGGTTGAGAAGACAAAAAAAGAGGAAAGGAAAACGTACAAGGGGGAAATCATTATAAGGTTGGAGCGGAAGGGGCAGACAGAACAACAACTCAGTGAACCCATGTTGTGGCTTAAAGGAGAAGGAGAATCATTGACAGGCCATTGATGGCACGGGGCGATAGTTTACTTTACTTTAGATTATTCATGGACCAAGACCTCAAGGGAGGAGACAATATAGCTTTTTTTATCCCATTGCTAAGAACAGGATCAGATGTGACGTTTTTGCTCTGTGGGCTGTACGGTTTTCCTCTGATCTTTTCCTAGAATTTCGAACTGGATTAAAGATAACCTTCTGGAGCTTGGAACGGAGTTCTGTGAAGGGAAACCTTATTTGATGAGTGCGAAATAAGACTTGAATTTTAAAAAGTATTTTATATCCTAGAAAAGAGGAGCGAGGTTGTTTCATGTTTACGTTCATGTTCTTACTGAAAGATTATGGAAATCCACAATAGAAAGTGTGGTAAACTGCTTGATAACAAAAGGTTAGTGTTTTTATTGAAGAAAAATAAATCCAAGAGAAATGTAATATGATGAACGCTTGAAAATTTTCTATTGTGCATCAAATATTTCCATTTCTGAGCACTGCCCCAGTCCTGGCCTGGACTGTCATTTCTTCTTCATCCTACATCTTTTATTTCGTCCAGTACGGAAGGTGGCATACACCATGAGGATGCACTTCTCATTTGGGAGCATAATCATGATTTCAATATCGTGGCATCAAATAGAGACAAGTACATCAAAGGGTTTGGTGCACCTAATATAGGCTAACTCGTCATTTTGTGACCTATGTATGTATATCTTTTTCTTTTTCCTTTGCACACTGAACTGTTTTTTGGAAAGAGTTAGAAGACCCCTTTCTTGGAAGATAGACGATTTGGGACTGGATCCGTGGAAGAAAAGTTTCAGCTGCTAGGATGTCCGGGCGCTTCTATGCACTCATCAGAGAAAAATATTTGATTCTTGGGAAATTCAGAAGAAATCTTAGGATGAAGAGACCGTTCAGCTTAAAGTTCTACTCAGGTTTGCTGCAGAAAACCATTAGCTGTGGCATAGACAAACTTGTCAAAATGGAAATAGAGAAACAGATCTAGGTCTAGAGTTAAGCTGGTTTATTACATCTTAGTAGATGGACGTAAGATGCTTCCTATCTTTCGGTAGATCACTGTTGAAATTGAAGATTCTGATTCTTAGGATCTAAACTGAGACTTCCCTATGTGCAATGGATTAGCTCCCGCTGTGGGTGATGTATCTCTGTGTCGTCTGCATGAATTCTTTTCCTAGGAGGTCATTTTCACTTAAGTTTGACCGTAACAATCTCATAGAATAGGTCTTCAATGAGTTCTTTCAATTGAGGTGGAAGCTCTATGGGCATATTTAGTCAGAACTGAGGGCTCAAAAGCTGGTCGACTGCCTAGGTGGCTTATCCCGCATATGACTCTTTGGGCTATCTTGAAAGAGAGGAACCACGTGAGATGTGGAAAATGGAGCTGTTGGCGGACGGATGGTTACTTTCGTATGTTATATAGAATAAGGGCGGACTAGACCTTTTTCTGTGATGGGCCAAAATCGTGCTCTTCGTTCTTGAAAGGATGATATGATTTTAGTGTAGTCTTTTCCCACAGTTCCCTAGACTAAATAGGTTTTGTGCAAAGAATCTTTCAAGAGCATCCAAACACTGCACATGCAAATATTTTTCCTTTTAAAATCTGGCTAATACTTGACACTACCCTCTCTCAAAAAATAACTTTTTTTCCTGAATGATCAATGCTGTATCTTTCTCCTAAGATATTTGTGCCCTTGAAAAGGCCAGCCTATCCATCTTTCAGGCATCAAAATACGTTTAAGGGGTGAATGATTACCACAAGAGATCCCAGCATATCATACTGTTCACGTTCTTGAAAATCAGCACTCCTCCAAACCCAGAAGTCGAATGCCCCAGTTGAAAGGAACATATCATATGTTGCGTTTCCTGTTAATTCAATGCTTGACAACAGTAGTATTGTTAAGATCTGAAGTTTATGCATGCTGATTTGAAGCCCATCATTGTATTTTACCCAGTCCAGGTCCTGGTTTTCGAACTCAGCCAACTCCCGATATCAAGCAGCTTGTTTTATCGGGGCTTGGGGATCACTGGTCACCTCAATTAGATCAACAGACTTGAGTCTGGGTGGGCCTGTTAAGATCTTTCCACAAGTAGTTCAGGGTGGGCCAAAGAGGATGAAAGCTGACAAAAAGTAGAAAAAGAATCTTGTAGGCTGCATCTGCTCGTTACTGCCTGCTGTTCTTTTCTTAGAGCATGCATCTGCTGTCTTTACTTGCTTAATTATATGCTTTGGGGGAAGCGTTCTCAGAAATTTTACATTGTATCGTAAATATCTTTACATGTTTCATCTAATATTATGTGGGTCGTGTATAAAATTTCAGGAGGAAGCGACGTTGTACATTTTCCTAGAGTATGTTACTCTAGGTTCTCTATCATCTCTTTATCAAAAATATGAATTGCGCGATCCCCAAGTATCAGCATACACGAGACAGATTTTACATGGTTTGAGATATCTGCATTATCGAGATATTATTCACAGGTTAGACCACTCTTCACATTTTTATTAGCTTGCCACTTTGGCTTTAAATAGCTGTGCTGGGGCATGTTGACCATCACTTTTATAATTGACCAATGGCTGTGTAAGTGAGATTTTGATGTGCTGATGGCCGTTTGAACTATAGGAATTCCTAGATTGAATGTCGTGAATTGCTGTCAATATGCATTTCAAATTATCATTTTACCAATGATTAGTTTCAAACCTTGAAAACGTTGGTCAGCGACTAAAATATAAGGTACAAGCTATCTTTCCATAGACTAATATAAAGGAAAAAAGTAGACAGAAATGTAGGAGCACATGAGGTTGGCAGCAGTGGCACATATTTCGGCATCATCTTATATCAGTGATTGTGGTGCTGGTGACATCAACATAGTGGGGGGTGGTAGCAGCAAAGTGACAGTCACATCATGGTTTTTGTCACTGGACATGGAAGAATAGGAAGATATGGCTCAAGTCCCTATGGTGGCCCCAAACACTTTTCCTTTTGCCATGGTCACTCTTCTGAAAACGTACAGGATTGTGTACTCAGATTTTTTGTGATTGTGGTCTGGTTATATTTGTTGTGGATATCCTTTGTGCCTTCTTGTTTGAACCAGTATCATTGCTCAGATGTAATGAGAAGAAAAAAATAGCACAATCAATAATCAACATAATCCTTACAGTAGAGAGGGAATGAGCCTAATCATATGGGTAATCAAGATCACAGAGAAGATGTGATTACCTAAGGCAGAATACTTTGGTACTATCCACTTTAAAACGAATCCTTATAGCAGTATGACTTCAGAAAGAAGGTTGAGAGCATTCTCAATCTTTCATTTCGAAGATAGTGCTTTGCAAGCTTAAAACTATTTGATCATCCGCCCCTCCCCCGCCCCCCCCCCACCAATCGAAAAAGTAAAGAAAGAAAAGGGAAAAAAAAAACCTTTTTTTTTGGGGGGTGGGGGGGCAGAAAGGTGAGCTTCCAAGTGCAGTTATTAGGAACACAAGAAGAAATCTGTCAACTCCCCCCTCCTCTCCTTCCTCAAGAAAATCTGCTAATAATCATACAGTCATACCCACGTATGAAGCCTCCGTATACACTATTCATGGGCGCAAATGTTATGTTACACAATCCCTTATGATGAGTCACAGAAAACCTTGTTTGCACATGAGTGATGAAAGTGAACTTTTTTAAGATTAACTTTATTTCGACTTTCCACAAATCAAATGCTGTACTAGAGAATGAAAATGTTGTATGACTCTGATATTATACACTGCTTTTATTTCGTGGAAGTAATTTTTTTTTTCTTGTTCTGCAGAGATATAAAATGTGCAAACATACTTGTTGCTGCCAATGGATCGGTTAAACTTGCAGATTTTGGATTGGCGAAACAGGTTGGTTTCACCGTTACGTCATTTTCTGTGTTTTTTGAGACTGTTGATTTGGAAAACGGAGTAATCACATCATTTCATTGGTTTTCGCTTTGTATCAGACAACCCAATCCACCAATCTGAGGTCCAGCAAAGGAACTGTCTTCTGGATGGCTCCGGAGGTTAGCACTTTTTCATTTTTAATTCGTTCCTTACCTTCTGAAATATATAATCTGTGCCTGTTACTGTTTAATGTTCTTCGTGTCTACTGAAAGTTGATTCCCTTCCATCTTTCAATGAGGATGATCTTGATAACGTTTACATGATATCCTTTTGCCATGGAAATGGCCATAATCTTTGTCGATAATTTTTTTTTCTAATTTCTAATGAACATTATCATTAACACTGAGATGCAACGTATATCAGGAACTTTCCCTTTTTGTCTTGTCGTTGACTAATTTTGTCAATGGGATTTTAGGTGGCTAATCCTAAGGGAACCTATGGGCCTTCAGCTGATATATGGAGCCTTGGATGCACTGTGTTGGAAATGTTGACTCGGCATCATCCTTTCCCAGATCTTGATTGGGTAAAAAATACATTCGTTTGAGCTACCGATGCATTAGTTGACCTTCAATTTCCTGCTCATGCATTTTCCTTCCTGCTTTAAAGGACCGAGTTTGACTATTTAAGTTATACACCATCTTGACAAGTCAATTAGAACCGGGAACGTTTTACCTTACCCACTTACGTTTCCTGGGGGAAGGGAAATAAGAAATGGGCTGAATCCAGAACTGGGAGTGGAGTGTTTCTGGAAGAAAACATGTAAAGGCAATGAGTAGACTCAAGCCTTAGTAGCATAGTTTTGGTTATTTGAGTCAGATAACCATGTGCTGATGTGGATCACAGAGTCAACGCAGGGAATAAGCTTGACGGGAGTTAACGAGAAAACAGGGCTGGAAAATGAAGAACATATCAATCTGATCCCCAGTCAGCGTTCACCTGATCATGCCCACTAAAGAATCAGAAAATAGGAAAAAAAAAAAAAGAAGAAGGAAAAATAGCCGGATGAGGAAGGATCTACGGATCTGAAATCTGGGTTCTTCCCTGAATCTGGGTTGCATCAAATCTAGCTTCTTATTTTGAAAATTCATATTACATGTCTGGAATGTTCTGCATGGATTATGAGTACTTGCAAAGATTTCATTTTCGTCCCTTTGTGAAATCTCACAGATTCAAGCAATATATTACATTGGTCAAGGAGGTCAACCCCATATCCCCGAATCATTATCCAGAGACGCCCGTGACTTCATTCGGCAATGCACTCAAGTCAACCCAGAGGAACGGCCATCCGCTGCCAAGCTGTTGGACCACCCTTTTGTGAAGAGACCACTGCTGTCCGCTTCAAGCTCTGATTCTCCGGCTCACTATGGCTACAGGCGAAATTGGCTGCAGCCTTAGATCATCAATTACCCTTCTTCTTCTTCGTCATCATCATCATCATCATCAGGTGAGGAGTTGACCCTGAATTACTGCCAGGTGATCTCATTAGGGTTCTTCTGCATCTAAACACCTTCTTTTTGGGGATTTGAAGCAGGTGAAAGCAGAGGATTATGAGCCATTTGCAGCACGATTCCCCCCCTTAACAACGACTGTTCCACTCCCTGGCCATTGACAAATGGAGAGCTCCTCCCCCACTCCTACTTTGTTGGGTCCATTACCCATCAAAGCTCAGGAAGAGGCCTGCTGAACATGCTCTGCGGAGATTTTTGTCAACTGGGCTCCCCTCCCTCGATTGGATGGAGATGGTCAGAGGGCCTCAATTCGCAAAGAAATCAAATGAAATCAGATTTTTTTTGCGTTTTTGTTGACTTTTTGGCGTTGATATTAGATTATTGGCGTCAGAGTTGACTTCCCTGTAGATACGTTGTTTGCCCATTGTCGGTCTGTAAATTTTGTACTGGGATCGTAGTGAGCAGGTCCCTCGCCAGTTGTGTCCCTGAAATCATTGAGCTCCCACCTGAATAAAGTTATCACCCTAATTAGTCAGGTTACTGCGGTTTTCTGCTGACCTGGCAAAAGCAGCTGCGGACACGTGGCACTGTTACTAATGTCCCCTTCATATTAGGGCAGTTGTGGTGGGGACAGCCGATGAGATGGCTGTAGACGGGCGTTTGTCTTACGGACGAAGGTCAACGTCATTCATGGCTGATGAATGTGAGGGAAGCCCATGCAGAGGTCTTGCCCCAATTCAGCAGACCACTTGTCATCTTCAGCTCCAAGGGAAGGGAACACTCTCTCTCTCTCTCTCTCGCGCGCGCGCGCGCGCGCGCTCGCGTTCTCTGCAAAGGAGGCGGACGACGACGGGAAGAAGGGCCGGAGATTTCTTCTTCCCCTCTAAATAAATTCCATTTTTCTCTGCAAACAAGGTTGAAACGACTCTCTCTCTGTCCTCCCAAAGTCTACACCTCCGTACCCCTTTCTTTGGAGCTTCTCTGCAGAACTCCTCTCTCTCTCCCCCCAAAGTCTACACCTCCCTACGCCTTTGTTTGGAGCTTCTCTGCAGAACTCTCTCTCTCTCTCTCTCTCTCTCTCAACCCCCCTAAGTGAACCATCAGCCTCCACGCGGACGACGCGGTCATGCCCATGCGCACGCCCCTCGTGCTGACCAGCAATAACGTTGAAGAAAAGTAGGCGTGTGTGCATATGAATATTAATAATGATAATTCCCGGAAGCGGGACTGTGGACGGTCTGGATGATTCGGCTGCGGGGCCCACGGTCCCTCGTCGGAGCTATTTCTGTTCCTATTTATTCATCTTTTCTGCTCTGGGGGATATCAAGCAGGGTTATTGTCGCAAATTGTGACACGACAATGTTTTCCCAGACATAATATTCTTGGAAAGAAAATAGCACCAGAGACTCGCGCTGGCTCGGCTTCAAAGACGTCTGGTGTGGTGTGGAAGCTCAAAAGTCTATTGGTTTCGGTCATGCGCCCGCCACCGTCTCCCACACAGCCATGTGACACCAATCCCCGTCTCACTAGGCACACAGAGAGAGATAAAGAGAGAGCGAGAGGGAGAGAGAGAGAGAGAGAGAGAGAGAGAGAGAGATAAAGAGAGAGAGAGAGCGAGAGAGAGAGGGGGAGAGAGATAAAGAGAGTTGTGAGAATAGATAGCATGCATTATTAGTTTTAAGACCCAAAACCTCTCCTTCCCCAAATAAATAATAGATGATTTTACCCTCGATGGAAGACACGAAAAATATATGGAAATCTTGGAGTACATATCCATTAGCCGGATGATTCTGAACTGACCCATGAAAGAGATTAATTGACAATGATGCCGGGATGCATATGGCATCTCTTCAAACTTACTATTAAGCTTCAGTCATTCGTGAGAGAATGATCCTACAGTGAAGGAAACTAGTAAAAATAATGTGATGAAGCATATGAAATTACATACTCAAGGCCATCGGGGTTCATCTGAATGATCTACTGATCTTAAACATCTTATCAAAGACCATAGTTAGGTGTCTACGTCGCGCATCTCATTTCATTTCTCACGTATTAGAACCTTGGAAAATATTATTTCTGCACAGGAGATGATCGTGCGTTGCGATAATCACCCACTGAAAGAACGAAATGAACTCACAAAAATCAAGTTTTGCGACTAGTTCAGCCTATAGAATTAGACGCGCTAGCCGGTTCGATACCCTGACAAGTCGCAGAGAAAACTAGTAATGTGGTCTCCGATGAGCAGACGAACCTCGCTCTTAGACCATGTCGAGCCGAGATAGAGTGGGTTGATCTTGATTGGATGGTGATATTCGGTGTGAACCCAGCCAGCTAAATGCCGATCTATTCTGCAAGGGGCTCACTTAAATTTTTTTTTGATTCCGAGTTGTTTATCCTATGCTGCACCAAAAGGAGGACATTTGATAGGAGATTGACCTGGCCATCAGGTGAAATGAAAATGAAACTTTTTCGAGAAAATATTGCGAAATACCAGGAAATTAAGAAAACCAAGAAAACTAGAAACAAGGAGTGACGAAAGGAATGTTGCCCACTGGTGTTTTTTTTTTTTTTCAGCCGATTAGTTTTTTGGGATTAGGCACCCACCATGACCAGGGTTCAGTTTGGCTTCTAATCTGCCCCAAGCCATTGACGCTTTAACCAAGAAAATATTCAACGAAATTATAACACGCTCTTGAATCGTTTGTGATGCTTTTAGAATCGGAAAATACAGTTTGATGAACCATTTGTCGACCCACCAAGTTTTGACCTTTACCCTCTTGTGATCCTTTTAGAAACTGTTCTGCCATCTTTTCCTAAGGGAACTTAATTATGTGTCGTATGCTTTTTTGGACACCTTGTAAATGTTGAATCTATGTGTGAAGCGGGGAGAAGGGATACGGACGTTATCGAGGCTGCTGGGTGGGGGGTGTCACGGAGGAGGTGATGGAGATGGGGGCTGCTGGAGGAGGCGGCGGCCCCGGGGGAACAGTGGCGGAGGATGTCAGGGGAAACGAAGCATGATGAGTGGAAGGAGATCAGTACAGCTCGATTGTAAGCGGGAAGGTGGGAGATGAGGTTAGCATGCCAGATGAAGGATGAAGAAAAGTGCGGAGTTTCTCGCAGAAAGGAGAGGATAAAAGGAGGGTAATCGCTCGGGGGAGGAAGAGGGGGACGAAGGCGGCGTTACCCTCAGAGAAGAATGGAATGGGACGGGGGGGATATGAAAGAAAGTGCGAGAAATTCCCGGAGGATGGAGTTAGAAATAGAAATAGAAAGAGAAAGAGAAAGAGATTGGTGGGGACTGCTGCCGGAGAAGGAGAAGGTGTTTGCTACCGTGTTTTTCTGTGACAGATAGAGCGAGCGAGCGAGAGAGAGAGAGAGTAAGATATTCTCCGAGGTATCACCGTAAAAAGCCAAATGGCGATGGCTTTTGAATCATGCATTACCCGTAAACCGGACCTATGCTCGAGTAGACGCTGGTGACAAGATGTGCCTTATTTTCCGTCCAGACTGATTTTTAAATTCCAATTAGAAGGTGACTTACCCTACCCAGCCCTCGACTCCCAAGCACATTATGTATCCAGTATTTCTACATATTTCTGCATAAACTAAGTACTTTATGAATAAATAGGCGCAGACGAAACATTCCGATGAAAGTGACTAAGCAAAATAAAAGACCCAGACTTAGGACCATGTCACTGCTAAAAAGAGTAACACTATAATTCATTTAAGTGGATTCATTTTAGATGTAAATTGAGCAAAAATGTTATAATAGCTTGACGTCGACTGAGAGAAAAATAAGCTTGGTTTATGATATGTAGGTTTGCATCGGTCCTATCTCCTTTAAGCTCAATAAACCAAGTTAACACGGTATCACAGTATTCCTATGCTACACGCAGTTGAATTCTATAATCATCTTGTAGCTGGCATACTGGCAAGGAAGTTTGTTCTTAAATGGTTATGCACGACCGGTAGATAAGTCCGCTTCTGATCGTTAACAGTATGTTCACCGACTTTTTCAGAAGCTACAGTGATACTATAATAATGAAGAATTTAGTACAAATTAAATGCGTTATATATCAATAAAGAGAAGAGAAAAAAGATAGAAGAACTAAAGAAGAGTGAGTAACTAAATGTCCTCTTGTTATCTAGCATGGTTATAGTGAAGGATGATGATGTTGAACAGAGCGAAAAAAATATATTCATATATTGTATTAATAGGGCTTCTTGAAGATTTTCTCCAATTTGGAAATAAACTATAGTCATATTAATCGTGTCTCGAAGGTTTCTCAGATTTGTTATGGAATTTTCTATTAGTGTTCTCCCTCTATACGATCCATAGGATTGCTAGTAAGAGTATTCTCCGCCGGTGATGGTCAGCTGCTCTAGGACAAGACGAAGGTTTATTCGGTGGCTTTTCAAAAGCACATGATGGAATGCTCACTTGATCATGAACTCTGTCATTGATAATAAAAAATATTAATCATGACCTCAAAATGTTGTCATGCTCATTTGTATTATTCAGTGGTCACGTAACGCGGTGACTTCAAGAAAACCTACTCTTATCATGTCTCTTGATCAGGCGCCCCACACTACCCTGGTTCTCTCGCAGACCCACGCAGCAAAAGACTATCCAACGGCGACGAGATCGCGGTTTTCATCTCTACCGGGGGACCTCTCATCTGATTCTCAGTACTCGGAGGGTCAACATTGCGCGATCAGCAACCGGTGAGACGTCGACGTGGGAGAGAAGGTGGTGTGTTGATATTTTTCCGGACTTTTCAAGGGTCTTCTCACCTGACAGAAAATCCAAGCTTAGACAGGAAAGACAAGAGTTGATGGCGGCGATGGCGGCGATGGCGGAAGAAAATGCCTGAGTTGAAAATCTTAGATGACGCGGCGATTTGTTGGCATCCGGCTGGTGGGGTCTGAAGAGAATTAGGCGTCTCTCACTATTGGACCCTCGCAAGGTCACGTATCTTTCTGATATTTTCATTTTTTTTTACCAGCGATATTCATATCTTTGATATTGGATAGAGATATGCAGAAGCGAAATACCCTTTGCCAGAAAAAATATAAATATTTATGATGTAAAAGACAAGGAACAACTTAGTTTCGGAATTATCACTCTGATTCAGTGAGCGCAAATCAGGCATATAGTTGAACTGAGTCCCATACAATTGTATAAAACATTCTTTAGTAAAATTCGTACAAGAAAATAAAATAAATAAATAAAATAAAATAATTCAATGATTTTGATAAACTACTATCTTCTTACCCCCTTCCTTGATCCATTCTGTGCTATGGGTCATGATGGGTGTGCCTTAGAAGGACACAATGCTGGTAGTTAGGTGGTGGAGGCAGTCCACCATGTTAAGATGACCATGACATGTTGATTCACTATGATACAGTCCAAACATTTGATATAATTTTAGTTAGGTCGGATTGATGCATATACATCGAGTTCAAAATGTGATTCCGATCTCATATGGGTATGATTGACTGGGTCCGAGGTCTACCATCCTAATTTAAGCACTTGCTGTTAGCATTTCATATCTTCACAGAAAAACTGATCGCCCATAATTAAAGTACAAATAAACCATATACACAAGCGTGTAATATCTTGTGGATGCTAAGATCGTTCCCATCAATCCATGTTCAAAGTCACATGCTAAACTAGAAATGATTTGGGCAATGGGTATCACCATCTCAGATGAATTCACATAAAAGGATGTGATAATAGAATCACAAATAAATATAAATACTGCGCCTTTCATTTCTAGGAAAAGTTATTTCAAGGCTTAAACAGAAATCAAAATCTTACCCAAATCCTAGAAACCGGTGTAGGTTTAAGGAATTTCAACAACTTTAGTTGAATCTTTTATTTTTTTCTTACATGGGAGAAACCTGAATTCTCCATGTCTTTTTGCTTTCTTTTAATGATTTTCTGGTTTTTCTTTATAGATGGAAAAGAGTTCTAATCAGAACTTCACCTGCATAAGCCATTCAGCTTGTTATATGTACCCTTTTCCCACAATATATAAGCTTTTCCAGCTACGCCATTGACTTCATCATATAATTCCATAAATATTCAACGTTAATAGGAATACAAGTGTGAGAAAGAAACTGACCTGAACCATAATATTGACCTAGTACAAATATTCGATTGACCCCTAATCGAATGGCAGCAAAATTTCCATAAAAAACCAATCCATTGACTTTCTCTTCTATTCCCGCGGTTTTACTGTGGACTTTAATTGTCTTTTTTGTAATCTAGCTCATTTTACCCAGGGATTTCTTCAAGGCCGACGGCCGCATCCTTCTTGCTCTTATGTTGTGACGTTACGGAATGGCATCTTATCTAAACCCTAGGCGCATTGACATTCGAACCGGTATAAAGAACCCATACAATACACAGTTAATGTTTCCTAATAAAGAACTGCTCGCTCCGTTCTTCAAGAGGAGAATGCCAGTGGGCATCTGTAGTTGACGTTCCCTTAAAGACGGTAGAGTTCACACAAGGACCTCCCTCTCTGGCTCCCCTGAATATGATAAGATTGTCAGGAGGCCAGACAGAGAGAAAAGAGAAGAAAACTCTGTGAGGTAGATTCTCATGGGTTCAGTGCTTCAAGAGATGGTCATTCCTGTTGAGTTCCACATGAGTTGTTAATGGCTTCTAGTGGAGGAGATGTGGCCACTTCGCCGCGGGTCAACAGGATCTGTTCAACGTGGAGTTGGCGGCGTTAGTCGTGCACATGATCAACATAAATGTCCATGCGGCTAAATCAAATGGCCTGTGGCCGTTAGCCACTAATGTCTGGCGACAGCGACTGTAGATCATGAGCTATTAAGAATGACCAGTGTCGTTCGTTCGGCTGCCTCGATGGGAGTCCCCCCGTGGTGTCCCCTCGTAGGTCTTCTTGTTCTCTCTCCCTTTCTCTCTGTCCCCCCTCTCCGATAGAGATAGATATGTGGATGCATATGCATACACCCACCGACCTACCTTCCCACCTAAAATCTATGAGCCCACTTTCTTGTATATATCCATAAATCGCCCCATGCGTCTTGATCTCCTTTTGTGTAGGTATCTACATTCTCTCTCTCTCTCTCTCATAGTTTCTCTTCACAGTCATCTATCTAACCTATCTTTCGATCTGGGTGCTCTGACCTACCTATGAGTACATCCGTTCCTCTTTCTCTACAATCCATCACTCCCACATCTGGTTCTATTCTCTCTCTCTCATTTTCTCTTCACAGTCATCTATCTAAACTTCTTTCGATCTGGGTGCTCTGACCTACCTATGAGTACATCCTGTCCCTCTTTGTCTACAATATATCACTCCCACCTGTCGTTATATACTCTCTCTCTCTCTCTCTCAGACACACACACACACACATTCACATTTTCACAGGCTCCCACACGCTCATACGTATAGACCTATTGACTACAACTTCCACGTCGACGGTTGCCAGGCGCCATTCGTCTTGCCTTGGTTAATATAAACATCTCTGATGCCCTGTCATTCACGTGCCCCTCAGCCGCCGATATAACATCCATGAACTCGGAGAGGAATTTGATTCCCAATGGACGGTCCATATAGCAAGACACTCAACAGAGTTGAAGTTTCGATTATTATGGGTCAAAGCCACTTCTTTGGAGAGGTCTCCCCCTAAGACCGTGTTTCCCCTTTTTATAATGCATGAGTGTGTGTGTGTGTGTGTGTGTGTGTGTGAGTGAGAGAGCGAGCGAGCGAGAGAGAGAGAGAGAGAGGAGGAGGAAGTCTTCGGGTTGACATCACCGAAGCGCTGGTCCCAACGCTTGTGTCTTCGGCTGCTCCATCAATGAGATCACAGCGAGAGAATAGTCTAATCGGCGTCCAATAGGCTAATGAAGATATGGTATATAACCGGACCCTAGGGTTGGCTGGACCCAAGTCAAACCATGCTTAACCCGAGTCCAGAGTCGCACGAGGTCGCTAGTCAATATTAAACTCTGTTATTGCTTGCGAGCTGAAACCTTCATTAATTTGACGTGCATGGCGGCCCATGAATAGGGTTGTGGATCCAAGGAAAATAAAATATGAAACCGATGGACGATTGTCCTCCAAAAAATTTCCAATTTCAACAGCTCCCTTATTGCAACAGATCTCGCATACATGCCCTTTAACGGCCTCTTTCCGAGCGCGACTGCCGCATGTTATCGAAACTTTATGCGTGCGGATCGAAGAGGGTAGGGGGTTTTACGCAATTGTTTCTTTAACAAAGGACTTAATCGGAAGAACGAAGGCTCAAAACATGGTTGGAGGGTTGACGTTGGGACATCTGAACGGGATCAATCGCAAGAGAAGTACCGCAAGACGGAAGGCTATGGTTATTATAATTACCGTCCGTCGTCATCGCCCTTCCGCACCAGACAACCCTCGAGACTTCTTCGCCGGAGAGAGGTTTCATCCCGTGACAGGCAGGTAAACGAGTCACACGTATGACTCAGTACTTCCCAAAGCGTGTTGGGGACGGTTGAGGTGGACCCCGCCTTCATATTTCGAGCGCTGACCGGAGCAACCGGAGCATCCCCGGTCAACTGATCGGCGAGAAGAGAACAAAAGGGGAGCCCTGAAATCCATCCGCCCGTTCATCTTCCAGCGCTTCCTGCGCGCTGTCGAGGGCGGCTTGACTTCTCTGGCCTTCTCTAGAAGGGAAGAAATAAGGGGGAGGAGGTGGGGAGGGAGGGAGGGAGGGAAGGAGGCTGCACCATGCCCACGAAGGAGGAGAGGTCTGTGCAGGTAGACCTCTCCCTGAATATAGAGGATGGGGAAGGCGATGGGGAGAAAGGATTGAAAGGGGGAATAGGGGAGCTTGGAGGCGTGTCAGAAGAGGTGGAGGAGGAGCAGGAGGAAGAAGAAGATCGGAAGATGGGGGGAGAAGAGCAGCAACTGGACAAGGGAGGACAGGGAGGAGGAGACGAGACCATGCCGGAGGGCCTAGCCAACGATGAGGTAGATGCCGACTTTACGGAAAGGTTTTGTTACCAATATATCGTTATTAAGTTTCTTCTTGGGATTTCGCAGCTTTTGCGTCTGCAGGCGGAGCTGACCCGAATAAAGGAGGAGAACAGGATACTGAAGGAGGGTGTCGAGAGGGCGATGAAGGACTACTGCGACTTGAGGAACAAGTTCACAGAAATCCAGCAGCAAGAGCGACAGAAGTTACCCAGTCAGGTCCTCTTCTATCCTCTTATCTATCGAAACTGGTATAGAGAGAGAGACAGAAAGCAACAATGCACTGTATGTCTATCTCGGTCGGAACACAACGCTCCACATTAACCTTCATCCATTCTGCATAATTAGGATCCAGAAATATTTCTTTCTCTTGGGGGAGGAGTCCGCCAAGAATTCCGAAGCCCGAGCAGATTGCTGGTCCGTGAAGACGATGATAAGATCGGTCCAGAAGAAGTTGACAACCTCGGGTTATCACTAAGAATGCAGACCCATGCCAACCTACCTGAAAGACAAGAAGAAGAAACGGAACAGAAGAGGGAGGAGCTAAGCAACTGGATGCCTCTGGACGTGACACAACGCACCGGTGACCTTCCAGGGATCGCTAGCCGGAGTTTTAATCCCGCTAACAGGAAAACTAGGGTTTCCGTCAGGGTCAGATGCCAGGGCCCTACCGTAAGCTTCCCACCAAGCGAGTTCTTTCACGCTTATGATGGATTAGATTATGTCTTGTCAGCAGTTAAAATGAATAATTCTATGGAATAATGGGCAGATGAATGACGGATGCCAATGGAGGAAGTACGGCCAGAAGATTGCCAAGGGGAATCCTTGCCCCAGGGCTTACTACCGCTGCACGGTGGCGCCGGGATGCCCAGTCCGTAAGCAGGTAAGATAGATTAAACACGTTTACAGTCTCCTGTATCTCTTCACAGTCTGGTCTATATTCTGCTTATTGCTAAAACTATGTTGGAGATATCACATTTTGATGGGTACTGTGTAAAAATTGAGATCTGTCTTTATATGGCTGGGATTATAATATCAGTTAGAGTCATCAACTGCACAATCTCTTGTAACCCTTCACAATGTAGCTTCTATTTCGTTTCTACACAAACCCACGTCGATAGATCATCAAATCTTTGTTGGCACATATGGAAAGTGAGATCCTTGTTGGAAAGACAACCAGTTTGTATTGTATGTGGAAGAAACCAGATATGTGTATAAACTTAAGTAACAATACAGAATCTAGCTTATATGTTGCTTTTAGTTAAAACCCATGATGTAACATCTGCAAATTCTATTGAGCGAAATTTGTGCCTAAGAAAATGTAACTTGTTAAAGAAGTTTTCGGGGAGAGAGAGAGAGAAACACGACTAAAATCCTCTGTTATGTTCAAAATGTGCGTCTATTTGAATTAACGTCGAATTCATGTCGGAAAATCATGAAAACTTTTATCGGCTACTTGAGAAAATTGAGATTATCCATTGATTAATCTTTTTTATGAAATAATTTTTAGTTATAATGCGATATTCTTCTACTGACTGATTTCACGAGATGACTGCTGGGGATGGCAGGTGCAGAGATGTCAGGAGGACATGTCCATTCTTATAACAACCTATGAGGGAACTCACAACCATCCATTGCCGGTGGGGGCGACTGCAATGGCCTCCACGGCAGCGGTAGGCACCGGTTTTGCGTTGTCACAGGAAGGGGGGTTGGCGCCGTCGTCAGTCCAAGGCGGCGTTTCGAGTGGCTCTCTAATTTCCGTGTCTTATCCCCGGCCGTTTATCATGAACCCACCTTCTTCTTCCCACCCTTCAACCAGCTCCCACGGGGGCTCCAGCCGGACGACGATGCTAGACATGGCTAACCACCCCGTCCATGCGGGGTACCAGTTTGGCCTACCCATGTCTTCATACATGACCTACACCAAAAATAACCAAACTGGAAGCAGCTCTTGGGGTGGGAGTAGGCCGCCGTGGGGTTTGGATGTGGAGGCACAACTCGCTACCAACGTGGTGGCAGACCCGAAGTTTACGGCGGCAGTCTCCGCTGCTGCCATCTCATCCTTCATAAGCAGGGAAAACCCGAGCATCAGACACCCCGGAGTTCCTCCATCCCAAGGGAGTGGAGACGAAGGGACCAGCGCCAGCCAATGGGTGCTCGAGTCTCACTCACCTACGAGGAAGCCACCTCTCCGCCCACCTTGAAGGTTCTGATGAGGTACGCTATATATTTTTTTCCTCGATGACCTTGAATAATGCTGTCCTCGGCGTTGTTCTGGTGATCGACTCGAAACCAAGGCTTCTGATTAACCAGTGGGTGAATTGTTGAATATCTTCTTACCACCGTAACCTTTAGTGGGAAATTTCCCAAGGAACTGTTGATTTACAACAATTCTTGCTAGTGTCCATCATTGCCAGGATCACGATTAGTTCCTCAGTCATGCCACTAAGTGGGAAGAGGCATACGTCGCCAAAGAGAGACTTCTAGATATCTCTAGATTTAGAAGCATGTCCAAGTTAACGAACTACACTCCACAAATAAAGCAAAATGACTGCTGCATGAAGATAACGACTGGTTTGACTTAGAAGATGAAACCTCTAAGTCATCTTTTAAGTTTACAATTTTTTTAATCATATATCTCATCAACATTTACGAGTTTAAAGTCATCAGCAATCCGATCATAACCTGTTCATTGCGGTTCTTTGGGTATTCTTGAGTGTAATTCTCACCTTGTCTGAAGTATCTGATTCGTGAGATCTAGAACCATCTCTGTGCATAATGAAGATTTGTGAAATTCTGAACTTAACAAGAAAATTTGCCGTGAAATTAAACTGTATACCTCTCGCTCAAGTTAATCATAGGCATATTTTTCAGCTTGCTCAACGGGCAAGTACCTTAACAGCTTAATAAAAATAAAAAAATTGATTTTCAGCAGTAATTATGAATATATTGTTCTTTAGTAAGGCTTGATTTATCTTCCAAGCCATGTATAGTGATGTTGTTTCAAGTCAATAATCTAGATAAGATCATTCTACTTATAAAATATAGTCCTTGTAAATTTTTAATTTTATATGATAACACAATTTATAATATTTGACTTTCAATATATAATACAATGTCCTTGTAGTGTTATATTTTAGGTCTCACTAAGATCAAGAAAAGGGGGGTTGAATTGATTTACTCTATTCTTAAATTTTTTATCTTCGATATTATATATATAATGCATAGGCTTGATTCTAATACTTCAATCATATGTGCCATATACTTTGTTTTGAGCATTTTTTAAATAACTTCTCAATTGGGTTTCATGAGGAAATGTAGGGGGAAACTGGTCATATACATTGTTAATATACCCTTCATTTAGCCTAACGAAAACTTTCGTTCAACTTAGCGTGCACTACTAACGCACATTGCAGCACATATATGCATCACACCTTAGATCATTTCTTTAAGTATACCTAATCTTTAGCTTATTCGGTTCAAATCGAAACTTACTCTAATGTAGACAATCTAATTGGACTATTTTGGCTATACACATCAGAATAAAAATTTATCCACTTACATCAAAAATAAAATTTATGATTTGACAATGGTATTTCCTAAATGTCTATCATTTAATGTTTTTTCCTTTTGGATGGTAAAGTGTAAAATATGACCCAATTACTAGGATGCGATGGTTGAAGAAGGCATATAAAATTTGATGAAGGATCATAGTTTTTGTAAGGTTAGCTCTTATGCTTATTTTTTTATTTTTCATGTAAATAGTTTTTTATTTCTGTCTCGAATTTTCAAAGGAGAAGTCGCGTTGCAAGGATGTCATTTTTTTTGGGCCTACGCGTTGCCAATCTGGTCCCATCTCAGGCCCATTGACGAGCCTGGGCGGTACTCAGGGCTGTTTACCGGGCGTGGGAGAGAGGAAGTGCTTGCTGCTCAGGGAGGAGGTTGCCGGATAGTGGTGAGGATGGGGAGGGCGAGGAGATAGGGGGGCCGCAGCAGTGATAAGCGGAAGGATAATTGATATTAATTTAAACATACGTATATAAACATTCCATTGTTCAATAAGCTAAACATATAATCCTTTTATGTTTTCCTTTTTAACAAAGAGGGGGGATGGTTGCATTGCATGTAAAGCGTTGACAATGAAATCTCTATTTGTTGACTCTTGAGAAAAATTGTCAAGCTTCTAGTCAAATGCTGACAGAATGTCAACCATCAATCAAAGTTGTCACATGAAGTGTGTTTAATTCACTTGGACCAGCTGAAGTAGACTTTTTTTTAACATGACGCATTAGAAACTTTCTAAGTGCAACCAGTTAAAATTGAGCTCACGATATAAGTTTCAAGGGTACTAAAAGCTTCAAAAAGTCAAAAGTATTTCTATGAATGCACATACTTAGTGCCCTCTAAATTTATCCACTTTGGGGTTGTAAAATCAATAGAATTCAGGTTCCACAGTCAACGCGTGGATCCAATCTCTAAAACACGATGTCATCTCTCTCCTATGCCCATCTCTCGTCTAATATAACGTATGATTGTTGAAAAATCTCATACCAAGGATACAAGGAAAGATAAAGGAATCGGACGTAAAATGGCACCATTCTCCAGCTCTCTGGACGGAAAAAGTCGGACTTGTTCTCGCCGCCGCCGCCACCGCCGCCGCATCCACCGTCGCTAAACGTTTAATCCGGTGACTCCGCATTGCTTTTCCGTCACAGATTGCCTCCTCGGGCTGATTACGATCGCGCAGCCCACCGACACCTGCTCCAAACGAGATCGAGCCTCAGTTTCCGCGGTGAGTAAAAGAGGAAGATACCCCGGAAGAGGAGATCAATTAATTAATTACGAAAACTTTCAATTCCACTTATGAAAGTGATGCAGATTGCGAGCAGTGGTGATAAAGGCGATGCGTTGCTTGCGGCCCACCTGTACGCGAGGGGAGGTGATGCCGAGGAAGCGTATCTTGGCGCCCACGTCACCGGCGACGTTGAGCTCGACGCGGTCGCTGACTGAGGCGTCTCGGACGAGCTGGACGGCGTCGGTCTGGAGGATGTCAACCCGGTCAACCACCACGGAGGCCTGCACCAGGCGGGTTGACCTGGCCGGCTGGTCAAACCCCGGAATCTCCGCCACCCCCAGCGCCACCCCGTGGTACATGACCGTGAAGCTCGATGGCCCGTACTTTATTCCCACTCTGTTGGGGTTCTCCGCCGTGAAGAGCATTGTGAGGTTGAGCGTAAGGTAAGCCGCCGAGCTGCCGCCGCCGCCGCCGCCGGCGGTCGGCGTGGTGAGGAGGAGGTAGCTGACGGCCACCTGTTGGAGGTCGAAGTGGGGCTTCTTGGGCTTGACGACGAGGGCGATGACCAGGGCGACGGCGGCGACGAGGAGGGAGATGAAAGTGAGGAGGAGTAATAAACAGCAACAACAGCCTTTCACGGAGGCGACTGTTGACGAAGAACGGTGAGCCGCCGTGTAGCGGCATCTCGACGGCGGCCGTGGCGGGGGCGGAGCTGGATAGAAGTCACGAGGCAGCCACCGCTGCTGGTTGCTAACCCGGCCATTGCTATGGTTGTCCTCCCCGTTGGCCAGAGACGAAGACATCTCTTTCTTTCTCTCTCTCTCTCTGACTTCTCGGCCCACCGAGCTTCCACTGGGACGAAGAAAAGAGGCGGCGGAGTGGGGGATCTATGGCGTGCTATCCTCTCCACTTTTCCGACGGAACACGTGCGCCGCTGCAGCTTCCGAGGACGACGGCGCTGCGTGGTTTCTCTCACCGGCCCCCACGTCTTCAATCTTTCATCGAGCTCCCCCTCACTGGTCACGCTTTTAGCTGTCCATTTCTTTCAGAAGCAGAAAGAAGAAAGCTTCAAGCATACCGGACAGGATCATTGCAGCGTGACTAGACTTTGTATAGCTTTCGCACCCCGCTTTTCCTTGTCTAAATACCTCATGGATCCCTACGATGACTTGTCACCTCTCTCTCTCTCTCTCTCGCTAGCTTAAGAGGCGTTCCAGGGAACCTTTTGATGGCTGTGCCCAAACGTTCAATCAGGCCCACCCTTCAGTTATCGGGCCCAAACCATTCTCAGGCCATTCTCAGCAGGCCCAACCCATCGACAGACATCTCTTACCACACTATGAAAATCTCCAGCGACCACAAGTAAAAATCAGACCTTTCTTCACAGAAAATGGAGGCATCCCCTCAATCCTACAAGAAACAGAAGACCCACATGAACCTCCATGTGGGTCTTGGACAGCCCACATGGAGATTCTGAGATGGCCGCAACCCCCTTCCTCCCTCCATTTACAGTAGATGAACAACTCATCCCGACCCAGAGCAGAAGACAGCCGCCATGGACGGGTTCCTAAGCTCTTACTCGGAATGGCAAGTCCAGTAGATCATCCCACTGAAACCAGAATATTCAAAGAATCAGAGGCCGGGGGGGTTCCAATAACGTTTTGCAAGACAGGAAAGTGACGAGGTTGTAGGGATCAACCTGATCAAGATGAACACACATTGGAGGACGCCGGCGGTGCCAGTCCAGGCCGAGGGTCCCTTGTCGGTGAGGGCGTCCTGCACAAGAAGGCCTACAGAGGCGGCGAGGGAGACAAAAGAGACCACATAGGCCAGGAAGAGCCAGAGCTTCACCCTGCAATGCCAAAAGAAGCCCTGTCGGAAGAGGATCATCTGGGCACAATGCGAGCAAAGGATTCCATAAAAAGTATGAAAATTGCCAATGTGGGGATACCAGAAATGTTAATTGGCCGATTAAGTGGGGTTCTTAAGTTATATCAGCTGACGATGGGATTATCGCAAGTTTTGACAAAATAAATTTAATGTGGCATACTTTCTTACTGATTTTGGATCGGTTGCAGGAATAAAATCAATCAAAAAAGGGGGTATCAAGACTGTTCCTGCTCCAGGCATATCTGCTCAGACAACTTCAACCAGAAGGTGGGAGGGGAGGGATTTAATCCTTTGAAAGCTGATGAACGAAGAAGAGTGAGTTGTTGGCCCATAGTTGAAAGATATGAAATAAGAAACCATTAGAAGCCTCTCAGGTTTCCAAGCGAGAGGATAAGTCATCCTTTCTTCGAGAACTCAAGGGACCACCAGCCCATAATTTCACCACACAGAGCTCATGGAATCGCTTCGAACTACGGATCCAAGAGATTCCCCTTCCAATTGGCATAGTTGAGTGGCCACGTAAATTGGTAATTGGGGTCAGTGGAGCTGACTGAAGAAGGGAAGGTACTAGAAAAGGAATGTAGCGCGTGACATTATTTTTATTAAGAACAGTAATATCTCAAGGCTGTAGAGGGATATATTCCAGGCTCTAGATATTGTGACAACTGACGTTGAGATGCATATAAGTAATGGGAGAAGAGTTTTATTCTATATTCTAAGAAGAAAAGTTTAGAAAAGGTTTTATGCTTCTGATCATCAAAGGCTTAGATTTAGAAAAGAAAATCTCCTGGGCTTCTGGAGTAGACATGGGATGATGAAAATAGAAGAGAAGTAGATCCTCAGTCAAGCCAAATTATCATAAAACAGAAAAATAAACGTCCAAGAGGCAACTCGGGTTTGGAAACCTGCAACAAAGTTCTGAAGCATATCACAACAAAACTATTAGTATGTGATCCCCTCGCCTTGCGCATGGAGATGAAAGGGGATCACAACGTTTGGCGAATTACCTTGAAAAGCTTCGCACCATTTGTTGTGAGAGAAAAAGGCATATTTTTAAAAGGCAGAACTGGTCAAACGATAGTGTTCAGTAGTCAATATAACAAGTCAAACAACAGATGAAACTCTTTTCAGAGGATGAGTATAAGTCTTCTATTTAAGGTCATTTAAGTTTCCGAGTACATTCTGACTACCTCAGCTGGGAGCTCACGGCGACCGTTGGTGCAAGTACCTTCATTTATTTTTATTTTTGTATTTAATGATTAGGTGGTATCACCCACTACGAAAAACAGTATTTTTGGAATATAAAAAGATGCAAAGACTTATGTCATATGTAGGAAAATAATAAATATTAACTTGATTCACCGACTGAAACACAAATTATAGAACAGGGAGACATCAGAAAAACAATGAAGTGATAGAAAAACACTCTCTTGGCACTCTTCCCGCATATCCATAACAATTAAACCCTTTTCTTTCATTCCGATTCTGACGTCTATTGTTTTCGATTATGACGCCCTTGAAAGATGGAGGAGGCAAAAGAATAAAGGGTAATGATTCATGAAACACCAATTCCCTATGTAGACTACTGGACAGATCTTGGTTTCTACCATCACGAAGGTCAGGGTGCAGGGAACAACAAGAAGGATAAAATACAAATCCACATCCACGTTAGCAAACTAAGGTCCATCTCTTGAAATCTGGGGCCAAACATAGCCTCGTTACTGGTTAATAAACGATATAATAAAAAAAAATGAAGCCCATCAATTAAATTCAAGAGGGCATCGTGGAAACATCATGCTTTATGCACTGTTGCAAAAGAGAAATCTACCAAGGCCAAAAGGATTTGAAAATAATATTGAATTGGTTGAAGCAAAAGCTATTTTAAGACCTGTGAGACTAAGTGAGCCAAATAAAGATCAAACTGATACCAAGTACAGATCAAATTAAGAATTGAATACTGAATCGTAGATCTCATACTGCGAGAAAAGCTTTTCCAGGTTGGGGTGGGGAGGAGGGGATTGAAAGCAGAGAATTCACAACCATCTTGAAATGGACTGAAGATGAGTGGCTGCCTAGGGGATGTAGCGAAAACAAGAGTGTAAGGCATATTTTGTAACACAATGGAGACTTAACCATCTATAGCATTTGATTAAGGGGGAAAGAGTCAAATTGCATGACAATGATTTAGAGGTCAGTGGATTAACCAATGAATATAAAACACGACAAGTTCATCATTCTCATCTCTTAGTCTATCAAATGGTACAGTCACCCCTCTGATCAAACTAAGCGTAAGGCTAGTAAGATAAAAATAAGCACAGAAATCAGAGAACGTTTGTGATCAGTTATTGTTTCTCCTTCTTACAGATGATTTTTTATATGCTTTTACCTAAGCATCTGCCTTTTTGTATCAGTTGAACAGACCGAAATGAACAGCCTAATGCCTTTGTTATCTTGAATCCACTAAAACTGGACTACGAACAGACACGGGTCTTGACAGAGAGTGTGTTGGATAAACCTGTTAACAAATAAACGAAAACGTAAGCCCACAGCAACATTATCGTCAACTGGTTCCATCACCTGTTGCCATCCGTTATATGTAAGCATATCCGTTATGGCTTTGCAAGAATATTCTTGATTCAAAGGAGCTCATTTTCAATTTATGTAGATATAATACATCCCTCCGTGCATCTTGACATAATATCGCATTCAGGTAGTCTCCTTGTCACAGACCCTTCGAAATTTTGTTAATTTCTCCTGTTGTTTTTCATCACCATCCTACACACCTTCGCCTGGTTAGAAATAAAGAGGTGCACACTTCTTCTTCTTTTTGCCTCACAATGATTCTCCCCTTTCTCTGTTATTTTCAGGTAATTTACGACCATTCTTCTCATCTAATGTTCATAATACACTTTCTGAAGAGATAATCTTTCCCTTCAAGAGAAATCCCCACTGTCTGCACAATTTCTTCAAGCTATTCCTTCTATGTATGTTTAAATAAACAGCTAATGTGGTTATGTCCCCCCTTATATACATCTGTTATTATTCAGTATAACAGTACCGAAAAAACAAAAGGAGATCTATTTTCCTAATCTGACAGTGATTAAATCTACGAAAACAACTCCCTTTATACACTTCTGACTACAGAGAAATCCACTAAATCTTCTGCAGCAGTGCATATACACCCTGAGTCGTTAGCTCAGGCTTTTCAGTGGTGCAACAGGCGTTGTTCATGGTGATCAGACTTCCCAAATACAACTGGTGTTTCTCCTGCACTCATTTTCCAATAAAAAGTAGAGTTGGGGGTAGTCTCCCCGATGCACAATTATGCTGGAGAGAAAACCATAGGGCATTTCTTTTGCTCAAGAGAAAAACCCCAGGTCCTCCAGTTTATTCCTTCTTTTTTTTTTTACTTACTAATAACCATCTTCTTCACCAACAAGGAATATTCGAATTTATTTACAGTAGCAATTATTTTTCAATTAAATTATTCCTCCAACAAGACAATGTGTGAAGTTAATCCCCAAAATATTTACGAAACCCACGCGAGCAAATATTACTAGATAAATAAACAACAAAAGCAAATCATCCAAGACACGAAATTTTGTTATGTCCGTCCCACAGCTCTGGAGCGTTTCCCCATCTGAAGGTCTGTTGCAGTACCTGCGTGCTCAATCGAATAGAAGGCAAACAGAAGCATCTGAGGAGACAGCTACTTCACAGAATTCTGAAGACCCATTGGCTCGGGCTCACAGGCAGGAGCTTCTCGCGCCCAATTATGTTTTCCATTGGGATCTGCTAACAGACTGCCCACCAAAAACCCATGCCTTTCCACACAGAAATTGATGTTCATGGACGACCAGACGAGATAACCTATTAGCCTACCAGTAAGTCAACTCATCGATCGTGGTTAATCATCGTCCAGGGGATGATGCAAGTGAGAGGCATGCTTCATAATTATAGTTGGTAATTTTTCAAGATGGGCAAAGCCCCGGCTCCATTTCATTTGATGGAAGACGAAGCTACAGTGAACAGGATTAGAACCACGCATCTACCAGGAGACAAAAAAAATGAAATTCCGCCTTAAATCTAGGAAACGATGACAGCGCCGAATGATTGATCGGTGGAAGATAGAAGATCAGAGAGGAAGGCAAGAGCTCCGACTGACCTCCACTCTCCATCTTCGTAGGGGGAGTAGTCAATATCCTCCTTCTTGACGCCATTGAACATGAGGGCCGCCAGCGACGCGAAGATCCCTGCAAATCCAGGCCAGAGAGTGTGATCAAAACCTCGGTCAACGGAGATTGGGGGAACCGGATCGGGAATCGGGATTCGGAGGAGGGGGAGGGAAGTACCCGGGAGGTAGTGGAGGAACGACACCTTGACGGCGCTGCAGACGACGGCGTCGACCCAGAACCACCAACCGGCCCCGAAGACGGCGCCGGCGATGCCGGGGCCGAAGATCGCCCAGAGCTCCCCGTGGTCCATTCCCCGAGGGGCTTAAGTATCCTCCGATTCTCTCCCCTCCCACGCCCTCCTCGCCCTTCTTCCTCCTCGCCCACTCACCTCCCCTCTCTTCCAGAGCAGAGGAATCTCTCCAGCGGGCAGGAGAAGCCAAAAAGAAGCCCCCGAGAAGACAGACCGTACTCCGACCTCTCTCCGCCGTATATTCTACCCGAAGGAGCGCCGGCCGCCGTCATCCAGCTGGGAAATACGACCGGCCGTTGCCCAAATTCCATTTTTTAACTCCCGATACCTGGAAATCTCTTCAAGACCGATCAAGTTACATCGTACGAGAAAAAAAAAAGGGTCTACTTTTTCATGTTCTTCCGGAGGTTCTTGTCTCGTGGTAACTAAATTGTCAACGATAATTACTTATTCCAGACATTAGGGAGATATCTTTTTCCTTAATTTTATTTTAAAAAGCATATTGGGTGGTGAGGGGTTAATTAAGAGGGGAATTTTCCTTTTTTTATTGTAAGATCAAATAATTCATTAATTTTTCTGACATCACGATCCTAAAAATAGGTTGAAATTATATTAATTTTCTCATGCAGAGTGGGTTTATGGCCTAAAAAAAATAAGAAGGGAAAAATCCCCAAAAATTAGTTTCTTAACAGATAAATGGATATATACTTCTTAATCACATAATGAGCTAGATCTGTCATTATCATGATTATTTACATGCCTGCTTGTACGGAAAATAATAAAATTTTACTTTCAAACCTAGAGAGAGAAAGTGCGGCAGAACCTCTCCCAGGGCCTCATCATATGATTAGAAGGAAAAAAAAGGGGGCTAGAGAGAAGAAGATTCAATGTACAAACTTCCCTGCAAGTTTCCATTCAGAGCATGAGGTATCCTTGTCACTTAGAATCAAGAAAATGGACTTGTGCTAGGGAAAGTCTGAGAAGAATCAAAGGCTATTACAGTAAGCAACTAAGTTGCAGCTCATGGCAGGATCCTCCGCCGCCGCCGGACGGTCTCCCGCTTGGCATACATCTTCTCCGTGCTGTTCAGTGGGCGGCTGGACCCATCAGGCTGGCTGACAAAACGCCACCCGCCACCGCCGCCGCCGGGCCGCTTGTCCTTCTGCCCGAGCTTCTCCACAGTGAAGTTCCACCCCTCAGCCGGTCGGCGGCGGCTGTACTTGTGGCACTTCACCTGCCCGGCCATCTGCAGGAAGCCACCCCCATCGTGAGCCAACAAGCATTCATACAATCCACAACAAGGTCCAAGAATCAGCTCCATATTTCAATGGATTCTCAGGTCAACTGTCTGATGTGGTGCCACAGCTGGCCAGAATTGGCAGCTTGATCATATACTTCGCTGCCCATCTCAATCCGGTTTGGGATCGAGTAAATCCAATTCAAACCCAAAAATAATCTCAATAGCCCTGCTGAATCGGGTCGGACTGGCCAAGAATCAGCCCATTTGTCTAGAGAGAGAGAGAGAGAGATGACAGTAGTTAATAAAATGTATGAGAGGACTAACCTTCATCTTATTGAAGTTCATCCTCCGCACAAACTCCCGGTACAAAATCTCGTCCTCCCTCTTGGAGATCTCGTAATGAACCTCGTCGGGGTCCCTCGCTGTGCCGTCCCAGTCTTCGGGCATGACGTTGAAGTCGGCCTTGTAAGGGAGGGATGCAACGTGGAACTCCCTGTCGTGAGAGATGAAGAAGCTGCGGTAGGAAAACGATGAGCGAGATGCTTCATTTAATTCATAATCTTTATACATACACCAAGCTTGAACCCATATTATAATGTCACAAAACAATATATGATTCTGCGAGGAAAATTATCTTCCGCCTCTTAATGGGTCTAAGGACCCAGAAATCACTGGTGATGAAACTGGTATGATCTGCAGATCAATGGTGTGAGATGGCACATAAGAAAATTTGACCTCAGCTTTCTAACACTGTTCTATCTTGATACCAGAAAGTGCTCATATATTATCTGCAACATTATCCATCGTAAAAAATAAAAGATCTACTTTGGCTGCAATAATTAATTTTTAGTCTGAACTTCCTGCGGATAAAAGGACATAATTTTGTCTGTCGAAGTCCATAAATGTAAGAAGAAAAGCAAAACTAGGAATCTGCTTGCAGCCAAAACCGTAGCTCCCCCGGAAAAGCCTCACATTTCCCTTTGAGAAATACTCATCATCGTTAGTTAATTATCAAGAATTCTTCCTTTTTTTTTTCCTATGCAGATGTCTGGTCTTTGACTTTTCTGCACGTAGACAAATGTTGTTTACGCATGAAAAGGGGTCCTCTTGCAGTTAGACAGCACACATCAACAGAACTATTAGAGTCTATGTCCCCTAAGCTGGGTCTTCTACGCTCTTCTCTCCTCTTCGTTTCATCTGTGTTGTGCACTTCACCTCCTCCATCAATAATCTACCTAACCTTTCTCAGCACGACCATGACTGAAGAGGAGAAACATCAAATGAAGCAGAATCTGAAAACAGTCAGGGCCCCAAAAAGGGGAATTCATCAGGTGGGGACTGCTATTCTGAAGACTACGCGCACACAAAATACCAGAGATGATACTAAATGGGTGCTTTGGCCATGGTCTACTGGTCATCCTCCTTCATAACACACACTGCTAATACCTGAAGCACCAAAACTGCACGATCAAGTGTCATCAGCTACCTAGAGACGTGATTATCACACACGGGTGTTCCCTCAGCTTGAGGAAAGATCCCTACAAGAGCATCAAGATCAACCATATGATCAGCAGATACATCATTGCCTCTATTCCTCCATGTACCAATAACAGTATTTGCCGGCTGGCAAACAGATACCGAAAAATTGTGATGCCGTCTCAGACAATTTAAGACAGCTCACAGTGGGTTAATGATAGATCAGGACCACACAGATGTCCAGCTGATAACAAAAAAACACGAGGATCAGCTATGGGATTGTAATGACCGAGATAACCACTTTCATGGTGAGACAGCGTGATATTCAATGATTTGATGATTTGATCATAGAAAGCATCTTAGGTTCACAGTCACAGTCCCAACCCATCTTAAGTTCATGGATTTCTCAGAATTTCAAGAAATTAATCGATATTTCGCGTAGAATCCCCACTGGAGAGAGAACCCATTGTCTCTCTGCCAAACCCTGGGCTCAAGCCATTCCAGCCAGACGAGGCCCAGTATCACATTTTGGGCACCATAACAATGGGAGGGGAACCTAGAGACATACCAAGTGACAAGCAGCAATCGGCAAGAAGAAGAGAAGAGAAGATGAGCAGAGAAGATTGAAGACGATGATGGGATCACATAAAGAAATAAATGCTTCCCCAACTCTCAGGTATCCCATGGGTAACTTCCCCACTTTTGAGTCTTATTGTTTTCCTCTCAATTTAGTGAATGAGAAAAATCATAAGGAACCGAACTGTAACAGATTGGCCCAATGCAGCATGCTTCTAAATGAAATGCATCCACAAATAGATAGGGTCGCTGTTTCTAGAGATCAAAAAAGGCCTACAATTAGTATACACATCTACCACAGAGGAGACAGAGTAAAAATCCATCATAGGCACATGGTGCATAAATTAACAAGCTGAAACCCAGCGTGAACCAGAAGAACTAGGGATAAGTAATCTCGTAAGCATTTTTCCTGAAAACCTCAAAAGAAAACAAACTGAAAAAACCGGAAAAACCTATTCTTCACTAGAGGGGCTATCTGCACCAATTTCATCGACATAAATGTTCATTTGTGAAGACAGCAGCAACTTGTGAAGGAAAACACAAACCCGTAAAATTGCTAAAATTTCGACTTGTAAATGGAACCAAAGAGAAGTAGAGTTGACTTTGAACAGTAGAGGTGAGTCAGAGTTGCTAAAACGAGATAAAAGCCGAGAAGTTCCTTAAAAGCTAAAGAAAGTAACAGAAAGCATCGAAATTTTCTCCAACAGTGAACGTCAAAACCATTCAAGAGTTTAATGGATAATAAAAAATACTCTGAAAATTAACAAAGGGCTCAAACTCTGAGTCGAAGTAAAAAACTGAGAAAACATCTAAAAGGGTAACTTCCCAGATGATCCGAGCAGTAGATTAGGAACAAAGTCAGAAGCAGATATTGGAATTAATGGATAGTTGTAAATTCCTCTTCATGTCGAATAAATTTTGACACTGAAAGAGATCAAAGACTTCTGCAACGACAACAATGGATCTACTAGGTTAAAGAAGATTATCAATCAAAAGAAGGCATATCTTCGACCGGACATAACACCTGTCGCTCATACTGGCAATCTTACAAGTTCTTCACCAACAATAGGAATAACGCTTAAGGAAAACTAACAAGTCGAGGAGCATGGAGATGGATAACACTTACTCCGGACACGCATCAAGCAGTTGCTCGACAGAGTCATCGAGGGGGCATCCAAGCTTCCTCTCCTCCTCTTCCTCAATCTCCTTAAGCCATAGGATGGCGTGTACCCTCTGCCGCATGATCCGGTAATCCTTCGCCAGTCGCTCCACGTTGTACACCTCCGGATCCTCCTTGTGCAGTCGGTACATTTCTGCCTTCTCAGAGTCCTTGAGGTACGATCCCCGGGCCCCCGGCTCCCTCACCTGCTTCAGCAGCTCAACCGTCTCCTTCATCCTACTTCCCCAGCCGTCCACAAACTCTTTGCTCTTCCTGTTGTCCCTCTCCACCGTCTCCAAGATATCCTCCTCCGCCTCCTCTTCCCGCGCGCTCGCCACCTCCTCCCAGGGCTCCCGCCTCCTGCCAACAGCCTTCCCGTCGAAGTGATCCTCCGTCAACCCCGTGGACCACGAAGACGCTTCGTCCCATCCGAGATCAGGAACCAACCCTCGCCCTCCGCCACCACCACCGGCATCGCCACTTCCTTCACCCGGACCTGGCCCCCCACCGCCACCCCCCTTCCACGCCTTATCCCATCCATCGTTCTTCCCGTCCCCAGAGCCAGCCGAGAAACGGCGAGACAAGATGGACAAACAGTTCCCTCCGGCGAGCCCGGCGGCGGCTGTGGCTGCTGGATCGACGGCGAGCGATGCGGCGACAACCGGCGACCCGACATCCGCCGCGCTCTGGCGAAGCAGACTCCAGACAAGGGACGAAGATGAGCGAATCCGGGAGAATTGGAGGTGGAGATTCTGCATCGCTCACCCCCACCCTCCAACCCCCCACCCCCCCTTCCCCACCACCCTCGAACTCCTCCCTCCTAAGCTCGTCTGCTCGCCGCAACAAAAACCCTAACCCAGGCGACCAAATCGTATGAGAATCCCCATGTGACCTCAAAAGCCCACAATAAACCCCTCAACCTCATAAGCTTACACAGACAGGTGTTATGAGCCCACCGCACAGTCTCTACAGACCCCATGGGTTGGAGCCACAGCCACTCAGCCTCATAAGCTGTATAACCAGATGTTATGAGCGGTTATCGCGAAAGATATGAAGATCATTGAGTATTATATTCATTAAGGTACAAGAGTCTTTGAGGCTCAATTGAGCACATAGAGGATAACCAGTGGTGGTGAGAGAGGTAAAAGAAAGAACAGCCGTAGGATAGGCAGCTAAAACTATACAATGTTGATTGATGAGGATAAGTTTGGACGAAATGAATTCGATATGAAGGCTAATTGTAATTATTAATGTTGGATGGGCGTTGGAGATATCCCATGCAGAGACTTAGGCGGCGATGCGGTAGACGCACGGCGGCGCCGCCTGCTTGTGAGGGGCCTCCAGCGGCAGGACCTCGCCGCAGCGCCGACGCTTCCATATGCAGACGGCGCCGCACTCGGAGGGCCGCTTCACCACCGGGAGAGGAGGATCCAGCTGGGTGAGGCACACGCCGGTGGGGGCGACGGAGCAGCGGAGGGGGGGGGGCTTCTGCCGGCGGCATAGGGCTCGCGGTGTCGCCATGGAGAGGACGTTCCTCCCGGAGAAGACCTTCCTCAGCGCCACGAGCCGGAGCATCCCCAAGGGGCTGCCGCCGCCGGCGGAGGAGGAGGAGAAAGCCTTGTAGCCTCTGATCTGGCCCATGCAACCAACGCGGGGGGAGAGAGGCTCTGCGTTGGCGGAGGGGCGGCGACGACGGGAGGCGGAGGGCCTCCACGAGAGGGAGGATGCAGGAGATGAGAGAGAGAGGGAGGAGGAGGGGCCGTCGGCCCACCGCCGGGCGAGGTCCCCGCCGCTGACTGGAGGACGGAGGCACCACGCCGGGTTGAACGCGCCGATGGAGCGGTGGTGCTCGCTGGCGACGCCGGCCATCTCCTCCGACGCGGAGATGAAGGAGCGTACTAGAGGACAGAAGAGAAAGAGAGAGTATATAGAGAGAGAGAGGAGGGCGATGGAGGGTTAGACCCGTCAAATACAGGCCATGGCGGAAGTCCACGGGCAAATGTGATGTTACCTTTCGACAAGGAAGACATTAAAGTCTCGCTGGAAGTTCCCGGGATGCTTCCTCACGTAAAAAACTAGTCGCTGCTCAATCTTAGAGACTTGACCTTGTGACCTTCATCTTCAATCTCCCTGTTGGGTCTTCTTCCGGCGACGATTACTGATTAATCTATGTTTCTCTCTCTTTTCCTCCCTCCCTCTCTCTCTCTCTCTCCCCCCTCCCTCTCTCCATCTCTCTCTCTCTCTCTCTCTCTCTCTCTCTCTCTCTCTCTCTCTCTCTCTCTCTCTCTCTCCCTCTCTCTCCATCTCCCTCTCTCTCTCTCTCTCTCCCTCCCTCTCGCCATCTCTCCCTCCCTCTCTCTCTCTCTCTCTCTCTCTCTCTCTCTCCCACTCTCTCTCTCCCTCTCTCTTCCCATCTCTCCCTCTCTCTCACTCCCTCTCTCCATCTCTCCCTCCCTTTCTCTCTCTCTCTCTCTCGCTCTCTCTCCTCCCTCTCGCCATCTCTCGCTCTCTCTCTCTCTCTCTCTCTCTCTCTCTCTCTCTCTCTCCCCTCTCTCTTCCCATCTCTCCCTCTCTCACTCCCTCTCGCCATCTCTCCCTCCCTTTCTCTCTCTCTCTCTCTCTCGCCCTCTCTCTCCCTCCCTCTCGCCATCTCTCGCTCCCTTTCTCTCTCTCTCTCTCTCTCTCTCGCTCAAACACACACACACACACACAAGGAGGGGTATAACTGGATTCATGGTTGATCGCTCTTTCGCTGTCTCCGTCTGTCTAAGAGGGGGGCGATTATGTCCCATTCATGGCTGATTCGGACATCCCTCTCTCTGTCTCTGTCTCTCTCATGTTTCCATCTCTCCGCCGGTGTCTCTCTCACTTTCTCTCTCTAGGATTGATCGGAGGGGTAGAGGAGATCCTTTGGACCAACCGATTCAACGCGCGAGTGTGGCGGGTTCGGTGGAGGCCGTCATCAGACCGCCCTTCCTCGTCAGTCGGCGCGCATGACTGCGGCGGAACCAGCGGTGGAACTCCGCCGCTGTCCACGTTGGAACGGACCCGTACAATTTCGGCGAGGTCAACGCCGATCGCGCGGGGGAAGGTGCCGTTCAACACATGCGGCGTCTGTTGACTTAAGGGTCAAAACACGGCTGGACCCCCAGCCTCAAGCACAAAAAATCTCGACCTTTAACACGATTTTGGCTCGGCAATAATTGCCCATAAATTAAAAATATACGCAATATAAGAATGAACCTGGAAAACCACATTTAAGAAAAACCCCTGCTAATCTGTAGATCATCTTGGGGAGTTGACAATCAGAGAGAGGCGCTCCAGACCGCTCCATTCCCTTCACCACACCTCTCATGAACGAGCTTCATCCTCTCCACCGACCTGCAGATCCCGCTGCAGCCCCAGTCGAATGAGGCCACACAGATGCTCCCCGCCTCCGCCTTCTCCTCACAGTCTGAAGCAAAGATCTTTACCAAATTAGGAAAAAAAATCATCCTCAAGACCATCCAGATCTCATGGAGGAAGGAGACTGTCCAGATATTCCCTACCCGGTGGGGTTCCACAACACATGCTGTGCTCGTCGACGTGCTCCACGTCGAGCCCGATGAACCAGGCGCCGAGGGAGACGTCCTCGTTGGCGTACCGGTGCAGTATCGGCCTGATAATGAAGCGGCAGCGCCGCCACCCCACTGAGTGATCGGTTCATGAGCAGAAACTTTGGCGGGGAGGAGAAATTTTACTACTTGTGGATCGATATGTAGGTGGCGAGATCCTTGGAGATGGCGTAGATCTGCCCGGTTGCATGCCGGAAGTAGTTGTTCCCCTCCTCGCCGAACTTCCAGTACTCCGGCTCATGGTACTTCACGTCCCTGCGCCGCCGCCCAGACAGAGATTCTCAAGTGGGATTGCTAATTATAGCTGGGAAAAGAGGGTTGACCGAGAGGATGGAGAAGAGCCCCGGAGGAGGTGCTTACTTTCTAGAGAGAACTGGCCCGGACTTCATGCAGCCGATGTAGGTCCTGGGCTTCCATCTGTGCCGGGCGAGGGTGGCGGCCAGCATTCCTGAGTCTTGTCCGATAGGTGTTAGAGGAGTGTCCTGAGAGAGAGAGAGAGAGAGAGAGAGAGAGAGGGGGGAGATGGCAGAAAAATGGTGAATTACTGAGTGGTCTGACCTAGGTTGAGATGGACGTCATCGTCCACCTTCACGAAGAACTCAGCGTCCCACATGGCGACTGCGGTCGAAAAGAATATCTGGGTTTTTGCAGAGAGCTCGTGGTAACCTTCAACATGATCCTGAAAATAAATAAATAAATAAATAACGAGCTCCAAGAAGGGAATTTGTGTCAGTTAGATTTAAAATAAAAAAAAAGTGGGGAGTGGGGGAAGATGGCGCCATATGATACCAGCCTAAGGAAGTCGTTATACTGCGCCTCTTCAGAGTCAATATTCTGATCCAAGATGCTGTTCGAGGTGGAACTGCATCAGACGAATGCTGTCAGCTTCCTGAAATCGTTGCTCGCCATAAATATCATGATATATCTCCAAATCAGAAGAAAATAATGAAGACAGAGTATAATTATTAATTTATATCCATTGATCTGTGCATGCATTTGTGAGTTGTGTTCTGACGCAGGGGGGGAAGCACTGATAGTAGAATGTGGATGAGACGAATGTAATTACCTGTGTCCGATCATGAATCGGACCACGATGCCCTTCTCATGTTCTAGTTGCTTGAGTTTTTCTCCTAATTTAACAAATAAAATAAAAAAGCTATCAGAGAAAATCTGAGATCATAATTCTCATGCAGACAGTTGGAAGGATCCTCATGCAGACTGACCACCTGCTCAAGCTGATCAAACATGGGAATTCAACAACTGCGATCTTGATTTATTTATTACAAGGATGAGATCACAATCCATTACAGGATGGGGAGATATTGAAATCCATAACTCGAGAAGGCAAAATTATAATAATAATAATAATAATAATCATAACAAAGCTCATGAATTATAAGAAATGTCCACACCGAGGCAGTAATTGATGTCAGTTTCAATCCCGATATTCTGAGATGAATACCTTGCGGCATCCAGGTCTCCCTAAGGGAATCCCTCCGCTTCCTGCTGCTAAACGCAGTGGTGATGCCGATCACGACGAAGGCCTTCTTCCTCTCCTGACCCGGCCCTACAATGGCGACGGAGCCCTCCACGGCCGACCCATGCAAGCTCCGAGAAGCTGCTAGCTCCATCTGCAGAGTGGACATCGTCTTGTCCAAAGATCTGAAACCCACCCGGCATTGTCAAATCACAGACGAATTCCCCACCAAACCAGAGACTGCGGCAGTTGTGGGCAGTTCCCACTTACTGGATGGCCTCGTGGGTCTTGGATACCTCCCCCATGATGTCCCTCGCCGGAGTACGCATCTGGTGCAGGTTTCGGAGAAGACAATTCCGAGATCAGAATGAGCGCGCAGCAGTCTTTCCCTTCTTCCTCCTTCCATTGGAAAATACTGGTTCGAGAGGCTAACCTTCCCGACGGCAAGATCTTCTGAGATAAGCCGGAGCTCCTGGTCCTGCCGCCGCCGCCGCAGGATGATCTGCCCGCTCGACTCCGAGACGTCTCGGTGGAGTCTGGGGAGCCAATGCATCAACCCAACGATGACGATCGATCAGAGATGAAACACCAGGGGGAAGCAGGAAAACTCCGGCAAAGAGAGACGATCCCCCTCCCCCCCTCCAACCTACCTGCCTGTGAGGAGCACGCCGAGGAGGAAGCTGGAGGTGCACAGGACGAAGATCCACGGAGCAGAAATCGTCCTCTCTCCCCGCCCCCTCATCGTCCCCCCCAGGTTCCCTCTCCTCCACTCCTTCTCGCACTGTCAGCCCCCCAGGAATCTCAGCCCTCTGCCCTTCAGAGGATGGCAGAGAACGAAAAGCGCCGCGGTAGGAGGAGGAGGAGGAGGAGAGCTGAGAGTCGGAGGGAGAGCCCGAGAGCTCAAGAATAAGAAGGGGAGGGAACGGCCGTTTCTATCTCGACTTCAGTTTCAGGGCCACCTCCGCAGCTCAGAACGAACTCCCCATGCTCGTTTTCGCAGCACCATTAACGTTCATTTATTTTCCTTCCGTTTTGACCCTCCCCTCCCTCTCTCTCTAAATCTTATTACATCTCTCTCTCTCTCTCTCTCTCTAAATCTTATTACATCTCTCTCTCTCTCTCTCTCTAAATCTTCTCTCGACATCTCTCTCTCTCTCTCTCTCTCTCTCTAACACGACAGTAAAGCACTAGGGTCAATGGGCCGATCCAAAACCCAAGAAAAATGCGGCCCGGCCTAGCTGACACGAAGATCAGGGAGCATGAAAGGGGGAGAGAAACCCGCCTCTCCCAAGATATCGTCCGTGTTTAACTAAGGAAAAAAATCTACCGGGGGGTTGACTCCCGAGTGAAAGAAAATAAAGGTTCCATCTCTTGGTCAACTGCTGACACCCGGAATCTGGCCCCCGAATTCCCTACGTTCTCCCAAAGCTGATGAAACCCCGACGATCGCGATCTTCGGGAGCTGGTGGCCTTCACACCCCGTTAAATTGACTCTATTTCTCTGTGCTTTCCGTCCGTCATGACTCATCATCGCTGCGCTTTTTCACCTTTCGAACCTAACCGGGAACCCTTGTCCAACTTGTCGTTACAATCACAGACAGAGTGATCTCAAATTTGTACAGACAGAGAGAGAGAGGGAGGACGGACCTAAGAGAAAACGGGTTCCAGACCAGACTCAGATGAGTCTCGCTAGCCTTGTCTGGTCCGACAAATAAATTTGGCAGAGATAAGGAGCGGGAGTAGAACAAGAGAGATAGAGAGAGATAAAGATAGAGAGAGAGAGAGAGAGAGAGAGAGAGAGAGAGAGAGAGTATAAAATGCATTCTGCAACAAAGTTATCCAAGACCTGATACATATAAGGTTAAACTAAAATAAGCATGCGGGTCGTTGCATTCTGCAACACTCACTGACAAGGCCAGGTCCGTCGCGTTCCTAAGCTCAACCCTTCTTTCTCTCTCCTTCTCTCTGGAATATTATATGATGCTAGTTATGGCATCTGCAAGAGTGAGATGAGCATGTCCAGACACTGTTTCTGCATAAACTTGACAAACAGCGAAGGGAGTAAATAAGAGAGCAGATGGTCGGTCTCGGCGGCGAAGACATTGAATAGTACGCGAACAAGCCGGACGCCGTCGTTCAGAGAACTCCTCAGTTCCCAATTCTGGCTCGTCTTCCCCCAATGAGCCAACGGGCGTCATAGTCACAGTCCTCTCTCTCTCTCACACACACACACACACAGTCCGTTTCCTCATTCGAATTCATCTTGAGGACAAATATCATCCGTGTTGCAGTCTCCCGGACCAACGGCGGGAGCCATCTCTCTCCCTCTCCCCCATTTTCTTTCGATCGTCAATGCGCCTCATTCACCTGCATCCCCCCTTTCCAGCAGCTTGTGCTTTCGTTCGATCAGGTGAAAACACAGAAGGAAAGAGGAGGGGGGAAGACAGGCAGATGGAAAGAGAGAGAGAGAGAGAGAGGTAAGTGAAGGGGATCCCAATCGTAAACCTTTTCTCCCTCATCTCTTACCCTATTCCTCGGCACATCTCTCTCTCTCTCTCTCTCTCTCTCTCTCTCTCATCTTTAATGAGAGTCGCCAGTGCATGGAAGAGAGGGATAGGCTAAGTTGGTGAGAGAAAATAGTTGAAGATATCAGTACAACGTTGTTATACTTCACATCCGGAGAACCCATCTTAAGTTGTATCATCAGTCGGCACGTCCATCTGTTTTGATATACCATCTCTCTCTCTCTCTCATGTGCCCGCTCGCTAGGTCAACAGCAAGAACCAGTCACATGGTTTCTCCTCTTTCCTTTCCTTCAGGTTGATCATAGAAGAGCCTCGTCCAGCCATGAAGCTCTTTAAGACGGGCTTTAAATGCCCTTTCCACCTGTGCTTCATCCTTAAATGCCCTCTTGTTTCCCCGCTCCACAGGAATTTCGACGTGAAAATCGGCCCAAAGGAGGAACTTTTTCTTACCGGTTGAGGGAAAGATGGAAGGACGAGAGAAGAACACTCTCTCTCTTACTCTGTATCCTCCATGCAGGAGGAGCTCCGCATTGAATCCTGTCAGCTAGGTTCCCTTTGCGCTATCATCAAGGTCCACCTCTACCTCCCCTCACAAACCGCAGCGTGTTGACGTAAACTCCCAGAGGATATTTAATGGAAATGGAGGAAGAAGAGAGAGAAAGTCACGAGGATTCCATCTGGGCAGCTCCTCGCGCCGCCCATCCTCGACGGGGAGGGGTGAGCTGTCGGGGAATTAGCGGGAGAAAATGGTGGAGATCGAGAATGGTTTGCATGAGAAAAATATAAGGAAGATTGATCGCTTCCAATTTAACCTTTTTCAGGAAAATCGATGAAGATCATAAACGCTGGGAGAAACAAAGAAAAACTGTAAAGCGAAGGGAAGGTCATAAGGGAAGTGCACAAGCTTACCTGCGTAAGCAGGGATGGAGACCGCCCAGCGCGAGAGAGAGAGAGAGAGAGGAGAGAGAGGAGAGAGAGAGAGAGAGAGAGGGAGGATTCTGGTTGAGGGGAATGAAGCCTGGTCCGAGACCACGAGGGAAGCCGGCAAAGACCTAGGAGAGGCATCAAGGGAGGAAGAATTATTATCACAAGAACCTTGAGATGCCATCTACTTTCCACATGACCTCGAGCCAGACAACATTCCCCACAACCCAGCATCAACAGGCGCGCCATCAGAACGAAGGAGAAAGAAGTAGCGAGAGAGAGAGAGAGAGAGAGAGGGGGAGGGAGGGAGGGAGGGAGGGAGGGAGGGAGAGGGGGACTTGAGGGGAATGAAGCCTGGTCCGATGCCTCCATCTTCCCTTCTCCTCATGAGATACAAAGAGACAAAGAAGGGCGTCAAGCCAGCCAACATTCCCCTCAATACATCCCCAGCACTGCACGATCATCCCAATTTGCACATAGACGGAGAGAGAAGCAGACGGATAGGAGGAGAGATAAAGATGAGAGGAAGAGGAGAGGGATAGGAGGAGAATGGGGAAGGGTTGGGGAGGGGAGGGGACCCTTTATGAAGGGTTGTGCTGTGGAGACGATGGGCGCCGTGGTGTCACTCAGTAATTGGCAATTAGCTAGCATTTCCAAATGGCACAAACCGGTGTGCAGCTCAGTAGAATTTAATAAGAACTAACCTACTGCCCTCTCTATCTCTTTCTCTCTCTTCCACCCGAAACCCTAAAAATAAATGGAAACCAGTTACTACCCCACCACACACACCCAGATGCCTCTTGAATTAAACCACAAGAATCCAACGTCCCCTCTCCCCTGCGCCCTGCAGGATCAGTGTAACAGTCACTTCCTTCACCTACCTCTCCCCGCTCTCTCTCCCTTTCTCTCTAGCCCGCCTCACCCCCCCCTCCCCTCTCTCTCTCTACATTTTTTTTACCGTACCCCATACCGCACACTCTACCACTTCACCCTGGGCCTTATATTTCCCATGTGAAAAGGGGAAGTAACTACTGGGAAGATGAACAGTCATCTCCCCCTCTCATCCTCCGCCGTCTCCTGCAGTCAACCCTTCCACAGCTGATTGACGGCTTTTCGCCACCCCCATATCTCCAGCATCCCATCGTCTCTCTCTCTCTCTCCTTTCCCCCTCGTTCGTCCATGATTACCCTATTATTGCTCACCCCGAAAACAACCCAACTCTGGAGTAGCTGACCCAGTCGGACAGCAGACCCAAACCCTACCTAGATATCTTCCTTGCACTGCACTCCTCCTCCTACTCCTCCCCTAAACCCTCTTCTCCGTTCATGTCGCCGCCATTGACAGGAAGAAGACGACGACAGCCCTCCGTCCGAGTTGCCGTGTGCGGAGAAGAGGCTTCGGTGGCCTCCATCGTCGCCTTCCGCCTCCTCCCCCGAGAAACACATTCCTCGAAGGCCCTTCCCCAAGCCAGGTGGTGTGCCCCACCCATGGCCCACCGCGAAGGTCCGGGAAAGGGGGGGGGAGAGAAGCCCTAATTCGAACGAGGAAGGAGCAGTCCATTTCTATAACTCATTCTGCACAGTGAAAATTTCTGTCATTGTTTAGAAAAAAAAGGGTTTCTCGAGTAAAATTCGCCCCTCCCGATTCGCCCGAGTCAAACAGGCGCCAGGAGAACGCCTCGGATTTGGCGACTACTTGAGATGGAGGGCGAAGAAGCGCCCACCTGGCAGTCAAACACGTGCCTCATTGAATACGCCAGGTACGGGCCGGCCAACAGCTGACACGGCTCCGTATCTGACGGGGCAGGCCCACGTGGCTGCCCACCGACACGAAGGCATCGGTAAGGCGCACCTTTTGCCCCACTTTCCCAGCAATGATGCCTTAATGATGATAAATCCCTAGGGCCCCCGGGAATCTCCAGCGCCCGATCAGATACCCCGCACGTACAGCGGAAGATCGAGGAGCACCCCGAATTGAATGCCGTGGGTGGACCGGACCACGTTAAGCCCCAACTAGCCTCGGATTTCAGGGCTCGGACGCTGCCGACTGGAACTCCCTCAAACCATACTAAGAGAGTCTGGATCATTCTATAAATATTCTTCAGATCATATACCCATATGATTAAACCCATCAAAATCTAGGGGAAAAGGCCAGATTTTTATTGAAAGCAAGATAATGGGCAGGTAAAGAAAATGGCAGATGATTCTGGGCAGCTTGATCTCATCCTCTCCCATCAAGATCAAATTCATATGTGAGCTAAGTTCTAGATATAAATGAAACCCAGGAATGGAGGTGGAGACCAGTCATGGGCTTGTCTGCTGCGGGGGAAGAAGGCCGCTCCCCTCACCCCCCCCACCCTTCATTAATGGCTCCTGAGGGTGCCAGAGGGATCATTTAAGAATGGTAGACCAGATGACTGGCGTTCCCTCATGGGGTGGGCAGATTTGATGTTTCTCTCGCCACTGCCTGTTCTTGCATTTTGGTTCTGAATTTTGGTGAATGACGCATGAAAACTAAGGTAAAATGATTTTAATGTGCAATTTTATGAAGGCCTGCTCCCAGCCTGTGTTACCTGATACTGGGCTCTTCTGAAATCCTAGAAAGGAGACGTCCACTGGATGCAGGAGAAGAGGGGGGCAGGAGGGCCTCAGCCTTTGACCCTTGGCTTCACCATTGACCTATCCACTTGGTCAAAGAGATGCCCGTTGGAGCTCGGATCAGATGATGAGCACTGTCTCAGTTATGAGGACAGAAGTTAATGAGCACCCACCGGCTAGAGTTGGCCATGATGACCTCCCTCACCTACTGAGGATTCCTTTATGAATGACCACCAGATGAAATATATATATATTTCAAAAAAAAAATCTATCTGCTCGCAGATATATACAAAAATGCTGATGGAACGAATACCTGTTAATAATTTCAAAGAATATTCGGGCTATATCTCATTAAATGCACAAAACAGAAGCTTACACCTTTCTTTCTCCGTGCTATGAACTTCAATCTCTCTCTTGGAAAACCTTCTCCAAGAACCCAATGAAACGCTTTGCATATAGCTTGGGTTCGACAGCAGATATGGTCATAGGATCGAATCGCAGTGATTTCAGGGCGTGCTCAACCTTCTTCCTCGCGTTGTAGCCCTGAAGAATGTCAATGATTCCAAAGTAAAGGACAACATCATAGACGCCGAGGTAGAAGCCAGTTGACTCTGGGCGCTCATTGGACTGAGGCTTCCAACTTGCTTGGGCAGGCATGTTGACTCCCAGCTGCACTCTTAACCTGCTAATGCAGACCACATTGATGGTAAATAAACTAATAAAAAATGTTATAGTGACAAACGAATGTGATAAAATGTTAGCACAACTTTGTGCTACCTAATGGATGACGGTTTGACAGTGAATTAGCCAATCATCTGCTGAGGTAAAAAAAAGAAAAATTGAAGCCTATTTTTTTTTACCACTGCATTTACCCATCACCTGCACTTAATATCTCACTTGACGAAATAGCAACTCTAAACCAGTCCACAAAACCATATTTTTTATTTATCAAGTCTGAGAAACTATACATATTCAATTATAAACAGTTCTGTAGCCTGATCTGAGGAAATGGAATTAGAAAGAATAGGGGAAAGTTTCTTTGCATCACTTTCATTTCTCAGCATCCTGAAGAACATCATCTTATTCATGTGCAGTGAAAACGTTTCAACTTTTATGGGTGATGATATGTCTTACTTACTTTGTACGCAGTATGTAATCCGAAACTGATCCTACAACGCACAATTTTATTCAGTTTAATGCATTAATTTGCTTATATGATCAACAGCTAAACTTTCACAAAGTTCTGGGTGACATGAAGGTAGACTATTTCAAAATTTTAACTCAGGATGAAGCTTTCCCTTAGTCATGATCATCAGTCATAAGCTATTTTACTGGTTGCCAATTTGCATCTACCATCGAATAATATTTTAGCATGGGGATCCTTGGCTCTGGAGCCCGTATTGTTGAAACCGAAAAAAAATCCTTATGGAGAAATAACAGCTTATTTGACGAGGTACGGCAGCAACTATAAGTTAGTGGCATTTAAGAAAAATAAATCCAACATATGGTCTTCCAGATGAATACTAGAGAAATATTTGGAGACTGTTTGAAACTTTCTATATTAAGAGGATGTGGGCAGCACAATGTTCTGGAGATCAATCCATAGCTGGCTGGCTCCCAGTCCTCATTAATATCCAAGTCTCCAAAACCAGAAATGAAGAAAATCGCAATAGAGTATTTCGAGAAAAGGCACTAATTCTAGTGAAAGCAAGCAAAAGCCTCCGATAAGAATGTACAATGGGGTCCCGGGTGCGGATAGATAATGGTTCATAAATCAATCTAGCTCCCCTCAGTAAAGCCTGTTTCTGTGACATGAGGTAACTGGAACGGTTGGGTGAAAGAAGAATACTTCTGAGTGTTCTGAGTAGAATTACAAAAGACCTTTGAATTTCATGAAGATTAAAGATACCCGACAAAGTATGATAAATGGATGGCAAGGAGAACAGGCCCCTTTTCAGTTCAATTCGTCTGATTAGGACTGACATGGATGAAGCGAAAGTTAATTCACCACGTAGTTCCCACCTCAGTTAGAGAGACCTCATAAATCCCCACTAAAATTATTAATCTCACGATGCCTTAAGAATAATTGGTAAATAATAGGTAACTAAATGGAATGGTGATGCTTGGATAGAAGAGAATGAAAGGGAAAAACTCACCTCCCTGCATCAGGAAGGAGAAGATCAACTTCTTCATTACCAACAGAAGATGCTCTTAGTGTACTCCCTCTGATGTGCAGCCCAGGTGTGGTATAAGAAGAATTGGGCTCATGGGTAACCAGAAGCAGTCCCTTAGAAGGCAAAGGTGTATCTACAAATATCAGGGCATAAAAAATAAAAAAAAAACCAGAAATTATCAGCTGCACAACAATCACAAGGTGATATACATCGAATTTACTGAATAAAGTAGTCCATGACAGTAATGACGCCAGTAGTTTTCATGTCCCTCGGGTATTTCTCATGAAATGAATAATCTGCCTTAAACAGAGGATTGCGATCATAGAGAAACATACCAGTCGCCTGTGAACTGCCGCAACATTGAGCTGTATCTTGATATTCTCTAAGAGACTTTAAATGTTCAGGTGCTCTAAAATGCAACCCCAACAATAGGCTATAATCAATAATACGCTGCGATTCTAGAAACATGCAATCGACAAAAATTTGCCTGCAATAAGTGACAAAAGAAACCATTAATTAATAGCGAAGATGTGACAGATGCACGAGTTAATACAAAAAAAATTAGTCAAATCCACAGGCCCTCATTGTCAATGCCCTGATCAATTAATGAAGCTATGGGGTTCCAATCATTGAAGGTATGTCCAATGGGACCATCCAAAATGTAGTTCTTGCAACTAGCATGAAACACTTTGCACTTTATTCAGTGAAAAAAAAACTATTCTTCAAGTAAAAAACTTCAACTAAAAAACGTAGATAGCTTTGACATGTAGTAACCAAAAATGAGAAAAGATTAAATTTTTCATTTAAAAAGTTTTTTCTCTGTCGTAAGATTTTAAAAATTATGATGCGTGAGGAGCAACGAATACATATTTCAGGATTACCACAATTGATTTTGTTTAAGCTAAACATTATCAACTAATAAACGAATGATCTTATTATATACCTCACAATTATAAATATATTATACAGATGTATACCCTTAAATTTGAAGGGACACTCAGCCTTTTGTATCAAAACCTCAAAGTAGTGATGTTTAAGAAGCCATAATTATATCCCCACACGAGAAGAAAACCGTTAAACGAAAAAAAGGAAGAACCTCGATCCTTGCAACTCCCGGAAAAAACACCAGGATCTTCTTGACTCTTGCGGCATGTATTACTTGGACTGGTATGCTCAGATGCAAGTCACTTTTTTGTGGTTTTTCGCTTACAATATATGTCTGAATCAGGTATTTAGAAAAAGTTTTGCTGCAAATTATCAACCTAATGCCAATCTTCTGTCTACTTTATCATAAAATACCGGAATTACCAAGTTGCAGGAGAACTACACTCACTAACTATTTATCCCGCCAAAATATAGAGGCCACAAAGCAACGTGTAGAGGATGGCCATCCTCTAAACACGGTTGAAAGGGAATCAACACTAATTGGCTGACAGGTGGGGGACTACAATAAGGTCCTTAGAGACATCTGTTTATTTCTTACAAGTGCGAAAATAAATAGTATAAAAATTCGTCGTAAAAAAAAAATTTTAGAGAAAAATGATCGCCAAATATTGAGGTAGGGGCATGAGTGGGGCGGAGGATGAAGATGAATTCAAAACGGTCCAACTTATAATCTGACCTCACAAAAACGCAGCAAATTTTGACAGGGATATATATCTACTCAAATAGGAAGCCTCAGCTAGTAGGGATCAACTTATTTCTTTTCTTTAGGAAAGTAGTGTTAGCGGGGATGCTGACCCAAGACTTCTCAATAACGAATGAAAGCAAGGCAAGTACACTGAATTTTCAGTGCTCTCTCAAAAAAAACTCTGCCAAATATCTGTCGCAACATTTGTCAGCCAATGCATCCAAAATCACCCCTCAAAATATCCAAACCCGCTGAAAAAAATTGCTTTCGAAACCTTTTATGGTCCCCCCCTCTTCATGTCTTGAGTATAGAATAAGGCATCATACATCATTGTAGTTTTTTAGTGCTCAATGTCGATTCCATCATTTGGATAATACCTTGATTGATTCCAAGATATGTTCATCATATACTTATTGCCCAAAAGAGCTAATCCAAATCTCCCACGAGAATGCGCACAATAGAAATATGTGATCAAAGGGTTCCTCCACATTAGCTCCAAGAAGTAATCTACTCAAACAGAGAGCAAGTCAATCCTCTACAACAACATCTTCAGAATCAGTAAATCCATAGCCTTCATAGCCTTAATCTGCAATATTAAACCAAGCTGACGAGACAGTGAGTTTCCCATCCCCGAATTTCTGACTCCACGAGTCTGTTTTCCGTCCTTAGCTGAGATCATTAGGAAGATGAATTTTCTATATGTTCCGCATGTATTTCTAAAGTTAGGCAGTGACCACCTCTCAATAGCCTAGAATAAAACTCGTATGGCAGCATGACACTAATGACAAATAATGCCTCGGAAAGCAAATGAAAAGGTTCCTCGAAGTGAAAGGGCAGATAAGAATATTTACAGAAATATATTTTTGCCGATTTTCAAAGATAAAACCAGCCATTACCGCACATACAACCTACAAGGGATAGGCGACGGGCTTCAATCATACTAAACACTAGCTTCCAGTCATAAGAGAAAAACTTTCCTTCCATCCCACCACTTTGGTTTCGGATTATAGCACAAACGTTATTCAATCTCCACAGTGTAAGTTGCTCTTGTCGACTGGCATCCCAAGTAGGAAATAGGAAAATCTCATGCTTTACGACCTGATCACACAACTGCCCTTCTAACCTCCCTCTTTCAACATTAAAGTCCACAGTCGGGCATCTAGTATGATAAAGTTTCAGTCTGGTGGTGTTCTTGAAACATTCTTACCATTTTGATCACAGACAACTACAACACCTCTATAGACAAGAAAATGATACTTACAGTTATCATACTAGCCATCACAACCTGAATGAAAGGATAGGGGTCAAGTATAAGGGAAGTTTGCGAAAGATGTATATTACGAAAAATTATAGCCCCGACTTTGACCTTGGGTGCTGAATATATAGTTTGAAATAAATGCATAAACAATAATGTTGAACTTTCTAGGATTGTTTTTCCTTTCTATCTGTTTCTTTTCCATTGTATTTTCGTATTTGTCTATCATTCCCTGTGTTAAGTGGATCCATTAGACTGTTAACGGATCCACTTAAAGACTAATGTAATGGGCCTGGCCCATTAACTCATGTAACCCGTACTTAAGCGGGAAATCATGATAATTGACGCATTCATTTTTGGGATTGTGGAAACCCTGCTCTAAGAAGTGGTGAATTGGTTCATCTTCCTGGAAGAAGTGGTGACTCCTTTCATTCTCCAAGTTGCACGAATCTCAATCAAGATCAATTGTCAACAAATAACTTAGGGTCAGTATCCAGTTTTATTTAGGCTTTAAATATCAGAAGTGGAAATAACAGGATATTTCAATTATATAGCCTCGATTCAGTTTCTTGAGCTATTCGCTGAAACACAAAAAGCTTTTAATAGCTGGAAAATAAGTATACAAGAACATTAGTTCCTCGACCAATTCCCACTCTTTTCCATCACCAGAATGTGAATATATCGGCTAATAATATGTTCACAATGAACCGCATTCCTACATCGTAAGCAAAACAATTCTAGCATGCTTCAGTGTTTTAAATCAATCTCTACCTAAGATTCTATGAGACTGTCCCCGAAATAAGGGGAAAAAATACTTTCGTTTCCTATGTACATTTTCATAATTGACGAAAAATAAGCATCTACTTTGAAACATATAGAGGCATTTATAACGATAATTCTGACATAAAAATTAGAAAGTTTGAGTGACTCACTTAAAAAAGGATTCGTGCCATGACTTTTCCAAATAGAAAATGTAAGGTAGATCAAGATCCTTCAATGTGGTATTCTCATCAATTTTACACCAATCAGTTGACCGTCCCTGTGATGAACCTTTCAGGTCATAACGACGATGAATCCGCAATTCTGTGCAGAACATGTTTCCCATGACTACAAACCGAACCTACAAATCAAAGATATATGAGAACTGAGAAAAATTCCACTAGTGGTCAAAGCAACAGATTTTTGACAAGTACCTTTCGTCTGCCATTTAATGTGATGCGATGCAACCCGAAAAATTTCGTGATGAGGGTATTTTCGTAGGCACCAACATGGTTGTAGTAAGCAGGAAGCATTTTCAACAGAATCTATAAGAAGAAGAAAAATATATAAGCAACAATCTTCCAAATGATTAACCACACAAACAAATCTACCCGTATCTCTATATGAATGAACTACAGAATTTTACAAAGAAAAAGACATACAGCAGCCAACTTTAATCAGTTTGCTTCATGTAGCATAGATTCCTCACAAGGTCATTTCGTATTCAAAATTAAAATTATTAACTAAAGAAAGCTCCATTGATGATTCTACATATCTCTACCACCCAAGGCGTGATCACAAAAAATAAATAGTGTTCGAATAAAAAGAAAAAAAAAGGGAGAATATGATACGCTTCGAAGCTTCACGAATATTAGAATAATCGAAACAAGCAAATTAAACTAGTGACTTTATTTTACAAACAAGATAAATTCCTTGTTCAGTTCAGAGCTCCACAACATTAACTATTTTGTTTGAAGACAAACAAGACGCAGTAAATTGTCCGGTAGAAACAAATGCATGACATTTGTTGTGAGTACTCGTAACAACTTACAACTTCGAAAAGATTAATTTTATTTTACCAACTATTGTAAATACATTTCAGTGTTGGATTTTGACATTTTTCTTAAATTTCGAAAATCAAGAGAAAAAGTTACATGTTCTCCGATATTAAAGAATCCAACTCACAGATAAAATAAGATAAGACAGCAGAAGTTGCCTATATTATTTTCCATTATATGAGCAACATTTTTCTCTCACAAACACCCACCCAAAACAAAATCCTGTCCGTCTCTCGTTGAAAATTGACGAAGTTATACTCTCTGTAATGTTGGATATACATTGAACCTAGAAATCTACGTTGGCAAGTTTAGGATTATGACAGTAAATTTAATTTGGCAGCATCAGAGTTGCTGAAAGTACCAGACACATAGCCTCTAAATTTTTTTCCTTGAGAACTTTGGCATTTCATGGCAAACTCACCTTATTTTCGAAAATATCTGATCACTGATTTGGCAATTAAATTAGCTCTACTTTCTCTGTGACAACCAAATGTAACTATCCTAGTATGCAATTGTTCGAGTAATGATGTAAATCAGTTTTTTAGCATGAAAATGTTACCCACTTTCCTCATCTCATTTACAGGACAACAATGTTTGGATGTTCATTATTCATCATAATATTAAATATTTCGGAAGAATTTAAACTTAAGTAATTAGTCAGGAAACGAAACAATTTTAAATGTTGTCTGAAACAAATTTGAAGATAATTTTCTGGCTTACCATCCCCATGTGGCCAATATCATTCCAGATATATCACACGTGTTCATCACCCAATATAAATGGACATTACTGAAGTAAAAGTTCAAAATTTCATAAAGATAGCTTGCCATCATTGTCCATAACTTCCTCTTCAATCATGACATTAACCTTGTCCATAAATGGTTCTCATGAAACCTTTTTTCCATTTTCAAAGCTGTACTTGTATGATATAGAGCAAGAGGTAAGAATATATCATCATAAAATGATAAATCTCACTCACAGATGAAAAAGCTAATGGACAAAGGTGTTCGAGATGCATCAGATTTATCTTTTCCACATGGAAGAAGAGATCAAACCTTCAATTCTGACTTCCGTAGTGTCTTTATGATAAATCTTTCATCTTGGGAAAGATAAAATATACTACCACTTTTTCCTGGAGAAGAAAGCTCCTTCAAACTATCTCCATCACAAATGGACATCATGTAATCAGCTGCATCTAATTTAAACATCTCCCGGAGATTCCTGAGAATAGACCCTTCTAAACATATTAAAATATTAAAAACTCAATATAGAGGAAATAAAACTTATCAGTCTGTAGGCCAGAAATAAGAACCAGTCCCAATAACCAGACTCCCCGTATGCCTAGTAACTTCTTGAAGAAATGTCAAATGAACAAACATTGAGTCAAAGGGATTGGGTATGGGCCTGATATCAACTTGGAGGATGAAATGAAAAGACAATAGCAAGAACTCATAACCTTTTACGTTTTATCAAGACTCACAAAGCGGGCGTTATGAAGAAAAACTGATTTCCACGGATACTTCCTATAATACACAAAAATCACTTAGGAAAAGCAAGTCAATCTAAATATTTTGCACCTCAGGTTTAAAATTAGTATCCCAGGTTTTCTCTTAATCTAATTTCTTATGCTGATATTGGTTTCAAACTAGTTGAAATGTTATTTAGTGCTTTCATGTCTAACATTATTATTTATTTGATGTTGAGACGGATATCCCTTCTAACCATATCACAGTAAAGAAAATAATGCCTCCAAAATTTGATAGGAACATCATCATTCTTCACAACACAATTGGTGAAATAGCCGTTGAGTTTGTGGTATTTCCACATTTAAACAGTTCTGTAAATATTTTAAAAGACAATCTGCATCATAAATCATTCTAAACTTAATTTTCCAAAATGAATAAACGTCAAGAACCGTTTAAATATTTGGGGTAACGAAACCATATAAAATAAGCAAGAGCAAGGATCAGCACCTAAAAACCATTGGGCAGTAATCCTCCCAAAAAAATCCCACAGAATAATGTGATGGCGTAAATTGAGAACCCTTTCGCGGAAAATACATTCGTATTCTAGCTCTAGGTCCAAAGTCGGAGGATCGAACTTCACGCATAGGTACAGGAGTGATCTTTCCAACTGTATATCTGTAGACATGGTAGAAGACCTGCCACTCAGTCTCAAGTACAATTTACAGAAGTCAGCTGAAATAGGTTATAATTCAGTTTTTTCGTAAAAATGTTATTGAAATACAATTAAAACAAGTGCTATAAAATCCAAATATCAGGTTAACATTACTTAATACTATGAACAGTATCTTGAGAGCACAAGGTTCAGTGCTGAAATCAGATAAAATATTGTCCTAGAATGATCCGTTACTGGGGACAGAATTGGGAATCACATAAGCATGCGACCTTAAACCTGTGTGGAAACATAAGCAGCATTATTCAGGATGGGAGCTCCTCAGCAGACAGGGTCTACACATATTAGTCATAGAATGAGAGAGCAGGTCAGTGTATTTTTAAGAGGGGAGGGAAAGGAATCTGCTCGGATCACTACTGAATCCGTGTAATTAAGTTAGAAACGTTAAAAGTATTTTGGATTATCTCGGATGCTGCATAAACAATCGAATGCCAATCACCTCGAGGCAAATAAATTAGAATTGAACCAGATAAATTTTTTGGAGGGAAACAAAGATGTAGATAACTTATCTTCCTACTCCCAATTCCTCTCAAAACCATGTAAGTTGGATCAACAAGAAGCATACCACAATAGTTGTTAAAAGACATATCTCTTCTACGGAATTCACATCATACAATTTGAACCAACATTCAGACAGCATACACAAGTGATCCTCCGATGTCCTAATGTAGGTTTTAAGCTACACCATTCTCGGTTTTCTTCTTTAGAGAACTAATCTATGTCATGAGACTTCAGAAGAAGAAACAAAAATTCAATTGATGAATCCAGTCAACTAGTTTTGGTTACGCCAAAATTCTAGAATTCGAAAACATAAAATCTTCTAAATTAGAAAAGTTAGTAGTTATTTCCTGAAAACTCGTATCTCCTACATAGTACATCTTTTCAAATACTCTCTGAATGGGTAAAGAACTTAGTTAAAGGCTGCTCGGTTTACCACAATAAACAATCAGTCTCCATGTCAGAAGGAACCTACCTTGCATATCTTGAAACAAAGGAGTGATGAAGAAAGAAACTATCCTGTTTTGACTGTTTTATACATTATAAACAATGAGAAACTCCATATCCTGACGGTCACAACAAAAACAAATGAGACCCCTGGTAATCTAAAATTTGTAGATAATTGCATACAAAACAAGGACTCCATATTCCCATTCTTCATTGGTTCCACACATTTTAGCCTAAAATCTAAAAGTGTTTTGGATGAATCAGAATCAAATAAATACGCTTAGATGTGCAATTGAGGCAAAAGAAACTTAAATTGGAAGGCAATTTAAACATCAATTGATATCAACGTGAAAAAGTAAGAAAATTCTTCTTTCCACTGTTTCTTCAATGAAGCAAAAACAAAAGGAGCAGAAAGGTATAATTAGCAAAAAACATCAACTGCGGAGGAATTTCAACTTTACCTAATACCAAGCTGCAGGTTCAGCATTAGGTAATAACTCTTGTCACCTTTAATGATAGTCTTACATGGACGCCTTGTATCTTTGGGTCGGACCATTTGAAGCCTGTTTATTCTATCTGGAAGACCACATGTTGCATTTCGGACTTCTTCCATTATCAACACCCCTTGTGCATATTCCCGTTCGTAAACAGGAACATGATCTTCAGAATAACTTGAATATCCCCTAGTGTTTCCCAGGGATGGACCATAAGAATCCCCAAGTATCCAGGAGTGATGGAATGTAGTCCTATTTGATATCCGTCCAGAACATTTGAGGAGGCTTCTCATCGGCCATTTATGAGAGATACTTCTGTTAGGCCTGAGTTTTTTATCTCTAAAAGAATTTCTCAATTCCCCATGGAATGGCACACCTTGTAACCCATCCAACGAAGTCAAAGATTCGTACCAAATGCCTAGAAATGGATGTTTACTTTCAGGAGGATAAAAGACTCCACGGCCATCCTTTAATCCTCTACTCCATGTACCAAAAAAGTGGGACCCATCTGCAAACCTGTGAAAACCAGACCCATGTTTCATTCCGTCCAACCAGAACCCGTCAAATAGATCACCATTTTCCCATTTCATAACCCCTCTGCCACACATCTTCCCAGACTTCCAGTTTCCAACATATAAATTTCCATTACTCCACGTGTACTTGCCTAACCCTTCCTGCACTCCTTCTCTCCATGAGCCCTCGAAAATATCAGAGTTGCAATATCTCTTTGTTCCAAGTCCATGCTTGACGTTCATCCGCCAGGATCCTTCATAAACAGAGCCATCAACTTCAGTAAAGGTTCCAGACCCATGAAGAAAACCTCCACAAAAATCACCCTCGTATGCTGCTCCAGACGGCCAATGAATCTTTCCTTTCCCCGACAATCTGCTTCTCTCCCAGTCACCCTCAAAGACAGTTCCATCTAGCCATCTATACTTCCCTTTCCCATGAGGAAGCAAATCTTCGAATTCACCAATGTAGATGTCCCCATTAGGCAAGGCCTTCTCAAGAAACCTAGATAATGAGATCAAAGAGGAACCTTAGCACAAAAATAATCCTGTGAGGATGAAGAAATAAACTTTCTAATCCTAGACCCTCTCTCAGAGAAAAAAAGTACAGGATTGTGGAGGAAAAGCTTTAAACAATGGAAAAAAAAATGAGAGAAATCATTTTATTTACCTCTCTCTATCTTCCATGGGTCATTCTAGCATGCCTGGCACGAAAATCTGATGTTCTCTTCCTATCTAACAGCTACAAGCTACGACAAATCCCGCAGCTTTCAGAGAACCAGAGAAATTTCTGTCTCCCACAGAACAAAGTAGATATCTTTCTCAGAGTTCATTTTTACAAAAATAGAACGTGCAAGGTCAATTCACACATGGGATACGTTAAGGAAAACACAAGCACTATAAGAAATAGTTGACACTGGGGAGAAACAAGAACGGACATGTTAATAAGAATGAACAATCAAAATTAATACATCGTGGGTGAAGTTGACATGAAATGTGTGAGATAAAATGATATCAAATATCAGGGATGAAATTGATTTAAATAGGAAATATACCTGATGTAGATGCAATCGAAACAAATGAATCGTAATAAATGAATGCAAGCTCATATAGCTCACGCCTATGAGCAAGAGAGAATTATCAAAATAAGAAAGAATATATGAAAGTATTTCGAGGAACAATCTCAACTATCAAACATTAAAGAGGGAAATTTATTATTATTTTCTGAAATTCTTAAAAAATACCTTGTCTCTCACATTAAACTCATGCAACAATTACATAACATAGAAAATGAAATGGAAATTTTGTATTGAAAAAAGTAGAATACAAATATATCAAAAAGAATACCACACAGGCAATGATGTATGCAATCATCACAGATTGCCACTCATCGGCTTGGAGATCGTGAAATTTTGAGAGCGTCTCTAAAGAACGCAGAGAAATAGTAAATTCGATAACCTAGTATTTAGTTTCACAAGGATTGTAGTCTCATTCTTCCTTGGCTAAAAACTTACCCTATATGTGATCGCTTGTCTCTTCATCAAAAAGTTTACTCCCTATACATCTAGACTCCTTTCAACTCATGAGAATTATGAACCTTTTGGACCACTTACCAGACTTTAAACCATGCAACCAGATGTCATATTTTATCCACTCAGCTTCCTCAAATCGATTACCTTTTGGCAGGGCCTCCTTTTACCACATGTTTAATCCATCATAGACACGCCCAACCAAGAGGTTGATGGGACAGGATTTATGATTGCAACGATGTCTCAAAGAGTGCCAACAAAGTGAGCCCAATCCCTTCCATTGTCTGTACATGTCAAAGGGATATTGCACATTGAACAGGGTTATCTCTTTGAACCTGTTCATGACAAACTTTGGATAGGGAGCTTGATGTACACAAGGATTATGCCGCCAAAAGATTATGCCTCTAACCAATCGTATCCCTTGAAGGAACCAATTTGATCAGTTTCTGAGAGTCAAACTAAAAAGGGATATGCTTCTCCTGCTTGAGGGAGCTCAAACCTCTACCATGATCGTGCGACTAAGAGAGCTTGGACATAGTTTGATATGTCAACAGACAATCATCGAAGTCTGTCCAGATGTGCAGAGTTTGGAAGGCATGCGAAATGTTAGGACAGTTTTTTTTTCAATTTCCGTCTGGAAACATGAAGACCACAGCAGTTGGCACTTTTTATCAGGAAGAACAGGTTTAGAAGTGTTTATTCATTCCGATCAATTTGATGAGATTGATGAGATTGAAGAATTGATGAATCAGACCCAATTCTGATTATATCGAAGTAGATTATTACTGCAGGGAAAGAACGATTTTTTTAGCTGCCATGGAGTCCAACAAATGCCGATTGAAACTACCTGAGAGATAGGCAGAGGTAAAGGTGACTACGCCATGGGGAAGAGCACTGGAAACCATCCTGTGGTTTCAGCAGGCTGAGAAGACGAGCAGGGTTTATCAAAAAATCTCGACGACCAGCTGCCATCAGGAGAACAAGCTTCCGCCAAATGAAACGCGGAAGTGCGTGTGCCTGTGTCTGTCTGTGTATGAGAGAGAGAGAGAGAGAGAGAGATTGGAGCAGTGAGCTACAGAGTATACCTCTCTGCGAAAAAATCGCAGCACCCGAGCATCACTCCCATATCAGTACAGTTTCTCTGGCCAAATAAGGCAAGAAGAGGGCAGATAGAGGGAAAGAGAGGGAAGATGGACATGTATGGAGAGAGAGAGAGAGAGAGAGAGAGAGAGAGAGAGAGAGATTTAGAACGGAGTCGTGGAGGACAGGGATTCCCAAGGGGGAAGGGAAGGTGGGACGAAGCCGGCTGCTGCTGGACGAGTTGGCGTCCCAAAGTTCAAGAAAGGCCAACGTTGACTAGAGGAGTCACAGTTGCGGCGGACGGCGGGAGTAATGTATTACAACCATTAATCCCCGAAAGAGAAGCAAGAAGAGGGTAGAAGAAATCAGAGGACAGAGACCAGCCCTTGACGGCGCCCCACGCCAACCTCACGGCACCATCATCCCCTCCCCCCTGATGAAAACCGATCACCGAGATTACTCCGAGAAGACGCAAGACACGCGCAGAGGATCCCAAATTCGTGCATGAAAATTCTCAGCACGCATCATTACCTGCAGCATCCCACTCGCCAGCGGGGGAAGGAGACGATATCAGTGGAATGCGATCAAGCTCTCGCTGATGCTGCGCCGCCCACTCCCTCTTCTCCCCTCCCTTCCCTTCCCTTCCCTTCTCAGCTCTCAGAATCACGAAGAAGGGGCTCAACAATCCCTTCTCTTGCCTTCGAGGGGCCCTCCCGTTGAAGCTCCGCCGCCAACGCCGCCGTCTTCTCCCTCTCCTCGTCCTCAGCTCCGCCGGCGAGCAGAGAAGAGGAGGGGGCGGGGGGAGATGGTCGGAGAAGAGGGCGGTGTGGGCCCCTCGGTCCAGTCCGGTTTGCTCGAACCGGAACGGGCAGCAGATCCGAAAGTATAGAATAAGATACCGGCTTTCGGGCACGTGGCGAGGATCCGATAAAGACAGAAGACATGTGGCGCAGTGGTCCAGCCCCCCGGCTGCTGGAAAGTGCCATCGAATCCACCGAGCTGCCCCTGAAATAGACGACCCCGTGTTCTTGTCAGCCAGGCGGCACCCGCTTTGATGGATCCCACCTCATAGGCTTTCAGGAGTGGGTCTGACCTCACAGTGAGGCCCACGTTTCGGACCACGTTGACAAAATGGTACCAAAAATAGTATTAATTAAGCATTATGCGATAAATATTATCGAAGATTGATGGGCTAATTTTTGTCCTGGGCGTCAATATTCTTGCTCTTTTTGTTGACTAAATATACGATTTTGGAATGATATCACCAAATCTTTGGCTTTTGGGATTCTATCACTAACTGGAACTCTCAATGGATCAGCCTCTATTTCTGTGACGTGGCACCCACTCTAGAAAAGTCAACCCTGTTCTTTCTCACCCAGGAGGAACCATGGATTATGCCAATATCTGGATTCTCCAGATTTCTCAGTTGGGTTTGGAGAGGACCCACTAACCTACGGATGATCTGGCCTCCACCTCCAGGTTCTTATCATCTTCTTATCTATCACTCATTGGATGAAATTATGTTATATAATAACAATAATATCATTTTAATTGGCGACGGGCTTAATAAATTGGTAATAATCGGTTCAATTAATAGGATTTTCGTTGACATTTGACTCTCATGTTGACTTTGAAGTACTTCAACCCTTTTTGTGAAGTTGACGGCCTGAGATTATTTTTTTTTGGGAACATTTACCCTGATTTTCAAATTAAATATTTTTATACATAAAAATATATGCATTCAATACTCGTAATCATTACTTCTTTATTTCCACAAAACCCATAAATAAAACGCTGATGTTGAGCTATATGACAAGCATTTTAGAAGATTATCTCAATTGGGTATGAATATTTATTCCTCCCCACCCTCCCAAAATAAATAATAAATAAACAAAATATATTAAAATGAATTTGGCAATTTTTCCTCTTTTGGATATATATACCTCTAGTTCACTTACAGACTACACAACTTTAAATATCTTACTTATTTTCCTAAAATAAGAAAACTCTTCCCTAAATCATGGGGTTAATTATCAGCCATAACATCTCAAACACTATAAATAGAAAAATATAACAATATATATATATTTTTATATATTAATATCCAAAATGTGTATTTTTTTCAAGTATGTGCCTTCTGGGTTCCTCTCTGACCAGACCTTCAAAGGCGTCAGAGAGTTCTTCCTTTCCATGCCCAGGTGGGGTGCTGTGGGGGGGGTGGGGCTACAGAATCAGATGCCAAACCAAGAGGAAGAAGACACAAAAGAGAGGTTGGCTGTTGTCCCACACAAGCAAGTTGATGGCTCCCAGCCACCCATCAGATTCCCCTTCTCCATCTCTGGCAATTTCTGAGGATGATCTGGGCCTGAACCTGCAGGGTCTTCTACCATGGAGGATGAATGCAGAACCTTCAAGAGCAAGCATATCACTCGGCCATGGTTTAATGAAATATACAGAGAATGTTTCAGAAGAAGAAGCCAGGGACCCAGTTGGTGGCTGTACAAAGAGAGAGAGAGAGAGAGAGGCAAGGGCTTGGGAGGTATTTACATCTTAAAGGTTGGCATGCATGCATGTCCAGTTCACAGAGCCTTCAGGAGGAGCTTGCCGGTGGTGCCTACACCCTTCACCGCTGCCTTCACAAGCCCCCGATGAGTGTACAACCTTCGTAGATCCACACCCAGGAGTCAGAACATGAAGAAAAAGAGGTTGGAAGAATCCCACATTTCATGAGATTTCCCCCCCAAAAAAATGCTCTTCGGTTGCCAGCAGGAAAAAGACTAAAAACTAGTCAAAGAAAAAAAAAACAAAAAAGGAAAGATTTGGTCAACGGGTTGAGCATTTGGTCAATGGGTTGAGCATTTTTTCAGTTTATTAAGTCTGAAGGGTTTTTGGACCTTATTTTCTGTGGCCCACAGGCATTTTCACGGCTAGATACCGAGTAAAATGGCTATGAAAGGTATTAGTTTGCTATTTTCTGCAGAGCCTCCGAGATCATGGAGACAGTTGATGGAGACTCACCCTGCTAAAGCGATTCCCCAGGTGGACAAGGCGTACAGAAGCTTCCCCGCATGCCAGGCTTTCTTCAGCTTGAACCAATCGTTCATGTCGTTCAAGGCCTTTCCCACGGCTGCAAGTATACAATGTATGATAAGAAAAGCACAAATCAAATGGTTTCTGTACATAACAAATACAAGGGAGAAAGCTGGAAAGATCGTTTCACTGTCTCTTCTGCGAATAAGAATGAAAAGAATCGGCCTCAGTGCGTGTGCATATTTGGCCAAGTCCGACTGACCAGACATGAACAAGAGAACTAGTTGTCGAAATGGTAAGAACATTTCAGTAGGTGAAAGTTGTAGATCACCGGAAAGGAAGGGAAAAAAAGAACAGTAGCGATTGATACCCAGATTAGAAGAACAGAAACAAGCATTCAACAGAAGGAAGTAAAGCAATTCCTGCCAAAGCTAGGGAGAGATTCTACACGTTGCTTACTTTTCTGTAGCTCCTCTGGACTCACGCTCTGCGTTTTGGAAGAAAAGGGTTTTTGTTAGACAGCCAGAAAAGAATGCAGGAGAAAATGAAGAGGAGGACCCAAATCGAGAATTCTCGTACCCTGGATTTTGGATTTGCGACTATACATCTAGCCATGAAGTTGGCAATGCCGTCCACCACTTGTTCTTCGCCAACAATGACGTAGCTCTCATTGTCAATGCCACTCGGTTCCTGAACAATACCAGGAACCATTTCTTCAGTGACCCAGACCCAAAAGCTTGGCTCCCCACAGCCGACATCGACCATAATATCAGCGGTCTTGGAATTTTCTCCTGGCAAAGCAAAAGGCAAAAATGTTGAGGAAGTGAGAACTAGGTTGCTTTGAAATTTCAGAGACAAGAAGATCACACCAAAGAGAGAAACATACCCATGACTCTTTTGAATGGAAAGCCATTACATAGGGAATCAGCTGGTTCTTGATTAAGAGCTTTGAGGTGATTGAGAAAGCTTGAGGATTCTACAGCCCGGACAAGTCGTGAGTGCAGCTGAAAATTTACCGATCATTGTCACCCTTTGAGTTATCTTTCCCAATATAGTTTACAAACCACAGCTCTGCTGATGAGAAGAAAGACGAAACGAAGACAAAATAATACGAATTTAATGACAAAGAAGCATATGCCTGGACTTGGTGAATGATGTAATGAGGGATTTTCGTAAGTCATTAAGTTTAAGTTTAGCTTTGCCTATTTTGGCCGTTTCTAGAAGTATTTTTCTATTAAGGACCCTGAGGGTATCACAACGTTTTCGCTACTTTTTAGGACCATTTAAGGCCGATATTCCAGTCCATTAGCTATGAGAACTGTTTCTAAGGGCGCGCCCATACAAAGGCCTAATGTCGTTCCTAAAAATGGGAAGCTGAAATTGATGTAAAAAAGAAACAATCTTTTGAGCGGAAACTGTGATCCTAGATCTTTCTACAGTAGGTTCACAAAGGCTCTTCATCTCCGATCTGAAATTAGGGCGCCAAAGCGTGACATAGAGGGATAGTTCATGCTTGTCTGATCCCTGGTATCCTTCAGGCTGCGTGGGATCTCTGCATCTCCGAGAGGAGCATAGCTGGTGGGCTGTTTACTCCAAGATCCTCCGCCACAAATCTCGGTCCACGAGTTCAAGGTATAATCATTGCCAATCATAGTTTGGACCTATCATCTAATTTGTCATCGAACGTCTTTTATTGATGCTTATATTTGTCTGTAAGTCCCCACTAGTCCTACCTCCTTATCCCTAGTTATTCTCCATCATTAACACATTATAAACAATTAGTTTAGTCAGATAAAATTTCCATACTTCCTATGGTCTAAGTCTGGTTTCGCAACTATGAACATAACTCTCCGGTGACTACTCAAAGAGGATATCTATTTAGTGGGCCATCCTTCATTTAAATTGACATTTGCTGATGTCTTTTAAAATAAGTCAAATACCCGCATCATTTAATCCAACCAATGAACATTAAGAATAATAATGCAAAGCAGGAGCAGCCTGTCCTCTTCCCTTTAACTGTAATGATACAATTGTTCATTAAAATACATGCGTGAGAGGAGCTACGCTTGTAAAGAGTTTTTAAAAGCATCAAAGCTTCCTCAATTAATGAGATGACAGTCAAAAGTACACTAGTTGACGAGATGCCATCAAAAGTGTTCTTGCTAATGAGAAATTATAAAAGGTACCACAAAAATATTATTGGGCAGTCATTCGAAAGTTTGATGAAAGCTACAGTAAACATCAGTTGACATCACACACTACGTGATCTACTGCAGTCACTGGGCGCTGTTCAAGAAGCACAAATCCGAAAAAGAACTCCCTGATGACATTTCCAATTTATCAGCAACTCCAAGTCGTGCACTAAATCAAACTAAGAAAGTTTTATTTTTGAAATGCCACTCCCTTTAATACCATGCAATTCTAATCCTGGTATCCTCTCATTTCACCTACAGCAACAAAAACCCACATGCTGTCACCTGGTAGATGAAAAAGACCACCAATCCCAGTTCACAAAGAATTATTTGACCCTGAATGACCTTCCTGAAGTACGGAGCATTAGCAACGTCTTCTGGTAACCCAATCATTCTGCTCATAAATTCCCGAAAAATGAAGTGGTAAAAAATAAGGTGCTGTTGGTTCACTTTTAGATAATAGAACGAATCAGATGATCTGGGCTGGTGGATAATGCTCTCAGACGAAATCCCACGGGCCATAAGAAAGGAACAGATAGTTAAAACGAATACTAAAAAACATGCAAAACATGATCAATATGGCCATAGTAATTGTTTCCAACGTTCAGGAGTAGTTAATACGGGGGATGCTCTTCAAGTAGGCCACTTGAAGAGCACGATGACATACTTCTCCTTTTAGCCTACCACTTTGGTATGAGGAGGATCTTCTTGGATTTTTCCCTCATCTGAGGTTCTGTATTTTTCCTTTCTCCTCTCTCAGTTTTAATATAATCTTACATACTTTTGTGCCAGCCTTTTTTTACCCTCGAAATGCCACCCCACCTTCAAAAGAAAAGAGAAGAAAAACTCTTCTATAGCAACAATTAACACCTTTGGCACGTTTCAAAAGATCCAAAATTCATCCCTTTTTGGGGTCAAAAGAAGTCTGATGAATTCCATATAGTTCTTTGCATAATGCGAGGGCTTCCACCCAAGTTTTGCAACACTAAACATGATATTGCAAGCTCATCAAAATGCTTCAGCGTGCTACAAGATTCCACAAGTTCCTTCACTTTCATGGCTGCTTATACACATCATTTTCTTGGTGTAAGTTGCTGATATGATTGGTCCCAAGACAAAGTGAACCAGTCTCGACCGTTTCAAATAAAACAAATAGAGTTTCTTCAAACTTCCTGATCCACCATTCTTTCACCTGGAATCATCTTCTCACAAAACAAGAAACCAACCATATGCCCACTTGATTGCCTGAAGAGATAAGGCATCTTTTGAACCATCTCCATTAATCTTTTAGCTTAATTAAAAAAGGAACATCCACATATCTTCCCAGACGATCATGCAGATTCGTCTACCCAACTGCGCTCAATGATCTATATTGCTCTTAGAAGAATTTTGCAAATGTCAAGCTGTGAAACACACTTTGATCATTAACTCACCAACAGCTGGCACGTGTCAAATAATTCAAGAGACTTCAATTCCAAGTCAAAAACTCCAAAGAGAGCATACAAGCACCCTGCATCCCTCCCTTTGACCTACTAATCTTCAAGTTATTTTTCTACAGCCTCTTGGCGATTAAGTTCATGCTAACGCATATCTACTGTTCACCAGGAAACCCAGGTCTAAAAGACACGATGGCGCACTATGAGGAATATGGCAATTAAATGATGGGGAAGTAAGTCATAAAAGGATATAATCCGTTGACGTGATTGCTTGCTTTGTGGGGCATTTTTGTCAGGCTTTGAAGAATGGATGAGGGCATCAATAGGCTGTTTCCAAAGTTTACAGGTTATTTCTTAGCAAGAGACAATAAGATGTTTAATTAAAGGCTTGGGGGCATGGATATGAAGAAATATTTGTCAACACTGACAAATAATTTGAATTACTAGATTAACAATGAATTCAACAACTAAAATGAAATTAGAAAAAATAAAATGAAAAAAAACGAGGACTAACGCTTCACATATATTATACGCATGTACACACAAGTACCTCTATATGAGTACCACCAGTCCTTTTTGAAAGTCATCGGCAAGATACAAGACAAAGGTACACCAAGAAGCTAAGAAAAGACCCAACACCTCACCCCACCCTCCCCGAAAAAACGCCGACTTTAATTAATTCATATATCTTCAACACAGGGACCTAGTAAATTATTAAATTATCCACCTCTCGTCATCATATTCTAAACCTTTCATTCAAAGAATCAATATCACAAGTAGTATGGTGCACCATTCGAAATAATTTCAGCTTCACGAGTTGTAGCTCACTTGAGCAAAACGAAACACATGAAGATCTTTGCCAGATCAAGCATGTCAGTTCGTCATGAATTATTTCATTTATCTATTTCACTTTTCTATCTCAACTTCAGAATACTGGATTAGACCCGCCATTAAAAAGGAATCATGCACATGACATGACGCCGAGATATTGAACATGCAGCAAAGTATTGAGCACATATCATCCAACCTGAAAGAAAATTTACATGTAGCAAAAGACAGAGCGGTAAATAAATGACTATTTTTTCCTTTCATTTTCAGACCATTTATTTTGAATCACGGGCTTATCCTCTTCACCAACAATCCACAATACGTTTCCAAGTTCATCAAAACGAACGGCTAGTGAGATTATGGTCAAGAAATAATTAATTAAATTAATCATAGGCAGTAAAACTTTTTCAAGGGGAGAAATAAGAGGACGATTCCATTCTTTACTGTCAGTTTCTAATGAACCAATCTTCATCACGTTACAGATTGACGAAAAAAAGATACTAATTGCGTCTTACTCAAAGATATATGACAAGAAATGCAAGTGCTCGTCTTTATGACGAAAATTCCGCAGAACACCGAAAATAATAACAGGCACAGCCCGTGCCTCAGCTTTAGGACAGATCGGATGGAAAGAGAGGATACTTACGTCGGGCGGGCAGTCTTTGGTGAAAGAAGGGAACTCAGAGATGCCCTGTAGAAGGGCCAAGTTATCCGCCAGGAGGCCCCGGAGGCGACGATTCTCCGACCGAAGGAGGCACAACTCCTCTTCCCCCTTGCTCCCCGCCCCACCATCGGACGAGGCGTTGGGGGGACTTTCTTGACGGTGGCGGTGGTGCTCGTAGGCGTTCCAAGCGACGTCGGCGACCTCGAGCACCGTCTCCACCACCTCGAGCGGGTGCCCGATGCCGTGGCCGACGTGCTGATTCACCATCCCCTCTGCACCACAACCCTCACCCCTTTCCCTCCTCTTCCTCTTCCTCTTCCTTCTCCTCCTTGTCCCACAAACCCGTTCAAATCCCAAATCCCTACTCCATCAACCTCCGGGAATCGTCGCCCTGCAAATCCAAAGCCGCCGGCAATCGTCACCGGCGAGGAGGGGGGAAGGTGAGTTGAGGGAAGAAACCTCTGCCGTGACGGAGGAGAATAAGACCATCTGTTCATCCATGGAGAAGGGGCTGTGTTGGAAAACTAACAATAAGCACCTTCAAACGTTATAACTTGCTAACGAACCCTGTGCCCCAGAAAAAAATTATCGCCTCTACCCCCTCTCAAGGGGTCACTCGATAATTTTAAAGCTGAACCCGTCAAATCGAGGCCCAATAAAAAATCAGGCCCGGGCTTGTGGCTTATTCAAGTACCCCTCTCTCTCTCTCTCCCCCTACTGTAGTTTACTCTCTCCCGGTTCCAAAACAGACAATTTTTATGATTAAAAAAATATTTTTAATTGATTATAATGCTTGAAATCAGATAGAAAAAATAAATATGAGCATGATTAGGATGATCCCACTGAATCTTGGCTGGAGTCGCTTGGGGAGAGAGAGAGAGAGAGAGACGGGGAGGATTAGTCCTCGGTCAACTATCTCCAAGGTCAACTGTTATGTTGGAGGAGCTGACCGAGAGACCCACAAGATCAGATCACAGGGGGGAAGAAATCTAGGAGGCTTCGAGGGTCTTCCTCTTGCTGTCTGACTTTGACCGAGAATCTGCAGAGGCCTGCTTGAAATCCGAGCTGCACGGGGAAGAAGATTCAGATTTACATATAACTTTACATATAAATCGATCCCGCCGCCGCTCTGAATAATTTTTCTATGAAAACAGATTGAAATCACACCCGAAAAAAACGGGAATTCCAAATATGGGATCATCTTGATCGGAGACCATTTCACAAGGTCAACGGCGCTTCCTCTCCGACCCCGATGTTATCAGGAACATACAGATCAAACATACTCAAATCATGAACAAAAAGATCACAGCAGCAGATAAGAAACGAGAAGGGCAAAAAAGTCAACGGAGGGGATAAAAATCATCATGAACTAATGTCGTGGGGAACAGATAGATAAGATAATTATCATGAATAAAAACTAATGAAAGAGAGCGGAAATCATGGAAAAAGTCAACAGAGGGAACATCACACGTTAAGCTGGATTGGTGAGAGAGCGGGGACTCACCCACATGTAGAGCATTTCTTGTGGGTTTTGCAGAAAATAGAAAGGCACACCGAACAGACATAGCCCCTGTCGATCGGCTTCTTGTGGCAGAAACACCTGCAACAATGCCAGAAAGTCAGCGATCCTTGGAACAAGAACATTATCAAAACAGAATAAGTCCAGAAATATAGAAAATGATGGTGCATAATAAATAAATAAATAAATAAATAAACAACTGGGTTAGATGCATGCATGGCAAGAAACATCGTGTCACAAAAGTCAACCAGACCAAGAACTGCTGGCTGTTCTCCCATAAAAAACGACTATTTTGGGCAACCAACCACAAAAATAGGCACAAGAGCATACTCTGAGTCAATCGTCGCCGCTGCCTATTAGAGTGGGGATAACAAGATTAAGATAAAAGAATGAGAAACGAAGCTGTGATGATGATGGGACGTCCTAGTAGAATGAAGTGGGTTACGACATACGAGGCACGGAAGTCAACCCCAGCCGATTTGGGAAGTTGAAGAAAACTCCGCGATTGCAAGTCAGCTGCAAACACTACCTGTACATTTTAAGACAATGTTCATCCACCGGTCTCATTAGAAAACGCACAAAAACAGAGATTATATCTTTAAAGATAAATCTGGCGATCAGGATGAACTGGGTAGCAGAAATATCAGCCATTGACCAATTATGCCTGCATATGTAAAATAAAATAAAATAATAATGATAATAAATAAATAAAGCAAAACGACGAGCTACACATATAAAGCTAACTAGCTTTCTGTATTTCATAACGATATTAATGTGCATATCGTCATCCGTAGCATATAATTTATTTTATTTTGTCAGATGTGGTATCGATTTACAGAGGGCTGCAGGCATTAATATACAGATTTCGCCAAAGTATCCTGGTCCATCAAGATGATGAAGTAGGTTTTCAATGAGAATAACTATCAATGTTGATTCTCACATGAAATTCCAAAGTGCCCACTCGAGCCTCTGAACCATTACAGATCCGCAAGGGTTCTTGAAAGCCTTCTGCGATTGACTAACCAGTCTGAACATCACACCTTCTGTGCAAACTACAGAGACTCATTGAAAAAAATGATCAGGAGCCATGCAGATTCCCCGCACCACATGCCCAATGAGTGTGCCTCTTAAAGGAATCGATCTCTAACCAGCGATCTGCAGGTCAACGGATCAAAGACGGGCAGTGGGAGTCTGTTTCTGTCTGCTAGGCAAGAGGATCGTAACAGAGAGTGACCATTTTTAACCAGTGTGTCTAACGCCTCTGGTTATCTCCTCAAGACCGGTAAAAGCATAAAAAAATCCACTAAGAAAGCCTGCATGAACTATATTGTTGCTACGTTCAAGGAAGAGTTTGAGCCTTGTTCTTGAATGTGTTGGACTACTCGGCTCATTTCTATCCGTGTAGGAAAGTTTAGGGTTCCCACAGAAACAGCTCTCCTCTCAGTCTGTGAGAACTCAATGTGCATTTTACAGAATCATGATTCCACCCAAGCACCCCTGATGACACAACTTTGGCTACTCAGAGTCTTATCTCCCTCGTAATCTCCTCCCCTCTACCATCACATTCTGTCATGTAGGAAGGTAAAGAGCGACAGATGCCCCGGACCCACTCGAGCTTTTTCCCAAAAATGTACATGAAACGAAACAAGTCCATGAATCAATGAACATTGCAGATTAAACGAAGACTGTAGACAGAGAGTAAAGCAATGGATTCTTCTGTCCATACAGAGAGATATTGAAACAGGGCGTCGAGTTGCTGAGGTTTCAAATAAATTCCACCCGTTATATGTGATGCCTGCAAACTAACCAGGGTTAGACATAATTGGAGAGATTAAAAAGGAATGATATCCAGAAAAACGAAAAGGAATTTATCTGCGCAAGATGACGAGGGTACCTGTTGCAGAAATGCAGAGTGTCGGATTCCCACGACACATGAATCTATAGGAACCTGGAGAAATTATGACAAGCGACCCCTCTTCAATATCAACCAGAAACAAGTAACGATCAAGATTGTGACAAGAAAAATATTATTGAATGATAAGGACAACAAGCATTAACTACTTATCACTGAGCCCCGAACCCCAAACCCACCCCTCGGAAGAAAATAAAGATTAAAATAAATCCAGCCACCAAAATGTAAACTCAACCTTCAATCGCTATTGGCATGGACATATTAAAGAATGTGCGAGTTGAACCTTAAATAAGCATGGGAGTAATGCAGCTCGTCATTGACAGCATTTTTTAAATTATATTCTAATCAGTTGAATACTACCTGTTCTTATAAGATAATAATCCGGACAACATCCAAGTCTAGGCAGTCACACTTAAGCAGAAGTTATTTCTGTACAAGAAGAGTATTTCACCAACGCTTATCTATTAACATTTTAAAATACATACAAAAAATTACATCGTAGATGTTATCATAGCACAAAGGCATGATACTTGGAATTTTTACGACTTAATCATTTGAATTTTTTATTTTTTTTTTATGATACAACCCCCCCGCTACGTATATAAACTAATGAAACAAAAAAATAGATCCACTTCAGCCAGCACAGAATCTTTCTGATTTGTCTGATCTAGTCCTGATTGGGATTTCACAATCAGGTTGTCTGATCCAATTTATATCACGATAACGATAGGATATTACTACTGTAAGTTGAACACAATAACCTTGAGGGTAACATAAACTTCCGATGACTCCATTCTTTAAACGAGTAAATATTCACTCGAATGGAAAATATAAATCACAGTTTACACTTACCACGGAGCGCTGGGCTGAGAAGATTGCATTCATCACGGCAACATATCTACCAATTTACTCTTTCCAAGTTAGAATCAAACCGTCATGAGTCAAAGTAATGCAGTGTAAAATCTGAAGCTTACTGGTCTGGTCCATCTGGAGAACCCTGCAAGCATAAAATCTGTAACAGCTACTTAGTTCACAGTTTAAGAGATAGTTTCGTTCTTGAAGAGAGCAGAGATTATTATGATTTTAGACTAAGCATCACCTTTTACAGTAACTACTTTGCAAGTAAAATTAAACATCACCTTTTCTTTAAAAAATACCTACTGGTACTAAACACTTTATACAGATCTATCATTATGCATAAGCTGGCTTTGGGAGGTGGCTGCATGATGCCGAAGCCGTAAAAAGGAGATTCAGAGAATGTGTAAAGAGGCAAACCGACTAGAATGAGGTGGGCACTTACTCTCGGTTGAGGATGAAGTATTCCAGAGCGAAACACTCTTTGGATGTCTGTTATCAGGAGGTTAAGGACACGTAAAATTTCAAAACATCCCAGACCAAGAGGAGAAATCAACGGCCAAAATTCTGTAAAGTCAGGGCGGATACAGCAAAGAGCAAGCGAGAGGGACCCAGACAGCAATGAGGAGGTAGTTGCAGCCGCCCGCTCCCCATCCCTGCAAAGCTGCCGGTCCCTCTCTACGAACTCCTCCAGCCTCCGCAGAAATCCAGCACGAAGATCTGAGACACTGGTCCCGTCGCTACCGCCGCCGGAGTCATAGATATAGCCGCACGACTTGACACCAGCGGCGATGACAACAACCTGGTTGAGCGGGTTGATGAGTAAAATCGAGCTCACGAACGGTAACACCTGACCACGATGAGCAAAACGGAACGATCAGAACTGATTGAGAAGCTTCTGCCGGGAACAGGATTCATCAGATGCCGACGTGACTGAGGAATTTGGAAAATGACAGGGCGGCAGCGGGTTGGTTCGTGCCGGAGTTGGCATTGACACCGGCCCAGAAGAAAGGATTCACGTCCAGGAGGACAACCACCAAACTGACATCGTCTGCTCGAAGAAAAAATTAGGGTTAGAGAACAAAGAACCGAGCAGATAGTTAGCGGGAAAGCACACGAAGATAGAGAAGGGACAAAAGGAAGGGAAAGAGAGGAAAGGAGAGCTTCTCTACCGCTGTAGAGCTTCGAGGAAACAGATGAAGCCATCGGAGGATCATCCAACCTGCGAAATCCCCTCCCTCCCTCCCTCTCCGAGGTTCTCACAGAGTGAAGATTGGAGTGAAGATTGTCGCTCTTGTCCCAGGAAAATCGGTCGACGGCGTTTGGGAACGCTGCGGGCGGATTTTTCGGAAATCGATAGTGAACAACTCTCTTTTTCAGGAAATAACACGTGGAAGTTTTCACTGTAATTTAGCTTTTTAACCACTCACTCTGAATATATATGCCCTAAAAATACGAAGATATTATAAAATATAGGTGCTGTCGATGAATTTATATATAAATAATATACCCCTAAAATACGATAAATGGGGAATATAGACCTCAATTTTTTTGATGCGTGGAAATTAATTTTTCGCCTTTTTGTACTCACATATTTTATCATATAATTAATAATTAATATGTGACGTTCCATTTAACCAATAAATAGCAGTAAATATTTACTAAATCATTGGCCTGAGATTTGCTAAAGTAGATAGAATAGAGCGAGAAAATCCCAATTTATGAACACACAATTAAAAAATAACGATTAAATTAGGGATTTGACCCCCACACAGATGATCCCATGATTTAGACCAGAATTATTAATAGTTGACCATCCATCACGTTTTGGCACCCCCCCCCCCCCCCAAAAAAAGGGAATATATATATATATATTGTACTTGTTTTCTTTCTAAATAAACTGAAATATCTAATTCGTTATTTTTAAAAAATTAGGATTATAATTTGGTCCTTACCAAAGTAGTTGTTCTAATATTAACGATAAAGTGCTGTGAGTTGTGAAAAAACATAAAAAATAATAAAGAAAATATCTGCACACTGGGAATTGACTGACCCAAACTTATCATCTCTCTCTCTCTCTCTCTCTCTCTCTCTCTCTCTCTCTCTACTGCGGAGGTTCAAGCTCAAAAGAAATGGACTGTAAAGGGGTCAGACCCATTCGACAAGATCTTTCCAATTATAGCATTGACAATAGAAATCAAGGGCCGAAATCAGCAAAAAACTAAAAATGAAGTACAGATCATGCCAGATGAACCTAAAAGTCAACTCTCATCATCGCTGCCCAGTCTTCAAGAGGCGGGCATACAAGTAGAAGCAGCAGCAAAAGGGGTGGGTGGAGGACGATCACCTTACTTGACCAGACCATTGGAGGCCTCCTCCAGGCAGAATCCCGCCTCCGTCTCCATGATGATCCTCCTCACAGCTCCTGCAAGATCGCTCACGTGGGTGTCTTCACAGCCTGCACCAATCTGAAGCTGGTCAGACCAGCAAGAACGGGTCAACCCCTGGGCGGAGACCATCCTAGTGGGGGACCCACCAAACTCGGCGAGGGCATCCTCCAGATGGAACAGGTATTCTCTGTTGGGCCCCGACGGGCCTCTGGCACGGACTATTTGCCTGCCCATCACAGAGATTTAGAACAAAAATAAATAAATAAATAAATAAATAAACAAACAAATAAATAAATAAGTTCATACATGGCCATCTCTTCGATCGATGCTGGTCCCAAGTAGTTCTTGTTCAGATATTTATCAGCAGAGGCTACGTATCTACAGCAAAGATCAGTCCGCAGCAGGAAAAAACCAAGAAGGTTAACGGGTGGACTTACACCATCACTCCTGAGACAGAAGGGCTCCCCGAACCAGGATCCTGAAACCAACATGCAATAAATATGGCCCGGATTATATTTCATACATATCTAATAAGCTAGCAAGTTGGAAGGATTTAAGTAACTTACGGTGAAGAAATCTAGGTACACTTTCATGTCATACTGTTTCTCCCGTACTTCCAAAGACTGCAGCACAGACCAGAAGGTTGACAGTCAGAAGAAGATGGGAGCTGGTGATTGACTACGGACCGGCATCTGGGTCTTCACGAATGATTTGCCCTAAAGAGTCAACGCATGGCTAGGAGTGTGAACAGTCAGACCAAGAACCAGGCCTAATGAAGCCCACCCCTAGCAGCCACTCAAGGCCAAGTAGGAAGGGGAGGCTGTTGTGGGCCAGCGGGGTAGATACAGATAGAGAGGGATAAACGCATAGAAATAAAGAAAACGTGAGACACTCTATATGCGCATAGAAAAATGATAAATTAAATTAATAGATGAAACTAAAAAGCTAGTAAAAAAAAAAAAGTGGTCCATTGAAATTAAATCGTTCATGTAGACAATCTTACTTCCAGTGCGGTCTTCTCATCTTCTTCTGAAATTCGATAAGCAACTCCCCACTAAATCCTTGCAGAAAAAATAAGATTCCCTCTCAGAAAATCGTTGCAGCTATCCATTGATTTGGAACTAAGGATGTCATGCAGATCATAAGGTAAGAAGATATTGAAATGAAGGAAATAAAAATTTAATAAAGAACTTGGCTTGATCTATTTTCCCCTCTAAGATTTGAATATCAAATTCCATAAACAATTATCCGTATGCAGAATTGAAAAGCCTAAGTAGGCTCAATAAAGTCAGCCCGACTAACAGCTTTGATCTGGCTCGCTTTGATCGACTATAATTCACTGAACTAAACAATCTCTTCCGATTGAGAATTGCAGCAGGGTTAGCGAGGAAAAGGAAGGAAAGAGGAAGACGATACTCCCAGGTCAGAGAATTTCCTGCAGGTTTTGGGTTTGATGCCTCCCTGGATCCACATCATGGCCAGACATTCCGCAATTATTAAGGCACCTCAGACTTTCATTGAGCTAGTTCATCAAGTATCAGAGAGGGGAAAAAAAAAAGCAAAGAAGGAAAATAGCTGGTGTTTTTTTTTCTTACAATCGGAAAGGGCTGCCTCTTCATCTCTCTAGTTGCTCCACATCCATGCCCACTTGGGAACAGATCTATTCAGATGAATATTTTCACCGTTTGATTTAATCTTTAAACATGAAGGGAAAGATACATCCCATGCATGAGATAAGGCAGGCATTGTGCCCAAGGAGAAGCGAGAGGAGAAGAGGTGAACACTGAAATACAGAGAAGGAAGATGAAACAAAAACACAAGTCAGAAGGTATGTTGACGAATCTGAAATGCTCTTCAGATGCAGACTGTGAGAGGCCACAACGAAATCCATGGCTTCAATCGGACTGCTCATTCCTCACCCCCATTTTCCATCTAACATTCATTCTATCATGTTCATATATTTGAGAGAATAGTACTAATGCAGGCAGCACTCATTCCAGTTCTTGGCTATACGCGGGCAACAGACGCATAGATGGGGCACTGTCGACGAAAATTTGATCAGGAACAGTACGAACCACACGGCACAAATTCAAATTATTGCCTAAATGGATGCGATTAGGGGGGATGGAGAAGAATATCAGAAAGAGAAGAAGAACATCTCACAGTATTTTTCATTCGGTTCGTCTAATCCTGTTGAAGGTTCATTATACCGGAGAAAATCATCCTGAAACTGTGGCGTATGACTCTAAGCCAATTGGGAGAAAGAACTGCCTCAATATTTCATGGATTTCTGTGCCCACGTAGTCCACTAGGATGATGAACAGAGATCGGAGGATCTCCCGATTCTACCATTAAAACGGGATCCAAAGGTAGAAGAAGCGTCGCCGATAATTGATGATGGGATCGGCATGAAATGGTAGTATTGAGTTTTCCGATCTTACACAGACTTCACCGGCAGTGGCTTCTAAGGTGACCGTCCGGCCAGGAAATGACGGCGTCCCCCGGTGGTCCGTGCTCCCTGCGTCCCCGCCGTTCAAACAGAGTAGAAGCGAAATCAGCAAGAAGGAGAAGCACATGCCCTTCCCAACACGAGCATCGCATATCAGAAATGAAAAAAATCAAGAGAAGAAAACGAGCAGCGTGAATTCTTCGCGCCTGCCTTGATAGAATACTCGTCGGTAGCCATGGATGAATCCCACGAGGCGCTCTTCGTATCGGAATCCCGCCTTCCATATCAACGATCCGTAGCCGAAAACCCACATCACCATTTCCGTCTCCCGTCGGGAACAATCACCCTCTCCCGCCCTCTCTCTCTCGCACAGCCAGATAAACCAGAAGAGAGAGAGAGAGAGAGAGAGAGAGAGAGAGAGAGAGAGAGAGAAGGCACGAGGAGAGGGAGAGCAGCGAGTGGAAGAGGACGTAGGCTTCTCGCCTTGTCATGGGGCGAATGAGAGAGAGAGAGAGAGAGAGAGAGAGAGAGAACGAGGGATCTTCGTAGCCGTTGGATGGTACTTTCTAGGACGAGATCTTACGATCTTTTTCGTCGGCCAGCACGTGCCAATCGCGTGGAAAGAAGCTGTTGGGTTGGTGCGTTAACGGGCTTCCATGAAAAGAAAAGGAGATTATTAAAGATAATTGTGCTGAAAAAATATTCGTAAAAATATTTTAAATAAGCGAAAATAGGCTCAAAGTTTGACTTAATATATAAAACTATATATATTGTTGACTTAATATATAAAACTGTCGAATATGTCTAGCTTCGATACACATATCGTCGTACGAGATGCCGGCCAAGCTCTTCGTGAAGACGTCCGTAATATAGGCATTGTCGTGATAGAGTGCCGTGGAGTAGCCTACTCGATCATTATAAGTAGCCGGCTGAAGAACTGGCATAGGAGGCGGCTGAGATGAGATGACGTTGTGAGGCGTCAGGAGGCGACGCTCGAGGCGTCAGGAGTCGACGCTCGGAGCATCGGGAGGCTAGCGCCGCCGAGAGGAGAAGAGCGCCGCCGAAGGAGGGCACCGTCGGAGGAGGGTGGCGCGCCGGAGAGGGAGGCGGCAGCGGCATGGCGGCCAGGAGGAGCGGCCGGCGGCCTGAAGGAGTGGCCGGCGGCAGCACGGCGGCCTGGAGACGGGCGGAAGCGGAGGCGAGGAGGACAGCGCCTCCAGACGCCCCGCGCCGCCTCCCGACGCCTCCCGGCTCCCCGTGCGTCGCGCTGGGCCGGCTGGGCCGGTCCCGAGTGGGCCGGTTCCGAAAAAAACCGCCGGCTGGCTCGCCGGGAGACGGGCGAAACCGTAGCCGCCGCGGCCGGACGGCGACGGCGAGAGCTGGGGCGCGACGGCAAGGGAACGACGGCAAGGGCGCGACGGCGAGGGCGCGACGGCGAGGAGGGACCTCGACGCCGGCGGCGACGCCCTCGGCACCTGAGAACACGGCGCCCGCAACGGCGCGACAGCGAGGGCGCGACGGCGAGGGCGCGACGGCGAGGAGGGGCCTCAACGGCGACGGTGGAGACGCCGGAGAAGAGCACGAGACCAACGGCACCGGCTAGGGGCGACGGCGGCGAAAGGAGGAGGAGACCGACGGCAGAGACGACGACGACGGAAGAGGGAAGAGCGACGACGGTGAAGAGCCGCCCGAGGAGGGAAGAGGCCGGCGAGGAGGAGAGCGGCGCACCAGAGACTGGCGGCACACCGCAGAGGATGACAGGGATGCTAAGGCTGTAATATTATGTTGACACAAGAGAGGAAAACCTTAGAATCCATAATACTTTTTTAAAGAAGAAGATGAGTACATGAGATTATATAGAAAAGAAGAAGAAATAAATAATAGGTAGGGAGTCTGGTACCACTATCGAATATATATATATATATATTCACATATATATTACTAAATTATATATATTAATTTTAACCACAAAATTATTTTTTATAAAATTTTAATGAAAAAACATTAGGGTTTTCTCTTGAGTTTAATTATATATATAACACTTTAACAATATGTTCACATAAATACCACTAGATTGTACATATTAATTTTAACCACAAAATTAATTTTTATAAAATATTCACAAAAAAATTAGGGCTTCCTCTCAAGTTTGGTTTATAAGTAACAATTAAAAAATAATCAAACATATACCATTATATTTCATACATTATTTAAGCACAGAATTATTATTTTTTGAAATATTCACAAAAAAACTTAAAGGTTTTCTCTCAAGTTTGGTTTTATATATAGCACTTTTAAAAAAATACATTCACATGTATACCATCAGATTGCATGCGTTAATTTTAACCATAAAATTGATTTTTTGTAAAATATTCAGAGAAAACATTATGGTTTTCTCTCACGTTTGGTCTTATACATGATACTTTTATAAAAATATTAACATATATACCACTAGATTGGAGCTCTTACACTCGAGGCTAATAAGATTTATTTACCAAGAAATTACTCACACAAACATAATGTTACTTAGCAAAACAATTTTAATTAGGAAGGCATTGAATTCATAACTCACAAATTAAGACAACAGTTTCCTAACATGGAAATTATAAATTTTTGAAGCAAAACTAGTTTGGTTCATTGTTAGAGAGCAGGATTTTGACTTTTACCCGTTGACTAGACATCCTGGTCTCATAGTCAACCTCATTACACTACTTTATTCACAGTGCCACTAGGAGGACCGCATTCAACACGGATTCTAGTTACTGTGGTGGTGGCAGCAGTGGCGGCACCGCCAGCCCTCTGCGGCGGCCTCCAGGAGGAGAGACGGCGGCGGCAGCAGAGAGACAGGGGAGAGAAAGAAGAACAGGTAAAAGTCCGAGCTTCATCCTCCTGCCCCTCTATGGGTGAATGAGAAGTGTTTCCTTACAGCCGAGGTTGCCCAGAATGAAGAAGAGAGCAATCTATAAGACTCACAGCGCTCCAGGCCCTTTGGGGGAGAACTGTATCCGTAGAGGGGGGAGGGAGGGAGAGGGGGCGGCCTGCCACCTTTGTGGCTTTGACCCTTGGTGGTGGCAGTGACGGCGGCAGTGGCAGCACCGGAGGCAACCTATATTTACAGGCATTCACGATCCAGAAGGAGCTCAGAGACTAGGGATGAGAGCAGAGCCGCAGCGTTGACTTCAGGACAAAACCTCTTGGGAGATGAGAGGGATTCTCCTGCACATGGCGGCGGGCAGCGGCGGTGGCAGATCTCAGAGGATCAGCAGTGATACAAGAGGATCAGCGCAGTCCCCAGCAGCCCCGAGAGGCATGTCCCAAGGAAGGGAGCACCTGCAAGGATTTACACGCAGAAATTGAAGATCTTTGAATGAGAATCATGGCAAGCTGGGGGCTTTTCCTCTACTGATCATATAATTCCAATGTGCCCACATTAGTTTTTCACGCAATTAATTAATTCCGATCCTTTATTTTGGCAGAATCTACTCACATACTACAGAAAAATATATAAAGTAATTAATGACCATGGAGAAGAAATATAAGAAGAAAAAAACACCAATAATTCAGAATGCAAAAAGTTGCACCACCTACCTGATGGAGAGGAAGATACAGAGGCTGGAGACTCAGCAGCCTTCCCAACTTTCCCACTTCCCTGATCTTGCTGTGGAGATAATGCGGGTGACAATCCCCATCCTCGGTTGGGATGCCCACCTGGAAAAGGAGCCATATTGGGAGGTGGGTCCGACGGCCCCGGTAGCAGAGCCGCCATGGCATGAGGCGGTGGTGCTGAGTGGGTCACTGGGGAGGGACCAGGAGAGATCTTGGGGGAGAGCCATGGCTTGCGGGGAGCACTGGGACCACGTGCAGGGGGAGTAATGGACGATGAGGGTGCCGCTCCTGAAGGTTGAGGCGGCGGTGCTTTCAGCCACCTCTCACCAGGAGCAGCAGACTGGAGCGGTGGGCATCCAAAAGGGGAAGAGGCTCTGTAGCGGGTGGAAGGAGAGGGGGCTAAATCTGTCAATGGGGGAGGGGCGCTTGAAGGAGAGATAGAAGGGCCAAAGAATGGATACTCATAGGATTTAGACGGCGAAGGGCTTGGACCCTCGAGGGATGTGATCGAGTCATTCAGATATGAGGACAGCCGCACCTCCTTCACTTTCCCAAAGACGGAGTGATCCAGCCCGAGGTTCTCGGGGGGCCCCGTGATTGTCTGGGCAAGTTGCTTCAATCTCGGCGGCAGGAGATTGCGGCTGCCCACATCAGATAGAACCGAGGCCTCGACAATGACCGGTGGTGAAGCAGAGGAGCCATTCAGATTCGTCATCTGCACATATACATTCTGCAGAACGCAAAAAAAAAAAAAAAAAAAAAAAAGGAAAAGAAAGAGGGAATTAACTCCAACTAACTGTTGAAGAAGAAGAAGAAAAAAAAGGAGTTTTTCTTTTTCTTTTTCCATAGTGAGGGTTAATGAAGAACAGGTACCTCGTAAGATCTCAGATTCAGCCCGTACTTCAGCTGGCCCTTCAACTCGTCGAGATTTCTCTGGATCTGGGTGATCGAATTGTTCAATGTGAAGTTGAAGAGGACCTGACTCATCTGCCAGATGGACGCTGACTGGATGGGAATCACTGTGATCCCACCTGGGAACTTCAGGACCTCGAAGGAGGATGGATGCCCGAAGATGGAAGTCGTCAGAGATAGATTGGACTCCTGGAGGACCAATTCTATGAGAGAGGATCTCAGCACACTCAAAACTATGGGGCTTATTACAGCGTCTTTTGGGTTCGGTAGAACACCAAAAACCACGTATGTAGAGTTCAATGAAGTCAACGGGCTCATGTCAATGATAGAAACCTGTCAAGAAGACGTCCCCCCCATCAGTGGAGGCAGATTTAACGCATTGCATAAGTAGAAAAAGTCAACCGAGCTACAAAAGAAGCAAACCTTGGTGTTGGGAACTCCGATTTCTTCAAAGATATCATACTCTAGATGCGCACTGTATGAAGAAACTAGTGAAAGTGGCTTTTGCAGCACGAAGCTGGCTTGGATTGAGGCTGAAAAGAAGCAGGATAGCTTGAATGAGCAGAAAAAACACATGAAAAATAAATGCAATAATTCCAAGATTAAAACTTTATGAAGAAGAATAAAAGCAACTTGACTTATGGGAGACCCTTTTCCACTTTCAGCTCTTCCCTCTCTTATCTCTGATCTCTCTCTTTTCTCAGACGGAGAGCTACCAAAAAGCCATCGATTTTTTTCAATAAAAGTTTAGTGATTATCAGAGTAGCGAGAAAGGACAGAGACCGAGGTCACCAAGAACACTGATTATGAAGAAACGATGCAGTTTTTGAATTATCATCCAAATAACGGAAAAATGATCACATTCAAACTTATGATATTTTTCATAAGTTTTGCCACACAAAAAGCCCATCTGCCCCCCAATCTCCATGGACATTCAGGGCTAAGAACTCTGTCGAAGGAGCCCAATTCGAGTGAACCAAAAGCAATCCTCCAGTCTATTTATCTGGATGGAAAAACCATGGAATAAGCTTCTCTTTTTCTTTGTTTCTTCATACGGTCATAGGCGGATTTTCCGAGAGTGAACATCATGCGGACTTTCCAGGAAGAACTCATCATCGTCACCATCACCATTGCTGAAAGAAGCTTCACTTCACCTTCCAACCTTCTTCTGGAATCGAATTACACTGACTCAGTCCACTCCTGCACTCTCTCTGTCTTGAAGAAGACAAATTGCCTGTTCGAGCACCAGTTGCAGCAGATTCTGCTTCATCAAAGTTGAAATGCAGTGGCCTAATCTTTCATAGCATTGCATCATCCTCTTGCTTGATGTGGCATCAGCTGCAGACTGAAGGTCAGGGAAGGAAAAATGATTCCATCCTATAGGAATTTTGGCCGTGTAGCAAACTGAGATTCAGCAAGTTGCTTTCATCTTCTGCATAGTCCAACGAGCTATGCCTGATATAGATCCTCCCAAGCTTCATGTTTTCAAGGGGAAGAACATCTACAACAGTAACCCAGCTGGCTATCACAATGTTCCTGCCATCAATTTCAACTACCGAGCAATTGATGTGAATTATCACGTATTCGAATGAAACTATTCACAATCGATTCAAGGTTTTCACCCAGATTTCTGATAATGATCTTGCAGAAACCCTAAAAAAAAAATTGCAGCTCCTTGGGAACATGAGAAAAGGGACTAGTACGAAGAGCTGGAAAAGAGGGCATCAAAACAGCCAAAGGGCATTGCCAGGAACAGACAAGAACAACTCTAGATGACGGCCCACCTCCAAGAGAAAAGATCTGATCCATTGGATACATACAGTCTGACTATCACCGCATTCTCTGCAGGATCCAAAAATAGCAAGCATCCTCCAGATAATTCAACCGGTTGACCACGGCGTAGCGGAGAAATAGCAGGTTCCTTGAAGATTTTTCGGCAGTGGGTTTGCAGTAACGGTATAACACCTCTGATTTGGCTCCATCTTCCCGCAATCTTAGGTCTTAGAGGAGACTGTAAGATCTGGACAAGAAGATGACAAGAGAGATAGAGGGAAGAGAGGACGACCGTCGCACTGCGTCACCCACCATCAGAATTCTTCCCAAACCCTAGTCGGCAGAAACCCGGTGCCAGTGCGGAGGGGCGATTAATATCGTCCCACCCTTCCATTGCTGAAGACAGAATGCAGAGGAGAAAAAAAAACCCTAACCCGCATCGCAACCTCGTCAAACGAAGGCAGAAGGAAGGGTGCTCACCAGAAAAATCCTCGCCATCGCCGGAATCCGACCCAGATCCGATCCCCCGCAGGGGCGGGAGCCAGAAGACGGCAGAGAGGAGCACGCCGGCGCTGAGCAGCAGCAAGACGACGCACCGGCAGGAAAAGGCATTGCGGATCCCGCGAATCCCCTCGGAGCACCTGCAGAAGAGGATCCCACGCGCCTCCGTCCCATTCCCCGGATCATCCAGACCTTCCTGGTCGTCTTCTATGGGTTTCCCCATCCAAAGGGCATCTGACCCTCCGCCACCCTTCCTCCGCCGCCGCCGCCAGCGTCCTCCTCCGACCCTCCACCTGCCGCCGCCGCCGCCCGCGATGCCGCTGCTAGCGAGAGAAGCGGCGAAGAGGCCGACGCAGCGCCCCACCTGACCAGAGTATCTCCTTTGTTTTTGTAGCCTTTTGGGTCTGCCGGGGAGGGGGAAGGAACGGGAAATGAGCTGGTCGTCTTTTTATATTTACTCCTCTGCTCCTCGCTGCACTTGTCCTCGCCTGAGCACGAAAACGACGCGAACAGAGAGGAACAGGGAGGGGGAGGAGGAGCCCACCATGACCAGCGCAGTACATCTACCCAAGTAAAAGAAGGAGGATGGCGATGGCGGGGGAGGTGGAAACCAGAAGTCCATCAAACGTGCGCCCCACTGTGGTTTTCCAGTCAATCGTCAACGGGTAGACGGTGGCGAGCCCCCCCCCCCCCCCCTCCGCCGCCGCCGCCCCACTTTGTGGGGTGGAATCAATTGCGCCATCACCGCTCCGGCTTTCTTCCTCCTGCTCCCCTCACCTGGTCAGTGAAGGATGATCCACCGGGCTTCCTTCCTTCCTTCCTTCCTTTCTTCCTTTCTTCCTCCCACAGAAAAGCGACGGCGGCGGAGAAGGCCGAGAACCCGAGCGCCACCGGCCGTGGCGGCGGAGCAGCGTGCCGGGGGACCACCAGACCATCCAAGTCAAATCCTCGCACCCGACGACGTGTGCGAGGATTATTCCATTCTCAGGACGCCTCTCGAACGCGAATAAACTCCGAATAAAAATTACTTTTTTCGTTTGGTCAACCAGCTCCGGTCGTTGTCAACATAGATTAATAATCCAAGTCTGTATACTAACCCAGCTACCAGACACAAAATATATCATTACCACGATCCCAGTCTTCCGTATTTTTCGCAATAATTCACATCGATTGCAGTCGATGCAAGAAAAAAATCCGATTTAATTTTCATTTTTTTATTCTTAAAAATCAGTTTTGAAAGAAAATAATCCTGATTTAATTAATATTTTAAAACTTGGTTGACCTATCTAAAAACGTTGAACGTGACTCATGACAACGAGCCATACCCTGTGATAATTATACATATTAATTTAATACCAAATATTAGTACTTAAAAAGGATTTAAATAGGTCAAACGTTGGTGAAAGATTTAAATATAAAAACGATATATCATTATTTAAGAAAATGACATCCTTACGTCACCATATATACCCCCTCCCCCAAAAAGGAAAAAAACCCTACATGGCACTAAAAGCAATAATACCTGTTTAATAATGGAAAGGTCAACGCAGAATTATCATACGGCATCACAATTAATATTCAGATGGCCTAAACTTTTTAGAAAATATCATCCATGTTAGTAGTTCAAATCTATAACTTACGAACTCAAATAAATAGTTGCAATTATTTATAAAAACAATACAGTAACTTAAAATAGTGTTCTGCAATAATGGATAGAAAGGACTTCTAACCCAACATATTAAAAAAATGATTTAAATATAAATATTTTCGGAAATTAAAGAAGCTAAAAAAAAGGTGCATACATGATGATGCAATTGATTTGAGTTCATGAGAGTTACCTCTTGAATATTTTTTTTAATGCAATTAAATTATTGAAATAAAAAATTAAATAATTTAAATAAACTGCAATTCACTTTATTGGTTAGCATAAAATGCCTGACATTTAATTAGTCATCCAAGAAAACCTCTACCAACCAAAATCCCAGTTCAAGTTCATCATAACAAAACTCGAACATCCCACTTATGCATTAGTGTTCTACGGAGAGAGAAACCTAGAGAGAGAAAGAAAGAAGGAAAGATAGATGGATAGATAGAGAAGAAAGAGTGAGAACTAAGGGGAATCTTCTGAAAGTTCTGCATTATAAATGAAGAACGCATCACTACGATGCACTTAAATTAGCTTCTTCTTCCTGAAGTAGGTCTGGAGGTACCACAGCTGCAACAAAGAAGTGCAGATGCAGGCGGCGAGGGCCATGATGCTGAACCAAGCGACCCAGGCATTTGTCTTCTCGCTCACCTCCCTCATCTCTGCCTCCCTGCATCAACCAACCCAGATCTATAAGCCCTCGAATCCCGGGAGAATCAACCGAGACAGAAATCTACCCACACCCAGATCCCGGTCTAGACCAGGATCAGTTGGCCAAGAACAGGGTTCATGGAATTGAGTTGGCTGATCTCTCCATGAGCGAGCGAGAGAGAGAGAGAGAGAGAGAGAGAGCCCTTTTACCTGGTCTTCAAATACTCCAAGTTCTCGCGGATGGCTTCAACGAGACCTTCGAGCTTCGTCAGCTCGAGCTCAACACCCTGAAGGCACACAGAAACAACAGACATCCAATGGCATGATCTACCAGGAACTGCAGAATAAGACTGTTTTCTGTTGGATTGATGCAGTAAAACTAACAATAATAAAAGAATAAAGTACCTCGATCTTTTCCTTCTTCGCCACGGTTTCCCAATCCTTGGTGGCGATCCCAGTCTTCCAATCGATATTCAAGGACACCTCAGAACCATGCGGGTTACTGTCAACCCAGAAGCAGCCCAGGTAGTTGCCAGACTCGGTGGTAGTGAAGGCGAATGTGTCCGAGCTGACATTTTCCTTGTGGTGCAGAGTGTTGCCATAGGGCGATGTAATCTGTGGGCGTGATTGGAGCCAGGCTTAGGAACCCTCATAGATTGGATATTGAAGAAAAAAATATACTACGAATCATTGACAGCAGAAGGTCCGGGAATCAAATAATATGTATATATGGGTTTATTCATCAGATCAAATATACGCCTGTATTGTAAAGAGCTTTGCTTTACTTTACTTTACTTTTTTGTAGGATCTAGAGCCGAAAAATTTGGATGACTTAATATTTTGGAAAATTACAACTTATATGGAACAAAAATGGACCGAAAAAACATAGCTTGTGGTGATATAATCACCAGGAAAAATTTATGACCATACAGATTAGTTAAATAAGTAGAAAATATATGACCAGCCCAGCGATTATTAATAATAAAAAAAAGACAAAAAGCTTGATAAGATGACCAATTTTTATATGTCAAGTTTAATTCGAACTGTAGCTTAGTCATGAAGAGTTACAATTGAGAAGGTAAATATACGGCTTTCTTATATCAAAATATATTACTATTTTACTCAAAATCTTGAGTTAAATTTTAATTCAGTACAGCATTTTTCTGAAACATTTCTGAAACTCGCAATCCAATCATGCGGAAAAAGAGAAAATAGCTGATATTTTATGCATAAGCTGATGACCAAATAGTTAGCATAGATAATCGCATAGCAAGTGCTATTCAAACATCGGTTTACAATACAAAAAGGATTAACTCCACCGAGAGGATATGAAGAACCGCCACATTAAAGATACCGATAAGCTGTGCTCCAAACAGGACGAGCTAGAGACCAGAGTAAAGAGGCTGAGCCTGCGAAGTCTGGCCCTAAGCAAGTTCACCAGGAGGTACGTGATGGAAGATTAGGTTATCACACACTTGGATTGGATCGCTTCCTTTTCATAAAAATGAAAAAAAATCATAACCAATGTTCTTTAGAGCGGAGCTTTTTAATGAAACATCTGCAATCTCTGGTTATGATTGGCATCCCAAGATATGAACTAATGTCTTAGCAGCAAAAGAAAAAATGAGAAGTTATGCCACCTCCAACTGAAGAGATAGAACAGCTATTTTTTTTTTTCAAATAATACATGTATTTTTTTTCCAGATCATTGCATTATGCCATATTGTGAATCAAGAGTGTAATGCATTATTTTCAAGGAACCCTACCTAGGTGTATGGAAAATTTATCCTATGTTCCGTTGGAAAGGCATTCTTATTCAAGTGATTAACAGAATAACATTAACAATGGTGGCTTTGAGATGACCAGTAGATGGGACCAAAAGGTCCCATGTCCCACAATACAGTTCATATCCCAATACAGGAGATGGGACTTTACAGTGCTATTAAACAGGAATGAGATTTTTTTTCAAAAATAAATTAAAATTCATCTAGCCATTCTACTGTGCTTAAAAAAAAAATTCTCCAACATCTTCACGAAGAAACCCCAGACTCCATATATTCGCCACCAGAAAGAAACATCAACCTGATGTCTATTTAAATGTTTTCTACAACCTTACTCCTAAATTCCACATATTTCAAAATAAACTTGACCCCAGGGGAGCTACAAAGGGGTTTTCCCATGGGAGATTCCTCATGTTCATCTATGGCTAGGACACTAAGGCAACAGTTGGAAACACGTTGACACCCTATTGGCCTTCAAGGCAATCTTTCTTTAAGCATCTAGGCAGGATTACGAAGCAATGTAGGCAGTTTTCTGCAGAGCCTTCAGGTTTCCTCATACAATGTTGTCACTACAATAGTACAGAAGGGAGTGTCGATCAGGTTTCTCCTGACCTTGATCCGTAAGAACGGAAATATTCGATTTTAATAAGGATTCTGTGAAAAATTTCCTTGCCGATCCCTGTGAATTAGGTTATCGGAACCGAAAGAAACTACATCTTTCCAGTCTTAGATACCAGGGATAACATAAGCCCGATCTAGACTCTCGCATATACGATTGTAGGAACGCCATTGTTTGAGGGAACTTGAACTTGGTGGAAGATTTTCCAAAACCAGGGTAAAGCCGGGAATCCCGTCGAGGTAGACCCGGAGAACAACATAATAGCCAATTTTAGGATTCATTCTGTTTCTTTCGAGCAAAGATCGCATGAAAACCGGATCGGAAGGACATCCGGGTGACGGTGAGATGCAACCCCCCGAAAACCTAAGAGAGGGGACGAATTTTCCAGGACGATTATGGCACTCAATGCATCGATCGGGGTTACAGCGACCTAGAAAGAGCCCGTCGACCTACCTTGCTGGAGATGGTGGGGGTATCCTTCATGTCCTCCTCGTAGAAAGCGGAGTACTCTCCCATGACGACGACGTGGGCGTTAATCTCCTCCGACACGCACTTGGTCCCGGAATTCGGCAACTTAACCCATACGGCCCCCGCCCTTCCCGCCGCCATCATCGCGACCGCCGCCACCATCGCCACGACCCTCACCAACGCCGCAGAGGACGCCTCCGCCGTACGCATCGCCATTCCGGCAGCTTTCTTTCCTCCTCCCCCTCCTCGGCTCTCTGGTAATGGTGCGATCTACAGGGATACGCGACGGACCTAAGAGCAGATGCAGAAGGAGCCCGTCTCCTCCGTGCCGTCACCCAACCAATGAGATCGGCCGAAGAGTCCGACTGTTTTCACATGGGGGTCGGCGGCGCTTCAAGGTCGAAACTTTGACTACGAAATGCTTAACCGACACGTTCTGCGGTATTGGAGGCAGCAGATTTTGACTATATTTAGCACATCTCAGAACGGAAATAAAAAAAATTAAGTTGCAAGAACTCTAATTTAAGCAAGCGTTTGAGAGAGCATGAAACTTCCAAGAACACCTCTTCCACCTAAAGCTTTAACGGTCAATCTGCTCTCAGAACCTACGTTGCTTTCAGAAATTCCCTAGAGTATAGAAGCATTGTCCATCCATTTTTTTTTTTGTCCATCCATTTAGTTTTTAGTTACTTTAAATCTGGTAGATTTAATATTGACAAGAGTTATAACATATCACATATTAAACGGGTCTAATATTTCATCATTGTATAATCCCTTTAAGCATCATGTTTCATGGTTTAGATAGAAGAAGGTGAATTATTGACCTTTAGAATTTTTTTATAACATGACATTAGGCATAGTTTCTACACATTTATTTGATGTATGATGATATGATGGAACATGTAAAAGTACAATAATTGAGATAAACAATCTCCATATAGAGAAATATTAAAAACATGAAAGAAGATAAACATTGCATGAAGTTCTTTAGAAGCTATCACTTGTATGATGATGTAAGAAAATTGAGTTACATAGAAAACATGATGAAGTCTATATGTGACACTATTGTGTACATCACACAAGTTAGAATGTTGATTCTATCATCAAATTCAAAATACTCTCACAAGTTAGAATGTTAAATTAAATATTTTAATCAGTAGACTACCAAAGTAGTTAATTAGAATGTTTAATTAATGGACTTTGAAAAGAATAATTCGTTGTACACAATCCTTTAAGTGTACACTATTTAGAACATTTTTCTACAAAGTATTAGATTTAATATAAAAAGTTACTAAGAAATTTTCACAACTAACCTCTCCGTTAAAATTTTAGTAAATTAAGATTTGAGAATTGAATTAAGAAATGGTCTCATGATTAAAAGATGGAGTCAAAATCTAATATCTGATCATTCAAATAACTTTTTGACTTAAATTTGTAACACATGGTATGTGTGTACTCATTTATGCAAGATAATTTGTGGAGAATTGAAGTAATAAATAGTGGACACATACTAAAAGAATTCAATTCAATATTCATTGTTTGAGATTAATATGTATTTTATAATTGACTTTAAGGCATTGATGTGCTAGTTAATTGTTTGATTTCCAACCATTATTATCTACAACTAATAGTCATTCTATGCCTCAAAGCTCGGTATAAATAGATCATCTTTACACGCCCCCCCTAGAGTAAAGCAAGTGCCATAATGTCTTTATCCATCATTCAATTTGTCCACACAAGTCCACAAGTCAATTGAGAGATAAGAATATGAGATGAAAATCAATTGATGCTATACATTCATAAGAAAGTCATCCCCAATATCAAGAACTATCCAAATAATAATTGAATGATTTTAGCTTGTTGAATCATGAAGAATTATAGCTGAAATATCATCAAAGATATCTTGATGTGTGAATTACAATACTATCACTGCTTAAGTTTATTATCTATCCATGTATGTTAGAAGCCTCACAATTAGTTGTGCAATGTGTTTAACCTTTAGAGTACATTGCATCCAATTCAACTAGATCTTAAGTTGTTTGATGGGTTGATGTCAATAAACTAGTGAGTTCTTTGGTGCATCAAAGGTAATGAAGTTGGTAGATAAGTGACAATGTCTTAACTAGTTGTTTGGTATGTTGGATTCAGTGAAGTTGATGGAGGTTTGATAATATGTGGTGTTTAGAGAGACAGAGTCAACAAACCTAATGAAAAATGACAATGCCCAATAAAGTAAGCGGTGGAAAGATTTGCCAAGAAGCAATTGATTGGTGGAATCATGACCACTAGAGTAATTAATAGCCTATAAGACTTTGATTTCTAAGGGTGTGAGTAGATAAATGTAATCATCACAAAAGTTTAGTACAAACCCAAGGAGCATGGTTCTTAAGATAATGAATGTAGGTTATGAGTTGAATTACTCTAAAGTTACATGTACATTCCATTTGTTTATTTATTTACTCCCATGATGAAATAGTTTGATCTAAAATATGAAATTATAATCATTCAATATATTTCATTAAATTAGATTATTTGTGATGATTCTAGTAGTTTGAATACTCACATTAATGAACAATGTTAATATTGACTCTTGTACATCTTATAACATGTGATAGAAATAACCACATGTACATAGTAAAACAAAATATAATGCCACATATTACAATTGACTATTTGAGATTATACTTAGTTTTAAATCATTCTAAAATAAAATCACAATTGAATTTATTTATCATCCTAATTTAGACTACTTTAAAAGTTCTTGGGTCCTCTATCCTAGACCTCATGAGAAATTTTAACAGACTAATTGAGGTAGACTCCTAATTAATGTTCATTTATTGTGATGTGATTATTTTTTAAAACTTCAGTTGTTATTGAAAGTAGTTTTGATAATTTGTTGACTAAAATAATAAAAACTAAAGGTTAATCATTGGGTTTTATATTCTATATCAAGAATAATCTAAATCTCTATTATTCATTAAAAATGAGTTAGAATGTTGAATAATAAGTGAAATATTTTCTATTTGAATTGTCATTCAATTTGCTGTTTGGAGAGTGATTGTGCTTGGGCTAAATAATATCAATATAGAGATTAGTACAAAAATTTTATGATTATTTATTGAGGTAAAGTTTATTATTTTCGAAAGCAAATACATGATTCTATACACAAATAGCAAGAATAACCAATTCATATAAAATGATTTGCTATGGTAACAATGCAAAGTATTAAGTCTAGATCATCACTTTTTATGATTTGATCTCAAATCAATTCCAAGGAAATTGAATTCAAGCCATTCTTACTTTAGGTCATATATAGGCTTCAAAGAAGCTCATCATTTTTTATGTAGACCAATCATTGAATGAGTAATTGTGAATATGTAACCTGTGACTAGTACCAAATAAATTATTTAATGGATGTAAAATTGTCAATAAATCAAAGAAAAAGAGAATGCAAACCTTCAAACTTTTATCTAGCATAACATTAATTAGACTTTTTGGTAGTTATCTTTTTGAATCAAATATTGTTGTGAAATAACTTAATTAGAGATACATGAATGAAAAACATGTGAATGATGTATTAATGATGAAAAATATTAATTAAAGATAGACATATGATAATTTTATGATACTAAATATGTAAAATGACATATTTAAATCAAATGACATAAATAAAAGGACATATTTATCATTATGTTTGAGAGAAGGTGAATTAAATGATTTTCAAATAGTGTCACAACATAGTTGGAAAGGTAATTGAAAGACAACCATAACGTAGCAAATAAATTGTCAAAATTGAAAGAATTTGATTCTACTATTTTTTTTCAAGATTGCTAGATTTACAATTTTGCCCAAGAGAAAAATTATCTAGATTTCTACGCAACCATTTAAAATGCATTTTATTTGAAAGATATGAATATTGAAAATTTTCTTAGAGAAGAATCAAATACAACAAATCATATATCAAAAATAAAAATTATTCTAATTTCTACGAATTTTAAAATGTTTATGTTCATACTTTTCTATTTATTTCTAAGCTTGCATGTGACTCCTTAAGGTTTGCTCAATTTTGAGTCTATAGTTTGGACTAATAAGCCAAAGATATAAAGAAAGCTTTTACCCAAATTAGGATTTGACAAGAGAAAAATGGGGAGTATCTAGGATCAAAGAGAGACCCCCAAGATCCATCCTCTTAATCATACTCTAAATGTCTCTAAAACAATTTCTCCATTCAACTTGAATAATTGCTGCAGCTCATGCTATCAAACTTATGCAATGTTTGGGAAATTTTTTTTCTCAATATCTTAAAGAAGTTCACCATATCTTTCTTCCACATCAAATTACATCACCCTGCAAGAAGGTGATGGTACATTTGAATTAAATAATTCATGTCCTTAATCATATGCTTGAATATAAACACAAAGAAACTCTTGGAAAACCTACCATGTGTTATAAATGGTGGTTAGACCCTTGAGTTTAGTAAATAGACTCATAGAGCCTACACTATTAGCACATGTGTTATAAAGGGGGTTTTCTAGATAGCATAAAAATTTAGAAGGAAAATACACATTTGCAAAGTTTATATTTTAATAGGTTTTTAGAGTATATATAATACACAAAAAATAGGAAGATGGTGGGAGAAATAAACCTTATGATTTAGGGGTATGAGGCATGCTAGAAAATTTCATTGAGTAAGACCTAGTATCATGTGCTAAAGTGGTTGAACCCACTTCAGCTTCTCCTCTCCTCCATATAAAAAACAATTTCTCTCTTCTGTTTAGATGTATTCAGATATTGTGTTTTAAGATTTTTGATTCTCAAAGAGTGATCCTCTCCCTCATCTCTTTTAAAAAATTTCTCACTCAAGTTTGCATTGTATTTTCTCTCTATTTTTAGTTCCTTTTGCTACAAAGTGATATTAAAGCCTAATTCAACTAGAGTTAGGCATGTCTTGTTGGTATGAAGATTCAATGATATAATAAGGAATATATGAGAAATCATTTGTGTGAAGATTTTGTATTGATATGTGACTCTATTGATTGTAGGTATGTCAAATGGTAACACTCAACATTTCACTTCTTATATCATTTTAGTGGAGATAAATGAGTTTTGGGGTATCAATATGCATATTTTTATTTCACAAATCTATGAGGGTTGATAAACTTTTATGAGGGATAAGTTTCATAGAAATAAAGTTATACTAGTATAAGTAGAGAATTTGAAACATTCGTCATGAATTAGGTGAAAATTTTAATAAAATATGGTACAAAGAAACATATTTTAAAGAATGTAAAAAAACAAGCAAATGTCACAAAATATAATTATTGTAAGATCTATGAGCACCTTGAAGTTTATGAACAGTAGAAGACTAATGAACAAGTAAATATTGTGGGAGAAAATGACAAAGAGAACTTATTTTTTATTTATGTGACTCTAATAATTTTTAAGTATAACGTGTGGTTCTTGGATAGAGCATATGGTAATCATATGATAGGATTTTTTTTAAAAGTATTGATACATATATGAAATTTCTAGATTGAATTAGTTTTTAAGTATCACATGTAGTAATGCATGATGTATAGTTTGTTTTAAAATTAAAACATAATTTAATTTATTTTTTAAAAAAATTGATAGAATAGGGTTATATTTTCTATTTTGAAAATTACATATGTATTACTAAGAATACATAAGTTACATTTCTCTTATGTCTATCACCAAGGTTGGAAAAGGAATGGTTCCCTATTGATATTTATAACAATTGTTGAGTTTACTATGATTTTTAAGAAAAATGATGAAGATCCGTTATGCATCCAAGGTCTTTTGTTCTTCTTAACATCTGTTGTTATAGCACAAATATTTTTAGTTCTTAAAAAGAAATAGTTTACTTTGACATGTATTATGGTCATTTACACTAAATGATATTATAGTTATTATATCAAAACTATGATTTCTGATTTGTCTCTCATTATATACAATAATGATGTTTGTGAATAGTGTGCTTATAAAACATTGCACTACTTATCATTTTTAGTGAGAAAAACATGTATAAGTTAAGTATACTCTCTAGTTCAAAAATTGGAGGCATTTGAAAAATTTGTAGACTTTAAAACTCTACTAGCAATTACTAATGAATGTGCCATTAAGATTTTCCATATGAATTGAGGGGGAGAATTTTAATCTTATGAATTAGATTATTTTTGTGAAATTTGACATTCACAAGAAATTGACATATATACAAACTTAACAAAAAAAATGATACTATGAAAGAAAGATTAAGGTAGTAGTAGAAATGGCTAGAAGTAGACTTAATTTGAAGTAATTTTTAAATAACTTTTGAGTAGAAGCACTAACAACAGTTGTTGATCATGATTTTTTTTTCACCAAGGCACTGAAAAGTATAATTATTTATGAAGCTTAGTGTAAGTAGTTAAATTAGATAGTCTTGAATATGATATTTTTTTTATTTGTTGAGATGTTACTTTTGGTGAGACTAGCTACCAAAATTGGGAGAAAGTTTAATTTAACGAGTACATTTTTATAAAAATGAACAAAGGTTGACACTAATGGAAAAAGTTATGAGACTTAAAGCCACTTATTTATCAGTTTCTTCTTAGATAGTCACCAAAAAATTTAAATAGTCCTGACAACCACATATTTTTGAATCATACAATCTATAAATACTCAAGGAGTATGTGAATACAACATTTTTAAATATTCAAGAAACATAATATATATATAAAAATATGAATTCTATACTTTTTCTCTTACAATTGTAGAATGATAGTTATGAAGAAACTCAAGGCAAAAAAGAATGAGAAAATTATGTGAAAGAAGAAACAACATCAACTGTAAAAAAAAATAGATGGAAACTCATACAATGAAACCATTAGTGTCAAGTGAGTTTACAAAGTGAAATGTAATTTATAGATGAATGTGTGTAGAAATATATAACAAGACTTATACTAAAATGATATGTTCAGTAGTATGATGTTGATTAATTTCTCTCCTATTGTTTGATTTGAAACTATAAGAATTATTTTGACCTTGACAACATAAATGAGATGGTTAATATTTTAGTTCGATGTTAAATTTATATTTTTAAATTTCCAAAGACATTATAGATTTAAACAAACACTAATCATAGTATAATAGACTTTATTCCTATCTTCCTAAGATTGATTTTTGAAAAAGTTATAATGAACCAACACTTTATGTGAAGATAAAAGAAAATGATATGATTATTGTGTGCATGTATATAAATGATATTATGATATATTCAAATTTACTTGGCTGTTTTGTTTTATATTATTCAAATGATTAATGATATCTTCATTTCATAAGATAAGTATATATTAGACCTCTCAAGAAATTTTACAAGGTAAATTAGAAGATTTGTTATATTTAAGTGAATATTTATGACCAATTATGTACTTAAAGTGAATATTAATGACAAATTATGCCTTTACAATGGGACTTAAAAAAAATGTAAATGACACAAATAGTGGTTTGTCAACTTAATTAGTGGTTTTGTGTATTTGATTCATAGTTGACCTGATATATTATTATTTGTTAGCATGATATCAAGATTTATGGATGCTAAGGATTTTAGAAGATATCAAGGAGAGAGTTCATAATGATGCAACAATAGGAAGAAAGTGGGAAAAAGTAGAAGTATGATTTAGGGGCATGGGGTAGGCTCAAAAAACTCCATCGATTAATACATACCATAATGAGCAGGCCCACTTCAGCCTCCCCTCTCTCCCACAAAAAAATAATCTCTCCTCTCTTTACACATATTAAGACATTGACTCCTAAGGTTTTTGGTTCTCCAAGAGCACTCATCTCAATCAAATTTGGGTTATATTTCTTTGTCATTTTTAGATTCTTTTTCTTATAAAGAAAGATTATATATCTGGCCAGTCACATGGAATTGTGGAGTTTATGCTGTAATATGTTGCTAAAGATTTGATTTCATCATCTCCAAACGTAGAGAAGCTCCATATTATAGTTTTTCCACCAACTAAATATTCTATCCTTTTTCCTTCTACATAAAATATAAAATATATAGATAAAATAAATGATTCATGACATTACTTGAAAGTTTACAACTTTTGATAGTTTTTTAACCTATTCATGAAGTTAGGTGAGTCATGAATGCATTAAAAATTGGGTAGAGAAAAAAAGTAGAAACTATAGATGCATGATAATTGCAAGGAAGAAAAACTTAGTCAAATTAGATTTCAAGGCTGTTGATGTTGAGATAGCTTTGAGGTCATGACCATGCAATGACTCACTTGGATGCCTTTTAATAGAGAGGGATGCCAATTGGGACTCCTATTTAAAGGCACTTGAAGAGAGAAAAACCATGGAGGAGGTTTTTAAACATTCATGTAACATATTTTTGATAAAATTCTTATACTTGAGAACAATTTTAAGTTTTCAGTGTTTTTAGACAAAGTGGATGAGAGTTGTAATAACTTTGGGAATATATTTTTCTCTTATTTTATTCTATAACTCTCCCCATATCATCCCACAAAAACTGACTTTTGGCATAGAGGGAGTGCACCCTTCTTTAACATATTTTTAAAAGACCTTAAACTTAGGGTTTTCATATGCTCATAGGCCCTTGAACTATTTCTCTCAAATATTCATCAATATCTGATATTTCATCATTTAGCCTCTTCCTGAGTCAACCTTTGTGGAAGTTCCATAAATTTGCATATCCCAGTGATATTGCATGAATGACACAGCATATGCCATCAAGAAGGCCTGTGGACTTTGCGTCATAGATGGCATTCCCGGTATTTCATATGGCACAAGCTGATGAGATAAAATATTTGTCCCCTTGATGACGATATTAAGCTCTTGTTGGTAGGTCATACGCTCTACTTTGGCATCAGTACAATATAAAGAAAATCTCTCGAGCAAATGTCAATGAAGTCGGAACATCTCTCTCTCTCTCTCTCTCTCTCTCTCTCTCTCTCTCTCTCTCTCTGTAAGCAGATGATTTAGTTAGATGGAGGGATGAGCCGGGTCAACCAAGTCTAGGCCGAGCTCATAGGGTGTCCCTTTTGTCGGTTTTTGTTAAAGCTCTCCCAACTGGGTCAATTCAGTGAGGCCCAATCTATTGGAGTCCGGAGCATAGGCGGCTTCCGGATTTCTCTCTGGACGGGGCCTCGGCCTTTGGCAGCAGTAGGTTGAGGTGCATGCTGACGCTGATTCGTGTTAGAATGTAATGCGGTGTCATTTCAAGGGAAGAACTATTGCTCTCCGGGTCTCGTGCTACATGAATACGTTGACTGGAAGGAAGGTGTCTCGCCTACCATAAAGGAGGGGTTTCCTTTCTTTAAGGGTTTGCTGGCATCAGACTTTTTCCGACTTTTCCTCAAAAGGAAAAGAATATGTGTGTGATTCCACTGGAATCCGCCTGTCCCGTCGAATAGTTTTTGGGGAGCGGGGAAGCAGAGATGTTCGTTAGAGAGGATTTGAAGGCTTAGAGAGAGAGACACACATAGGGGGAGAGAGAGGGGAGAGGGACAGGGCGGAAGAGAGGAAGGGAGGGGGCCGGGGGGAAAGAGAGAGAGAGAGAGAGAGAGAGAGAGAGGGAGAGAGAGAGAGAGTTCTAAACTTCTGGGGAAATATTATAGATTCAATCGCTAAACTGAAGGAAATCATGAGTGTAGTGGTTTAGTTGTTGAGGTTATAAGTCGTTGTATCTTCGAGTCTTAAACAGATTAGAATGTTTAGACGTCTCTCACTTGTTACTCATCTGATGGCACATGATTCTTCTCTCAGTCTTTTCTCACTTTTAGTGCTTATCGTCCCGTGGATTTAAAGGTCCAACATTCCCTTAATATGTGATGACATAAATTTAATAAAGCGCTCTCCATGAAATACCAATGTCGGATGGTAATACTACTTTCTCTCTTTCTCGCTCTCGCTTGCTCACTCTCTCGGATCAGTCAGTTTGTTCCAGATAGAGGGCTGAGCCAGGTCTATGCCTTCAACCCCGACCGGTTCTGCCGGGTTTTCCTTTGGACTGTCTTTGAACCCGAGCTTTATATGGGAGTTCAGCATATAGGAGGGCTTCTGGGTTTCTCTATGAACCCGAGCTCACGCCGGGCCTGGACTTCGTAAAAGTCAACCGCGCTCGGGCTGGGTCTTCCACAGCCGTAAGTTAAGGTGCATGCGGACACTGACACGGATTAAAATGGAATGGGCTGTCATTCAAGGGACGGAAGAGTTCTTGCTCCCAGGGTCTCCCCTTCCTCCATGAATACGTCTATGGGAATGGACGATGGCTGGTCTACCAGAAAAGGCGTTTTCTTAGGGTTTGCTTGCATCAGATTTTCACCGAATCTTCCTTTTCCCCATAAGGAAAAGAATATACGGGGATTGCAGTGGAATCTGCCTGTCCCGTCGTATACTTGACGGGAAAGCGACGTAAACAGAGGAATCTATGCCAAGTGAGTAGGCCTCGGGATACGCCGCCACAAGTTCATCAGTAGAGTGGGCGATCGTATCGAACTAGAGAGTAGAGCTTGTGATAGAGGTTGGGGAGAAACGAGTGGCCGTCGTTTTTCTGCCTCAAAATACTTTATTAGTGGATTTCATGGTGTCCATCTAGTCACAAGCAGTATCCTTCCTGATAAACTGCCCATTTGTTCACGTCTCGTGAACGACGAAGGCTAGCTACTCCCCTTGCCATCCCCCCCCCCCCTCTCTCTCTCTCTCTCTCTCTCTAGAGGGCGGCTGTAGGACGGCCGGCCGTAGTAGTTTTCTCAGCGGAGACAGCGTTGGCCTTGGAGGTCGGCAATTCCATGGCCGCGTCCTTCCCTACGGTCTGCAGCTCGTAGTCTTTGCTCTTGCCCCAGATGAGCATGTACAGCCCCACGACGATGATCAGCGCGCCGATAACCCTAAAAGTTCATCAACAGACGATGAGGAGAAGCATAAGCCGAAGGAAATGACGGCACGCTCTGAGTTCTAGGTCTTCAAGCTAACCTTCCCAAGCTGATCTCCTCGGCGAGAATGAAGGAACCCATCGCAGCGACGATGATCATGCAGAGGGGGTTGAAGGCAGTGACGAACACAGGGCCCCTCTCCTTCATCACCAGCCCTTGCACATAGTAGGCCACCCCGGAGCACATTATCCCCTGCGAGAGCCAGCCATCACGGTGAGCCCTTCACCTCTGGCGATTGGAGTTCACAGTGAGCAGCGGTGGCTCAGAGGAGGGGGGAGGGAGGTTACTCTCTCACCGAGTACACAGCGGTGGTCAACCGCATGTCGAAGCCGATGGCCCAGGGCTTCCTGCCGCGCGTCATAACCAGCGTCACCGCCGTGCTCTGCGCCGCTCCCATGGTGCATATCCAGGTCGTTAGCGTCAGCTCCGCTGGGTACGACCGTAGCGTGTTGGACTGCATTCGTGAAACATATGAATCTATCACCGCTCTTTCTCGCCAGATTTGGCGATGGAGGAAGAGGGAGGAGACGGGAGCTCACCTGAACGATAAAAAAAGCGGACCAGCAAAAGCAGCTCCCGATGAGGAGGAATGTGCCCTTGAGCCACTCGGCGCTGTTGTGGCCGGCGGCGGCATCGTCTTGGTGGGCGCGCCCCTTCGTCCATACGAACTCTATTATGGGTCCTCTGTACATTATCATCACCAGAGCGCCGGCCACGGTGATTAGGGTTCCGACTACCTTCGCCTGCCCGCGCCTCTCTTTGATCTTTATTTTTTCCATCCTGCCACGTACGAAACATACGATCTCTATCATACATAAGCCACAATTAAACCCAATAAGATATTCTAGTCTAAATCGACGACTCTCTCGAAGAATATATTTGTACTGTTCATCGGACAGCTCAGTCCTGAGAAAAGCTAAGATTATTGGCATGGTTTCTTTTCTGGGCTTGACACTTCCGGCCAAGCCCGGAAAAATGATACCAGTTCGGGCCGGGCTCCGGGCTCTCCTAGTTCTTTCACACCTTTGTTAGAGGCCAAAGATGGTTGCTTTATGAATCGGAGATGAGAGAAAGAGAGGCTTCTCAAGAAAGGAGGAAGCCCAAGAGGGTTTCAGTCACCTGAGAAGGATGGCTAGGACGAAGGTGACGGCGGGGAGCATGTTGTACAGTGCAGCCGAGAAACTGGCGGAGGTGAGCTTCGCTCCCACGTAGTATAAGTTCTGATCGAGCACGGGCCTGGCCACAGAAAATAAGTTTGTCATCAGGAATATCAAATTAACCACATGAAGCCAATAGATTAATCGGGCTTGGACGTACTCTAGCAGCCCGAGCAGCATAATCTTCAAGAAGCAGGAGATCGTCATCTTGGGCCTCACTTTCCTGTTAACAGCAAGGAGACGTGAGGACCAGCGTAGAAATGGAGGGAAGGCCGGGGGAAGGGGAGAGAAAGGGATGACCTCTCGAACCAAAACGCGAAAGGGGCCATAACGACGGCGGCGACCGCGTTCCGGTAGACCACCAGCACGTAGTGGTTCATCCCCTGCTTCAGTGAGGCCACGGAGATTACGTACATCCCGGCGAACCCGAACTGGAGGAATATCATGAGGAAGTACGGCTTCGCCTTCCTCAACACCTCCGGACACTCCATCCTCTCTCTCTCTCTCTCTTCCTATCTATCTATCTGTCTCTCTCTACTCTAGAACAAAGATATGAGCTTGAGAGATTGCACGGGCTGTGGGGATTCAAATGCTGGAGCGGATATAGATATATAAGCGGGGGGAAGGGAGGGGAGACTGGGTTATCCCCTCTCACTGGGGGAGGTTTTCGGAAACGCAGGCTACATTCGATTTCCCATAAATGACTTGGAAAACCCATTTCGTGGAGCATGGAGGATTGGCATCTTTGGGTGGCTGTCTTCTGGTCGGGTGGTGACAGCTCCGACTGCAACACGGCCGTCCTTACCCTCTCTTCTTTCCTTTTCTTATTCATTAGAACGCGAACACCACAGAGAGAGAAAGAAGGAGAGAGAGAGAGAGAGAGAGAGAGAGAGAGAGAGAGAGAGAGTGAGAGAGAAGAGGGAGGAGAGGGAAAGAGCACAGTGGTGGGATGATGTGTTGAATCCCCACCAAGGCGAATTAGGGTTAGTTTAGTGGCTGCTGATGCAGGCTGGCGGGGCTCGGTGGCGGCAAGGGCGGACAAGACAGTCGCTGGTGCGTTCATGCTAGGATTTGCAGAAGGGTTGCTATGAAAGACGAGGAGGCAGGGCCATCTAGACGGGGGGCTCGGTGAGGAGAAGGAGAGATGGATGGGCCTCCGATTCCCGCCTACCGGACCATGGGAATTCGTTCTCACGACTCATAAAGAACTCGTAAAATCTTTCACTCCGTGGTGAGCAAAACCAACCAGTCCGGGCTGCATGAAATATGACGCACCATGCACGTACGATGCCGTGGCGTATGCGTGCAACGACACCACAAGTTGCCGTTTAGAGAGAGAGAGAGAGAGAGAGAGAGAGAGAGAGAGAGAGAGAGAGAGAGAGAGAGAGAGAGAGAGAGAGAGAGAGAGAGAGAGAGAGAGAGAGATAGAGAGAGGGAGAGCAGCGACCCACTTGCCCTCCATTATATTGCCTCTCACGGCATCTATCTCTCTTTATGTCTTTCTATATTCCTATCTCTCTCCCTCGCTCTGCTTCCCACTCTCTTCCCTCATCTCTCTCTCTCTCTCTCTCTCTCTCTCTCTCTCTCTCTACTTCTCTCTCCATTTCTCTTTCCAGATTCCCTCCTTCCAACTCCTCCACCTCTCTCTCTACCTCTCTCTCCACGTCCCTTTCTCCTAATCTCTCCTCTTCAGTCTCTCCCACTCTTTCCCTCCCTCACTCCCTCTCACTCCTCCCCCGACTCCCACACTCTCTCCGTCTTCCCCTCAATCTCTCTCTTCAAGACCATATCCTCAAAGACCTAATGGAGGCATGCGATGGATTTGCTGACATCTGTTAACCATCGGCTCACACTGGTACCATTGACCTCGTTAAAGGAAAACACCGGTCTAACAAAAGAAACAAAAGCCCATCGGTGCGTGAGTATCGGATTCTATCTACCGTACAGGATACTCGGATCCTTTTGTTCCCGACTGCCGTCGCCTAACGATGTCGTTTCTTCACTTCCCCACAATTTCACCGACCAAGCGTCACCCTTCTTCTTATTATTATATTACCATTATCCTATTCATAAGACAAACTAAAAAAATTCAATATTTTCAAGATTTTCCACTGGTTCACGACGTGGAAAACATATGGTTCACCCCATGAAGAAAATTTGAGAAAATCAGAAATCTGGCTATTATTATTATTATTATTGTTTATTCATGAATAAGTTTGTTTAAGTTGCTATTAAATTATATGTATATTTTACATATTTCCCTTCACATAAAAGGAAATTTGAGTAATATATAAACCATAGTAGGACTGATAAATAGTTGCAATTTTAAATAAAAATGAAAGTGAACCATGATAAAAATTTAGTCTGATGCTATTCATCGCACCGGAATGCAGGTAATCAAGTTCCTCATTAGAATGGAGATGAACGTTCTGATCAAGATCTGAGCTCGGGTGTTCCTAGTGATGAACCCATTACAGCTCTTCTGTCAAGGCATCGACTTGACGACCAAAACGAAGACATCTCATGTATAGTAGCAGCGATGTAAAAGGCACGGAGTCCTTTTATTTCTTTCTTTATCATGAATAAGCAATGACGACATCGTGACTGTTCCCCAATAACGGTCAGAGTTCATCAACGGTTGGTTAGTGAGTCGACTGCACTATGAATCCGGGAGGTGATAATCAATCATCGCTTGTTTAATTGCCAAAGTGTCTCATGACTCACGTAAGCAGGGTCGTGAATCTCTCTCTCTCTCTCTCTCTCTCTCGCTATGTATATATATGTATATATATATATATATATATATATATTCATGTATGCCCAAGTATCCACACCAACCAGTAGGAAACTCCTGCTGTTTTGACAAGATGTTTTGCATGGGATTTGACGAACATAGTGTCTCTGGCTGATGTAAGCAGGTTCAAGACACTCTGTCTACTCCATCAGTCTCACTCCAAGAATCCATGCCCGCAGGAAGATAACTTCTACTGTTTCATGAAAAGGCTTCTTCTGAGATTTGAAGTTGGCGTCATAGATACAACATTCTTGTCCTTACCCAGTTAAGTAGATTCAAGAATCTCTCTCTCTCTCTCTCTCTCTCTCTTTCGCTCTCTCATTAAAGATGAAAGGAAAAAAAGTGGCTTCCATCTATGCCGCCGGTAGACCAATCCTACTGTCACTGAGAGATGTTTCGTTTGGGATTTGAAGTTCCTTGACTCTAGGGTTGAGCACCTCCTGGTCCCTTTCACAGCCAAGCAAATTCAATAATCTCTCTTGCCTCTCTCTCTCTCTCTCTCTCACTCTCACTCTCACTACCTTACCCCGTAGTTTAACGCGGCAGAGGGAAAGAGCACCCAGGAACTTATTGAATGATTATCCTTTCAGAAGAGCTCTCCAGTGAGAGAGAGAGAGAGAGAGAGAGAGGGACGGAGAGAGGGACGGAGAGAGGGAAACGATGGGTGAGTACCAGAAACGAAGCCGCACGGCACCCAAATGGAATGCCTTTTGCACGTGCACATGTCACTAAGGAAACCTTACAGGTGTGAAAGGCACTCCAGTAGACCAATCAGAGCAAGTCAATCGCAGGGGCTGGCCAACTTAGCCTCGGCCCACGTGTCATGAGGCGCCTGGCCCGTTGACCAGGGAAATAATTAAACAAAAAAAACGTTCACGCCTTTTAAGGGCTAAAAACTAATGGAGAAATGAGAGCTTCGTATTCGTAACTGAAAGATTTTTGCAGGGGTTAGAAATCAAATTACCACAAAATACCACAAAATAGATAGTCTTAGCTGGGCGTGGGCCCAATTACGTTTCAGATAAGTGTGTGGTACCATGAGCCCAAATGGCAGGCCCATGGGATAGATATGGCCCAATATCTTCTGCTAAACCTACCCAAAAAATCAACCCAAATAAAAAAGATGGCAAATGTCTGAGACCGAGCAAACTGGTTGACTTTTGTAGCTAATATTTCTGTGTATCGACAGATGGTAGGAAGAAGAATTTTTTTTTTCCCATTGAATTTGACCATCTTTTTCGGGTCTTGAGACGCCTCTGAACAGCAAAGTTTCCAATATTGGAAGCTTAGCTTAGTATGAAGTAAGTTATTTAATTAAGCATACTTAAATATTACAAATAAAATGCAGCGATTTGGTCACAAAAGTGGGTATGCTATATTTCTGCGTTGACCTTTCTGAACAGACTACTTAAAGAGGCAAGATCATGAAATAGGGTTGACCAATTTTATACCAATTTTTATACCATAAAAAATGGATCACTGGTTTTCAACTCCTCTGCCATCTCACGTATTATGGATCAAAAGTGTAAGACTTTTGATGTTCTGCAGATCTTAGAACGCCTGAAATCCCATGTGATCGGGAAATCATCCCATCATGTTTGACTTGATTAGCAATGAGAGGCTACTGTAGAAGAGATCATCCCACCAGGCTGATTGGGGAGACACAAGAAGGGATCTAGGCTCCCGTGACCCACTTCCCAAAAAGTCAACTTTCCAAGTTATATCAATTATTTTTGAGGAACCCGTAACTTGACGTACAGGATTAACGTCAAGCATAGAGAATATGGATCAGAGAAGTACCCATCAGAGTCAACCTCAGTATCCTCGAGAGCCACTGGAGACCACAAGGGAAAAAAATGATACGCCAGAATTGACCGATCTGGCAAGAAAAGTCAGCGTATCATCTAAAGATGGGATTGAATGTGAGATATAAAGAAGTAGCTACCAATTTGCATGAACACTAGAGGGGGACTGAGCAACGACCTAAATATACCATGCAGAAAACCCAAATTTATTAAGGGGAAACGAAAATACCAGGGGAAGATGCTGTCAGATCAGCTAGGATAAGCCAGATTAGATGAAACCCGCCAGGAAAAAAAAAAGTCAAAATTAAATTTCACCTCGGGCTGCTTGATCTTCTAAAAGCATAGATAAACCTCCCCATATTTGTTTCTGTTTTAATCTACAGGAAAGCTTCTCAAGAGGGGCGAGAACTTTGATTAATGTGGCTCAGAGCTGCCTTTCAACAGGAGAGCGATGTCTGGTTCAGTCTTCAGTCTGTGATTGGCATAGGATTGGATCAATACGAGGACGCTGTAAATAGGAGAAGGGAAGAAGAGGGGAGAGATGCAAAGGCTGTCCCTGCTCGTTTGTCCTCCAAATTCTGCTTCGGGTCTTTCCCCTCAAAAAGTCCTCAGATCGTCGGTTCTTGCCTTGTTGACTGTTCTTCCCCGCAAGAACAGCTGCTGGTGGCTCTCCACAGCTATCGGATTCAAATCGGGAGGAGGGGTTTCCATTCGATTCTTGAATAGATATGCTCCTTCTCCCTGATTCAAGATGAACATTCGATTTTATAGCCCGTTGACTTTCCGCCCGACAAGTTAGACTGAGAGACGGAATTCGAAATCAGATGAAAGGGCCGCTGGAACTGTGTGCTAGACAGGGTTTGCCGCACCAAACGGAAGCGAGAACAGAGGGAAAAGAAGAAAAAAGGGGAACGAAGATTGCTTCGGCGAGAGAGAGAGAGAGAGAGAGAGAGAGAGAGAGAGAGAGTGATTACCAATTAGGATGGTGCGGACTTGTGCTGCAGGATCAGGCGCTGCTGCTGAGAGGTGGCAAAGGCGACGAGGGACCGGAGCTTGGAGATGGCAGAGACCTTCTCAGGCGGGCAGCTCGCCAGCGCCACCCGGAGAGAGCGCAAGGCGGAATCGGGCTTCCCCGCAGCCAGAGCGGCGCAAGCTGACCTGTATGCTTCGTCGGCCAGCCCGACGGCCTCGTAGCCCGACCCACCGAGCGCCGCCGCCGCCGCCGCCACTGCCGAGGAAGTGAAGGGCTCCTCCCCTTCCCCCTCCGGTCGCTGGGGTCTGCCGAATGGACGGAGGAGGAGGGTTGAGTGGGCGTGCTCAGAGGCGGCGATGGCGGCGTCGATCTCCGCCATCAGCGTGTCCGGTGGGACGCTGGCGGCGGCGGGGGAGTTGGGAGCGAGAGAAAAGGACTTCACGCCATCGAACACAGACCACGAGCACCTGGTCCTCCCGCTCTCTTCTTCCCTGGTTCCCATCTCTAGGGCTCGCGGTAGGAGGCGAGGAAGCGGAAACCGATTTCAGAGCGAGAGAGAGAGAGAGAGAGAGAGAGAGGGAGAGAGTGAGGAGGGCTCGCAGGCGAACAGAAGTAACTGCTTTCACCAAAGATTCACCAACGACCCTCGTGAAAATCTTCAGACATCTCTCAGTTTAAGCCCTCAAAACATCTTCATCTGGAGAGAATCTCCCCAAACGCACATTTATTGGAGCTATGCCGTGGGTCAGTGGGCTGCTCATAAAGATCCAATCTTTATGAGCAAGTGCAGGGCTCGGATCAACCCCTCCCCCCCACCAACCCCCCCAAATTGTAAGAGAAACCTCCCAAAACTCACTTCTATTAGAACTGCACCCGGAGTCAACGCGCTGGTCATAAAAATCCAATCTTTAAATCAAGTGAAGGGCGACACCGGATCAATTCCTCCCCACTCCCCAATGCTTGAAAAAGCAACCTAGCATAATCTCACATCGTTAACGAATGGGCAAAATCCCTCCTTCTCCACTGTCCATGGGGTAGTCAACGATGGGTAAAATGGTAGAATGGAAGCTCCCCTCCCCTTCCCCACCCATAATATCTTGAGGGCCGGGTAAGGGTTTCTGCCACTAGCGAATTCAGGCTTTCAGTCTGGAATTTCTTGATCACAGATGAAGTAGACGTGCCTTCACTAGCAATCCAGTGATTTATGGCTGAGCAAGCTGTTCTAAAAGCTCTAGACGACAAAACCCAGCAGCGGTGGATTCTTTTTGAGTCATCCAAATAACTCACCCGATCATTCCAAAAAGGGATAGAAACTTGGAGTCGGACACCCGAATGTTGGGGAGCTGAAGAACACACGGGCTTTATATGGTGCAAGCTACTGGCTTTCCTCACCGTACTGCAAGGCATTGTTTACGGAATATGCAGATGATGGTTTAAGTTCTCCGCATCCTAGGAATTAGGGCATACGGGTACGATTTTAACTTTGTCATGATAGAAATGTTCCAACTTATGTTCGGACTGAACCCTCTCTTCCTATTGGATTATGTGGGGTGGCCAGCAGGGATGTTCTTGTCTACTTACCCATTTTAGGGGGAGTGGTGTTGCCAGGCCTTTCCCCTTTTGTCATTTCTCCCATTCAAACCTCCCCTTCTTTTTCGGAGAATTGTCTCCATTTGATCCCAGAAACATTCCCCGGATGTTGGAGAGAATGTGTTAATCACACATGCTGTTGGTGGACATGCTGGTTTACAAGAAATGAACCGATCTAAATGGATAAACTCATCCCAGCTGAAAGAAAAAAACGTAGAAAATGAATCACATTCACCATTCTCTAATTCATAAGGTTACTGATAGTATGATAACCTATATGATTACCCAAAAAAAAAAAAAGAAAAAAAAAAGAGAATATTTTAAACTAAAGCGATTGATCCCACAGGAACAAAACCCAGCCCCATCACAGAAGGAAAACGATTTCTAAAGAAGTCGCATCTAGGCTTCAATGTACTTACAGTTTGTATCTTCGTCATGATCATCTGAATAAGAATGCCATATAAGTTCTCAGGCGTGTGGAAAGCCTTTTAATCATTCACCTCCTTGGGGATCCCAACTCCTCAGGTATCATCTGCTATTGCTTGAGGTCCAATGATTCTTCTCTTGTAGAACACCACCGCACAGATGTAAGATATGGTGGCAGCGACAACCAGCAGCCCAACGTAGACACACACAGTTGCAGCACAAACATAGAGGTACCTTTCGGAAGTAAAACATTGCAGATTAGTGTTAAAAAATTGAATAAAACTCGCAGAGATGATGCAATTCGAATAAATACCAGACATGAGCATGATTTCAGTACAGAACCATATAGATAATCAGCATTTTTAATAGAGGTATTCAAATGATGCCGATGTTTCTAGAAAACTCCATGAATATAATAAAGAAGCTTCGGACTAGAGAAAATTGCAGAGAGGGTTAGTAGGGAGATCATATTCAGCGCTACTCACTTTGGTGAGAACACACTCCAAATGAATAAGTGGTTCCTCATTGCAAACAGTATAATGGTGAAGCTGGTCAATGAGATGGAATTCAGAGCCAGTGGAACCAAACACGGAAAGACAAGCATCTCCCGGAGAAGACAGGTCAAAGGGACTGATTTTGGTCCCAATAGATATTTCCTAGTCTTCAGAGAGATATATAGAACCAGACTGAGCAAATATAACAACGGCGATGCATAAGTGATGATCAGCATCATGATTCCGGCAAGTACTGTCGACTGGCCAAAGATTCCCTGAGAGGCATTCACAAGATGATGAGAAGAGAGGGCGGTTACCCTATGACAGTCAATAAAATGAGAGAAAATAACTTCAGAAAATCTGATCGAGACAGACTAAATGCTGTCATTTTGAGAAAAAGAAAGAAGAAACTAAATAGCCATCAACAAACAGCGAGTAGTAAAGAAAATTACATTAAACGCCCCAGCTACATCAATAGTGGCTAGTGTATTGCTGTTTCCAAGTCCAAAATGACCGGTCATTCCAATGAAGTAGAGAGCAGAAACCTGTACATCAAGTTCATCAAATTTGGCAAAGTAAAGGTACATTAAATACTGGTGGAAATTAAAACTTGATCAAAGTATTCTACTGACGTAATAGTGTATGACAGAAAGAAATGGTTCCTCAACTACAGCATTACACTCTATTCTGACACAGCAGAATAACGTTAGTAGAGTAGTACTCAATATATAAAACATTGTGGAGGAAGTGATTTACTGATATTCAAGCTCTATTTTCTAACAGAAGGCTCTGTACAGAGTCAAAGGGTAGAAAAGTGGCCGTTGAGACTTTAAAATGTCGCATTAGAGCTCGACATAGTACTACCACAGCTGAAAATTTTGAATTGAGGGCTACAGCTGAATGTTAAATTTCTTCTTGGTGTAAGGGTTAGCCTGGATGGGGTGAAATCATCCAGGCGAACAAAGGCATTCCGGACTAATTTCTTATCTGTTTCCAGGTACTGGCAGATACGAACATGACTTCAACTTTTCAACGTGGGCATTTTGGCCAGCGAAATCAACCGATCTAGAGAACAGATGCCATGAATTTTTTCCATATGATTTATTTTTATGCCATTATAGTAACGATTCGAACACTAAGTTGGGACCAGAAAAAGAAGTCAAAATTAGGTCGGAACACTAAATGCTCAAGGAGGTCTATCTATCCTCTTCAACATAAACATTGGTCCATTTATCTTGTGACTGGATCCTATTGAAGAGTTCAGGTTTTTGCCATATACGTAACCGATTGTTCAGATTAAACTAAACCTTAAGTGTAAGATGCCACGCCAGAGAGGGTAAAAGTTAAAAAAAGATAAAGAACGATAGTTGCAAGTGCAAAAATGGTTTTCCAGTTGTACATACCAAAATCCTGCAACTAAAAAAAGTAACAGCTCCTAAAGGTAAAGGTTACTAGAAAGTAATGTAACAGCCTTAACATAAGGAAAAAATGGTTATCTTGTCTAAGGATTTGATTTTGTCAAAACGTTTCTGTTGAGTGTCTAAGGATATCTTTCTGATCTCGCTTTTCTAAGTGTACATTTAAGATTTATACAAGTAATACTTTCGACTTTTCTCTTACGTTGTTGACAAAATTAGTACGAGCCACATAATTATGACTCACGTATGTAGCATAAGGCATGTGAGTCAGGTAGTAAGCTGGCCTGAATCATAGGCGGTGAGACTTCAGTTGGCCATTCTGTATACCATAGAGACTAAAGACTCAAAATCTCAGCTGCAATTGAATCAAAGATGTTGCCCGACAAAGCTCAAGCCATGGCAATGATGGTTGTGGGATGAACAAACCTTGCACGTTATGCTTGGCCTACCTTTCAATCGCTAGAGATGGTGGGATAATTGAGAGGCCTTTTAATGGTGGCGAAGGCTAAAGGTGTACAAGGACAACGGTCTATTTATTGATGGCACTACTACAGGTAGAATAGTTTGATGGAGATAATGTATAGAATGATTTAAGAACTCTACACAACTGTAATACAAAGTACTTTGGATTTCCATAATTCTTATGTACGATTACTGGCAACGTTTTCCTCTTCTCACGCAAGTATAATTTTTTGGGCTTAAATTTTGACAGAAAAACTTTCTCAACCTTCTCAACAAAAGTCATTCTTTTGTTTCTCATCTCAGCAATATAGTGGTTTCTCGATCTTCCTATTTTATGCTTAACTTACAAATTTGTAGTATCACTAACTGGGTTACCAACTTCCTCCTAACATTCTTTGTGCTTCCAGAGTCTCTGAAATTACATTATTTACCCATGTTTACAAAGAATCTTTTCTTTCTTCTTGAATAACTTGCATTCCTTAACTTTTTTTTTTTTTTCCAAATCCCTTTTGATCCTCCTAAGATCAGATTCCTAATGAATTTAAATACAAAACGTAGAAGTATTTTACTCTGTATTGACTTAACTTCAATGCCATAACCATTCCATTCTATTGAATTCAAATAGGAGCCCTCAAGATATGCCTGCAGCTGCTACAATCTTGGGGTTCCAATTATTCTTTGTTACTGAAATATCAATTTGGTTCTTCTTTGAATAATAGTCAAAGTTAGTGATCCTTCGTGTCCCGTCATAGGATAGGCACTTGTTTTGTCAAAGTCGTACAGCAAAAAATGTTGCAGTTTCCAGTTTTAGCTTTATTGTACAGTACGCTGAATCTCTCCCTGATCTACTCTAAATCCTTTTATCATCTACATTTGAGCGTATGTGAAAATGACCACAAATTAAACAGTTTCTTAATGCTTGACTATATGAACGTATCAACCTCATCAAACTTGCCTTTGAACTCCCCAGGCAAAACAACTTGTTGACCAAAGGTCCTGATGATTATCGGCAGTTCTCAAGTGACAGGTATGATAAAATACACAAGAGAAAGGTAGATAATTTTTAGCAGTGGCTTATTTTGACATTAGACAGCTGAATATGCCGAAAAAAGAAGAAGGAACAGCTAATGTAATAATGCTTATTTTGACATCCAATAAAATTTTAATAAAATACAGAAATACTCACTACTTGAACATGCAAGTGAATCAAAAGTATGATTGTGGGTGACAGAGTCAAAAGACCTATATTTTTCCCACAAAAAAAATAAATTATCAGGGGAAAACGGTTCACTGACCTCAACCCATGGCTTATATTGTGATTCCTCATGAGAGAAATAAATCGTACTGACAAGTATCTGAATAAAGAGCATAAGCACAGGCGCTGCATTTATTGGCTGCTGAAGAAAGAGTTGAAGAAGGCACCAGGAACTTGTGTATGTCACCCCAATGATATATATGGGGTCTCTAATGGAGTGAAGGAAATAGTTAACAACTCTTTCATCAGTCGGACTACTCATCTGGAATTTAGTTTCCCAGGATATATTCTGACGGCAAGATGGCGAAAACCAGGGAGATAACAGGGAGATCATCAAAGTTAAAATCAGCGATCCATAAAGCAAAAGGAATGAACTGAGGTCGTAGCTTGATTCTAGTAGTGAGTGGTTTTGGTATCCAAGGATATGAAGAGAGATGAGAAAAAAAGACATAAAGTGACTAATGACCAATACTCCAAGATAAACTTTTCTTGATTTTGCAGAACGAAGTGCCAGGAATCCCAGACTAATAAGAAAAACCAGCGAAGCAATACGGAAAGTTTTTATCACACTGGTGCCAGCTTCCTCAAGAGACTTCGAAATATCAGGAAGATGAATCCAGTTCACACCACCTTGATGCCAACCCCTCAAGACTCTCATACAAATGAGTACAGAAAGTATCGAACAAAAAGATAGACTCTGATGATCCTTACAGACAAACGATGTCCCCTTCAGAATCTTGCAAAGTGATGACAAACTGAAACAAAACGGCAGTTGAGTACTATGATTATCTCCTCTCACTATCATAGTTGCCTTTGGGGAGAATCCAACAAATGACTGAATTCTCATAAACAAAAAAATCAAATACAACGTGGACGTTAAGAAATGCCATGTGTACTGCTCTTCTTCCACCAATGAACTTGACCCCAGACTAAACACATGGATGAGGATTGCAAGGAAAACAAAAGCCTCATCTTTGTTCCAACTACAGTTAAAGACTGTCCCGTGAGAAGGATATAGCTTCTGACGATGTTCTTTGAGCATCCTGACCAAAAGACCCAAGATGATGGCGCATGAAAAAACCATTATAGAAATTCCAGCCAACAGCATTGTCGCCGGATTCTGCAAAATTTGAAAGAAGTTGTTTGCCATGCTTTCTTAAACTTCATATATAAAGTTGAGCATGATATACGTGGCAAAAGAAAAGCAGCATTACACTAGTGGCAGCTGTTGACAACCAATCACTGGCAGCACCTAAAAACTCATAATAAGCGTCGACAGTAATACTTGGGAGATCACCATTCCTCGAACTGTAAAAAGATACATCAGATAACTAATACAAAGATATTGGCCAGAATAATAGAAGTAAGAAAAATTACAAAATTTCTGACTCATTCAGAAGTTTCCACGAATTATGGAAATTCACCGCATTTGAGAATAGATGACAGAAGTTTTCCTTCACACTCCCAGTTGATGGACTGATCCCTAAATTATGTGCATTATTTAATCCAACACACAAGTCTTCACAAAGTACGTCTGGTATATATGATTGCAATAATCTAAGCAACTGGAATGAATTTATCTCCAAAGCTCGCAACCTTTGCACATCTGTTGCACAAAAAGTTACGATGAGATAATAAGATACTATGCAATTATAAGACATAAATCCATGACATTTTTACAATTTGAAAGCATGTTACATTGTCTTTAATTCGAGCAGGAATCACCGGTAATATCGAAGATACTGTTTTCCACAAAATAAAACTTTACTGAGAATTTTGATGAATATTAAACAAAATGTGAATTATATACGTAAAATAAAATAACGAAAATCTCCGTTAATAGCGCCAATCAATACCAGGGAAAGTATTATTTACTAAAAACCCCGAGTTCCAATTGAGGAACCAGGTTTAGGACAGTGGTAATGGCCACCGCGCATAGTTATTGTCCACAGGTCGAACATAAACTAATGAAAAAAAGTGGAGTCAAACATAATGAAGGTATATGGTCGATTTCATACTTTCATTGTTACACCTTCCGTTTTTTTACTATACTTTTATCATATTTTTCATATAGGAATCTAAATCATAGGATTGGGCTCAGCCGAAAATTTAAAGGAAGTCGATAACCCCAAAGGGGATTATCAAACGTTCCAAGACATTTCGTGACGGCGCCTAACCACAGAGATGAAATGATGATGCTAATCAGAGAAAAATTATCGGTTCAAGAGAATTACTACAACTGGAAAAGCTAGCACTCAAAATATGCTGTAGAACGTCCATCCAGACAGGTGAACCAGAACCGACTTTTAGGTTCGTTCCACCGGTTATAAACTGACTGAGAACAGGGAGGACGAACCACACAAAATAGACACAACTTGCCCTAGATTAATGGTTATTCTATAATTTGCACCGATCATCAGTTTTTTGGGCAGCAAGTCAAAGTCTATGAGCTCAAAGACATGGGAAAAATGCTTAAGTGTGCAGCTCATCAATCCGTACACGAGCTTTAGAACACATCATCAATACAGTTAGGGGGGAAAGCATTAGAGCACCACAAACACCAACTCTCTGCATGCATCCTATCATTTAAATGGTTCAATGTAGAGATGTAGAAGAGGGGAAGGAAGATACCGGGCCTAGGTGGGAGAAACCTCGAGTTCAGAAGAAAAGTATTGGAGAAACATGATGGAAAAGATGATAAAACAGCATATGAAAGACAAGAAGAATGGATGAAACTCATTCCTTACATTGAAGAATCCACAGACAAGGTCTCATTGACAAATACTAGTTGGATAAGCTCAGGAATGGCGTGGTTGACCCTTGCAAAGGATAGAAGACCTTTCTGATGTAGGTTAACCCCCATTTGAATTTGTTTTTCAGTGGCGACTTTTATAATTTCCTGCACGAGTCCCATCCGAAAGTCTGTTGATTTTTTTTTGGGATTGTTAAATACTAGCCTATATTAATCTAGGATGATTAAAAAATCCTGATAAACTTTCAAACCAATAGGGGTTTGCCATGGCTTCCTGGGAAGAGTAGATCAAGACACATAGTAGGTCAAATCGAGACATTGGATAAATTTTATCTACAAGTGCAACCATAAAATGTCCATTAGAGCAGATATCGGATGACCTTGACACAGTTTTTCTAACTGATATTGGAACCTGTCAACATTCAGTCCATGCAAACTTAATTGCAGAACAGGAACTCGTGATTGAAAAGTGCTCCCAGCGTGATTAGAAACTCTCCTTGGTACTCGAACGAGGTTGGGACATACTGTGAGCAACTGGGCTTTGAACCCGATACCCTGGGTTGACCAACCCTGTCAGTTGAGATATGTTCTCTTAGTAGTGATAACGTTTATGATGATTGGGACACAAACATTGGCTTGGTAATAAAAAAATGCCCAGAACATGGATACACAGCTACTAAATATCCGATCAAAGTGACAGGATAAAAAATAAAGGGAAGAGCAGATTCAGGACAAAAGAACAGCCCGTCAAAACTTCAAGTTAAGCGATGAGAGACAAATAAAGAATCTGACAATGATTACTAGAGTCTTATACAGCACCATGACGTTTAAGGAAATTTAATGGTTATCCCAACTCAACTGATGACAATGAACCTCTTTCCTGTTTGCGTTTTAAAATTATATAAGAAAACGGGAATAAGAAACGTAGTTAAAGAAAGAATATCACAGTACAGATGGCAATAATTCCTGCTCGTTTATATTGATCCATGCATAAATAATTACTATTGACAAGCTACATTTTGGATTGAAGAAATTGGAGAAGTAAAAAGAACAAGAAAAAATGCCATTCTAATGGAGCAATATTATTTTTAACCCATTCAATGTAAATAAGAGGTATGTACAAACCTGTCATTTGGTCAACAACCTCTCTGATTAGAAGGCCAACACTATTCTTCGGAATAGGCAACCCAAAGAGAATTGCCAGGGTTGGTGCAATATCTACCTGAACAACGAAAAATAGGTACTGATGGGAGACATTCACGCAGATTGGGTGAAAAGTTATATGCTGCAATGACCTCAAATGAAAACATAAGAATGAAGAACAAGGGTATTTGTATCTAAATAAATCAATTTTCAGTGAATCTACGTATGGAGAACAAATGATAACTTAGAGAGGATACTCTTTTCTTTTCAGTTTAAAAATCTGAAATTATGTATCAATGTAAGGGCTACTAAAACCAGGTGAAGATGCACAACATGGAACTTTACATTGTTTCCCCCTCCCCCCCCTCAGAGCTTGGTTTGCTGGGGCCCTGGGCAGAAAGACTCCCTCTTCCGGTTGCCACAAGCACTCATCAAATTGAAGGCAGAAAAATAAAGAGCCTATAATTTTGGTACTGAGAGGAACTGCCTGAAGATGGTGAGGTGGAGGGAATGAGGAAAGGACATATTGCAATCCACAGCTATGGTGCTCCCTGCCACACAAATGTTGACATTGTCAGGACCAACGATTGGACATCCTACAGGAAGCCACGAGTGCTCCATGACCATCTGTGTCATAGATCCTCCACGGTGAAGGGGGAGGTGCTGATGGATAGCCAGTTTATCGAGGTTTCAAGCTCTGGAGGGAATATCAGATGAAACTCAATTATGAGGCTATGAGGCTACAAAAAGTGGTTATTATGCTGACCAGCAGGATTCAAAGATCTCTTATCAAGGAGACCTTAGCAGCTCATACGTGGATTAATTATATTAAGTTTCAATAGAGAAGTGGCTAGATTTTCGAGGCAATTTTTAAGAAAGCATATGACAGAACGTGATGGGTCAATACATGCGGATCTGATACTTCAGTCTTGTCTGATCTCAGAAAAACTTGTATTGGAGAACGGGGAATATTTAAAATGTGCTTGTGTTGGGAGAGATTCCATACCTTCAGCCCTTATTTGCCCTAATTATTCAAGCAGTGACCAAAATACAGAAATGAAAAAGGTTTCGGGATGGATTACGTGTTTTCAGTCATACCATAGTGCATATAGGTAATACATGTGCAGTAGTCTTGCAGAGGAACACAGAATGATAGAAGCCACAGAAATGTGACAAATTGGGAAAGGGAAAACGACCATCATTTTCAAAGCAAATGATAGTAGAGAATCAATCCATAAACAGTGCCCGACATATCCAACTTAAACATCCCAGAAGAGACGGCATGTCGTCGCTTAGGCACTCTATTAACAACATTTTTTATCCAAGAAACATAACTTTTTACCTGATTAATTGTCCTATAAGCTTGTAACTTAAAATCTGTTGACTTTGGCTGAAGACCCACAAAAAGTGCAACAGAGTCAGTTTCCTCATATGAAGAACCTCCATGATTCCCATTATCAGTCATGCCATGATCACTAACAACTACCTGAAAAAATAAACATAGATCCTAGATTAAACATCCATATATTTGAAGTAACAACCTTGTCAACAAGAAAATTCAACACATTTTTTGATAGTAAATACTTGTCTTTCAAATCAACCTTGTCATCTTTTCATCTTCTCTGGCGAAACCTACATTACTAAACTAAGAAGCCCAGAAATTACCTACCCCAAGCATTTGCCATGGAAAAACTGTACGTTTTGAGAGCGTTATACATAATGAAGGGGGGAGGCAGATGGCCAGGGAAACGAAATGAAAAGATGGGAGAAAGGAATGATGGTTCCCCCTGGATGATGGTGGGAAGAGAAGGGTTGTGGTTGGTGAACATGGACTTGGGGTAGTGTGAATGTGACTCAAGTGGTAGGGAGTTGGACAGACTGGAGAAGGGGAAGGGTAGGGGTGCAAGAGAAGGTAGGCAGGGTTGCCTACTGGCAGCCAGTAGGGGGAGACGGAGTGCTTCATTTGAGGATGTGGGGAGGATACCAGAAAAATAGGATTGCCCGCTGACGGGGGTCTGAAAAAGGGCAAGCTAGAAAAGGGGAGGAAGCAAAAGAGCGGGCACTCACCAGGAGAAAGGGGAAGAGATGGCAGGAGGGTTCAGGTGCCACCAAAGGGGAGAGGACTTGAAGATGGCGGGAGGGAGGGAGGAATGGCCACCTTGATGATGGTGTGACAATCATCAAAGAAAATGGAATCCAACCTTCTGTACCAAACGAGATCAAACTTCACTTCAGATACAGACCAATTCGTTACAAGCCCCGCTAAGTTTCTCACTTACCTGGCCCACTGAAACTCCTAAACAATGTTGATAAGAACTCGAGAATAATATCTAAAAATAAAGTAGAGTAAAATCTCAATAACTAGAATCACAGTATGAGAAGTAAATCAGCAATTCTGAAAATGAAATGTACGAGCACATCTTAATCTAGTAAATAATATAATTATAATCTGGTTGAACGATGCTGTACAGAACCGTCGGTCTTCACTCAAGGGATGCCGTCCAAGCAATTCTGAAAATGAAATGTACGAGCATATCTTGATCTAGTAAATTATATAATTATAATCTGGTTGAATGATGCTGCTCAGAACCGTCGATCTTCACTCAAGGGATGTTGTCCAAAGAACATTAATCCAATTACTATGCTAATAACAACAATACGATATAAGCGCATTCCGTCAAAATTATTTGGCGGATCATTCCCGTCATAATGTATTTACATTCTCAGAGACAAGAATCACATAAGAGGTCCGGCGATGAAGAAAATGTGAAACTGTGTATACAAATAAGGAAGATTATCTCTAGATGGTTTATTTCAGGACAAAATGTTCTTACTCAAATGGGTAAAAATAAATTAGACACGAATCATGCAGTCTGATATTAATCAAATAGATAAATAATGAAGGAATAAGACAGGTACGAAGTATGAACCAGAAGCGTGCGTTTGTCAACATTTTGTTGAAGGATGGCATGTGTGTGAGCCGCCCTGATAACATCATCCATCTCCTTCAGTTTTGGGGCCATGAGAATGCTGTTTCAGAATAAATAATAATTTTTGTGAAGCAATGATAATGATAGTTATTGTAACTCTCTAAATGCAGTTACCTGTTACGCCCGCCAATATGGCCAACATGATCAAGGCCCAGATAATGAAGAATCTAAAGGAAAAGCCTTGTTAAGAACCAGAAATAGTTGTCACATCAAGCAGAACATTTAAGAGTATAGAAATAATGAATCTCAAAAGCATCAGTTATGACAATTAAGAAGAAAACTCAGAATGCTGTTAAACGTTCAAGTTATTCACAGAGGAATATTTTGCAGATTATTAATTTTTATCTTGACTAAAATGAAGAACTTCTCAATATAACCACATCAGTAAATAAATACAATGAAGAACTTCTATTTCTACTCGAGATCTTCAACCTTTTAAGAACATCGAAAGAAATTGATGTCCAATGAAACACTCTAATTTTATTGCCACAACATATTATTTTCTGGAACATGCCTCACAATAGGTCCAAACTTCCACCAAGTGACTGAAACTGTGGGCACTTTGCTGGTGTAGAAGAAGCCCTTTTATTCTCTACAAAATTAGTTTACCTTCTTCCCTCCTGGCCCCATGACCAGCTTGTCATGCAGCCGTTTTTCCTACCTTTATCTATTGCAGTTCAGATTCCATGTCAATAAAGAGGTAAAAGAAAACCTCAACAACGCCTGATTTCTCACAGCTGTCATGTAACAAGGGATTGCCTGGTATTCTTTCCGTCCTACTTTTTTCTTTCTCGCTAAACGATGGGAAAATTCACTTTGTTCGAATATAGTTGAGTGCAGGACCATTTGGGGGCCCATCTAGGATCTGCTCCAATATGCCTGTAGTCGGTCTACTACTTTAGGGAGAGTGGGATCAGCCTATGAATGATTGTGGACTCCCACCTTCACAAACATATTTTTAACCTTTTAATTACAATTCAAAAGACTAAATTTCTCATTATGAACACTTCAAAATTGTGTCTTTGCATGTATTTTCTTATTCAATTATAGTTTAAATTGATGACCAGACAGAGTGCATAGTCAGGGTCGTGTGTATTTTCCAGCAAGATTTATGACACAATGGCCTATTATAGCTTCAATAAAGACTCATCTCCCATTGAGGTAATTTGCAGTTGTAATGTCGGATTGTTTAAAATGCCACTACACTAAATGGGAAATGTAGGAAGCATAACCTCGAAAAAGTAACAAGTGTGTTCAGAGATTAAAGAAAAAAATAAGAAGGGCTCACCAGAAGGTCCCAATCCTTTGCGGCCAGCTCTGATTCTAGATGTCGAGAAACATTGAAATCAACTTCCACAGTATCTTTAACCTGATTAGGGATGAGAAGACCCCCAGAACTCATCATCAGATATAAGAGCAGCAACATTACAATCACACAATAATCCACGTGATTAGTAAATTCAAGTCATTGACCTAGTCTCAAGATTAAATGGTTCTAAGGTTGAATTTCTCTTAGTTTTTAACGTACAAATGAAAGAACAGAGGATCCAATACATGCAAATGACCGCTTCAGCTGTCAGGCAAGCATGCTTTCAGTACAGTGCAAATGTAAGAACATGAAATGAGTAATCAGCTTCGGAGGTGCCTATGATTTTTTATAGTTTCAAAGGTCATATATACACGACTTAAGCCATTGTCAAATCTAGTCTGGAAGCGGGGAGGGCGATCTGCAAGTGGGTAAAGAAAAAAACAACGCAATGTACTAACATTTCCTTGGTCCATGACTATTCAAGCCGACATATGCAACAGGAAGCGATTTACAGCACTTGTTAAGCTTTGTAAGGACATAGTCAAGCTTTGTTACGGATTCCAGTCTGCTTTCTAAGTATATATACCCAAATATTTGCAAGTCTGAAATGAAAATGCTAGTGATACAATGTGTTTTCTCTAGGAATACCAACTCTAGTTTCCCTGATTAGTGACTCCAGATAATATAGGAGGGACCATCTGAATTAACTTATTTTGAGGATCAAACACTTACACTATCCAATTAAGGAAATAGTTCTCATGTGTTCAAGATTCAATTAACGATACTGCTGAAACGACTTGAAACGGCCAGTTCATTCCAAACACATAGCTAAAAGTGACTTTGGGTTATCAAGAGTGAATCACATCCCCAAATAAAGGCTTACACCACAGTATTTTTGCTACCACCTAAACATGACCAATTAGAAAATAACATGTCAAAAATTGTCTTATCAAACCAAAAGAGAATAAATATAGATGAATTATAAAGAAAAATAAAATACTATGAGAACTCGACTTCTCAGATTACTTACATAAAAACTGCTTACTCCATCTTGCCTAATAAACCGTCCAGGAAACAATCTAATCCATGTCTCATCACCAAGCATCACCATTTTCTGCCCACAATGATAAAATTGATCTGCAGAATGATGATAACTTAAGAAGAGACCGAAGAAGTCTAACTCCATCATCAACATCTCAGGACAGCTATTTTTCCCAACTTACCGACCAAGTTGTCATCTAACATTTCTTGGGTATTAAAATTGAAGGCCACATCCAAAAAGCCTCCAACTATACCAGAAACAATTGCCTGCAATGCTATACAAGGCTGAATGTTCATAATTTGAAAGCAACCAAAGAAATGAGTGCTTGGGAGACAGATAAACTCCACCTTTAGTCGAGGCATGGTAACAGTGGGAGTGGCAGCAAGTGCATGGTATCCAAGTGCTTTACCACTTGACAGCAAAGAATGAGTGTATGGCATGGCATCAGCCATGATTTTAGTGGCAGTTGTCTCACCCTTACCAAGAATGAACTCAGCAGGTAGTCCATCCACAACCTGGCAAGAGTGTTCAGAAACTAAACAAATTTATCTTTTACAGGATTCAACAAAATATAAGCGCTTCCAAATTGTATTTTCCAAGGAGAAAAAACATACCATCAATATCAATCGATCAAAAAAAGGAGGTAGTCGTGACATTCCCTGCACAAAAGAGAGATGCTTCAAGAATCATAATCTACGAGAAATAACATTAAAATGCTTGATTAAATCACCACAAAGTATTTTGAAGAAATTAAAATATGAAGTATATGAATGAAGAAAAGACAAGAATCCTATATCAGGATTGTAAGATGATGCATAACAAAGAAATCAAAAAACAAAGAGAAAGTTGCAAACATATAGTAATAGGCAACGAAATGAAAATGAAACCAAGAAGGGAATTGAATGAAAATAATTTCTTGTGAGCCTAAGCCAACCCAGAAACTTTCCACTATTACCAGACCGAAATTAGAATTTTTCACCTAAACTATGAGAATATAAGAGCAGATAGAGACAACAAGTGTATGGAGAAAAGTTAAGACCTCATCAGGCAGGTCAGATTTAAATTAAATAGTTCTAAGATTACTAGCCTGTCTCATCGACAGAAAATTATGTTTTTTTATTTCTTTAGATTTGAGGAGGCACGAAATGTTTAAATCACAACAATAATTTTCTACTAAGATCATACGTAATGATATAGATCAAGACTCCCAATGGCCCAGATATTTACATGCAATTGAAAAGCGTGATTACCTGAACCAAATCTGCTTCGATTTGAGTGGAATAAGGAAGCGAAGAGTGTGACTATTTCTTTTCAAAGGGAATAATTACCATTATTTGTAAGATAGATGATTGTCCAACAGGTCACATGGGAAGGGAAGGAAAATTCCAAGTATTGATTTGAATCTTCTCACATATTGATACCTTTTTGTCAGCCGAAGTTTCTGTGTTAGTGGCATTCCATGCTAAATTGATAAAGACTTTACAAGTACTTTCAAGAAAAATCATCGATGATCTATCTATTGGATATGTCAAGAATAAAAGAAGAACATAAAACGTATGACTAGAAAAGCAACAGAAAAAAGCTTAAAAAGTTTGAAAAAAGAAAGTAGAGTACTAGTATGAGGAGAAGGTTAAGATATGTCAATGGAGAAGGCACGGTTTCACATTTTTTCTAGTCCGACACTCACTTCATCTCACCCAAAACGAAAGGCGAGAACAATGGAAAAGAGAGAATTGAGAACGCTCACCTTATACATAGCTCTGAGCTCATGTGGAGGAAGGTTCCACCTCTCAGGGATATCGGCAGAGCCACAAGTCGGCATTAAAAAACTCTCAGGGCCGCTGCGCATTGCGAAACTCACCAAAAAAGATCAATTCAGAACCAACATGGGATCGGGACGAAAGAAACAATTAAAAGAAGAAAAAAAACTGAAACAGGGCAAAGTCTTCTAACCTTAGACCCGAAAGGGCCGGCCTCACAGGGAAGAAAGCGAACATGAAGAGATAGAGGCCAAGGATCTGGAGCAGAACGGCGGCAACCGTCCATGCCGCCAGGCGTGTGCAGGCCATGGAAGAAGGCATGGCGACAGAAGAAGAGTTCAGTTCCCGCAGGATGGGAAGCCTGCAAGTGAGGAAACGGAGACCGCAGAGACGTCGACAAGCTGGTGGACTAGTGGCTGCTGCATCTCTGGAAGACGAACTCCGATGACATCCATGGCCTCCACGGATGATCAGACTGAGAGGGAAGAATCCGCACTCATCTGTGAACCCCAACAAATCTGCCGAGAACTTCAGGAAGATCCTTCCAGGTTGCAGATTTTCCGACACTTCTCTGCCAGATTCTCGGCGATTTCCTGCGACTACTTCCGATTCCGAATGCTTTCAAGGATCGTTTTTAAACACAAGTAGCGGGTGATGACTCACCCGGGTGTCGACTCGGCCGACTCAGATCGCCTCCTCTAGTTACAGAATTAGAACCAATAAATACAATTGTTTAATCTCTGAAGTCCTTGACGTCATTATCTTTTTTCATGAGATTAAAATTATAATAAATCATGGATCAGGAAACAGCCTATATTATTTGTAGCCCTTTTAAAATATTATTTTCTTTAAATATAACCTTTTTATTAAATAATTGCCCGAGGGATTTTTTGTAGCTTTTAGCTTAAACCCCTACTTGGTCATAAGAAAATATCTGATTATATTAATTATGCCCTATTCTGCCATTTTTCGAGAAGCTGCCTTTTCGGGATAAGACGAAGAAAAGGTAGGGAGCCAAGTAGAAAATTATAAATTATTTTTAGGATCCGTAAACCGATTTGGTATCCGAAGCTGTAATCACATTTGTATAAAACGTATCAGGATTGGGTTTTGCATCCGATACGGTGAAATCACATCTGTGAGGCTTCGGGCAGCTCTTCCCTCCCCAAGTTTCAGCGCCCATCGCGCAATGTACCCACTCGCGAGCTCCGCTGATCACGCCGTCCCCTTCCTCCTCATCTTCCTCCTCCTCATCTCTGCTGCTGCTGCTGCTGCAACAGCGATACTCGAGCCATCGGCGGACCAAGACCAGAAGCGGCGGGACCTGGTAGAGCTGTTCCGCAAGTACCTTCGGATCCGCACCACACACCCAAACCCGGATTATGCAACCGCGGCTGCCTTCCTCACCGCTGAGGCCCGCTCTGTCGGGCTGCTCACCCAAACCCTGGAGTTCGTCCCGGGGAAACCCATCCTCCTCTTCACATGGCCTGGCGCTGACCCCTTACTGCCTTCCATCCTTCTCAATTCGCACATGGACAGTGTCCCCGTCGAGGAGGACAAGTGGATCCACCCTCCATTAGCCGCTCATCTGGATCCCGCCGACGGCCGCATCTTCGCCCGGGGGGCGCAGGACGACAAGTGCTTGGCCATCCAGTACCTCGAGGCCCTGCGCACTCTGAAAGCCGACTCTACCTTCACTCCGCTTCGTTCGATCCATGTCACTTTAGTGCCTGACGAGGAGATCGGCGGGAGGGATGGGGCCGCCATGTTCACCGCCTCTGAGGTGTTCCGGCAGCTGAACGTGGGTTTCGTGCTGGACGAGGGGCAGGCTTCACCTACAGGTGAATTCAGGGTCTTCTATGCCGACAGAGCGCCTTGGCGGCTGATTGTGAAGGCCCGTGGGCAGCCCGGCCATGGGGCGAGGATGTACGACAACACTGCCATTGAGAATTTGATGGAACTTGTGGAGGCTGTGACCTACTACAGGAACAGCCAGTTTGACCTCGTAAAGGCCGGGCTCAAGGCTGCTTCAGAGGTCATCTCGCTGAACCCGGTGTACTTCAAAGCTGGCACACATTCGCCTACGGTAATACATGTATAAACATATTTGGATTCTCAATTTCTTCTCAGGGTCGGCGGAGAATCGTTCCGGCCGTTAACCGTAGTAAAAGCTGATGAATAATGATTTCTCTGACAAAAACATAGCCTTCGTATTTGCATGTAATTTTTCAACGTGTACCATCTTGCTTTTGTTCGTTTGAAATTGTGCTGCATGATTATTCACCTCAACCTATTTGCCTTTAGGCTATACATAATTATCTCAATACAAACCGACTCAAATTGTCATTTTGGCCGAAAATGCTGAGGCGGGTAACGATGATTTCTCTGCATCACACATTATGTGCATGGCTGTTAGTGGCAGCTTGGATAGTGATGAGGGTCAATCAGGCAGTGGTGGTGAAACTGGAATCATATTTCTGAGTATATATACGTACATATAATAATATTATTATGTTATTTCTTTGCGGACCTCAGTTGAATAGCCAAAAGCAAAAAGGTGCTTTCATTGTTTTTTTCTTTTCTTTTTCCATGTGAACCTTACATTCAATGTTTGCTTCTAAAGAAGATCAAGGAAGGTGATGGCACTAATGATGCTTTTGGTGTTTGAATCGAAGAGATTTTTTTAATTCTTTTGGAGGCATCAAAGCTGTGATGAACATGTTAAAGTGGAGAGCTAAATAAGACACTTTTCAGTGATCATTTCATGGACATGCTCTAGAAGATTTTAGTGAAGAATTCTATTTAGCTATTCCGTTAATCAACTTCGAGTGAGTTTTTATAGACTAATTGACTGTGAGTATGCGTAAATTAAAGGGACTGTATGTGGCTTTGTCTACATGAAAAAAAAAAGAAGTGGAATTTTCATATGCACTCCATGAAGAGGGTTTTGTAACTCAGCATCAAGGGTGAAAATTTCGTCTAGGTAGTAATTAGTTCTTATTTAATTGAAGTTATCTTAATTAGATTATTGAGATTGAATGGCCTGACCCTAAATTTTTTTCCTGTAATCTTGTTCCTTACTTTGGTTAAACAAATGCGATCCCTGATGTTATGAAGTACTGGTACATGTTCTGTGTGAGATATTTATTTCTTAGTTTTGTATGATCATTGTTTTGATTTTTGGCATTTTTCTTCCTGGATGAGTTTGAATACGGGCTAAAATATCTCAGATTGGTAGCCTTATTGAAAGGAAGAAACCCTCAGTGAGAAGTTACTGACGAGAAAGATATCCTTGAGGCATGAGAGGTGGCAGCTGAAGGAAAAAAAGTAGACACAGAAATGTTATCAAGCACAAAGTAAATGTCTAAATAATAAAAAAAATACATAACTAGAAGGGTTTAGCTTTTGATGACCAAGTGAAAGGGATGTTGGGCCAAAATAATGATAACTTGGTCGGTCAACTTGCATGACATGTGGACACGAAGACTTACGTACTTAACTTGGTGCGAATAAAGTCACCTCAGACATAGAACATTGAATCTGCTTCAATTACAGTGATTTGATCTGGCAATGTTCACTCGATGGCCTTATGAAATACATGGATTAGAAAATTTGGGATCTTTACCCTGTCAATCCGGTGGAAGCTAATCTTAGGGTGTGAAGCTAAATGCAATGAACATGTTTTGGAAGCTAATATTAAGGATGGTGGCCTAGACCAGCGTTTGCTTAAAAAAATGTGTCATCAGTTGCAATAGCTGTTCATATTTTCGGGGCAGATTCGACACCTTACGTTATGTGATTGTCTTCTTTTAGGATCACCCAACTTCTTAGTCATTCAAATGATACGTAGTTTAATTTGTCCTTTTTTCTTTATAATCATGCGCAGTATTAAGAATTCATTACCGTTCACAATGTAATTTTATCTGCTGATGGTTTAAAGTTAGTATTTGGATCTATTGAATACCCAGAGCATATGATTGGAACACTCAAAAGTCTTTCCAAAGGAAAAATGCGTGAGAAAGAACTCTTGCTATGCCATCTTGAACACTTTCTCTCTGATCGTTCTCTACAGTAGTGTTCTTTCACATGTGCCGCGTGCTAGTCGGATTAGAAAATGCTCTTTTCTTCTTTAAATTCCGTAATCCACCTTTTGTATTTGTCTGTGGGCATCTTTGTTATGATTATTTCTCATCATATACTAAACATCACCTTGGAGTGGCCTGCATTTTGCTTGTTCGAGTAGGTATCAAAACATTACTATGAACAGCGTTATTATTTCTTTATCGTCGTGCAACCCCTTCTTAAATTCAGATTAATTTTGTGAAGTGATTTCACCAGGGTTTTGTTATGAACATGCAACCTTCTGAAGCTGAGGTAGGCTTTGATGTTCGCATTCCTCCCACAGAAAACCCTGACATCATAAGAAGGAGAATCCAAGAGGAATGGGCTACAATTTCAATGAATCTAACGTTCAAGGTAATATATTTTTGTCTTTGATTGGATAGATGGTTATATCTATGAGCTTTTTGATGAACTAGGAATATAAATAGGTATTGTCTCATAGACAACTCTGAGGCACAACTACTCTACTGCTCATGAATATCTTGGAATCGAGATATGAAGATACCCTGCAGCCTATCTCTGAGGAATCATGCAAACAGAGATAGCTAAATAGTTGTGTACAAGTGTACGATAGTGGCAATGCAGAAGTATCCAAGTAAATGGCAGTGTAGACTGTTTTCTCAAATGGTGTGGTCGAGTTGGAAGTCTCGATGTACATTTCAAATCAAATTCATGGATGATGCCCAGTGATTTCATTTATGTCTATATTATTTGCATGTTAACATATTCAACAGTGCTACTAACAACAGATGACCAGAGACATTGTTCTGGCTAAGAAGACTCAAGTCTCTGCACCTATGTGTGGGAAACAGTTAAGCGTGTTCTAGCCTTCATGCTGGGATCAATATTTCATTCACAGATGGATTAAAATCTTCATATATAATGTGTTTTTTTTTCTGTATGCACCTCAATCTTCTCTCTCTTCCCTCCCACATCAGTTCAACCTAATTTACTGGGATCTGTATCATTTATCCTTATTGATTCACTTTAACCATGGTCCTATACTTGATCGTGTGTATAATTTTTTTTATTTTTTTTCACGTTATTAATATTCAGTCCAATACATTCCAGATTTTCTAAATGATTCTGAACAATCTGGCAGCTTATTGAGTTAGGTCCGCTAACAGACCATGCCGGGCGTCCTCTCATGACGGCGACAAACGAGTCCAACCCTTGGTGGGCCGTCTTCAAACAGGCTATCAGTGATTCTGGAGGAAAACTGGCCGAGCCAGAGATCTTATCCTCCACAACAGATGCTCGATTCATGAGACAGATGGGCATTCCTTCTCTCGGCTTCTCTCCAATGGCAAACACCCCGATTCTGCTTCACGAACACAACGAGGTAGCATTGCCCTGATCCATCCTGCTCTTTGATGTTCTTGCTCGCTCCCCTTCTCGGCTCCCCTCATTCCTTGGGGTCTCTGCTCCCAGTTTCTCCAGGACGCCGTGTTTCTGAAGGGAATCGAGGTGTACAGGCATGTCATCAGATCGTTGAGCACATTTATGGAAAGCTCGGTGTAGGGTTCAGGATTTGGTTTCTTCTACATGTTCATATCTTCCCTGTAAATGTGTGCTCTATTTATATGTAGAACTTTTTAGCTATAATGCTCAAAATTCTTATCCAGAAGAGCAAACCCTAAACTCTAAACCCTAATAACCGTGCTAGAGAATAATGCAAGTATGCCTCAGTTGTTAGAACATGAAAGTCTAATAACAAGACGTCAACGGTTGCAAAAACAGCCTTGCTCCAAGAGAGATAGAGAGAGAGATAGATAGCGAGAGAGAGAGAATGAGTGAGAGAGAGAGAGAGAGAGAGAGAAAGAACGAGAGAGAGCGAGAGAGAGGGTGAGAGAGAGATAGCGAGAGTGAGTGAATGAGTGTGTGTGTGTGTGTGTGTGTGTGTGTGTGTGTGTGTGAGAGAGAGAGAGAGAGAGAGAGAGAGAGAGAGAGAGAAAGAACGAGAGAGAGCGAGAGAGAGGGGTGAGAGAGATAGCGAGAGTGAGTGAATGAGAGTGTGTGTGTGTGTGTGTGTGTGTGTGTGTGAGAGAGAGAGAGAGAGAGAGAGAGAAAGAACGAGAGAGAGCGAGAGAGAGGGTGAGAGAGAGATAGCGAGAGTGAGTGAATGAGTGTGTGTGTGTCTGTGTGTGTGTGTGTGTGTGAGAGAGAGAGAGAGAGAGAGAGAGAGAGAAAGAGAGGGAGAGAGAGCGGGAGAGAGTGTGTGTGTGAGAGAGCGAGAGAGTGAAAGAGTGAGAGAGAGAGTGAAAGTGAGTGAGTGAGAGAGAGAGAGAGAGAGTGAGAGAGCGGGAGAGAGAGAGAGAGAGAGAGAGAGAGAGAGCGGGAGAGAGTGTGTGTGTGTGAGAGAGAGCGAGAGAGTGAGAGAGTGAAAGAGTTAGAGAGAGAGTGAAAGTGAGTGTGTGTGTGTGTGAGAGAGAGAGAGAGAGCTAATTATTATACGGCTGACAAAATGTGGACTAGAATTTTGGAGATCGGTACACAAGGCCAAGTGCGAACGTCGGGCTTCTGCTGGACCCATCGTTCCATTTACACGCGTGAAAATGATCACATAACGTTTTGGCGCTCTCTCTCTCTCTCTCTCCCTCTCTCTGGAGTCCTACGCACATGCGAGAATGACTGCGAAGCACATGGACGACCGTTTATTCTTTGTCAAGAGCACACCCGGACAGCCTTTACGCCAGTGCGAAAATCTGGTTTACAACTGAACCCATCCCCAAATCTTTATGACGACGATTTACACGTCTGAGATGAGCTAACCACATTCTTGACTTTCTCTCTCTACACTACGCACGTGGAAACGTGGGATGTCGGAGCCCATCTTACACTTCTATGTAACGGACGTCTACAAGTCTGAACAGGTCTAACTAGATTCTTGAATCTCCCTCTCTCTCTCTCTCTCCGTGTGTATCATCTGGGTACTGTATCCACGTGCACGTCCACAGGCAATCTCCCAAAGCGTAACATGAACTTTTGCACGTGTGAAGTGGGGCAACCATAATCTTGCATCTCACGCAGCCTCCCACACTGCCTTTCATCCACGCCTTCTTCCTATTCTGTACGGAGAACATCTGAACGTGTGAACTGAGCTAAGCGGACCCATAACCTCTCTCTCTCTGTCCCTCCCTCCCTCTCGCTCTTCCTGGGAAAAGTACTGCATGAGTGACGGAAGACGCGTTTGGAGCAATGGAGATGGAAGACGGCTGGGATGGAAAGGGACGGGAGTGTGCTTCTACCGCCAGGTGCTGCTGCGTGACAGCGACGGTTGAAGCCTTTGCGAGACAGACGAGATCCAGCTAGCTGCGGCCCCCCAGTGGCCAGAAGATCTCTTTCTTCATTTATTCCTATCCAACCTTCTTCCCGTAGAACTAGATGCGAGAAAGAGCCAGCGAAAAAGAGAGAGGAGAGATCGAAAGAGAGAGAGAGAGAGCGAGACAGAGTAGGGAGAGTAGGGAGTAGGGAGGCATCGAACTATAGTCAACAGTCGACCATGGTGAGTAACAAAGCCGGCACCGGCGCCGTAGCCGCGACGCGCAGGTCAACGGGTGGTGGAGTCTCAGGGAATGGAGGCGACGCCACCATAAGCAGCACGCGCCCTCCGAGAGAGAGCAACGGGGTGAGACGCTACAAGGGCGTGCGGATGAGAAGCTGGGGATCGTGGGTCTCCGAGATCCGGGCTCCCAACCACAAGACGAGGATCTGGCTGGGCTCTTACTCCACGCCGGAGGCCGCCGCCAGGGCCTACGACGCTGCTCTTCTCTGCATCAAGGGAACCTCCGCCAGCTTCAACTTCCCCGCTGCCCAGAGCCACCGCATCAGCTCCGGCGCTGCCCTCATGTCCCCCAAGTCCATCCAGCGGGTGGCCGCCGCCGCCGCCACCGCCGCGACGGCTCCTTGCTCATCGTCGCCGTCCTTTCAGATCCCGACAGCGCAGCCTTCTTCATGCCCAACCAATTGCGTGCCCACAGACGCGGATTTTTGGCCTGATTCATTCCAGGCTTTCATGCAAGGAGAAGATGAGGATCAAACTCTCAGCTGGTGCAGTTTCTTGGCTGGTTCTCGGATGGACGAATGTGATGGAGAGGATGACGGCATCCGCCTGTGGAGTTTCTAGTTCTTGTATGAGATTACCGTTCAAGAAGATGCTAATCATGGTGACAGTGGGAGTTATCACGTGGTTTCTCTACATTTGCTTCCTAAAGTCGCTGGGTTGGTTCACACCAGCCTCCCTTCCTTGGGCGTTGTGAAAGCAATGGTGATGAAGGTCTCAATGATTGCCTTTTCTTAGATGATAGACTTAAATACTAATAAAAGCTGAGGCAGAGTGGTGATTTTTCGTAATATTGATGTAAATCTTCTATTTCGAGGTTATAAAAAATAATATAATAGACTGAATGAAAGACACTGATTTACTGTATCTCTTGTAATGTTTGTCATCCTAGGTTGCTTCGGTTTCATACATTTTCATCAAATTTGTGATTAAACCATAGGAAAAGGGAATGTTTCAAGTCAACAGTTAAAAATAACACTAATCAACGACCCAAGAGCACTTCATTATAAATAAAAAGACATAGCACTTGATTATTATGGAGCTACTCCCCTAGTACTTGTCAAATAATTTAGAGTTGGATAAGTCAATATTTTCAGATTATCAACTAAAACCTCAAAAAAAAAATTATCTTTATCTCAGCCAAAAATAAAAATTTTAAAATAAAACAAATATGACTTTAGATGTTAAAAGTATTACCTATTTAGTGAAAATAGTTGTTTCAATTTATAAGATCCAAGTTATTTTTAACCCCCATATAAATGGAGATATTAGAGAAAGAGAACATTTTTTTCATTGTTTCAATTGTAATATGCATTTTGGGATAAACATGTAAAAAGAGGCACACATAAGGGGACCGATAATGGCTATTATAGTCTAAAAGAGGGGTGAATTAGACAGCCAAATGATCTACTATATTATCCTTTCTTATTTCCGGTTCTATAATTGTGATTCTTTTGATAAAGTGGATGATAAACTATAGTGAGTTTCTAAACCATATTCAAAGATGTAGTGAAATTAAGGTAAATACATTAAAACCATAAATAAATGAAGACTAATTTATTCAAATATTTAATCTTATAGATATAATTAATTTGAACAATTATAACAAAAGAAATCAATATTAAATTATATTTTGTGTAAATATGATAAAGTGATGTGCATAGATTTAGAGTAATTTGGCTTGCAAGTTATATCCATTATCTTAAACGTTTCTCACACCTTGGATTTATACTAATCGACAGTCAATATATTGTACTTATATTTGTGCAACATGATTTAATACTATAAAATTACCATTTTAGTTTTTCTTTTTTTTTTACAAGCATTGAAGTGAGAATTGTTTGAAGAACCAATGTTTACAACTTTCAACAAAGTATATCACCTCATAATAAATGACACTAGCCAATCAAAAAGTATCTCAAGTTATAGCTGATTGGTCATTAGAAATTTTATCTTGCCTTTAAATAAGCATAATAATTGACACACCATTTTGTTACTTTGATGGGAGTTCCTAAAGAAATGCACCTAGCAATATCCCAAAAATCTAAATAAATATGCAAAAGACAAATTTACCTTTATTAGCCTTTTTATTTTTTATCAAAACATTATGTTATTATAATTGTATGAATGCCTATGACAATAGGATCTTTGAATGCATGTGGATTTAATGATTTTGGACACCAATTTTTATAACCTTACAATTTGGATACATACCAATCCCAATAATAATAGGTATACCTTTATTGTTTGCATACTTATTTAGCTGCACTAATTTTGAAACATATGTTTTATTCATCAAAATACCATAGAATATGCAGATTAATGTTTTATATTGATTTATTTCAATCAATAACTTCCAAATTTAATTTTTATACACCAGTGCTCTAAAATTATAATTATTCATATTAATCATTATTTATGATAAAATACAACCATAATGTCTTATCCGTGAATCATCCTTGTTCATTGAAGCATCAAGGATCAAATGCTGGTAGTTGCTTCCAAGGTTTGAAGAGTTTAAAATAGCTAGATACCAAGGAACATGAGAATGCTTGAAAGCTTGAATTGTTGGACAATTAATTAACATATGAAGTTTTGATAGCAAAAAATATGCATAAGATAAGAAAAAAAATAGTTATGATGATAATTCAATACACACGAGATAGAAATTAATATTCTTTGGTATGTGTGTGAAATTAAGTAGGTAATTTTTTTCAAATAATACAAAGCAATGGTATTAAATGTTCAAAATATATCTCAAGTAATGTATTTGATTCTCATGTTTTGAATTTTAGAAGTTAGATAAATTTATTGCTCAAAACCATTACTAGTAGAAATAACTTTCATTGATAGAAAGTAATAATTTTCACATCAGATTTTGCATGAATTTTGAAGTAAATACTGATATGAAAGTTATTTAATATACTATATTTCTATGATTTAAAATCATTAGTTTTAATAATTATTTATAAATAATCAATCTATTGAATCCAAACTACTTATGCTACTTAGAAATTTCCAAGTATTACTTAACATTAATTATTTTTTTAGAAAAATCATAATTGTTTAAAATAATGATAATTGTCATTGAAAGCATGATTTACTTTATTTAATATATAGCATATTCGATTTTAGGTGATTTAGATTAAAGTCAAAGTATTAATTTATTAAATGGTATATTCCCATTTCTATTTAACAATAGACTCTTACCAAACACACTTGAACCAATAAGTTTTGGATACATACATTAGTACTTAACAAATACTTGTATTTATTTTACCTTAGAGAAATATTTGAACCGTCAAGGGTATGTTTTCTAGGTTAAATTTGTCTTATAATAATTTTACATGACAATATATTACGAACTAAGATAGTTTAAAGCTTATTTCTGTTGTACATCAGTTTATGATACTCGAAATTAGATTTGAGTATAATATTTGAAACCAAATAAACTTGTTAGGTAAATAGGTATTCTAATACATCAAATGAAATTATTTGGATTGAATGTATTTCTTAAATCTTAAAATGATATTATTTTAAATCAAGTGGAGACATGAATCAAAATTGTTTTTTTTTCAAAATCACTTATGTACTTGACCTTTTCTTAACATGAGAAAATTTGACCATTAATTAACATATGAAATTTGATGATGACAAATACACATAAGATAAATAAATACATCAAATAGTATTTAATTATTCACATTAAAGGAAAGGGAGAAATTATTCCTCAAGGGTGGCTTTTCTTTGAGTGATAGATGGAATGAGGGAGTTCTAGGATGTTCTTTGAATTTACATCAATTTTATGTCTTTTGTATTTAATTTTTTTGTGGATTTGATTACTTCATTTAGGTGATAGATGAATAGAGGGATTTAATTTTAAATCTCTAAATTAACTTTCCATATAAAATTCAATTTCTCACATTTTAGTTCCATTCGTAATTGAAAAATAGGAATATTTCAGAAATAGTTTTCATTTCTTGTTTATGATTGATCTTCTGATTGCTTCAGGTAATAGACAATGACCTAATGATTCCAATATATATATATATATATATATATCCAATTTTTGTTTCTAATTTATAAGATTTCGAATCAGTTTTTTTTTCCTCACTAGTGGGGTGAAACCTGGTAGTGGATTTTCCCTTTTATCCCTTGTTTTCTTATGTTCTTTTAGTCGATTCTGCTGATTTTTTTTGTGTAAAACAAGCTTTGAACCAATTAACTTAGCATCAATCAAAGGAATCTATTGATCATTGCTCAATCTTCATGGGGTTGTTGTGGATTTGCTGAAGACAACATGGTACTATGGTGATGGTTGAGAAGAAAAGAAAAAAATATAAATCTCTTTCATTTTCCTCTTTCATTATCTTTATTTTAATCCTAATAAGGTTGAGGACAGAAATTGAATTAAAAATCATCCCTGTTGATTAACTTAAATTCAAAAAAATACATATTTATTTTTTTAAAGTAATTTATAACTTTCTTTAACTTTGAGTTTATTATTAATTACAATGATATAAGCACTATAAATGTTCTTTCAACATGATCATAAAATTGATTAGGTACGAATTCACATATAATTGAAGCTAATGATTATAGGAAGGTTAATTGAATAACATTTTGATGATAAAAAACATATGAATGATCACTTAATTGATTGAATTATTTAACTATTCATCATGTATAGTTCATAGGTAGGTATTCTTTTAGATGTGCATGAATTTAATTCGATATTAATTTAGGAATGACTAAAGGTAATAAAACTAACTATATATATAATAAGTAATAAAATTGGGTCTCATAGTATTACATTCTAAAATTGGTGTATCTTACTACTCGAAATCATTACTTTGGTCCTTATTGTGAAACATATTAATATTTGTAGAAACTAGTACTAATAGAAAGTAAGGGCTAGTACATCATAATCAATGAGAATTCTAGAAGTAAATTAAGTATGAAAGATTAATATACTAGATGCTCATTGCACTAAATCATTATCTCTTATTATTCTTGATATCTAATTAGTAGATTCAATCTGATCTATTTACACTATTGCTTATGATTATTAGAACATCAGTAAATATTAATAGATAATTTCATGACTTTAATTGAAGTTTTTTTTTAATTTGGGATGGTTTTGATAAGTTTTGAATAAGAAATTATTTCTTAATTTTGAGATCTATAATTTGTTGCTTTCAATGATAATGAATTCCTATTAGACCAATTAGAAGTAATAAGTTTAGATATATACATTGGTGATTATTGGTTGTGTATATTGGTTTTTCTTAGATAGTCTTTGAATCATTAAGGAGTCATTTTGCATTATTTCTAAATGTTTAAATTTTAAACCAAATTTAGGATTTTAATGTTGAGAGATGGAAAAAAATAATAGAAGTTTTTGGTTAAATTTATCTATAAATTCAATACATCTCAAATTGCTAGTTAGTTCTAAGTTATCACTTTTGACCCTTTTACTATCTTTATGATATCAATTATTGCTGAAATGCAACCATAATAGTTGTTTAAGATAAAAAATTCACGGTCATCTTGATCATTCTTTATGATAAAATGCAACCATAATGTGTTATGCAAGAATCAACTTTGTTCATTGGAACACCAAGGATAAAATAATGGAAGTTTCTATGAGGGTTTGAAGAGTTTGAAGAGCTTGTTCTTTGGGGTGTCATAAATGCGAATGTTTGAAGGCTAGAACTATAAGATGAAACGTACATTTGAAAGATTCGCTTCATCTCTCAGCTCAAGAAACAGCAGAGAGAGAGAGAGAGAGAGAGAGAGAGAAAGAGAGAGAGAGAGAGAGGAGATATTTTGTGAAGATTTACTGTTCCATGTTGAATGATATGTATCAATTAAATGGGCAATTAGAATGCTCTTCTCGGGTGCGTACTGGTCGTACCTCCAGATATGTTCGATCAAGACCATAATGTAAAACTCAAAAATTAAGTTTTCCACGTTTAGATAATTATTTTTATATATAGAAGGCACGTGCTTCACAAATGCTCATTGGGTGGTCGGCAGGGAGGGGATGGAGAGAATGGGAGAGTTGACGTTTCAGGGAATCAAATTCATATCTTCTTGGCTATTCATCTGATCGAAAAGTTAAACGATCGATAAAAGGGTGGAGGGATTCTGAACGTTCCTTAGGCATGAAAAACGTTTCCGCCCAGCCTGACGACAAAAATGTCATCTCAAATCTTGTCGACATGTTCGAAGAAAAGTGCCGTAGTTCATGGTCTGGTATCGCTGTCCGATTCGCTGGCGTTACCGCCGACAGACCGAGAGAGAGAGAGAGAGGAGTTTCTGCTTAAATGTAGCGTTTATTACAGAATGTTTGGGAAGTGCCCGCGGAATCAACACTTCGAGATTTCGGTCCTTAGATTCGCTCGCGTTACGACCGACACAGAGAGAGGAGAGAGAGGAGAGAGAGAGAGAGATTTGTGCTGACTGAAGTGTAGCATTTATTATAGAATGTGCGAGAAGTGCTCATGTCACGGAAATCGAAGCTATAGCAATCAACGAAAGGCAATCACCACAGTCTACAAATGGTATAGAATTGAGTAGAATCACCACATGCTCAAGGGTTTGCCGAGAAGCCCAAATCAAATGGTGCTCCCAGCGCCTGAACCTTCTGTATTGAGTGCAAGAATTATGAAACAACGGAGAACGGAGAAGCTTCACTGCGTTAATGAGCCTTGCCGTTGGCCTTAAGCTTGGAAGAGTTGTAGTTGACCCTGTGGAAGTTGAAGAAGAGGGTGAGAAGGGAGGCGTTGAAGGCGCCGTTCTGTGCCCACCCCCTGATCCCGCCGGAGCAGCCCTTTCCGCCGGCACCGAAGAAGTGGAGCCAGAAGAACACCAGCGACACCGCGAAGCTGAAGCAGAACTGGACGATCTGGCAGGTTGTGACGGCGCGCTTCCACCGCGGCGACCATCGCCACCCCAAACTGCTGCAGAGGTAGTACGCGTACATCACCACGTGGACCGACGCGTTGGTGACGAGCCCCACCGGGAGTAGAGACTGCCGGGCGCTAAGCCACTGGTAGCAAACGCCCACCACTGCGGCGTGGTGGTACACGTGAAGGAAGGAGAGGCGGCGCCAGTCAGAGGCCAGGACGATGAGAAGGGTGTCGACAAACTCGTAGATCTTGGAAAGGTAGAAAACGTAGGCCCAGAAGAAGACAGGCCCCCGCGGATGGGTGGAACCAGGGGGGAAACAGAAGATCCAGGAGGGGGAAGGCATCTGGGCGGCGGTACCCAGGCAGCAGCCGGCGGCCATGAAGAAGGAAAGGAGGAAGAGGAAGACGTTGTGGAGGGGGGAGATGACGCGGACCAGCCGCCGTAGGGCGAGAGGTGGCCCGGAGCGGGAGAGGAGGAGGCCTCGGAGGAGGAAGGTTACAGAGAGGTATGCGGCGACGACGGCGGCGGGGAAGCGCGGAGATGCCGCCCAAGTCAGGCGATCGTCCCACTCGAACGACGCGACAGTGGGATGCTCCACAAGCCACCATTTTGCAGCAGAGAGGAGCTGGGGCACTGCCATAATTGGCGTGGTTGTGAAGGCAGTGACACCACTGGTACAGAAGAAGGAGGCAGATGGGAGGAGAGAGGGAAGAGGATTCCCAGGGCAGGGGATGCGGGAGGGAAGGGGTGGCTTTTTTAAAAGGTGCCGGATGCGGCCGGTCCGGCGGGTCAACCGGATCAGGGCAAACGAATCGTTTTCCAGGTTTTGTATCAGCTTCTTCGATATTCTTATCTTTAAATCTATCAGGAAGTTTCCTAGCCGCATATTAGTTCTACATATTTTAAAAATATAATCGTACATGAGCATAATATTTTAGTAAATAGCATCGTGAATCAAAGGCACAATAAAATAGTCCATATAGTTTTAGCTCTATATCAAAGTAGCATCTTTTATCTCAATAATATCCATCATTCTTATACATATCTTAAATAATTTATTTTTTCATGATTTATTTTTTTCTTTATGCTGATGAATTATGTCGTGCTCACTGGAGGAATGAATCGACCAAATAGACATTTAATTATTTACCGAAAATTGAATATTTTGGCACTTTAAAAATAGATGATGAGGGTAATTCTGACAAGCATAAAACTAATTGATTTTATGATCATATAATGATAATTCATCAAAGTTGAAAAACCATTATCATCCTAAACTAATAGAGATCCCTTCTCATGGGATGATGACCCCCACATTATGGGGCATCCATAAGACCATAGAAAATGAGAAAAGTGTGCCGTTGAATCTTTTTAATTCGATTGAATGTTTTTCTTCCACTGGTTAGTACCGCCTCAACTTCAGCACGTACCCTCCCTTCTTCATTCATCCATTTAGGTCAGAACGGGTGCAGAGAACATGGCTCGGGTAGTTTAAAAATGTTCGGCGCTTACCATACTCCGTGGGTGCAACATCAAGAGAGCAGCTCCCCGAGTAGGATATCTAGGTTTAGGGTATTGGCTCCAGCACTAGCCGCTTCTTCCTTGCTTGATGGTCTTTCCCCTTCTGCTTGAAGACAAGACAAGTGGAGGCAGTTCTCTAACGCTATAGTTGGGCGCTTACCATGCTCCGTGGGTGCAACATCAAGAGAGCAGCTCCCCGAGTAGGGTATCTAGGTTTAGGTTATTGGCTCCGGCACTAGTCGCTTCTTCCTTGCTTGATGGTCTTTCCCCTTCTGCTTGAAGACAAGACAAGTGGAGGCAGTTCTCTAACGCTATAGTTGGGCGCTTACCATGCTCCGTGGGTGCAACATCAAGAGAGCAGCTCCCCGAGTAGGGTATCTAGGTTTAGGTTATTGGCTCCGGCACTAGTCGCTTCTTCCTTGCTTGATGGTCTTTCCCCTTCTGCTTGAAGACAAGACAAGTGGAGGCAGTTCTCTAACGCTATAGTTGGGCGCTTACCATGCTCCGTGGGTGCAACATCAAGAGAGCAGCTCCCCGAGTAGGGTATCTAGGTTTAGGTTATTGGCTCCGGCACTAGTCGCTTCTTCCTTGCTTGATGGTCTTTCCCCTTCTGCTAGAAGACAAGACAAGTGGAGGCAGTTCTCTAACTCTATAGTGGGGCTGATACTGTATTTAAACCAGTCACCAATGGGCAGCAGAACAGTTCTTTCTTTGGTGCGACATTCCTGAATCAGAGAGCATGTGCTGGTCTGCGGCCCTACTCTTCATTTATGACTTGAGCATATGATAAAAGAATTTATATCAACACGAATAAATCCATATGCTCCAAAGGGCATATATGTACTGTACTGTGCCTCCCCCGTGGGTATGTGGGAAGATAATTGGAGATCTGACAGCAAAAACCAATAAGAAAGCAAGGAATTGGATCTTGTTTTTGTATCCTTATTCTATATTTTGTTGGACTCCTGATTTGTAGCTGTTGCACAGCTCCCAACAAGACTTCTCTCTAGGAAGGAGTCGACAAAAAAAAAAAAAAAAAAAAAACCTCGGCCGTGTGATGATCATCTAAGGGTGATCCTAGGCATTGTACATGTCACTAGTCTAATCCTGTAGTAGTGGCTACCCTAATAGTGAACTTGCAACATAGAAACTTTTGTTCTTTATATTTTCTTCGCATCCGAAATAACTCGGGAGAAGGGAATGAGATAAATTATTCTTATAGAACTCTTTCTATACAATAGCTGTCTTTGAACCAGGTGTTCTTCTGTCTTTTGTAGGGTGTTTGATTAAGTCTTGCAACTAGGTCAACCCTTGTGTTTAGTTTCCACTATTGGGTTTGGAGCCTTGAACATACAAATCTAAAGATAGAAAAAGGGGAGGGTCCCTTTTACTAAAAACATGTATTTTTAGTCATTTTTAAAATATTCAATTAAAATTAAGTGAGAAATCAAAGTGATATTTAAAACATGTGTACTAATCATATTTCAAAATTATTCTGATACTTAAAAATCAGCAACATGAATTATATTTTAAAAAAGGGTTGGGTCCCTTTCACTAAAAACATGTATTTTTAGTCATTTTTAAAATATTCAATTAAAATTAAACAAGACATCAAAGCGATCCTTAAAACCTGTATACTAATCATATTTCAAACTTAGTTTGATACTAATAAATCAGCAGCATGAATTATATAAATATCATTTTTTGTCAAAAGAATCATTTCATGTCATATTGGAAAATTAACCTTTACATGAACTCTTAAAATTTTATATTTATGTTAGCACAGATGTACAGGGACGAGTGTTTTCTTGGACTTATACGAGCACTTTGGCATCCAAAGGGGGAAATAGAGGGACTTTACTAATGGTTGAGGAAGTGATGGAACCTTATTGATTCTCAAAGGCATGATTTCTAAGATAAAAGTATGACAATGTTAATAGAAGTTTAAAGGCCAGGGACTCGGTGCTGGCAAGCTCTTATCTTCAAACCCGGCCGGCTGCCTTGGGCTTCGCCTCGGAGGGCTCCCCACACGTGTAAGAAGACCTCCCCGCCAGTCGCGGTAGCCCGCCCGTGCTGTTGGTAGGAACACAGCCGTAATCTCATCTATTCAGCCAGCTTGATCTTCGTACCGTCTTTTTTTATGGGGATCGGAGTTGCCACGTCATTAGCGTCTACACATCAGCCGAGTCTGCCACCTCATCCGACACGGCCACGTCCCCCTGCTGCTGATGGTCGTGCCACGCCATCGTGTCGCTTGACTAATCGTTGCCTTGTCACCGTGTCGTTTGGTGAATCGACGCCCCATTTCGTTTACTATAAATAATACCCTTATGTAATGACGATTATAAAAAAAAAAATAGCAGAAGAAAGGAGTTTCTTTGGTTAAGACTAACCAAGTTCACCTGGTTCATGGTTTGGTCGTGAGGACCACCGTCGCCACCGGTCAAGGGGATGGTCGCGAGGACCACTGTCGCCACCGGTCAAGGGGATGGTCGCGAGGACCACCACGGCTCCCGGTCGGAGCTTGCGGCCCGACGCGCCTCCGTCGCGCGTCCTCCGGGCGCCGCCCTTCCTCCTCCTGCCTTCGCCGACTACGCCTCCACCGCCACCGTTTGCTCGGCGGCGCCGCCGCCGCCTCGAGCCCAGCATTGAGCCGCGGCCGAAACGCCCGAAGTAGGTTTCGGCAAAGACCATTTTCACATGGCCACTTATTGGGCCCCGCCCACCTTACCATCCGGCTCAGCCACCAGGACCGCCCGACATAGCCTACTTCACCTGCCGGCCCAGCCACCCTGACCATCCAACCCAGCCCACCTGACCCGCCGGCCCAGCCACATTGACCATCCGGCCCAGCCACTTGACCCGCCGGCCCAGCCAACCAAGATCACTGGCCCAATAAGCGTATTAATCCTCGGGCCGCTCCCTTCTTACAGCTCATTATTAACCGAGGCCCATTAAATGATCCAATTCAGGCCCACCAAGCCCAACCAGCGGGTTGTCCCGCATTACTTTTTTCTAATATTTCATTCTGTTGAGATAGAGAAATCAACCTTACTGATTTTATTTTCGAACACATGTTTCAAAATAAATAAATAAAATAAAAAGTTTATTTTCCCCAAAAATGTAAAAGTTTAGTTGATTCAAATATATCTCCGTGAAAAAGAAAAACCTTTACTTAAGCATCCAATTATTATACCATTTTTTGATTGATTGGGTTAACTTTGTGAAGGCTTGCTATAATTAGGGGAGAATCATGATTGCTAAAGACAATTTTGATTGTTTCAATTGGCATTTGATGGCATAAATATGGATATACTGAGCACACAAATCATGAAAGCCTCACCAATCTTCCTATTAATTATATTCATTTAAATATGTTTTTGCGAATTTTCCTTATCATTTGGGATCACTAAGTTGTTTTATTATACATAATTACTCATGAGATTGGTTTTCATATCTCAATTTCATGTGATGAACACTTAATTTAACAACCATATCCATCTAAGCGCTCAATGCAGCCTGCTGCACTCACCTTTTATGCCTGTATTTTGTATCAGCCTATTGGCTACTCCCTAACCAACATGTGCCATCCTCGATTCACGTGGTTCTCCTCCTTTTTTAAGAATTAATTCCCTTAATTTATGTGTTTAGCATTGATCTTGTCTTAGGAGTGAAATCTTTTCCCATCTTTTCTCTAAAGTTTTAGAGCTTCCCATCACTTGTATCATACCACATCCAACATAATGATACTCAACTTCTAGTGACCTTTGCCATTATGATTATCTTAGGTAATTAATACCATCATTTATAAAGGTTGTAAGATTAAAATCATAGAAGACATTTTCACGAGACCAAGTTAAAAAATTTGTGAAACATTACTCTATGACTTATCATAGAGTAGTTATCATATTTTAGTGTTATCCCCTAAAATTTCATTAAGTGGAAGTGACGAGATACTTGAAAAATTCCATCAACTAGAAAATATTGTACATGAATTATGAGTATCATATTTAAATATTAGGAAAGTGCATCTTTAAATTCAATAAATAAATTAATATATTTTATTTGGATTTTTTCCTGACGTCATTTTGACATATGATAAAAGTTTCATTGTCTTGTGTGCTCAATTACATTTTAATAGAATTTTAATTTTGGATTAAGATTTTTACTCAAGATAACTCAATCCTTTCATTTAAACTGAAATCCCTACTTCTGACCTTCTGTCATATATCACCACCAATGATAAATTGATTGATATCATATTATTTACTAGTAGTTCTGAGTTGTCTTGTTTACCCTTTAAATTAAACAAACCTTTATATTTAATTAAAATCATCATTTGTGAAAAAATCCTTTCTATATTCCAATGACCAAAAAAGTGTCTATTCAAAATAATTTTGTAGGGATAAATTTATTATTCTCCTTGATTAATTTCCTAATTTTTTATTCAGTGCAGAATTTCATTCATGCAATGGAAAAGTAGCTTTAAAGATAAATCGATCCTCTTTGAAAATTATTTTTATTAATGGACACCATATAATTATAAAGATATCAATACCAGTTGAGTCATGCTGGAATTCAAGCAAGATTTTACTGATAGACTTTGGGTTCCAACTAGCTCAGTTGAGCGTCATAAGAATTTTAGGAAAGTGACAGCTTTGTTCACATAAACTTGAGGCAGTCGATTGATAAATTGTACAGCTATATTCCTCAATAGTTTCTTCAGCAGCCATCCCCTTCCCTCAGCGATAACGAGTTTAATTCTTGTAGAAGATGATTTCTGGCAGACTTGGGGATCGCCTTGTCCACATCTTCTCGCAACCTCTCCTGCAATCTTTCATCTTGTCTCGACCTCTCCAATTCCTGTAAGGCAAACATCAAGAACTCTGTGGCAGTTCCAAAATCGACATGGAGACGAAACCCTAACCGCAGGTCGTCTCCTTCACAAGGTGGTCACGTATGGAGAAGTGGTTACCTTCTTCCACTTACCTGCAGTGGCCATTACTCCAGCATAGAGCAGGCATAGTAAAGGGCACACACCAATACCGACCGCCGGAAAGGAGATCAGAGAACCTCCGAGGGCAACCGGGAGACGAAGGCTGTAGAGAGACACAACACAAGGAGAAGACCGAGGAACGCAGAAGACCAGCCTATTGGAGTTATCGGGCCATTTAACCCATAGTCAATTGGTAGTCTGAGTAATCATATGCTTGCTTTTGAAATAATTAATGCTGGACTCTTCCTAATATACCATAACTGTGGAAGGCACTCAAAGAGCGATACGCGAGAGATAATCTCACTGTTCGATCCCAAACCGATTGTAAGATGTTTGTGATTTATGTTTGTAATGTTTAGTTCTAAGAAGACCTTAACATATGGCTGACTTCGAGAGGGAGATGGAAACGACGGGACAAATTAATCTTAGAAGTAGGAGATCTGGTTCATGATCTATCGACAGTGAGTATTATATTTCCCATGCTTTAATCACAGATTTACCTTTTATCTCATATTTTCTGTTTGATTATTGATAGTGAGAATATGAGGTCGTAATCAACGGAGAGGGAGGAGTACCGCCGTTGCCACCAGGGGGCTCGTCGTTTGAACCGGAGTCTCGCGGGGACCGCCGGAACTGGCGTGGTAGCCGGAACGGATTCCGCCTACTGCGGCGGAGCCGCCCCCCGGACGTGGCCGGGCCCTGTTGGTCTTCATGGGAAAATCTTTCCGGGGTAGCGTGGGAGGCGGGTAAGGGAAAGCCGTGTATTGGCCTCCGCCTGCTGAAACGAGCGGCCAATGCGTCGAGAATACTTGTCGGAGACGGCGGAAAGAGCAGGTCCCAGTTGGAGGAGACGACGAGGCCTGGGGAGAGTCAATGATTTCCAGAGATTCTTACAGTTCACACGGAGTGTTGATAGTAACAAGGCGACGAGGGAGAGAATCAGAGGGAGGAGGGTGAGGAAGCCATTACCAGCTGGTTGGCCGTCGTCTGGGCCTTCATTTGCGGTCTCCGGGTTCTCCCTTGCATGGGAATCGCCGGGTAGCGTATTCCTGCAGACAGGACAGGAGTTGTGCAGCCGCAGCCACGGGACGATGCAGTCGGAGTGGTAGGCGTGCTTGCAGGGCAACTCGCGGGCCGCCTCGCCGACCTCGAACTCCTCCTTACAGACGGGGCACTGGGAGCCGTCCGCTAGGTGAGCTTGCTCGATGATTACCGTCGGTAGGGCGTCGATGGCCGAGGCCGGCGCCGGCGCCGGCCCTGATCTGTCGTTCAGAGTCATTTCCTCGATGAGCTCGTTCATCCCCCTCCCAGCTCTGTCGTTCTGAGTCGGCTCCTCGATCTGCTCGTTGCTCCCCGGCCCCATGTAGTAGTCCCATGGCTGGAGGGAGGGTGGGATGGGTGGAATAGTGTCTGCCAGGAGATCAAGGAAGGCGGGTGAGGGGAAGTATGGCTCCACAGTCCTGCTGCCGGCATATCGGAGGTCCATCTCCCAGAAGTTGGGAACTCCAAGGGGGTGGAGGTCAACGTCGGAGGCCATGCGGACGGTGGCGATGAGGCTCGTGAGGTCGTGGCCCCCCAGAAGGATGACGCCATTGCAGCGGAGGCAGAGGGTGAGGAGAACCGGGGAGGCGGCGATCCTGACCCAGCGGCAGCATTGTTGGCACCAGACCATGTTTGAGTTTCTCACGGACCGAGGACGGAGCGAAGGGATTTGAGACATGACGGTCGGACGCGTCGAATGCGTAGGAGACTCCACAAGACCTTCAATCTATACAAATATATACATCTAGAGAGAGAGAGAGAGAGAGAGAAAGAGAGGCCGATGGAAAAGGGATAGCTTTCTCGAGAGCACGCTCTGCTGAGTATGCTCACGAGAGAAAGGAATAAACCCCTCCAGAAGGCGGGCCAGCAGGAGAGCAGAGAGCCGACGGCAGCTTCGAGCACATTGAAAGAAAGATGATCCGCATCATTAGCACGGCGTCTAGTCTCGTTAAGTACAAGCTAATTTGATGGATTTAATTTTAGTACTCCTGCCAAGAACTAACATAATAGAATTTTTATGTTGTGTTGTTCAACAACGTAAACTTTATACATTAAAATATTATATTTAGTATACTGAGTTACATGTAAATTGTTTACAATTTTATACTTTAGTTATGCTATTTAATTTTAATGTACTGAAATATTAACATTTTTCTACTTTAATATTCCACAAAGGCAACTCCTTGTATGTTTACCAATTAACTATGGTATACTACAATATTCTACAATGTAAACTTGATATATTTAAATATTGTGTTTTCTATATAAACTTCATATGAGTACCACTCTACGAATTTGTTTTCATGTAGTAAAATATTAACCTGATATATCCTAATGTTCCACAGCATAACTCCTTAAATATTGATATAACGATGTTGATGTGCTTTGTTGCTCTACAGTGTATAGTTGATTCGATTATATATTGTGTCTAATATAGTGCACTATATTTTAATATAAACTTAATATATTAATAATATTTCTGTCAACGTAGCGCACTGTTCATTGTGTAATGCAAACTTTAGCAACATACGATCACATTTTAGTATCGAATGCTATTATAAACTTCTAAACATTCATGATTCTAAAATTAAGTGGAGCATGTCTGATATCATAATATATGTAATGGATATTCTCTTTTCTGAATTTTTAAATGAAGAGTATTTGTCTCCTATCAGCAAGTTTTTATGAGTTTATACGTAAATGTGTTAAAGACCAACTTTTAAATATTTCTTCACTCATTCAAATCATTTTTTTGGGATTTTAAAATATAAATTTTAATGGGTGTGAAAGGTTACTAATAGTTCTTGAGTTCTACATATCAGATTTGTCAAAACTTCAAAGTCAACCAACACACCTCACCTATGCGTTCAAATTTTTTATATTCTTGTTCTATTACGTGCTCCAAGCTATAACGAGTTATTTGGTCAAAGTTCTTGGATTTGATGAAGTGTTTGGGCTGGGAAAAAAACCGAAGGAGGCTTTGTGAGAAAAAAAAAGCACACTCTTGGTAGCAAAAAGGTGAGTAAACCTTGAAAAATAAAGTAGATTGGGGATAAAATTTTATAAGAACCATGTGTAGTGCTTGCCTATTTATGATATTGCTCCTCTCTTTTGATTCCAATTTTAGAAAATGGCCCAATTCATAAATTGATTCCCCTCCTCACAATTGATTCCTACTTTGGGCAGCTAATTCACAAAAAAATATTTCCTTTGTTGACATCAACATTATAACATTTCAACTATCAAAGTCAACTTTGCCTTTTTACATGTTCCATCAGATTACTAGAATTAAGTTCCCTATAGAAGAATATTTTATGATGCCGAATTTCTCTATATCATATTATTTCTTAATAAAAAATACCCCAATTGATGTGTAACTTGAAGACAGAGAGAAAGACTATAGTTGAAACCTTGTTCTTTAAATATTAATGCGCATAATTTATTCTTAAAAATATATTATTGAAAAAAAGAATATGATATAATGCGATCATGCTGAGATCATTTGGCTTTCGTTCTAGATGTATCCAATCTCCTTTATCACAGTCCTCTCTCTCTCTCTCTCCTCCCGCTTTCTGGTCCTCCTTCATTTCTTCTCCATGCTTTCTTCCTTCTCTGTTCTTTTATCTTTGACCACTTCCGGTTGGTTGTTGGATGTTTTCTTCCTTTCCTTCTTTAATTCACGGGGAAGGCTTCTCCACGTCCCCGCATTCTTGTGTAGCACGTTGACTTGGAGGCGCATGCTTATTGATGTGATCGCTCGATACTTCTTTCTTTGACCTCTGATTCTTCCTGCTTTCTCCCTTCTCTATGTCGTTTTCTCTTCTCATCTTCTTCTACGACCTCCTCTTTGTCTTCGTCATTAAATCACAGACGAGCTTCGGTCTCAGCCAATTCTCCACGAAACTGTTTGACTCGGCATGGCACCGCATTGACCTGTCCACGCCGTCGCAACATCTTCGATGCTTTGACCCTGGTCAGGATTTCAACGCTCAGGATCCAATATCACCAGCGCCGTGAAAATTGGGTATTTGGCTCCTACCCGACCGGGTGAAGAATGTTCGGATTCACCCTCTTCACACTAGGTCACGTGGTAAGATCCACGAAATCCGGCGTCTGAAACCCCGGTCTATCCGCTTCCCGTCACCGCTTCTTCCGCCGGAGAATAGCTCCTTCAATAGGCGGAGGCGAGTAAGCGCGGTGATTATGGTCACCGTTTTGAGGGTGGGCGTAGGATGATTTATATTCGACGGACACGATGCTCTTAGGTCCATTTGAATCGGGCCCACATGCGCCCCACAACAGCCGCCAGATCCACAAATCGGACGGACGAAGACACCCACCCGGGCGGTCCCCTCGGGAGACTCGCCGTCCGCCCTTTTCTTAACTCAACTCACCCCTCTCTGTCCTTCTGCCTCTCTCCTCTCTCTCTCTCTCTCCGCCCTGCTCCGTTCACCATTGCCCGTCTCTCCGTCTCGCAGAAGATAACCAGTGCCACCGTACCAGCGGACTCTGCCCAGTCTCCCTCAAGCTCTCTTCTGCCTTATCTTCCGGCGACTTCTCTGCCTGGCCTCTTGCGCAGTTTCTGCTTTTCCGGCATGCCGGCTTCGCTTGAGGGAGTTACTCACCGCAGAGGAACCCATTGCCGGTGAAGATTGGGGGAGAACGAGGTCGGGAATGGAAGGGCAGGCGACGAAGCTGACGAGGACTCCGTCCTCCCTTCTCCGTTCCCCTACTGTCCGATCCATCCAGAGCCTCTCTGCCTTGGACGAGGAGGAGCAGATGCCCCGGCCGCCGGAGCATCACCACGGCCACCACCGGGAGGGTAGCCCCGACGAGGAGAAGAAGAGGCGGCGAAGGGCGCCGCACAAGTCTTTGTCCGCGCGGTGCCCCTCCTTCCCCGCTGTCTCCGCTGCCTCCTCCCTCGCCTCCGTCCTGCTGACCTTGTCCGTCTTCTCGTTCCTGTTCTTCTATTACCTCCGAGAGGAGTCCCCGTTCCTTGGGAACCTTCTCCTGGCCTCCGCCGCCGTCGCCGTGGCCTCCGTCGCCGCCCGGCGGTCGAGGCTCCTCTGCTTCTCCGGCGCCGGCCGGCCGATCCGCGGCGGCGGGGACTCCGTGGAGTGGTTCATCGGCGACTCCAAGAAGGACCGCGACGAGGGGGAAGCCACTGCCGGCGCCGGCGCCGCCGAGGGGGTCAAAGAAGGAGTGGAGATGTACAACAACGGTGACTATTACGAGGGGGAGTTCCACCGCGGCAAGTGTAATGGCAGCGGCGTGTACTACTACTTCGGGAACGGCAAGTATGAAGGCGACTGGGTGGATGGCCGGTACGACGGCTATGGGATCGAGAGCTGGGCGAGGGGGAGCCGCTACAGAGGGCAGTACCGCCATGGCCTGCGGCACGGCGTCGGGGTCTACCGCTTCTACGCCGGCGACTGCTACGCCGGTGAGTGGCTCAACGGGCAGAGCCACGGAATCGGAGTGCAGACCTGCTCCGACGGGAGTTGCTACGTCGGCGAGTTCAAGTGCGGCGTCAAGCACGGCCTCGGGTCCTACCATTTCAGGTGGATTTCTTGAAAACTCTCTCCATCCTTTCCTCCCTCCTTTTTCTTGAATCCGTCTTTGATTTGATTTCCGCGGACGTCTGCGCTGGCGGTTTCGGTCGAATTTGACTGCAAGATGGCTAGGTTTTTGATGTTGGAGGCGATCATTCGCTCGCTCCGATTAGTTCGGACGATCGATCATCTCTTTTCTCCGCGAGGTGTGCTTTAATCGATGGAACAGTAACCCTGGCCCCCTTTCCTCGTCCACAGCCGGAGGAGGGCTCTACCCTTTCCGGGAAGAACAGTCGATGGAACAGTGAACTTGGTCTTCCCCTTCCTGGGGTCTGATGAACAGTCGATAGCTAGGTTTTTTTTTTTTCCTTGAGAATCTCTGCTTCGTTCTTGACGGTTGCCGCTAAGGCTGGGATTCCGGTTATTCATTCTCCTGCAACTCACGACATTGACCGACCTTGCTCTCGCCGCCCACCATTGTTGTTGATCACGGGAGATGTGTGTTCTTCTTCCTCCTGCAGGAACGGCGACAGGTACTCGGGGGAGTACTTCGGCGACAAGATCCATGGATTTGGGGTTTATCAGTTCGCCAACGGGCACCGCTACGAGGGGTCCTGGCACGAGGGCCGGAAGCAGGGCTTCGGCGTGTACACCTTCAGGAACAGCGACGGCAAGTCCGGCGAGTGGGACCACGGGGTCCTCAAGGTCCCCCAGCCGCATTCCCATGAATCCGTACGCCACGCCATCGAGGTCAGATTCAGAATTCTGTTTTTTTTTTTTTTGCCTTCTCCCCATATGCACCGGTGATGTTACCGGCGACTGATCGGTGATGGCGGCGCGATGATCGGCCAGGCGGCGAGGAAGGCGGCGCAGCAGGCGGTGCTTCTGCCGCGGGTGGACGAGCGGGTGAACAGGGCGGTAGCGGCGGCGAACAGGGCGGCCACTGCCGCCCGCGTCGCCGCCATCAAGGCCGTCCAGAACCGGATGGACGGCAAGTTCTGCGACATTGGTGTCTAAGGCGACGACGGCGCCGCCTCGGAGGTCCTGCTGGTTTTAATCGGACGCCGGGGAGGAGCCAAGTCCGTCGTCGGTCAGTCAGAGGCTGGGGCGAGCAGAATGCTCGCCCTGCCCGGGGGACCCAGCTGGAGAGAAGAGAGGCGGAAGACGAAGCTCGGCGGCGGCCATTGATATTTTGACCGTAATCCACAGGACGCTTCACCTTGGCCTCTCTCTCTCTCTCTCTCTCTCTCTCTCGCTCTCTCTCTCTCGCTCTCTCTCTCGCTCTCTCTCAAGAACACCCCTCCCCCTCTCCTTTCTTCTGCCCCTTGTGTACATAGATCAATCCGCAAGCTGTAAATCGATCAGCATGTGAGCGAGCTTTCAAGGCTCTCCCGGCTCTGCAAAATCCCTCGTCCCTCCCTCTCTCTCTCTCTCTCTCTAGATCGTCCTCTTTTCCCTGCCGTGGCCGGCGTTGGGCGGCGGCAGCAGCGCCTGTGTTCCCCGCTTTCATGATAACGTGGGTGAAACCTTTCGAACGGGGACGGGGGAAGGAGGGCCCGTCAGCTTTCCCCCCCTACGGGGGGAGGCCGCCCTCACCCACCCCCACCGTCCACCGGTGGTCGGGGCAGTGGAAAAGGCGATGGGAGGGGAAGTTGCCGGGATTAGATGGGCGGCGTGCCCTCTTTTTGACACTAATCCGGTAGGCCGACCACCTGCGCCGCCGTGGAAAGCTTTCTGATTTGAAAACGGGCCCCCCCACTCCCTCCGGGCCCCGGCCCACCTTCCTCGGCGGCGGTGGCGGGCGGACCCGGGTCGCCGCTGCTCCCCGCAAGATGTTGCGAGGTGGCCGACGATAGTCCCACCATCGTGCGCTCGCGGGAGTTTTTTAAAGCTGATTGCTTGCAGAGCAGGGCAATTGGAGGATTGGTTGAGGAGCTGACCTCTCCTCAGTCTCCTCTCCGGCGAGGTCAGCATCTTCTTTAAAACCCTTTTTTTCTGGGGCAAGGAGAAGCGTGCGGGGGGCGTGGAGGATTGCGTCGGCACGGTGTCCGGATCGCACTTCGGATTGCCGCCGCTGGTATGGCCCGCCGCCGCCGGAGCCGCAAACCGGCCGCCGGTGCTACGCGACGATGAAGATGCTGACCGCGAGCGGCCGGCGGCGGCTTCCTTTCTCCTGTGGGAATGGACAGTTACTCGTCGAACATTGGCGGTCTTCACTGCATCATCGGCAACATGCAGACGGCGACTGGCGAGGTGAAAGGAAAGATTATCCGGACTTCGAATGGCTGAGAGAGAAAGAGAGAGGGAGAGGAAGGGATAACTAATCCGAGGCCTCGTCATGGATGCGCAGACGTTATCCGAAGAGATCATCGCGGAGAAATTCCTGGGAGGGGACGCCATAACATAATCAAGGAAAAACCGAGGACGGCAGCGCAGATGTCGACTCCGGTGATTGACCCCAGGTCCATCTGAGTCCCTTACGACGGGATGACGGCCGGGGGGGTTTCTGATTGATGAACACGACAACGAGCAGCAGTGGCTTTCAAACAAAGGCGGCCATTGAAGATCTTCTTGAGATCGAAAGAACAGGTGAGAAGAACGACGGCGGCCAGTAAAAAATCTCAGCTGTACCTAGCCTATTCATCATCTCCTCAGCTTCTCCATCCTCTTCACGGCCTCCCTCAGGGTGCCCTCGTCTTTGCAGAAAGTGAACCTCACCATGCTCTTGCCCTCCTCCGGGTCGAGGTAGAAGACGCTGGTGGGGATGGCGACGACGCCCACCTCCTGAATCAGGTACTCGCAGAAGGCCACGTCGCTATCGAACCCGAAGGGGGTGTGATCCGCCACCACGAAGTAGGTCCCGCTCGAAGGGTACACCACGAACCCCGCCGCCCGCAGCCCTTCCACTAGGATCTCCTTCTTAACGGCGTAATCCCGCCGCAGCTCCTCGTAGTAGCCGTCGGGGGTACTGAGCGCCGCCGCCGCCGCGTGCTGCATGGGCGTGGAGGTGGCGAAGGTGAGGAAGGCGTGGGCCTGCCGGACCCCCCAGGTGAGAGTCGCCGGAGCAATGGCCCAGCCGATCTTCCAGCCAGTGAGGGAGAAGGTCTTGCCGAGGGAGTTCATCGTCACGGTCCTCTCGAACATGCCCGGGAGGGACGCCAGCGAGATGTGCTCCGCTTCGAAGGCCAGCTTGTCGTAGACCTCGTCGCAGAAGGCCAGGGAGTCGTACTCCACGCAGAGGGCGGCGATCTCCTGCAGCTCCGCCATGGTGAGCATCTTCCCGGTGGGATTGTGGGGCGTGTTGAGGAGGATGGCCCGGGTCTTCTCCGAGAAGGCGGCCCTGAGCTCGGCGATCGGCACGGCGAAGTCCGGCGGCCGGAGGGTGATGGACCTCACGCGGGCCCCCGCCATGGATAGAGTGGCCTGGTAGGAGTCGTAGAAGGGGGCGAAGACGATGATCTCGTCCCCGAGGTTGACCAGACCGAGCATGGTGGCGGCGATGGCCTCGGTGCAGCCGGAGGTAACGGTGACCTCCGTCTCGGGGTCAACGGTGAGGCCGGTGTCCTTCTGGAACCTGGCGGCGATGGCGGCGTTGAGGGAGGGGACGCCGTAGCCCCTCGCGTACTGGTTCTTCCCTTCTCTGATGGCCTGGATGGCCGCCTCCTTGACGAAGTCCGGGCCGTCGAAGTTGGGGAAGCCCTGCCCGAGGTTGATGGCCCCGTGCTTCAGCGCGAGGGAGCTCATCTGGGTGAAGATCGTCGTCTTGAAGTTCTCCAGGCGCTTGGCAATCTGCAGTCGAGAGAGAGAATCAATCAAGAGCAGCCAGCCTACAATGGCGTCAACAAGCTTTTCTCGCACAAGGAAAAACAGAGGCCAACCGGTTCACTCTAATTACGTATCATATGCAGTGCTGATGATGATCTCTGGGCGCTGATGGGTATTTAAAAAAAAAAAAATCAAAAAAAATGGAAATGATTCAGGAACATTCATATGAACAATGAGAAATTTGTGCCCTGGAACATTTACGAACTGAGAAAAATACCTAGAAAGGGGCGAAGCCAGATGAATCTCTGTCATTTCATAAGCTATGAAACCATATATATCAATCAATGAGACCCAAAATTCTTCTTCCCCATTCATAGGGGAGGAGAGATGGGATCCTTCACAATTAACAACATGACCATCCCGATCTTCCATCATTCTTGACTCAAGCATGGGAAGAGCCATTTGCGGGTAGAACTGTTGAATTACTACAATAGAACACAGGTGAAGAGGATCTAATCCAGAAACTCTGCAAGGGAAGAGCCATTTTCGTTTAGAACTGTTCAGTTGATACGATAGAGGCCAGAAGTCCTCTCAGCACCAGATAATCCACTGAGATTAATCGTAGACTACCCATGATGGTCTGCAATTTCGTAGAACCACACATCAAGAAGAATTTGATCATAAGAAATGGGCAGTTACTGAAGTGTTCATGGAGAGAGAGAGAGAGAGAGAGAGACAGAGAGAGAGACAGAGAGAGTTTCATTGGCCTTTGCCTCTCCCTTGCAGGACCTCCGATGATGGGAGAGCAAATGGGAGCGTGACGGAGGGCGAGGAGGAGATGAAAATGAAGCTTAAGTGAAGAGAAGAATTGAGAGGAGAAGAAGACAGAAGTAGATGAAGAAGAGGAAGAGATTTGGCCATTTACATGTCTAAGTCTTCCTTTACCTCTTTGTTGTGACAAGACCTACTGGGTTTCTCTCAGACCTGCATGAAATGGGCAGTTGCCTAAGTATTCATGGGTCGATCCTGTTGCATCCAATGAGAAGAGAGAGAGAGAGAGAGAGAGAGAGAGAGAGAGAGAGAGAGAGAGAGAGAGAGAGAGGGAGAGTGTGTGTGTGTGTGTGTGTGTGAGAGAGAGAGAGAGAGAGAGAGAGAGAGATGGGAGGGTGGGTGACGGAGGGGGAGGAACAGGTGACAATGAAGATTAAGAGATGAGAAGAACTGAGAGAGGAAGAAAACAGAAGAGGGAGAGATTTGGCCATTTACAAGTCCGAGTCTGTCTTCACCTCTTTGCTGTGACAAGATCTACCGCGTTTCTCTCTGAGCTGCATGAATGTTATCCCAAGCCACCAGTTCCATGGAGATTCTTGATCCCCCAGAGAAGAGCCCAGAGAGATAATTCTCCAAGATGACTGGATTTGGTTCCCTATGTTGCTCGTTAATTCTTCTGCACATGATGGTAATTTCCTCAAACGATGAAGCACATAAACCAGAGCAGCCAAGTTCAGAACCATGACGACCATTTACTCCTGGAGTTTTGGAGTCATGGTGATCTTCACTGCTGAAAAGCAGAGAGCCTGGTCGTATGGCAGGCCCCACATCATAGTTCCCCTCGTCTGAGAGAGAAACTGCTCATACGGATTACCGCAGATGAACATGTTCTTCATTATTTTATCAAGGAATGGATTCCAAGGACACTCCATAGATTTTTTTTTTTTATGAGAAACTATTTCGATGTGTGATAGATACGCGTCCTGAGATCGAATCCGCTCACGAAAATCATCCGGAAAAACTGAACAGGAATTATAACTATCCAGAAATTCTCCAGTTAGCAGAGGAACAGGAATTAGCACCTTGGCGATCCATGCATCGCAGATCGCAGAAAAAGTCTCATGAATGAACAGCCACAAGATCGGGACGCAGTTGCATAGGGATCGATCTCGGATCCTAACCTGGGACCGGGGCGACGGAGGCGGTGAGGGCTGGTCAGCGGCAGCAGCTGGGCTCTCGTCCATGGTCTCTGTGGATGTGGTAGCCATGGCCGTCCGGCGAGGGCTTCGACCCGGGTAGGAGGCGGCAGCGGTGGTTGTCCTCCGCCCCGCGCAGGCGAATCTCGGGAGGGAGTAACCGAAGGAGGAGGGGGGGAGGTGACCAGAGGAACTGGTGGTCCCACAGAAGGGACTCGGCAGCAGCCTCAGCATCCGGTGGTGGCGAGAGCAGGAGATGGGCGCGGCGGCGGCGGCGGCGATCATAGTCAGTCGACTTGGGGCTGATTTAACCTCTACTAGGAAACCGTCCCGAAACAGACGAGTCGGAGAGAACCGGCGACCAAAGGATGATCTGGGTACGCGTCGCAACTCAGTAACCAGTGCGTACAGGAGGGGGATGAGGGTATTTGAGGATTCCAGGGATAGCGTTCCGACAGGTGGTGGACTGTGGCTTGTCGTCGTAAAAAGCCTTTCTGCCGTCGTAACCAAGCTCACACGGAACAACTAGATATATCTCAAGGGTACATTTTTCTCCACCCTTTTCGAAACAAAGATATTTTAATAAGTAAACTGATGATCACACCATACTTATTGGTTGCACCCACCAAATTAAATTTATAAAAATATAGAAAAAAAGTTCTTAGTAAAAAGGTGAGCTTGTTGGACTTTCTGTTGGTTAAGGTTTTATGATAATATAATTTAAGATGAAAGTGAATTGAATCTTTTATACTATTGCTTCTCAATTGTTTGACAGAATAGATGGAGATTTAGCCATAAGATTTTATAGTGCTTGGATAAAATACATCTATTTCACTATATAACTATAAAGATCTTAAGTTCTATCAAATTACAAGTGAAACATATTGAACCTTGATTTTAGCAAACTTCTACTAGACGTCTAATGTAATCTTCTTGCATAGTTGTTTCTACTTCACCACCATGACATAAAGGGTTCAAAGCCACTACATCCCCAAAATGACATCTATATTGCTCAACTACAAAGATAAATAATCCTTTGTGACTTTTAATCTTTTCATTTCCAAGATTAATATTTGGCAAATTACTCTCTCCTTTGTAGTTATTTCATTTCCCATAATGTCTATATAGTGGATGGTATCTTTGATAGATTTTTGTGTCTCTGCTTCAACTCTCTTGTTGTCCTAATTATTTACCTTGATCATAAGTGGTCCTAGCACATTATCTCACCTCTTGTGTTGACTATTCCAGTTTAGTCATACCTTGTGAGTGTATTCAACTTGTATTTTCTTGACTCTTTCACAATTTTTAATGTATTATTCTTTCTTTAGCTCCACCACTTGTGTAATTTCATGATGTCACTAATTTCTTTTGACTTGAACAATGTGACTTTTGTACAATTTTTTAATTTTAATCTTTTTAAGAAAGTGTTATCAAGGGATTCTTCTAAGATGCCATGTAGTACACTGGATAGTATATCAAGCTTCCTTATATGATCAGCCACCTATATTTTCTGGTTTATATCTAAGAATTACCCATATTATTCTAGATAACTATGAGCCAAAACATTTTCCTTAGTCTAGGGTTAATATTCTCCCAATCATTAAATAGTTCACATGTTTGTCCCTCAAAATCATATTAATACTTCATCATCCATGCTGACAACCATAGTTTTCAATTGATTTTCCCTCTAATTCTATATATCTCGAAATATATTTTTATATGAAAATTCACCCATCTAGTAAAGACAATTCCACTTGTCATCATCTCTAGTTGCCCCTAATTGAGTTCTCAATTGGAATATGTAACTTAGCTTCTTGAGAATCTTTCACCCTAAGGTCTAGATTGGGTTGAGGATGACCCATTGTCTCTAGCTCTTCCTTATGCATACTTGTGATGGGCTCTTTAGGAGATATTAGTGTTGGGATTTGGCTTACACTAAGATAAAAGATAAGGGGTTGAATTCGTCTATTCTTAAATCCCTTTTCATAGAATTTACTTCAATGTATTAACTTATTTTCCTTTTGTAATTTGGCTCATTGGCTATGTCCACTATTCTTGGGTTTCATTAGAACTGATCCTCTATAGATTTGAAGTGTTTTTTAAATTTTTGATGAAGTGGATGATGTATATTATCTTGTAGTCATTGTCCTCTTGTTAGAATGTTGGCAATAGACTAATGGCCCTTTAAGCCTTAAATAGGATCCTTCAATGGTCATATAATCCATGTGTCAATGCCTTTATGTTATTTGAATATTCATCACAAAGCTCACTATGTTTTACTTGAAATTCTTATTATAAAAACCCAATGTAAAGTTGGAGGTAGTTCAAATATAAAATATAATTATTATGCCGATAATGATATCTATAAAAAAATCTCATAAAAAAATCTTCTCAGATTTCTATGATTTTTTAATGACCATTTTCTATAAAATAAGATTAATTTAAATAATTGAGAAAGTAGCACGACATATCCTTAAGTCACTTTAGATATCCTCAAGATAAATAATATGTGATTCTTTTATTACTTATTATTTATATTTAAATAATCTCATTTCACATTGATCAATTACAAATCTTATGTAATAAGAAGAATAGAGTTAGAAAAGATTTGATATCATTAAAACAAACTTGATAGTATATATTTAAATAGGATAATGATTTAGCATTCAAATTTTATTTGAATCACCTCAAATAAAATATACTCTTTAATATCTAGAAATTTTTATTCAGCTAACTCAGCAATATAAATTTAATTGATTAAAATAATATGAAACACACTTAAAAGTAATGATATAATATCACAAGAGCACAATAGATTAGGTAAGTTTTCATACTCATATTTTACTTGTTATCTCATTGATTATGATTTAATTGTCACTACTTTTTATTGTGACATATTTTATAAATATTGATATTTTTCACAGCAATATACAATATGATAATTTTGCATGATGATATCGATCATATATATGAGTTCATAATTACTAATCAAGAGTATGTTCAATGATTTCTTATATGAGTTATTATCATTATAATTCCTAATTATACTCAAGCATTTGCATATAATGTATACTTTGAACTAAGCAAAAGTTTTTTTTGTCAAGATCAAAACACAATGCATACAATACTCCAACAATTTGATAATCTTCACACCTCATAAGGGTTGTTAGATTGCCCCCTTGTTGCAATAGTTGGGGCACCATCTAAGCAAGCTTCTTCATATTATTTTTAGCAATGAAATCTTTAATAATTCTACCTCTATCTCAAGCAGAAAACAAAGCCCTCCATTTAAGTCTTTAACATCCTTCTTCAAGATCTCATAGCACTGAACATTATCCTTGGGTGCCATAGAGCTAATTACCAAGTTGATAAGGTTTCAAGTCAATAGCATGAAATAGAGAGAATACTCATAATGAAGAGGAAAGTATAACCAAAATATAGAACAAGAGGTAGAGATGGAGGATTTCTAAAAAATCCCTAAAATTTACCTCTTGGGAAAGTTTGAGAACACCCTCAATACTTCCAACTGAATTCATCTAAAAAATGTCCTTAACTCTCAATATGAGAGATCATACACCTTCATAGTTTGAAAAATTTTATGACATCAAAACTTATCTTTTTAATATTGGGCTTCATAGACTTTTAGAAAAAAATAAAATTAGATAATTATAAAATTCTTTTTAGAAAGAGACTCTTCTCCTACCACCACATAAAATAATTTTAGTCTATTTCTCATTAAAAAAATACTTTTAGTGTTGAAATGAGATATGAATTTTTTTAACTAAGTTAGTTATGAATTATTTTTGAATAAGTTAAAGTACAATTCATCTATGCATCATAATTATTTTCATCAGGAGATAAGTAATATTGACAGACATCTAAATTACATATATTGATGATGCACCATGAGATCCAATGACTAACAATGAATCTAAATTTATTTTTTTATATTAAAGTAATATAATATCATTCTCTAAAAATAAGTATATCATAATATGTGTCAACATGTGTAACAAAGTCTCACATATATTCTGATAACTTAAAGTTATCAATGAGATTTGAACATGGCACTTAAACAATGTAAAGAATAGAACGACAATATAAAAAATAACTCAAATATCAAAGATACATAATAACACATAAGATTTGAATTCAGAAAGTAAACTTAGCAGAAGTAAAAAAAATGATTAAATTATTCAAATCACAATATGAGTAAAATTTTAATTTAAATCACTATAAAGTAAAAACTTAATCAATGACTAAAATCCTTCATTATTGAACTTCTCTTCTCAAACAAACAATGTTTGTTTCTTCAATGGAGGCTCGACAGTTGCCACTAGTAATTCTTGGTTGCACCACCACATGTGCTCATTCTGGGGTTTACATGATGGGTACTCCTTATTGCAATGTGGGCAGATCTTAAATACATTTGTTGGTTGCAACACTAGATGATGGCGTCTTGCCGCCACTTTCCTTCTTTTCAGCATAGACCTAGGAGCTAGCTACAGGGGAGACCCCCATAGTTAAGGCTGTAGTGTTACACTAATACTCTCTCTCTTACTCTCTTTTCTTAGTAACTCTCTCTCACTCTCTATCTTCTTCCTTTGGAATAAAAAGATAAGAACTCTACTCAATCATAGTGGCTTCTCTTTCCTAGCCATTGTGGGAGGTGGTGGTGGTACTCTATAACTGGGTGGTGGAAGAGATCAATGCATATTTAACCTAATTGATCATAGAGCTACTTTCTATTGTAGGTGTCTACCAAAACCTTTGACCCACCCATGTTTAGTAGTAGCTGCACACCGTATTCCTTGCTTTTGACCCAAGTTCAAAGAGATGGCAGTTTGAGGTTAATGATTATAGAAGTGAACCAATGAATAGATATATGTACTCAATTCCAATGGTGGAACGGTAGGGGGGCTCATTTTTATGTAAAAAAATAATAACACATAAGTTTTGGGTCCCACAAATATCTACATTTTATACATAACATACTAATTCATGTAATTGCTAGAAATATATTTAGTTATTAATCATCCCTACATAGTTAGGGCATATGTGTATGTTTTATGTGTCTAGTCCTCACACCTTGATCTCAATATGATAATAGTTCTAAAATGGGCACTGAGTTTATTTCATAGCAAGAGAGAGAGAGAGAGAGAGAGAGAGAGAGAGAGAGAGAGAATTCAATACAAAACACATCCTAATGAACGTCGGCACTTATAATACATCTAGATATCAATCGACCCTACATAGTTAGGACATTCAAACATTTTTTCTTTGCCTAGTCGTCACACCTCGATCTCAATATAGAATAGCCTTAAAATAGGCACTAATTTTACTCACACAAGCTCAATAAGAAGATTTATTCAATATCTTATAATAAAGGGGCTGTTCATTTTAAAGAAAGAATCAAAGTTTAATTATACTTGATCATCTATAATAACTTATGAATCAAACAACTATATTAAAGGTTATATATTTTTATTAGGCCTTAAGGTAACTTGGGTGATGAGTTGAGAAGGTTAAAACACAAGGTGTTGAGAACCATAACTTACTTGTAGAGAATATTATTCTTTGATGATAATTATATCTCAGCTTAAGCACATAATTCTATGAGTTGAGACCTACTCATGATTGGTGAGATCTCTACATAAATTAATTCGTTGTGTTGAGAGACTTGAACTCATGAAATCAATTGTATGTTCATTAAAAAATAATAAAAATCTGAAAAAGAGATCTTTTGATACTGAATATAGTCTAAAAAAATGTGAACTAACATAAAATATTTATGTTTATCATTCATGAGAATGAGAATGAGACATTAGATTGTCCATGAGAGAAAGATAAGAATTGTAAGTGAGAGTGCATATCAAGTTCATAAATTGTTTTAGAATGTATCAACACATATAGACAACAAAAAAAATGTCAACATAGAACTTGATATGCACTTAGTCATATATAACCCAATAAAAAAGTCCACAACTTGAAAGTTAATATATTTCTAATCCCTAACTTTCACAAATAGTGTTGAAATAATACTTTGTGAGATTCTTACAAGTTTATTTGTTGTCAACACAAATCATAATAATATTCATATACTAACATATTCTATTAATCATGACATTTCTATCATGAAATTTGGAAAACTTTATTCTTTGACTTAGAACATTTATATCCTAACTAATTTGAATTTACCAATTAAAAAATGCTCCACCTAACCTAGTAGTTATTGAAAACATTCGTACATCCACTAAATCCTTATTTCCTAAATCCATTAATGTATATTTTCATCTCCTAGTCATGAATTAAACTTCTAAATTTCATTTACAGGTAAAAAAAAAAAATATTGAATCATTGACTTAATCTTTTTTAAAATACAAAATCTCAACTTGATAATTTCTTTTGATGCTCTTGATATCATACATTTTATTTTCAAACCCCAAAATACATCTCTTAACGTTATTAAAATATTTTATAATAATTTGATTAGACTCCTTTAAATATATCATTAGTCAACTTAAAAATAATTTATCTAATTGTAGAAATTTTGAATTTTATTTTACACATTTCTTCTTTGATGAGTTTTTTAAGTCCTTTTGATTTTAAAAAAATAAGGAAAGAAAAATTAGGGTGAGGAAATTGAGAGAATGTGCAACCTTAGGGGGAACACTCATTAAGAGAAAGCTCAAAATAATTTTGTGTGATGAACAATCATATTTTGTTGAATGATATAACTCTTATGTTGTTTTAGTATTTGAATAATATCTTTATCTTCAATTATATATTTCACTTTTGATTAAATATAGTTTTTTCTCAAAAATTTGATTACATGAGTATCATAATGTAGGATATGTTGTTAATCTTGATTATAATATAAGTGAGCAAAATATAATATGGAGTTCTTCAGAGCGCCAACATCCCAGTCCACAACATCTGCAACTCGGTTGATATTGATATAAATTGGGCAATGGAATAGTTCCATTAAACAACTGAAGAACAAATCAACGCCATGATTCTTTCTCCAAGAACCAAAGTTGTCATCAAAGTTAATGTGATACAGGAAAAGCCTACAGCCTGAACCAGAGATGGAGACCTCCCCTTCACTCTTCAGATCCCCTGACACAATCATTGGTAGCCATTTCCCTCTTGGACTTTTCGCCACACAAAGCTCTTGCAACTTCAACAGCAGAATGGCTGCGTTTTATGATGTTGTCAAGACTATTAACCTTATCCAGCAAAACCTCAGCGTTTGATTGGGCTAAACTAACTAATTTATCTGCTGTTTCAACTGCAGAGCACAGCTAAGGGTGGAGATCCATTAGACCTTCTCAAATGGGAGATTTTCTACTTTCAGATGATGAAATAAAAATAATGTAGATGCAAATTCACCTTCAAGGTTAGTTGGGTCCATGAGTGATCCGTCCCTGCCAGAGACTCAGTCAGCTGATCATATGTCGCCTGTTGCCAATGAAAAAAATGGTATTATTTAATCTTTTATCATCCTTAACTTGTATTAGAGACATGCTATTATTTAATATTTTTTATCATCATTAGGATTAATTACCCCCAAGTGAGGGGAACTCCCATGTTAATTATGTAGAATAAGTATAGTGCTGGGTAAAAGCATCGCGATCAGCAAAGTCTGAGTAGGAATTATCTATAGCTCTAGCACAAGCCAAAAGCATCAACACCATCATGTTTTGTCAATAAAATGCAACATTTTCCCTTGTTTTAAATATCCTACCCTCTCAAAGAGCCTCAAATAAATTTCAAGTACTGCAAGGGCAACAGATTGTTTTATAGTTTATTGACAAAATCCAATTATTTTTTAGTGAAGCAAGGTGCGTTTCATGAAGCTGCTAGTTCTCTTTTTCTGGATAAGCCTCAATGTTCTAAACTTCTCATGTAATTTCTAAGCTGTGGATCTCGAAGAGAGCAATCTCAGAGCTTAGTAATCACGTTTTAGTAACCCACAGGAAATGCCACCCGCACATATATATTGGAGATGATATATCTTTGATGCCAAGAGCATTAAAAAATCAAATGAACAGATAACATAACGAAAATAAAACCTATGGAACACATCAAGAAAAATAATAACATAGAATGAAGAAGAGACAGTAGCCAAAGAATCACTAAGATATGTTGATGACGGACATATTTCTTTCTCAAAACAGAAGAAAAATATAGGAACGCTATATAATCAAAGATTTTAAATGGAATTTTTAAAAAACTTTGCTTGGAGTTTATGAATGTTGGGAAACCCATATGAAAAATCGGATCTAGAATCCGTTTCAAATTTAATAAAATACGTGCATCTCATAGAGATCTATAGAGAGACAGCGTACGTGCAATTCCTGACATATGAAAACTTTCGTTGATTTTTCTTTTTACTTTCCGGATAACATCCACCACGCAGGTTTAAGGGCGAATGGCTTGTAAAATTGCATTTCATCCCAAAGCTAATGGACGAAGCATCTAAAGTGGCAAGGAATCGGAATTGGCTAATTCTTGTCATGTAAATACGGTTTACGCAAATGAGAAATCACTCGTATCATGTCTGAAAGGTGTTGAAAAAAATGAAAGAAAGCACAACATTAGTGCTTAATTATGAGGTCTAACCATGTTCAGCTATGAATCAACCATAGCTGACAGGATTATCTTCTGGAGGTGAGGGAAATGCATCCTCACAGCCAGTTATACATGAAGTTTAAGTTTATTTCCTTCAACTGAAGCGTTTCTCTCCAGACGAGTGGTAAAAAAAAAATAGTTTTTTCCCAGTCTTCTCGGTTGTTTAAAATTTACTGCATCCATGGTGCCAAAGCTCCCCTGCTTCACCACAATAAATAATCTACAACATTCATTTTACTTCGGGCAAAAAATGTTGAGGCCTTTGGTTTCAAGAAAATCCTAATATTCCCTTATGATACAAGAAATTGGCTCTGATGCAGAATGAAGGACTTGGGCTCTAACCGCCTAATATCGAATCATCATGGCACGACTGAGGAACGAAGAAAATCTTACACGCTCCGAACAGAAGCAGCCATTAGTTATCGAGAGGGGAATGACGAAAATTTGAGAAAAGAAAAAGAAATACTGGATGGATGAATCCGCACGAGGAGATCACGTTCTTCCCGCCGACTAACCTCGAAAAGACTGCGGAGATGAGACGGCGGGAGTGGCGACGCGTCGCCGCTGATAGACGGACAAGGCGAGATGACGGCAGCGGCGGCGCCGGCGTCCTCGGAGAGGTCTTGGAGCAGATCCCCGACGCAGAGCAGCGGCCCTCCTACCCTTCTCATTTTCCTCTCCCTCCCTCTCACAGCTCGCTTCCACGCACCAGGATCAACAGAAGGATCCGCTCGGTTCGGCTCAGCTCGGCTCGGCTCGATCGGCCTGTTTCCTCCTATTTCAGTGGGACGTCTGGGCCATGTGTTTCTGTGGGCCCTGTCTCTAAAGCCCATGTACATAAACTAACGGTTTTATGGGCTTCCCGGCCAACACATCGTTGTCGCCGCAATGGCCCTGAAAAACTGTAATTCTTTCTCTCTCTTTTTTTTATAATAAACCAAAGAAAGGAGTTTTTATCAACCACAATCTGCCCCCTACACGTAACGTCTCTCATTAAAAAATTATTCACATAATAATAATAATAATTATTATTAGTTATATACATAGCCTATTTTTATAATTTACTACAAGTTTCCCTCAACCACACGTATCTCGCATTAAATAATTTTGCGCATTATAAAATAAAACATAGCATTTCTATAAATAATTGTCGGTGAGGCGTCCCCGAAACCCATCTTGCCCTTGATCTCGTCTCTGCATCTAGCGGTGTTCGTGAGGGAGGGCAGCTGGATTCTGAAAGAGACCTCGAAGCCCAGAGTTCTCTCCTCAGTGACGGCGATGATGAGGACGATCACAACCAGGTGATGGGAGATCTGCAAGGATTCATTCATGAGATGGATAGTGTTGCGGCCTCAGGGACTTTTTCCGATAGCGATTGAGACGGCATTCAACTGAAATCTGGGTCGGATTCGGGGGTTACAGAGGGAGAGATCTGGCGATCCGCCCTGTTTAATCCCTGGAAGAACAGGAGGGAGAAGTGAGAAACCCTAGAACACAGCATTTGTAGTGTCGGGATTAACCATCCTCGCAGAAAGACGCACAGCAGGAAAATCCTTCATCTTCTTCCTCTCGATTTTGTTCCTCAAATCGATCCAAAACAACAAGCGCAAGATTCCAGCGGCTTGCTCCGCGGAATCATCCCCGTCGCGGTCATGGGACGAAGCAGGAACGATCGGGTAAAAAGAGGGAATCGAATTACAGGAGGAGCGAGCTTGCGGCCATGGGATCATCAGCCGCAGGCGAACACCTGCTGGGGCAGCCTCCATGCCTCGGCGGCGCCGAAGCACATATCGTCCAAGACCTCGCTGGTGCACCACCGGCACCGTCTGGAGCTCCTCGCACATTCCGCCTCAGATCTCAGCTCCCGGCAGTCGGGCGGCGCTCCGGCGCCGCCGGTCCTCGCCGTGTAAGCGGCGGAGGAACCAGACACCAAGAGAAGGACAACCGCGAGGAGGGAGAGAACAATCCTCACGACTCCTCCGATTCCGGCCGCCATGGGAGAGAGCGGGGGAGGAGGCGGCGCCCCCTGATGCAGCAGATCCTCTAGGGTACGAATTCCAGCGAGGAAAGTTGTGTCCTCACGGCCCCCTGGATCCAAATGCCAAAACGAGCACGGACTTCAGCGGGTCCCATGGGCCACGGCGGCCCCCACCCTCGAATTAGGGCGTTGCAGGGCAGGAGAAGGAAGAGAGAGAGTAGTGTCCCAGCAGTAGCATGTGGACGAGCGTCGCAGCCCTCGGTTATGCCCTCTGTCATCTCTGGACGTCAATCAACGGCGGTGTGGGGAGGAACTCAATCTAAGTCAATGGAGGAGAGGACGACCAGAAGAAGTCAGTCAATCTGGGCTTTTACGGGGTTGGTGCCAAAGTCGGCGCAAATCCGTTCTCGAACCGTATGGCATTCAGCATCCAATCAACCGGATCAACGCGGGCTTGTTGACTTTAGGTTCACCTCATGCGGCACGAGGTCCCAAGTTGGAACGGCCCGTGAGCTCGAACTCGGTCCGCGCCCATTCCTTTGACGTGGCAGTAAGAAGGGGCATGGACGACCGAAAAGTCAAAGTCGAGAAAAAGCGTGTGAAAACACTCTCCGGGGCGGCGGCGTTCTTGGCTGGAGGTTGGATGTTGATGATGTCATGGTGACAGATGAATGACCTCAGAATTTCCAATTTTTCGCTCCTAAATTTACTCATAATTACCTGCTACGTATTATGAGTTGAAGATACAAAAAAAAGGGCCTAATTCCGCCGGCGTCAGCTTGCCACGTCATGCCTCGGCCCCTGCTGTCGCCGACATCCGACCACAGGGCTATCAACGGCGGACGGGGTGCGGGCGGCGGCTGACTCCAGGCTGTTCCTCTCAACTGCCCTGACAAGCACCGCGACGGAGAGATTGAATGTGGCAATGAAGGTGACGTGGATTTATGCAACGTTTGGGGTTTTCTTCTTAAAGGAACTATTTAATGGTGGTTTATAAATATAAAAAAAATGTGAGATAACGAGCGAGTGGAGCTCCGGCCGGGGATATTTTCCGGATTCGGTGACGTTTGAATTCTGTCCGTCCATCCGGTGTTCCCGGTGGTGGGCTCGGGAAAGGCTTTTGGCACGGTTCTCCAGTCAACGCGGGGGAGAGAGAGAGAGAGAGGGAGAGATGATGACTAGAGCTGGCCCTCTCCTTCCCCCCATCCGCGACCGGCGACCCCTGTACATGGAGGCGGAGAAGATCGCCTCCCCCAAAATCGTCCTCCGCGACCGCAGCTCTGCTCCCTCGGCATGGACTGCCATCGCCTCCGCCTGCTCTTCTCCGTCCTCCTGTCTCTCCTGCTGCTGCTGCGGAGGGCACGCCCCTCGCTAGGCGCCCCGATCGCCGTCGATGTCGTGTACCCCAATTTCACGGCCTCCAACATGCACTTTATCGACACCTCCGGCGTGTTCCTGCAGTCTCCCTCCAACACCTTTCACGCAGTGATTGACTCCCTGGGAACCCAGCAGCCCGACGACTTCTACTTCTCCGTCGTGCACGTCGCCAGCGCCACCATTGTTTGGTCGGCCAACCGCGGGGCGCCGGTGGGCAACGTCGCGGAGCTCGTCCTCTCCGCCGAGGGGCTCTCCCTCTCCATCTCCGATGGGCGGCCCCCCGTTTGGTCCACTCCTCGCCTCGCCGGCGCCGTCTCCGCTATGCGCCTCGCGGACACGGGCAACCTCCTCCTCCTCGGCAGAGGCAACACCACCCTCTGGGAGAGCTTCAACCAGCCCACCGACAGTTTCCTCTCCGGCCAGCGCCTCCGAGTGGGCGGCACCGGGCTCGCCAGCTCCTCCTCCACCTTCAACTTAACCCCCGGCGACTTCCGGCTGATCGTCACCGCCGACAACGCCCTGCTGCAGTGGGACAAGGGGGAGCAGCGGTACTGGAGCTTGTCTGCCGACGCGAGGGCCGCCAAGAACGCCAACGCCGCCGCCTCCCACCTGGCTATGAACGCCTCCGGCCTCTATCTCCTAAGCGACGGCGGCGAGGTGGTGTGGCAGACGAGTCTCCCGCTGGCGAGCCTGCGGATAGGGAAGCTTGACAGTGACGGGCGGCTCAGGATCTTAAGCTACACGTTAGCCAATTCCTCGACCCCGCAGAACGAGTTCGTCGCCCCCGCCGACGACTGCGATCTTCCGGTGCACTGCGCCGCCCTCGCTGTCTGCACAGAGGAGCAGAGCTCCTGCTCCTGCCCGCAGGGATTCACCAACGAAGAAGGCGGCTGCGTGCCCTCCGACGGCTCCCGGCTTTCCTCGCCGTCGTCCTGCGGCGGGACCACCCCGGGTTACTACGGCCTGCCGACGGGGATGGACTACTTCGCCAAGAAATTCCGGACGGCGGCGGCTACTGGAGTCAATTTGCCGGCCTGCCAGAGCCTCTGCTCGCAGAACTGTTCCTGCGTCGGCTTCTACCACCGGAATTCCACCGGTTCCTGCTTCTTGTTGGAGGCGCAGTTGGGTTCCTTCAAAACACCCGCGAGCGGCGAGAACGACGGTGATCTGGGCTTCGTGAAGGTGCTACCGCCGGCATCGCCCTTGCCGGCGTCTTCCCGGCGGAGGAACCTGCCCACCTACATACTCCCGATCTTGCTCCCCTCCATCTCCGTCTTCCTCTTGGTGGTGCTGGTGGCGATCATCCTAGTCCGGATGCGGCTCCGGCGGCGAGAGGCGAGATCGAGGTACCCGAGCAAGGAGATCAAGCTCGGGCGGTTCAAGTCGTGGCCGCCGTCGGCGGTGGATGGGGGGGATGATAAGGACGACGGCGACGACGACATCTCCATCCCGGGGCTGCCGACGAGGTTCAGCTACGAGGAGCTGAGGGCGGCCACGGACGACTTCCGGACGAGGATCGGCTCCGGCGGGTTCGGTGAGGTCTTCAAGGGGGTCCTGTCGGACAGCTCCGCCGTGGCCGTGAAGCGGATCATCAACGCCGGCGCGCACGGGAAGCGGGACTTTTGTACGGAGATTGCCGTCATCGGCAACATCCACCACGTCAACCTCGTCAAGCTCCGCGGCTTCTGCGTGCAGGGCTCCAGGCGCCTGCTGGTGTACGAGTACATGAGCAGGAGCTCCCTCGACCGGTCGCTCTTCGCCGGTAGGGGCTCGCCGGTGCTGGAGTGGCGCGAGCGGGTGGAGATCGCCCTCGGGACGGCGCGCGGCCTGGCCTACCTCCACGGCGGCTGCGACCACAAGATTATCCACTGCGACGTGAAGCCGGAGAACATCCTGCTGAGCGACCAGCTGCAGGCGAAGATCACCGACTTCGGCCTGTCCAAGCTGCTGTCGCCGGAGCAGTCCGCCTTCTTCACCACCATGCGCGGCACGCGTGGGTACCTCGCCCCCGAGTGGCTCACCAACTCCTCCATCTCCGACCGCACCGACGTCTACAGCTACGGCATGGTGCTGCTGGAGATCGTCCGCGGGCGGAAGAACTGCGTACTCGTCGGGCCCAGCGGCGACAGCAAAGTCATCTCGGCGGAGAACTCCGCCAGCGGGTCCTCCTTCTCCTCCTCCGCCGCCGTCTCCTCAGGTGGCGCTGCCAACGTGGTGTACTTCCCCATGCACGCGCTGGAGATGCACGAAAGGGGGAGGTACCTGGAGCTGGCCGACCCGCGGCTGGAGGGACGGGTGGAGGCGGCGGAGGTGGAGAAGGTGGTGCGGGTGGCGCTCTGCTGCCTCCACGAGGACCCGGCATTGCGTCCCGCCATGGCCACAGTCGTCGGCATGCTAGAGGGAACCATGCCCGTGCCGACACCGCTCTCGGCGTACCTCAACTTCCTCAGGTTCTATGGCCGGAACTTCTCGGCGAACCCCGGGACGCCGGCGACGCCGGCGACGCCGGCGCAGCCGCCGGCGGTGGGCCACGGCGGCTTCTACGGGCGGACGGACTTCACGGCGACCGTCGCCAGCACGGGCACCACAAACAGCACCTCTAAGTCTTACCTCTCGGCCCAGCAGCTGTCGGGTCCGAGATAGCCTCCCCGGCGGCCGAAGCTGCCCCTACTCCCAGGCGGCGGCGTCGCCGCCCCCATAGACGCCCTCGCTGGCGACTCCGAGTCGGACTCGGCGACAGCCCGGGTGGCGCACCGGACGACGATGGGGCGCGCGTAGATTGATTATTACATGATATGCCTTGGGTCTGACGGCTCGACAGAGTATTTTAATAAACGTGCTCTTCTCTCGATTAGGGGAGGGCTGAACCTGTGTGGGTGAAGTCTTCCGTCGATGGGTAGGGTGTCTCTCTCATGAAGCCACGCCCTAGCATGAGCCTACGGGGAAAAGATGTGGTTTTTCTTGTGATCGCGACAGCTTGACGGAGTCGAAGCTCTCTCTCCCCTCGCGGCGCTGCGTTCCCCGAGGAGGTGGGGCCGGACCGTGCACTCCGGCAGCATCATCTCTTTCGATCCCATCGTCGCCGGCGAAGGTCTTCCTCTAAATCTGCCGCACCGGTGAGCGGCTGTGACTGGATCCCCATTCTAACTCCAGCCTCCATTTTTGTGCTTTCCGTTGGGAGGGATGTGTTTGGATGAGGTGGATGATCCGAATCTGATAGAAAAGAAAAACGTCATACGCAGCCTTCGGATTGTGCTGGTTATCTTGCACATTATACTTCTGCCACCCTGGTGTTTGTAAAAATCGGATAATTCGAGTGGTCTCTGTAGTGCCGGCCGGGGATGGGTTTCCGAAAATGCTTGAGATGGTCGGTCAAACTGACATGAACCTGATCAGGAAGTGGTCGTCGTGAAGGGGGAGGGGGTTCCTGATCTCCAGTTAAAGTAGCAATAGGGGCCGGGTAGGAACTGGTTGACTACAGTTATCAGGTCAGCTGATGCTTGGCCAGGCTGGGCTGTAGAAAACCGGAGGAAGAAAAAGTAATAGGAGGGGAGAAGAGGGTCGAGAATAACAAGGAAAGAGAGAGGAAAACTTACTTCTGCTGCTGGCTGGCATTGGTTGCAGCCGCTTCTTCTTCCCTTCTTCCTGCTGCTATTGAAGCCATGCGACCGTCTGAGTGAGCTCGGGGTGGTTGGAGAGCCCATTTGTGGAATAACCCCGATTCTAAAAATGGTATATTTATGGTTCACATGCGTACACATTTAATATTTCTAATAACGTGATTTTCACTATTTTCAGTGCCTGAATCCACTCAAAAGGCCCCCATATCTGAATGTTATCTCTGGGCGGGTTGACCGTCATCGTTTTCGCTTACTTTAGAGAGGCCCTGCCATATCTTCCTACGTTTTCACCACCCATGCAGTGTTCTTCTCGATTCTTGTGGTTTGACCGCTTTGGATCCCAAGATTTCCCAAACTTTAATTGCGATCACTGCTCCAGGTCCCCCACATTCATCAAAGCGATGAGGCCATTGCTCAAACGGATAGGAGGGTCACCAGCAACAGGAAAGAAGGTCTAATTCATAAAAAGCTAGAAGTATGCATTATGATCCACTGGCATTGTACCATGAGTGCGTCGATCTAATTGATCTCGCTGTGATTCAGGGAGATGTTCTTTGAAAATCGGTGCAGCCTTACGCGACACTGCAATGGAATTCTCTATTGATCTCTTCGTAATCCTTTGTATATACATCTGGTAAAATGACAATTCATGATGCTCTTGGTACATAACAATATAGGAATTAGTCAGAAGGGCCGGGTTGATGTTCTTTCTCTGTAGAGACGAAAAAACTTCACTTGTCGTAATTCGTGGGGATGATTTCCTGCTGTTCATCCAATGCCGCCTACACTTGGTCAGACTTCAAGGTGGCCTCAGCAGCTGATGAACGGGGAAAGGAACAAGAGAGCAATTCAGTGGAAGACATCAAGCAGAGAACTAAGGAGGATGGTTGGAGATCTCAGTGAGAGGATGAGAGATTTCCAGATCTGCTGTGGAGGATGGGTGAAGCCAGCTGAGTTGGGTGGGTGGGACTCTTTTCTGGCTGTTATTTGGCCATTTAACAAAGACAAGTATATGCCTTCCTCAGGATAAATCGAGACGAATATCATCGCCATATGCATCCAATAATCCCTTCCATTACTGAGAGGCATTGTTTTCCAATTGATTCGTTGATTTGATCGTCCTTTTTGCTGTAGAATTCCACACCACCCTGTTTTTTTAAGGCCCTCATTGATTTTCCTCGCATGAAATGACTGTGTGAAAACAGGAAAAAGAGAGACACATTGCGGGCTCGTTGCACTTGGGAACTGTGCTTCTGGCTGACTTGCCTGATTTAAAGCATTGGGGAAACCATCTGCAGATCGTGGTCATCCAGGAAGCGTTCTGGGGTTTCATCAGGAACCCCAGAACTCTGAGTTCCGCCTGTGGATTTCTTTTTGCTATTTTTTTCTCCTCTCCTCAGGGTTCTGAATGCGCAAGGAAACGAAGAACAGAAAGCTCTGTTTTTAATGAAAATTTGGAGCGGGAAAATACAATCCAAGAGTTGGGGGCAGCAAGGAAAGGTCAGCGGTAATGGGAAATGAACAATGGGTGAGGAATGTTTGAATACCGTGGTCTGTCTGGTACTGTATATTCTACAAAGACAGGAGTTTAATTCGAATTGCTTAGCCTGAATTTTCCTATCTTCATCAATTTTTCTGACGTTACAGTTCCTATATACATGTAAATATAAAGGAAAGATCAAGTCATGAAAAGGAAATACAATGGACCTTTTTTTCTAACCTCTCTCTCTCTCTCTCTCTCTCTCACTCACTCACTCACTCCCTCTCACCCTTGTTGTCTAAACCAGTTACTCTCCAAAGACTCGGTTGAAATCGGACACTGGGCAATGCTATCAAAGGAAGAATAAATGAATATAATGCTAGAAATTTGAGTCCCAGTCAAGGTTCTGATCATGTGTATTCAGCTAGAGACTGCGGTCCGATGTAAGGAGTCTCTGTAATCTGGTGCGAAAGGTTTTGGAAGATCTGTTTTGGGAAAGGAACTGGAAATATTTCACAAAATCCGTCAGTTTTTCAGAAAGAACCGGGCACAGCCTTATTTTTTAAGCCCTGATGGCATACTGATTCTCAGGGAACCGTCCACAGCCATGGCAGCAGGCGGAGACTGTAGGAACACCCGCCGCCGGCCGGCGCCGTGGCCGGAGCAGCGACGTCAGGATCGAGAGGGCGCCGGGAGGCCCTGCACGGCTGCTGACAACTGACTTGACAGCGGTAAGCGAACGTGGAGGAGCCCATGTGGCGCAGTAGAATCGCCGCCTACAGCCTCGATTCGTCCTCCCTTTCTCTCCTCCATCTCCGGCTGGCATCTCCAGGATACCGGCGTGGCCGTTCTGGACCACGCCGCTCCCCTGGTCGGCGCCGGAGCGGCTCAGACTTCCGGGGGTCGTATGAGGGAACTCGGTCGGCGCCGGCGGTCCTGTTCCCCGGCCCGCTGGCCTCCGTCACTCTACGTGGGCGCGCGAGTAAATGAGTCCGACTTCCTGAACAGGCCAAAAGTCAAAATAATACACCACCCCCATGGGAGGAGTTGTGGGTTTTTTAATTAAATAAGATAATCCGATTTTTTGAACTGCTATAAATCTGGCTTCATATAAAAAAATGCTGCCCTGGCCTTAGAATCTACACCGGCCTTCCTTCAATAAAATCTGATTTAAAATTATTTAAAATTATTTATCTAATGAGGTTCATCGAGAATAATCACACCTGTGAATTTCCTACTTTTTGGCACTAGAAGAATCAACCCATTGTGCCCCTCTGCATGCTGGAGAGTCAAATGTAGTTGACTTTTATGCTGATGTCATGGAACGAATACAATCTATGTATACAAAATACTATTTAAAAAAATATTCAAGAAAATGCAGAATATGAGAAGTCAACACTATTGACATCTTTTGGAAAGATATTGAGCTCATTCAATGATCATTGATGACGTGCACTTGATTTTGATGGCAATAATAGCAACTTTAGCTAGTAAGATGATTTCAACATTAGTAATAATGATAACGAAACCCTTGGCAACAATTCCCATTAGGATATTATGCGTCATCATAGATAGCAATGGCCAATAGCTTCAATATTGCTATTATAATAGTAAATTCACATATATAATAGTCATACGTAAACCATGGTATTGAGGATAATAATCACATAAGTGCCCAACCATGGTATTGAGGAAAGTGGGCACACTGTTTGACCTTATAGAGAGAATGTACATGAAGAAAGCATAGCATGTCGTAAACCAAAGCACAGTTAATTATAGGCATTATATTGCACATAGTTTGATTGAGATTTGGAAGACTTTTCTAGCTCAAGAAACTCGATTCTGCTGACCTCGGTTTACTTTTCATGTCCAATGAACAAGCAAGCACCTGAAACCCTCTCCCTTCTCCTCTCTCTCTCTCTCTCTCTCGACATTTGTGGCTTAGTGGAGGTGCGCCGACTGGACTTCCTACTACCACCCTCCCCCTTTTTCAGAGCTTAAAACCAAGCCGGAAGTCTTTGCCCCCCTTGGAAGCCATTTGAGGCGTGACCACCATAAAAGGGACAACACCTCACAGCCTCACCCGAAAAGCGAGCAAAACTTTATTGCGCCTGTAAACGTCGTGGGCATGTAAGCACTTGATTATACCCGTAGGGGGAGAGGGGGGGGGGAGGAGAGAGAGAGAGAGAGAGAGAGAGGGAGATACTAGGCTCATTGAAGCACCTGATGACGTTATGGGCTGTCGAGATCATCCGTTGCCGGCATCGTAGACTTGTTTTTTACTTGATAGAAGGGAGAAAGCTCTTGCAATTATATGAAGAGAGAGGGACAGAGAGAGAGAGAGAGAGAGAGAGAGAGAGAGAGGCTGGCACCCATACGAAGAAGGGCTCTACTGAGCATGCACACCCAGGGACTATCCATGGCTATCTACCAACACAGTTAATGAAATCCCTATGGTATAGGCTGTCTTGATTTCATGGGAGAGGGATGGTCCCTACCTCGATGGGTTTCCACATTAGTCACTCCTCTCCCTTGTTCTTTGCTTCCCACTACCCCATCTCTTTACCTTTTCAGTGGACCTTCTTCCCCCTTTCCCTTTCCCCATTAAATGTCTCCCTTGGCTTCATGGGCCGAGAGTAAACAAGGAACAGATTACATGGTGCAGGCGGCGGGTCCTTCTGCTAGTCAAACTTTTATGCAAGCTTTCCCCCCCTTCTCAGTGAGAGAGAGAGAGAGAGAGAGAGAGGATGAAGGTAGGGCCCATGCGAAGGAAACTAGTATAAATATAATGTGTATAGCGACTGAGGGGCCTAGGGCTAAGGCGACCTCTCTCTCTCTCTCTCTCTCACTATCATGCTGCAGTCTTTGACCCGCAGCTCTAAATGGAACTTGGAACAAGAGAAAGTGAAAGGATCCGAAGAGTGGTTCATGGGGCAGCGTAGAAGCGACCCAGGATTAAGAAAGGGAGGAAAGGGGGGTGTTTTTCACGTAAAGGCGAAGACGGCAACTTCTCCGCGTCAGCCTCCATCCGTTTCAGCTCCTGCTCTGTCCATCTCCACGCCACCCTTCTCGTCTCTTATCTGTGTCAGGCATATTTTCAAACACCTTGGTCGTTTTGGGCAGTAATGGGATTAGAGCCTCTCCTCTCCCTCCCCACAACCCCGGCTTCTCTTGTCATCCTCTCTCTGTCTCTGTCTCTCTCTCTCTCTTGTACACTTCGTTCCCATCACGGGGAAGGTGGAACACCCCAGGCGGTCGTCTGAGCCCAATTAAACTCTCATACGGTGGCTTGCAGTGAGGAATGAGATCATCATCAGACCAGATATTAATGATCACGTCACATGTAATAACTGCGACCTTCCAGGCCACCTCTATCCTTTCTCAAATAGTACGGAGCACTGAGAAGTATGTTCGCCCTCTCTCTATATCTCTCTTCCTCTTTCTCTCTCTCACCCGTAAATTCGTCCTCTCTCTTCACTACCAGCTCATCCTGGGCAGCAGCGATATCGTCCTGTTGCTGCTGCTGATGGGCAGAAGAAGCATCCATTTTAAAGCTGACTCTGAGAGGACAACCCGATGGATATCCGGTGCCTACAACACAGAAGATGGAAGGGAGAGAGAGAGGACATTGCCGGATCCCAGCGGAGGATTTTATCAGATCCTTCGATTCTGGTACTGGTGTGATATCAATCTCGTCCGTAGTTCTCACTCAAAGACTCCGTTGAGACTTAAAAACGAGTTCTCTTCCATTAACACTAGACTAATCAGAGCCTTCATCGTACACTAATGGTGCTGAATTGAAACATAACAATAAGATTACTTCTGTACACATGACAAGCGAGAGAGAGAGAGAGAGAGAGAGAGGGAGAGAGAGGGAGAGAGAGAGAGAGAGAGAGAGAGTACATTCGATGGGAGAGACTAATGAAGTGGAGACAATGGTAGTGGCGGCGGCAGCCTTCTCCATTGGCTAACATGGGCAGGGGGGGCCGAGGTTTAATCCCAACTCTTTTCCAGGGAGCAGCCTCGGCTTGCTCCCCGGTGAAGGCAGCGAGTCCGGATCCACAGAATGGAATGGCCTCTTCCCCGATGACGTGCCGCCGAGTGCGACCCCGAAGAGCTTGGGCCGCGCGCTGCTGCCGCCGCTGCACTTGTTGTGGTTGTCGTTGTCGTCGGAGCAGTCATCCTCGCTGCTGTTGCTGTTGCTGTTGCTGCTGATGTTGTTCGGGGAAGGCTCCTCGGCTATAGTGAGCGAGCTGCTGGAAGTGGTGCTGCTCCAGTTTAGGCACATCTTGACGCCGTAATGCTGCTGCGATTGCTGCCGGGTATAGAAGCCGGGCTGCTTCTGCGGGAAGGCGCCGGCACCGGATGAGAATCCGTGGGGTGGTGCTGGGGCGAGGAGGAGCGAGGAGTGGAAGGCGTTGCTGGGGGCGACGGGGCGGACGTGGTTCTGCACGAAGTAGATGATGTCGTTGTAGAGCTTGCGCATGTGAGCCAGCTCAGACAGGAGTGCCGCATTTGCCCGCCGCAGCCTTTCGTTGTCCTCCAGCAGCCCCGAGCCCGGCGGCGCCACACGCGGGGAGGAGATCGGAGAGGAGAAAGAGTCGCACCATCCGCCACTTGGAGAGATGTGCTCGTCAGGGCTGGTGGAGAAGGAGCTGAAGTAGGAAGCGGCGGCGTTGGCATTCGCGCCGGGAGTGTGGGGGTGATAGTGTTGGAAAGGGAGATGGAGGGGTGCGTGAGGCGAGGAGGAAGGCGAGGAGCTGGTCTTCCTGCGGTGGATCTCGCAGAGGAGGTGCTTCTCCCCCTTGCGGAACAACTCATTGGCAAACTCCCACCTCTCCGGCACGATCTTCCTGAATCCCTGCTCGAACACCACAAAAATGATGAGAACGAGGAGGAGAAGAAGAGGAATGGGTGGGAACTTGGGGGCCGACTTACGTAGGTGTTGAGCTGGCGGACGAACGAGGAGAAGTTATTGTGCTTGAAATAGTTAGGGAGGATGTCGCGGGCGAACTCGGGGGGACGCCATACGACGAAGGTGGAGTGGTCGTCGCCCCAGGAGACGACGTGGTCAGTGCCTGGGTCGTCGACAAGCTGGTAGGTCTTGGTCAGGAACGGCGCCGGCACCGCCCGGTGGGGCTCCAACGTCAGCAGCGTCGCCGCTCCCCCGCAGTCGCCGCCCTCGCTTCCGCCGCAGGTCTCCAGGGGAGAGGCACCTGGTGCCGCCGCGAGAGCCATCTTCTTTCTTTGTGTATGCAGAGATAGAGAGAGAAAGACAGATAGAAGTTTGCGGCCGTGGAAGAAACCTTCTAAAAGAGAGCGGCGGAGAAAACGCGCAGCAGCCTGTTCACCCGAGCTGTGGCCTTTGATGTGGCCTGGGGCGAGAGGATGGTGCGTGTGACGGAATGGGAGAGAGGGAGAGAGCGTGGGAGCGGAGGGGGAAGAGAATATATGTCTGTCCGTCTGTCGCTGGGAGAGAAACTGAGAGGAATTGGTTTCAAGACAAACCCGTGACTTCTCTCTCTCTTGGCTTCTTCCGGCTTCTTCTTTTGATTAGGAGAAGCCGAGATGCCCGCCTCTCTCCTCTCTCCTCTCTCTCTCTATCTATCTATCTATCCATATCTCTCTCTCTCGCTCGCTCTTTCCCTCTCTTCTTCCCCCATGAATCCACGGGCCACCTTGGACTTGCTGGTGCGTCCCCGAAATACCGAGCGGGTACTGTTGTAAAAGAAAGGAGAAAAGATGACGATGCCCATCCGCCCTAGGGAAGCACACTACAAAAGTTTCGGAGTTGCTCATCATATCCCATAAATGCTCCATCCATTAATTAAATATTTTCAAATGATATATTTGACTAATTTCCATATCGGACATTTGGTCTAGTAAAGTTTTCGTGGTTGCGCATTAAAAGTTGTCATTTTTCGAATACACGTATAGAATTGAGAGGATGTGGACATGAATATTGATGTTCTCAAATGATTCATGGAGAGATTCAATTGCTTTAAATGCGTAAAGTAATCCCATAAACCATCACCAAGGCATCCGTACTATCGTTTCATCAAATTTAAAGTAATTAACTAAATCATTTTAGCAAGGCAGTAAAAAGAAGATATGATATACATTGGACTAAGATTACTTTTTTAATATATAGAATAATTGTAAATCGTCACTTGTAGCTCATATTCTTGTATGGGTCGAGAATTTATGCCAAATAAAGATAGTTGTTAATCCCTTAGATAGTGAACTAAAGCTTAATAGCCTAGTGATCGAAATTAAAATGTCAAATCCATCTATTATTTTTAATTGAGATGATTGACTGAGTATGTTTGATGATTTATCTCATCACCTCCTATAGAGTAAGAGGGTGATGAGATAACTCCACAAGATTTGAATGTTTTAGGTGCCATCATAACACATTTTTAAGAGTCGTGAGTTTGGGAGAGAAGGAAGAAGTGGGTAAATGTAAGAGTCAATAAATAATTTTTTAAGGTAGTTCATAGATTTTTTTAACGGTGCCAAAACGGATTGATCTATTGCTTTCGTATTTTGGATCCAATTTTTTTGTAGTAGCAAATAAACAAGCAGAATAAGGAGACTAGAATTAGTTTACATCAGGTTTCAAGGCCACTATTGTCCCATGAAAGATGTACTTGATGAGACACCTGGAAACATTTTATTTCTTTCATGTCATGTAAGGAACATTATCTTTTTGAAATAAAATAATGAAATAATATTTTTGGAACCTGTAGTACAGGTGCTGAAATAATTCATAAAATATTTTAAGGTATTTTAAAATTCATCTATACTAATTAGAAGTTCTTGATGACAACTTTTTACAATTTTTAATAAATTTGATAACACATCAAATATTTTTTAGAAAAAAACTTAATGGCGAAACCAAAGTGCTAATAACGTGCCAATAGACATGGAATTAATAATGTGTACAAATTTTATTTTTTTATGATGAATTTACATTTTAAAATTTTTATTACAGAAATTATCTCAACCCCTCATTTTGTCATTTTTTATCAACTAGACAATTACTTCTTGAGTTATTTTATTGAATGGCTGACCCTTTTTGTCACAGCTTTACTTTAATTATTCTTCAAGCCTCATGGATGTTGGTTTGGTGTGGGTGAAATCGTTATGAGTGTAATTCTAATTGGCATACGATTATAAACTTGTTGTCACTATCACCTATTATATTCATCATATTTGCCATTCTGCTTGTGAGCCACATTTTATGCTCAAAATATTTGGTTTTACATTGGTTATAAACTTATGTCTCTTAATGTCATCATAAAAGTGCCATAATCTCACAATGGGTGCTCTTGCTTCACTTTTTTGCTCATGTCCAAGCAAACCCTTCAGAAACCATCTAATTTACCACTTATTATTGTCTTTGCCAAATAATGATATTAAAAACATTATCACTAAAATAACGTTGGAAGGAAAGGAATATGATTAAAATAAAAACCCAAGCAGCATATGTTCCTAAAACAATGAAATTGAGGTTGATTATTGCAGCGCTATGGTGCATCTTATAAAGATCGGTTGACGTCTCATAGTAGAGAGTGGTCTCTAAGCGAAACATAGGATTCCTGTTGCCACATTTTACGTCACATTTCATGTCATTGACGTGGTAAACGTGTACCCTCGCTTCCCTTGTTGCTGCTCTCTCTCTCGCTCTCTCTTTCTCTCCCTCGTTGTGAGGAGCTGGGCTGTGTAACTTCTCAGACCGAATGAACGGAAAACACGTTTTCCTTGAAGAGAGGAGAAAAACGCCAGACAGAGGGAGGGCATTTCAGGGATTCCCATGGATCGAAGGCACACTGCGATGCCCGTCATTTCTTTACTTCAAATAGCAATATTATTTGCTCATATTTTCATGTATATTTGTGTGTAGCTATGACATCTCCTATGGCCTACTTCGTCTATATTCCAAAGCCGAAGCTGGCATCAGTGTTATCGTCCGGAGGGTTTCCTAATGCTGACGAACGCCTCCCTCCAGCCTACTACTGCCCCTAAGGGTGGTGATTGACTGTGATATCCAAGAAGCAACCTTGGCCGCAGCTTTTTCTCGTAAGAACCCCCCTTCCCCTCTGTAGATGACACATTCATCGTCTCCTCCCCTCTCATCATCATTTCCGCTCTCGTCTTCGATTCCCCGGGAAAGAAGACGGACAGCCACGTCACCGGTCGACCAAGCCGGAGACTATCAAGTCTACGCCGCCTCCTCCGTCACATCTCCGTCGTTACACCGTCGACCCGTCGAAGGCCGGCGGAGGACGCCGCTTGGCCCGCGTGGGGCCTCCGCCGCTGGGAGATAGCGGCGTCGGCGGGGTAACTAGTGAATTCCCTGTGGAGAAAAGCTGGGGATCACGGTGAATGGGAAAGGGGAGTAGAAAGATGAAAATGGGGAGGGGAAGAGGTAGTGGCGTATTTTCGTGCTCGCATAGCATGTGATTGTGTATTGAAAAGAAGACAAGCTAGCTACAAGTCCCAATACCTATTATAAATGTGAAGTGGAATATCTCTGATCAGTACGGCAATGCCGTCTTCTAAATCTTCCTTGTTTCCCTCTCTCTCTCGCTCCGTGCTCTTAAGAGGACGCTGCGAGGGGCAGAGCGGAATGGCCGGCAGTGTGGCAGCGTTTGACGGGCTTGCATAGGCCATCCTCGTGATCTTTGTATGCTTTTGTAGGATCAGCTTCCTGCCCGGAAATAAGGGTCACCTGGCTCGTGCCTGGACTCCATGGATCTTTGGGTAACAGGGGAGGACGGCACTGAAGCTGACCGAGCCAGGACGACCCCCGGATGTTGTGTCTAGAAATATTTCTCAATATCTCAATCTCTTTCTTCGCGTTTTAGCGAGCGAGCGAGAGAGAGAGAGAGGCATAGAGAGAGATTTGCCTTGTAGTGACTGAACAAAAAGGTGTCTGGGGCCCCTCGTGTCATTGTCCCCACGGATCCTCCTGCCAAACTTGTCTGTTAACTTAATTTTAGATGTGCGTCTATATTACCGGAAGGAGGGAGAGAGAGAACGAGAGAGAGGAAGATTCTAAACCCCACCTTCCTTCTCCCTTCCACAAGCTCACCCAGGCCGCCATCCCCACATGACCACTGCCCGTCGAGTTCAAAATAGTTTATAATAATGGACTGCTGGGACCAGAACAAGGGTCGGTCAGCAGAGGCGGGAGTCCTCTCAGAACAACGTGTGACTGCGGGGGGAAATAGTTCATTATTCTGACCAATGGCCACCGATATCTCAGGTCCTTATAATCTAATGTTGTAACTAAATTATTATATGAATACCGCATCAGAAGGCAGCCGAGCACTCCTTTTCTCTTTTGAAGTGGTCAGCCTTCAAGGTTCTCTTTTCTGTCTCTTCTTCCACTCTCTTCTGTCTTCTGTCTCTTCCCCCCCCCCCCCCCCAAGTTGGTTCAGAAACAGAAACCCAACATTTTCTTCTGTCATCGTTCATAGATACGCCCAAGACCTCTCTCTCTCTCACGCCCGCGCTCTCTCTCTCTCTCTCTATCTATCCAGCTGTGTAAATAGTTCAGATGGGTCACGAGAGAAGAGCAGTCTGCACGTAGCCTCCCCTGGCTCAGTGTGGCGAGAAAGAAGACAGGTTAAGTTCTTGGCGAGGCCAGTCAGATTCCTCCATCGCTGTACATTCACCCTCCCCAGGGTTAACTTCATCAGCACGTAAAAACCTACCGCCCCTTCCAACTCCATCCGGCCCAGTTCGAAGAGGAGATCAACAAAAGCTGTGGGTATCTACATTCATCTTCGTGCTCGACTACTCACGTGTAGACCCTCCCTGCTGAGGGAGACCACCACTGTCTTGGAAACGATGTACTAGACGCTCCACCTTTGCAGAGACGAATCGATTTGCCACGGAGAAAACACAAAGCTGCACCATCCACCCCTTAAAAGTTTTTGGGCGTTTTGCCCCCTCACACCGTTGGGACTTGGAGCTCCTAACCAGTTGTTAGAAGACGATGTGCACTGAGAATCTCAGTAAGCATGGGAATTCATATATGTATGTGTAGATGGATTGCTACATAGTTGCAATATGGATATGTATATATATAGATATAACGGGAGAGAGAGAGAGAGAGAGAGAGAGAGAGAGAGAGAGAGAGAGAGAGAGAGGGGAGAGAGAGAGAGATGGGGGAGTTGTCCTTCCTAGCAATGATGCCGTTCTTCCTTTATCCTTTCGTCTTTTCCTTT